TGTCTCAATTTTCAGCTTCGGTACACCAAGCTGAACGCCGTGCAGCCTGGAGTCGCGACGACGTCGCGTGATTTTTCCTGGAGGTCTGTTTCTGCACAAGAAGAGCACGTATCAAATGCAAATATGTCTGGGTCTGGAAATTTGTGATGCTAAAATGTGGATAATGAAAACAATTCCAAATGCGACACAGCATGACAAATTTTCAGAACACTTTCTCCTAGGCAATCCGCATGAGAAACTGCGTCTTTGCATGTACAAAAGAGGCTGCGACTTCTGTTGGCTATGCAATACAGATTTCCCAGGTATGGAGAGCTAGCATTACAAGTTGCAACCTTTACCTTCCTGACCCAGACATATTTGCAATGCATCAAGTAGTCTCAATTTTCAGCTCCGGTACACCAAGCTGAACGCCGTGCAGCCTGGGGTCTCGACGACGTCGAGTGATTTATTTTCCTGGTCTAGTACTTCTGCACAAGAAGAGCACGACCACGACCGTATGGGACGAGATGATGAGCAAATCTTTCCCATCGCGTCGAAGTTCTGGACTTTCGCGGAAGAGAAAACGGAACTTCTGCAGGCACGGAGCCTTTTCGAAGTGGTCCGGGAGTTTTGGCTCCAGTTTGCGAGGCAAGCGGAGATACCCGGGGGCGCCACGTTGGAATATGGTTGGAAAGTACTGAAGGCAGACCTCGACCGCAAGTTGAAAAGTCACATGAGAACCTTCCGATTGCGCGGCCGGAACAAGACAAATGAGGAAACGAAAAAATGGCAGACGCCCCGAATACCCTTCCACGACCAAAGTAGAAGTAACGGGCTAAAAACTTTGGAAGCAGTGAAACAATCGATGTTCGGGTCAAGCCAGATGGCACGACACCAGCTGCCGATGACTGAGTCTGGAGATCATGGTGGTCCCTCTGATGTTCATGTCCGAGATGTGCGCAACCTGGTTTCGCAATTCTTTTCGGAAGATGACCGAAATGTTGGGCGAAGACCCAAAGTCGCCCTGGATCTGGTTTTCGAAAAACCGCAGGAGGTTTTTAAATTTTGGCACGTGGACAGGCGGGCGAAAGGTAATCCCCGCGACGGGGAGGGAAGCAGCACGGAAGAGTCGTCGTGCGACGACGGCCGCGGCAACAACCCACCCGGCGGGCCTGCAGATGTTGACGCCACCAAAGCCGGTACAAGAGCTTCGCGGGAAAACAAGCGCCTGAGGGCAACGTTGCGCGGCCGCAGCGGGCAAGGCGGGGCAGGAAAAAGGCCACGGAAAAACAACGACAGGTTACAACATCGTGCAGCTGCCCAACAGATAGTACAATCACAATCTGGTGAAGATGATATGATAATCCGTGACCGCCTGCTGAGGGGTTTGGTTCGCACCATGCGCATGCTTATCAAATGCAAAAGTGTCTGGGTCTGGAAGAATGCAAGTTTGTCATGCTTGTCTGGTATGACTCGAGAATCTGTGTTGCATAGGCACGAAAAGGGCCTCTTGTCTGTCATGCAGAAACGCAGTTTGCCATGCGAAAAACGAAACACAAGAGCAGCTCAAAACTTTGTCATGCTTGGTTGCGTATTGCAGTGCGCCCACCAGTCACATCTCAGCATCACAAGTTTCCAGACCCAGACACTTTTGCATTTGATAATGCTGGAAAAGGAGCAAGCCGAGCAAAGACATCGCGAGTTTGTATGGAATTCTCAAATGTTGCATTCTCAACTGTTACATGAATTTGTATTGCAAGAATGGCAAAAGTCAAAGAAGTGAGGTTGCACTTGTAGCATTACAAATCCCGCACAGATTTGGATGCTGTTTAGCGTTTCCGAAATTCGTCATGCTAAGTAGCTTCATTGTGTGGATGTTGATGCTCATTTTGCATGACAAATCATGTAAACAGTTGAGAATGTAACGTTTGAGAGCGCCATAGTTTGCAGCTTCCCCTTATGATTATCCCGAGGCAGGTGAAATCGCTCCTTATGCAGAATCGGTGGTCTTGCATCCCGACCCCGAGCATGGTGCGGATACGCTCGAACCTCTGCTCGAGAAAAGAATCGGTGGTCGCCTGCGTCCCGACCCCGAGCGTGGTGCGGATGCGCTCGACCCTATGCATGGTGCGGTCGACCCTCTGGATGCGATCTTCCGCAGCTTTTGGTGGTTTGGACTAGAACTAATTTTCTCGACCGAGTGGGACTACGAGTCTGAAGACGAGGACAAAAATTTTACAGCACGACCGATGAGTGCTAGTACCGCGTCTCCTGGAAAAGGAGCGGAAGATGATCATGCCGACCACGAAACCGGCAACGACGGCGAGACGCTGCGGGCCAAAATGCTGCAGCGATCCGTAATGCCCGAGAGTGCTCGAATAGTACACATGCCGATTTATGGTCCTGATGGAGATGAAGAAGTAGATCGGAAGCTGATGAATGAAGACGACCTGCGGGAGCTGCTGCGGCAGGCGGAAGCTGCTGCGGAAGCTGCTGGGGAGACAGCAGTTCGCGAAGTGTGGAATGATATCCGGACTTTGGGGGCCCTCGCCTCCGAACTTCGTTGGCTAGCGGACACCACTTTTGAACAAGATCATGACGTTCTTCCGCATGATGAGGTTCTTACAACTAGCGGGACAACAACTGCAGGAGCCGGTGGAGGTGCAGAAGGTACTACTAGAACTGCAGCACCAACCGCAGATCTTCAGGGTGAGGGTTCATCCATCCCCGCGGCCGTGCAGTTTGTCCTGAAAACCTTGAATTTCTATCTAAGCCTCGCGGATGATCTGGGCGAGCTGGTGAAACTGGAAGTGGTTGAGAAAAACCACGACGACTCGGGGCAGGAGGAAGTGAAGTTGAAGATCTGGAGTTCATCTGGAGAAGGAGTGGCACAGACATCACAAAATGAAGATTCCGACGATCTTCATGCTGCGCAGGTGGGGCAGGATCTTCAAGAGGCGTCAACGGCATCAAGCGTGGTGTCGACATTGCACGAGCGAAGTGTGCCACCTGCTGCTGGCGCTTTCAGGAGTGGTCCAACTTCTTGGTCGGCGCAGGCGCAGGGGCTTGTTGCTTCCCAGCAGCACGGGGGCGCAGCGCCTTCCACGGAAAATATGCCAGCAGAAGCAGCAGCAGGAGGAGGCCCTCAGATTTATTTTCAAGAGAGACAATTCCAGGGGGCCGCATTGGGCGGTCTGGCAGGCGCCGGAGCACTTGCTCGCGGGCACGGGGCGCGGCCCGGCCCTGTTACAAGTCAGTTCGAGGTTTACGTCGACGAGGATGAGGAGGAGGACTCCGTCGCTTATCATGGAGAAAAGTTGTTTGTTTTTCACATCATGCCTTCACAACTTTTCGTATCAAATCTTTGTCATGCGAGGAAGCAACGATGCATGTGGATCTAGACAGGGAGTAGAAGAGCAGAGTAATTGCCCTAATCGTTGTCTTCCTAGCTTTTTTCTGGAGGATAAAGAGGATCATGAAAGCCAAAGCGCGAACCAATACTAAATTTGCATGACTCTTTCTCGCAGATTTCCACTTGACACGACACACCCAAATACGTGCAAGTTGATGGCTGCGTTTTTACTTACAACTACGTTTTTTCTCGATGATAACGCCGAACCACAACTCCCCGCCATGCCATCGCTAGCAGGTTCGAGCAGCGCCCCCGGCGGTCCGCCAGCTCCACCTAGCGGCGGCCGGGAAGTAGATGTTGACCCGACGCAGCCCCCACCGCCCGGAGCGACAGGAAAAACACGAACTGCACTACCAGGCGGGCCCGCTAGTAGTACCCCTTTTAGCTTCAGCACGAAGGATCTACCCGAGAATCAGTTTCCCGTAGAGCAGTCACTGCGCAGAAGTGTCGAACAAGGGCAAGGCCAGCATCAGCAGTTCCGTCCAGGTGCAGCCTGGTCTGATTTTGGTTTTGAGCCAGGGACTGCCGGCGACCCACAACGTGCTGCGGACAAAAGACGACCTTTTTTTTCGAAGGATTATCTCAAGAATGCCCAGTCTCGCCCCGCCACCTCCGAACAGGAGGAAGCATTGACGCAGCATGTGCATGAAGGCGGAGAGGTACAGGAAGATGAAAAAATGAAAGAGACACCACCTGCTCCACCAGGCGGTTTCGACCGCGAAACGTCGGAAACCGAAACCATGCTACCTGTCAGTCGTGCAGGCACCTCGCCGTTCAAGCTGGACGATTTCTCCCCGTCATTCGCAGTTTTGCCGGCGAGTGAAGAACAAGGCTTGGTAGAACAAGCTGTAGTGCCTCAACATCAAAGCCGCGGTGGGCCGAGAGACTACGGAGCAGTAGAGGACGAGCAGATACCAGCAGTGTCGAAACCAAGTCCAACAACAGATGATGGTGTGACCTCCGGCGCACCAGGAAGAACAGAGGCAGCAAGCGTCAGCGGAGGTGGTACTCGTCAGCACGTAACAAGGACCACAGCGGCTCTGGATCATCCACATCTCCACCAAGCCTTGGGCTCAGTCGCCGAGGAGGGTCAAGACGACCTTCAACTTCACAAGGAGTTCCCAGGGGACGAGGAATCGGGTCGCAGTACAAGCTCGGACGAGGGTTATGGCGGGCCGCCTCCAAGAGCGCAAACGATGGTATTTATAGATGCAATGTTGCACGATCTTGATCGCCACAAGTCCATGGGAGCACAAGCCGGATCTTCGGAAGCGGGCACCGGAAGTCGTTCTGCTGACAAAGAGAACATTCGGAACCGCGCAGCGGTGCAACAAGCGGGACAAGTAGTAGACGAAGCTCCTGCAGCATCTACTTCGCCTCGCGATGAAGATCTTCGTGTTAGCGATACGAGGCGAGAAGCGACCTCGATGGAGCAGATAGAACAGGGACTGGAGCAGATGCTTATTCAATTGGAGCAGGACGTGATTGGACTATGTGGTCCACCCGGTGGTGACGCAGTGCCGACTGGAGAAGATCATGTTTCCGGGCGTCAGCATGAGGAGATGTTTCATCGGGGGACACCAGATTTCGCCCAAACACCAGATCTGGCACGTAATGTAGGAATACAACTCACTTTTGAAGACACGACCACTGCTCTTGGCCAGCAGCAAGACCAACAGCAGCACTTCAACATCCCGCGGAGTACTAGAGGCGACAAGGAACTACAAGTTGATCATCATCGTGTTCGGCCGCAAGAACGAGCTAAACCAACCTCGATAAAGAAGTGCCCGCTGCCGTCGTCCGGTACAAGCTCCCGTTCTAATTCCCCCGGCGGTGCACCGACGGGACACGATTGGACGCCCTCTACTCAAGCACCAGGGCATATGGAGCTGTCAGGATTGAAATTGACAAAGTTGAACAAAAATTTGTGATGCATATATAAAGTCGAAACCAGTTGTAAGCCAAAGCCCAATATCCAAGCGGTGCATGATGACAAAATTCGGCACCGTCTAAATCCAGTTTGTCATGCTGTTGAGGGACAGAAGGCGTCTTTTGTCGTGCTGCTTTAGCAGCTCTATCACAGTCCCCAAACAGGCTGGCAGTCGGCCTCACTTGTCATCCCCGCAAGAGAGGCGCTTCATGCCTTGCAGTTTCTGCATGAGAAATTATTTCGACTTTGTCGCTTTCAGTCCTGACGCTTCCATAGGGCAGACTCCCGGGCCGCGAACTGGCGCGCCCAGCCCGCAGCCAAGTCCGCGGGCGGGGAGATCGTTTTCACCTGGTCCTGCTGCCCAGCACCGGAGAGTATCTTCCGAAGATGAGGCCGCGGGTAGAAGTCGGGCTAGCAGTAGAGATGATCATGGCCGCGGGTCAGATGTTGATCATGATGGTAGTTCATCTGGTGATGATTCTGATCCCGGCGGGGACCACGGCGGCCCAAGATCGGCGGCTGCGCGGAGAGCAGCTGATTGGGCTCGAGTGCGTAGTTATGAATTGCAAAAGTATCGCATTCGTATAAATGCATTACAAATTTCCTCAGCATGAGAAATGAAATTTGTATATGCGGATTTGCTTTCAGAAAAAAATTTGTAATGCATTTATCGCAATAGCAATACGAGTACGATACTTTTGCACAGGATAGTAGTATGGACGTCGACCCTATGGACGTTGACCCGATGATGACAGCACGAAGAAGGATAAGAACAAGTAGAACTCCAGAGGAGCGGACTAGTGCGACTCCTGGTACTTCTGCCACCACAGGTGTGGCGATTCTTGGAACTTCGTCGTCTTCCAGCGTAGTTCCTGTTCAACGGCATCAATCAGAACGGGAAGTAGTAGTTCATCCTCTTGGCACTGTCGAAAGGAGAAAGTTGGCCTCTCCTCGTCCTAGGATTCCCGCCGTGGCGTCGGGAGCTGAAGCGCATAGAGGTGGTCCTGAAGATGTGCTACAACACATAGAATCTCCGTCTGCCGCGCACTCGACTCAAGCCTCGCCGACGTCGCAATGCTACGGCGGTACGCCGGATCCCACACCGTATCCGAATTCGAAATTCAAATGTATCGGTTAGCCGCCAGTTGTACTTGTACCCTTCTGAGGCTGATGTTGATGATGTTGGACTTAGTAAATGCACCGGGAATTTTCTGACAAAAAAATATTTTGTGCTGCAGCTAGAAGATGAGTTGTGTGAAGCAGGTCGCAGATTTTGCAATCGTATCTATATCCATGGTCTGTCCTCTACTGCATGACCATAAATGAGAACAACAATGTCGAAGTTTAAAAATATCCTGGAACGGCTCAGATTCAGAAGGCGAAACGGCGGTGATAGATATGTTGTTTTTCGTCCTCTTCCATACACTGCAGACTGATTGGACGTTTCATGTAGATGAGGGGTCGGAGGAGGAGGTACAAGCTGATGTAGAGGCAGCACATATGAACGTGCAAAATGCAAAAGGGGTCAACCTAAACAGAGAAGTTTTTTTGCTGTTTGGGCAAAAAAACTTTTCATTTTCAGCCGTATTTGCTCGCGCCAGGTGCCCCTTCACCGCGCAATATTGAATGCTGCGAACGTATTAAGGTGCCCAAAAACGAATCTGGCTGCCGCGCTCTATCTAGGTTGTCGCAGGCTTTAGCTTTGCGCGGTGCTGCAGTTGAAGCGCTCCTAGAAGGTGTCTCAACAGGTGGCGCGCGAACCTATATAACGGCGCAACTGCTTGGGCGGTTGAGGTGACACACCTCCGCCGAGGCGCGCCAACTGTGTTTCTCAAGGAGCTGGCAGCTGGAGGCGCGCCAGCGTTTGCGTTTGCTAACACTCGAAAATCCTCTGCGCAGAGACCGCGCCGCCCAGTCTGCCGCAAAACAACTCCAGAAAGCGCCCGCGCGAAATTGCTCCTTGAGAGTGTCCAGGATCATCTCCGGACGCAATACAGGCCGCATCCGCATGTGGGAGGGCGCTTAGCCTGGACAGGGGCTCACGCCGATCACGGAGCTTGCGCGACACATTGGAGCCGACATTTCTCGTCTCCTTTCCTTCTTCGCCGAATGCCGCTCGATGAGAAGAAACTTCTGACTTTGGGGATTTTTTTGCCGGATTTTGCCAAAACTTCGCCAAAAACCCGGACTTTGCCGAAGTTTTGGCAAAATCCGGCAAAAAAATCGCCAAAGTGAGAAGATTCTTCTCATTGAGCGGCATTCGGCGAACGGGGAAGGGAGAGGTGAGACCTCTGCTACATTGTGCCGGGCAAGCTCCGGGATGTCCGAACCCCGGGCCAGGATTAACCCTTTTCCGCATGTGGATGCACTCTGGCTCGCGTCCGAGAATAGCTCTGGACATTTCCCCGGCAACCCGCGGAGCAACTCCGCAAGGGAGCTCGCTGGAGTTGCTTTGCGGTAGATTGGGTTGGCCGGTCTCTGCGAGAGGGCGCTTCGAAAATTAGATCAGGAGGCTGATGCAACTGCAGCGGCCATCACGCTTGACTTGCTTGAGAGGCACAGCTGGCGCGCCACGAGTGAGATGCGTCATCCCAACCGCCCAGCGAGTTGCGTCTTTAAGTTGCCGCACCACACGCAGATGCGCGCTGCGGGATCGCGCCAGCTGTGGCACTGCGCAAGGCCTGCGACCACCTCTAACACGACAATCAGTCTTGTTTTTGCGCAACCTAACACGCGCAACTCGATCCACTATCGCGCGGAGAAGGGGCAGCTGGTGCCGGCAAATACGCCCGAAAATGAAAAGTTTTTTTGCCCAAACAACGAAAAAACTTCTCTGTTTAGGTTGACCCCTTTTGCATTTTGCACGTTCATAGCAGCACATGATGACAACTACAGAGCGGAAACAAGACCTGCTCCTGTAACGGGAGCACTACAGCCCCCTGATTATAGAGACGCTCACGCAAGCAGCAGCAGCGGTGCAGTGTGTGAAAAAGATCCATCCCGCGTTTCGACCACTGCGCCGCACCAAGAAGCTGCTGTCCAACAACGGAGCAGAGCCAGCGTTGTAGCTGCAGAGCAACCTCATTTGGTGACGCAGGTTGTAGCGAGCCGACCACAAACTCTTGACCCGCCACCGCCTCCGGCGGCACCGGCACCGCACCTCCAGGGAGAGCCCGGGGCTGTTGAACGTGTTGTTGCGCCCGCCCGGACAGTCGAACAGCGACAGCAGGACGCACGCGACAGGCTGGAAACATTGGCGCAGGCGACGATTCCTGACTTTTTCCGTCTGTTAGAAGCCGCCGCCGCCGACGGCCTGATAACCCACGAGCAAAAGCAGTCACGCGTGAAAGATTTAGAAGGAAGGCTAAAGCACGTTCGCACATGGCGGTCTCACCACGAAGACCCGGAGAAGCTAATGGTCCAAATTGCCAGGTTGAGGAGGCCGCCATCCTACATCCACGACATCCTGGACACCGAAGAAGATATTGGGCGAGGCGCGCTACTGCAAGTAAAATATTGGACGGGCTACATTGCATGGAAGCGCGGTCGCCCCCGCGGGCCCGACGTAGAGGACAGTGCGATCATCAGTCTGGGGCATGACATAGTGCTGCAGAACCAAATTTTGAACGTTCTGCGAGACGAAGTGCCAGCAGTTGTGCCTCTGACGCACTCGGAGCGAGAATTTCGTCTTTTCTGGGACGAGCGACAGCATCATCTCGACCAGGGTCGATTTACCCCAGCGACAACTGACGACCAGCTCCGTCGGCAGCTAAGGCAGCTAATAGGTGGCTCTGAACTAGATGTTCAGAACATCCTCGCGGAGCACCTCAGGCGGCAAAGGGGCCTACAAGACAAACTGGTTCTCATTCTACTAGAGCGGCCAACCGCGCTACGTGTACTGGATGAAAGAGCAACAGAACAACCGATGTACATGAACGCCCTGCACGCCGTTCTGGAGCGTGACCTCGCAGCTCAAGCCGCAGCCGCGACACAGGAATCTACACAGGAGGAATCACAGGCCGCAGAAGAACAACCTTTGGTAACTACGCAGGTTGTGGCGGACCGACCGCAACAAACACCTGAGGACCCGCCACCCCCGTTGGGTGCACCAGCAGCGCCGCCCCAGGAACAACAATCGGGGGCAAGTGTTGTTTCCTCGGCGCCAGGCGGGCCGATGACGCCACAGTTCGGTGCAGCTGGGACATCAAGTGCAAGACAAGTAGGAGAACTCAATGCAGAACCTCCTGAAGAGGAGCAACCTCCGCCTCCTTTTGAGGCCCTAGAAAACCGAGCGGCTCCTGGATTAGGGGAAGATGAGGTTGGGGCGTCGAGGTCCACCTCCACCACCCCCTACGACTTAGAGAGAGAGGAACGACGACAGCAGGAGGCACGCTCGAGGCTGCAGGAATTGATGCAGACGACCATACCTGGCTGTATCCGTCTGGCAGCAGCCGCCGCCACCGACGGCTTGATAGGTGACGAGCAAAAGCAGAACAGTGCGAAATATTTCGAAGACAGTCTCGCGATCGTTCGCAGATTTCATGAAGAGTTCGCAGACCACCTCCACCCGGAAGCGGACCCCCGAAGCAAGACCATCCGGGAGTTACTGGACCGGGAAGAACAGACGGTGCGAGACGGGGTGGTAGAGTTTATAAGAGTATGGACAGATCACATAGTGGAGTGGCGACGCCGCGTACGCGAGGCAAAAATGCACGCCTCTGTTGTACAGCCCGCTGCAGGAGGTTCCTCTTCTGAGACAGGAGCAAGAACTGCAATTGTGGAACTTCTACCTGTGGACGAGGACAGCACGAGTCTAGGGCACGACGTCATGCTGCAGAACCAACTTTTGGAGATTCTGCGATACCAAGTGCCACCATCTCGGTATCGCAACATGCGGTCAGAGCAAGAATTCCGTCGGCTCTGGGACGAGCGAGAGCAGCTTTGCGACCAGGGTCGAGCCACCCGCGCGATAGATGAGACCAATCTGCGTAGGCAGCTGCGAGCTCCAGTAGATGAACACAACACTGCAGAACACCTCAGGCGGCAAAGGGACCTACAAGACCAAATTTCTTTCCTTCTGCTGCACCGGCCACATGCGCTGGTCGTACTGGCGACAAGAGGAACAGAAATACCGACGTACATGAACACCGTGGACGCCATTCTGGACCGACGTTGGCTCGCGGCCCAACGCGCAGGCACGACACAGGGATCCCAGGCCGCTGCTGCATCAGCGGCCGCCCCGTCGGCTGGCGGGATGCTGCTCTGCAGGAGAATCGTCCTCTTCTGCATCTTCAGTGCGAGCTCTGATGAAGACGAGGACGGCAAAGCAAAGCTGAAGACGCAGTTGTCTGGCGCTCGTGCAATTGACATTGAAGTAGAAAAAAAAATAAAGATGGTAGAAAGCCTGCCCGTAGGTGAGGAAACAGCAACGAACTTGATACAGCAGATTAATCTCCGGGGGAGACAAATGCGGCATATTGATCTGGACCTCAGAAAGGATAAATATCAAAGACCCGGAGAAACTGTTGACACGTTTTTCTTTGGACTACTGGAAATCGGACGACTTGACGCCGAATATCAAAAGCTGCGGGACCTGGCTTCGAGCGAAAAATACAAGGTTTACATTTCCGACGACAACCTCGACGCCGACCCGCGGACGGTCACTGCTGAAGAAAATGGCATTGGCATTCACCCTGCTAACCTCGCTATGCCAGAAAAAAACCGTGTGAGTGTAAGTCTGTAGTGCGAAGTATGCAGGGGGCTGGGCGGACAGTTACACTTGTCATTCTGGCCAGCCATACACATACCAGCGCCCTCGCTTCATTCGTGTTCTCCTTCTCGCGTACTCACCGTGCATGAGAGGAATTCTCTGTCATGCAGAGCAGATAATAATTTGTCATGCTCATGTTGTTGATGTCTATGGCACGACCCCGAGGCACCTATAAATGATACTACGATTTCTAGCACAGTGGTTTATTTTTTCTTGTATACTCGCGCAGGCCAGGTGTCTACTGATGTCGATGTGGATTGGAAAGGTTCTACCAACCGAGCAGGCGGGCGCAGGGTCAAGAACAAGAACTGGCGATTCATCTTCAAGCGCAGCAGGACCAACTGACGCATCAGCGACGGAAGATGATATTAGAACCATCGGCAGCTGCTCAAGCGATGACGACGGACCGGATGACGACAGCACTGACGTCAGCACACCGGAATTGTTGAAAAAACAGATTATTCAACTGGGGAAAGAAATGCGGCTCGTTGATATGAAGATCGGCGACCTTGCGGCAGATGTGAACGAGAAACAGATGAGAAAGGTAGAAGAAAAAATTGAAGAGAGAAAAGATGGGACGAGATGGAGTCCGAACTATATGTGGAAGCTCGTGAAGGCACAAAGAGAGTTCTCAGTACAGCTATTGGAACTTGCAAAGCGCGACCGCAAGTACCAAAAGCTGCGGGACCTGGCTGCAAGCGGAACATACAACATTCCTGACGACGACCTCGACGATGACCCGCGGAAGTCTGATGCTTCGATATTTTCGCGGATTCATTTTCTCGCGAATGCGAGGGCCGCCTACGGGGAAGTGACCGGAATTGCCTCACGACCAACCGAGCAGGCGAGCGCAGAGTCAAGAACTGGCGCTTCCTCAACTGCAGCACCAGGACGGCCTGCCGCATCTTCAGCGACGAATGCAGCTGCTCCTGGAGCAGGGGAAGATGTTGAACTACGTGTAACGTCCAGCACGTCACCAGGCCCTACAGTCGAACAGAAACAACGACGGCAGAAGGCACGCGACAGGCTGGAAACATTGTCGCAGGCGACCATGCCGGACTTTATTCGTCTGGCAGAAGCCGCCGCTGCCGACGGCCTAATAACCACCGAGTATCAAATGCAAGTATATCTGGGTCGTCTGGATGAAACTTATGATGCAAACCAGGAAAAAATAACGGACGCGCTGTAAAAATATTACGCGGCCATGCATGACATAGGTTTTGAGCAGCTACGTGTTGCGTATTTCGCATGGCAGAATGCGCAGATTTTGCATGAGACAAGGACGATCTGTCAGTTTGCAGCTACGAATGACAGAGTTCCGAGTCATGTCAGAGTCAGACGAGCATGACAAAAATAAATCTTGCAATGTTCCAGACCCAGACATATTTGCAATTGATACTGAGCAAAAGCGCACGTTTGTGGAGTATTTGGAACAACAACTCGCGAACTTTCGCAGAGCGCATCAAGTGTGGGAATTCTCGGAAGCAACACTGTCACGAGCCGATTTCGAGGACATCCTGGACCAGGAAGAAAAGGCTGTGCGGCGGACGGTGCTACAGGGGATAAAACAATGGACGGAGCTCATAATGGTGCAGCGAATCAAGATCCACCAAGCACACGAAGCAGCACTTCCGCGCTCTTCTCTCGCACAGCCCGCACCAGCAGGGGCTTCCTCTTCTGATACAGGAGCAACTGCAGTTGCGGCACCGGCGGCGGAGGACAGTGCGAGTCTGGGGCATGACGTAGTGCTGCAGAATCAAATTTTGAACGTTCTGCGAGAACAAGTGCCACCAGCTCTGCCTCTAACGCAGTCGGAGCAAGAATTCCGTCGTCTCTGGGACGAGCGAGAGCGTCTTTGCGACCAGGGCCGAGCAAGCCGTGCGACAACTGATAACGACATGCGGAGCTGGCAACTAACAGGCTTACTAGAAGATGATCACAGCACGACCGCGCCGGATGAACAACACCTCAGGCGACAGAGAGACCTGCAAGACCAGATGGTGTTGCGTCTACTATGGCGGCCAAATGCCCTGGATGTACTGGACGAAAGATCAACAACAGAGCTACCGATGTGCCAGCACACCCTGTTTGCCATTCGGGTCCGTTCCCCCGCGGCCGTGCAGCAGGTGCAGGCACAGCAGCCTGCAAGCGCAGGATCAAGAGCGGGCGCTTCCTCGAGTGCAGCAGGACCACCTGCCGCATCAGCGACGGAGGCTAGTAGGAAGACTCGCCCAGCACAGGAGGAAGAGGAAGACGTAAATCTACTTCACCAAGGAAGTGGTGGTGAATCTAGTAGTACCTTCTCTTCACCGCCACGCCAGGGTAGACAACTACCACCGGGGGATCCTGTTTCTTCGGCGCCAGATCATGCTGGGCCGATGACGCCACAGTTCGGTCGTGCAGCGGGGGAAAGAAGAACAAGCGCAAGTTCATCTTCACAGCCTCGAGATGAACTACCGCCTCATGATGCTTCGTCGGGGGCACGGGCAGCAGGCGGTGGTACAATTTCTGCCGGAGGAATTGAGGCCGGTGCCGGAGATGAAAACACTGCAGCAGGAGCTCCTGCTGCTCTGGGTCTGGTTCCGTCGTCCTCAACTACTGCTCCTGGTGCTTCGGGTCCAGAACCAGAAGAACTACCTCAGCCTGGTCGACTACGATCACTGGTTCTAGGACCACCGAAAGTGGACCAGCATGATGTCGACCACCAGGGCCAGCAAATAAAGCAGCACCGCGGAGGCTTGTATTCGTTGGCTGGGCCGATGACGCCACAGTTCGGGCGCGCAGCGGCGGGAAGAATAAGCGCAACTTCATCTTCACAGCCTGCTCGAGATGAACTACCGCCTGATGCTTTATCGGGGGTTGCAGGCGGTGGATCTTCTACTTCGAGAGCAGATGGCGCAGGAGCGCACCAGAACATCAACCCTAGTGCCACTGCTACTGCTGCTCCGCCGCAGTCGCTACTGCAACAAGGCGGGCTTCGGGCTGCGCTCACTGCGTCGCCGGTCATCGAAGGCACGCCAGCGCCGCCGTACCGAGAAGAGCAACTTAGAGGAGGAGCAATAGCCCCCTCTTTGCAGGAAGAAGGTCTCGGTCTGCTCTCGCACCCACCTTATAGTTCCGCAACAGCAATACGCGAAGGAGTTGTTATAATAGATGAAGGCCCAGGTGGTACTAGTAGCTCGTTGTTCATCCCGTCTGGGCATGGTTCTGCAGGAGCTCTGGCAGCCAGTGCCGCGACGTTTTACCCAGAGCCAACGTTTTACCCAGAGCCACCATATCCCACTTCTAGGGACGGTCTTGATCCTCAACCGCTTTATTCCTCCGACCGCCCGCAGCTGTATCATGGCGCCCGGGTAGACCTAGATGACCCTACCCACCCCATCAACCAACCATTAGATCCAGAGCCCGCGCGGGGACGAGGCGTAGTTCAAATCGCCCGTTCCCGCGGTAGCAGCGTGGACTCGATGCAGGAATTACATGGCGGCAACTATAGCGGGATTAAGACCGCGGATTACACGTCGTCCACAGTGTCGCCGGCGACTGCGGGCGGAATTGTTTCGCCGTCTACGGTATCGCCACTATCAAGCGCAAATATGATGTTAGTCATCCAGAGCCAGTTTGGTTTTGAAAGATGAAGGGGTTGTTGAGTATTATAAGTTCTGTGTGATCTTGCTGTTTCGCCTTTGGCTTTGCATCATTCGAAGCGAGGAACACCGACCGCACTTTGATTTTTACCGACTGGGACTGGTGCTCTGGTATTACTAACATCCTACTTGCCGAGTGCATACCCATCCACTGTTGTGATAGGAGACGTCGACGCTAGGGGAAGGAGTCCTTCTCCCGAGGACGCACGACCGCTGGAGGTTCTTCTCGACCCGCACGACACAGGACAAGAACCACAGCACCAACAACCCCCACCCGCACGACCTGCTCTTTTAGCTGGTCAGCAGCACCAGCGCCATCAATTCTCCCCACATGCTGCAGAATTTCGTCCGGGGATGGTTTCTCATGGGGCGGTGGCAGCCCCGCAGGAGCAAACACCCCAAGGAGAACTACATGTAGGACAACTAGTGCAGCCACCTGCAGCAGGTGGGAGTACTCCAGCGATGGCTCTGCAGCCAATACTAGGCAACATGTCCAATGCAACAGCCTCCGACTACCATCAATATGCAGCCCCGAACTACGTCTATCCGAGCCCGTATCCAGGTTCTTGGGGCTCGCCGTTGAGTGCAGCTGGAACGAGCTTTTATCCCCAGCAGGAGCTGCAGGAGCAGCAGCTGCAGCAAGAAGCACTACAATACTTTGCAGCTCCCGAGCTGCAACAACTACAACACGAGACAGGCACTGCTTATTCCCCAATGATGTTCTCACCTATGGTCCCGCCGCCGCAGGGAGGTTACAATCAAGGTCATCAAGCTGCTCAAGCCGCAGGACATCTTCAACTAGGTCAGCAACAAATGCAGCAGCAAATGCAGCAGCAGCAAATGGTGCAGCAGCCGCCCATCATGGGTTTCATGCAGCCGATGATGAGTCAGAGTCCGATGTCTACTTTCAATGTTGTGCAGCCTATGATGCAGCAGCAGCAGCACCTTTACCAGCCACAGATGCAGATGCCTCAACCGCAGCAGGTTGCTGCACCGACGCAGATGCAGCAGCACCAGCAGGTTGTTTTTCCGGAAGCTGGTGCTACGTCAACACCGATGCACTCTCAGCAGCAAGAAGGCATTCGCCAAGGCCAACAAACGGCTGCGACTGATGAGTCACAGCTTGCTTCTGCTATGAGCGTGCACAACACCCCCTCATTTCAGGGACATGAACATGTCATCTAGCAACACAACTACTAACAACCTGCGAGGAGATGTGCTGTAGCTTTCGAATGACAGATGATCCACACCCAGGCTTTATTTGTACAGTTTGGGCTTCCAGAACTTGTCATGCAATGCCCAGATAGGATTTAGATTTTGCATTTTGGATGTGGAGTCGTGAGCAGGAACAGGATGAGAGGGAGTTGTGCACTTTCATACCGGGTGGTGCTGCGCCCCCGCCAAACCGCGAGCGCGCCAACCCCAACGTTTGGAAGGGAGTCCCCGCGCAAATATCGTTACTGGCCGCGGGATATCTTGTGCAAAAGTATCGTAGTCATATAAATGCAAGACTTGCATTACAAATCCTTTTCGTAGGGTAAATTCGCATTACAAATTTCATTTCTCATGCTGAGGGAATTTGTCATGCATTTATACGAGTGCGATACTTTTGCAGTTCATACGGGAGCCGCCGCCAGCGGAGGCAAGGAAGCACAAGGCCGGTTTCCAAGGACGCCTAAATTTGGAAAACGAGGTGACTCGTCGAAGAAGACCACCAGCGGTCCAGTAGATTCGGACGACGAGCAGAGCCCCGCCGCGAGTAGCTCAACGTTTGCCCGCGTTCCAGAGGACCCATCTTCTCCTTCTTCTTCGCCAAACAGGCCGATTGCAGAGCAGCGCAGATCGTCTCCCCAACGCCAAATAGAGCAGGTTGAGGAGTTTGAGTTTCCGACCCGCGGCCGAGGTGGAGGTGGTCTGTTCGGGTTCCTGCATGATAGAGGTCGCGTAGAAGCGACCCAGGATCCTACCCAAGCGACTGGCTCTGGGACACTTCATGGCGTTGGAGGAGGTGCTAGTAGCTCTTCGTCGGCCCTTCCTATAGCCGGTGTACAGGCGGAGCAAGAGCAACAGCGAGAAGAACAAGAACGCCCGCACGAGAACCAGGAGACGCAACGCCTGCTGGAACGAGTGCTGCAGAGCCAGGACGATTACAGAGAAAGCAATTTCCCTGGTTTCCTAGAAGCCGGTCGCGAAAGAAAACGAGAAATATTGAGACAATTCGAGTCACATCTATGAAAGCCTCAGGTTGGAAATCCTCAAAGTGAAAATAATTTGTAATGCAAAAAAACGACTCCAGTTGGAGCACCGTTTCTAGTCGGCGCATGACAAATTTTCCGGGCACTCAAAACGTGTCTGTCATGCTAGTTAGGCAAAGGGGTGCCCTTCTCTCATGCTAATCAGCAGCCTAATTCTGAACCCGTAGAAGCACAATAGTCGGCCTCCATTGCGTTCTCTGCAATACAGTCTTTTTGGTGCCGCATTTCATGCGTCACAAATTATTTCCACGTTGAGGATTTCCATTCTGAGGGTGTCATAACATCTCCGAGGCACTGGCATGCTCCGGAAGGTTTTACAAGCCCAGAGGAATAAGGAGGCGCATCAGCAGCGAGAGCAGCGAGAACGAGAAGTTAACTTGAGTGCAGCACGAACGAGAACTGACGAGCGAGTGCAACGAGAAATCGTGGAAAGACAAAGAGCAAAGCAGCGGAGGAGTCTGAGTGTGGGTGCGGAGCCTAGGTCTACTGCGCTGGGGCGAGGAGAGCACGAGGAAGAAGAACCCGCGGCCGAGGTCGTCGAATCTGATGCGGAAACGTATTGGAAATGAACTCTGTCGAGCGGACTGGCGTAATCTGGCAGGATGGAGCCAGTCGTGAACTCCGAAGTCGAGCGGTGTCTTCACGACCGAACGTTTTTATACAACAGAGAAAGCATGCATCATTCTTAAGCGAGCGACTTTTTTACGGCTGTAATATTGTCCACCGAGAAAGAACATATAACGCGAGAGCCAAAACTGTGCTCCCTTTCGGGGCAGATAGAGATTTTTACGATAACAGCGACACTAGCATGTGTTGCCTAGCAAAACAAGAGCGACCACCTTGTCACTGAACAGGTTTTGTCGGTGACGTACTTTTGATGACTTCATCTAGAGCTAGCATACCATTGAATACAAACGAGGAACGTGTAAAGCGTTAGCGCGACGCTTGTCGCTTCCACAAGAGGCGGACAAGGCGCAAACGGCTTTTGAGATAAAAAAATGCAATTGAGGATATGAGATGAGACTTGTAAACCAGAACTAGCTACAATTTGTATAATTTATCTTCTACGATTTTCATGCAGCAGCACGCGGCACTTCGCTCGTGTGTGATGCAACCACCGGCGGCATAAAGCACTTTTGCAGTAGCAGTGCCACCGTGTGTGTTTTCTTCTATTCATGTACTTTATGAAAAGAAGGACAGACGCTAATTTTTCGAACACAATTCAATGAGGCTACGTGGCCTCATCGGGCTTGAACTGGACACCGCAACGGTGCAGCTTTTGCAAAGACTTTGGGCAAGACTAGAAACAAGGCAACACCAACAGATTTGTTTCACTGAGGAAAGAAGTAGAAGGAGAAAAAGGAGCAGTAGAAAAAGCAGAAATCGAGGCTCTTCTACTGCACAGCACAACAATAGCAGATCGCGATTTTTCGTCAAAATCGCAACCGTGTTGCGTTGTTAGGAGGTCTTGCGGCGACGCTGCAAATTGAAAATTTTCTTGATCTCTACAGCACAAGAATGTCAAGATCGCGTGCTCGGCAACATGTTTACGTGAAATAAAGATGATGTCGTGCTGAGCGGCTAGAGTAAATTTGTGGAGCTAACACGCTCATCAAGAGCAGGATGGAGGATTGGGATACAACTTACTTACTGCTATATGTACCTCGATCATGTGCCTGGATCGAAATCAATTGGTGAACCGATTAGCTTGATTGTATGTTTGAATTGGTGGTAGAACATTGTACCAGCTGCAAAGACACGCAAGGAGCGACTTCTTTGAGCTACGATCTTCATCTTCAGTTCGATAATGTTGGTGGTCCCGGGAAAGAATAAAAATGTGAAATTTCACGGTGCAGTTGCCATCTTCGCAGCTGCTACAGATCATCGTCGATCTTTGGCGGATCATGAAATCGTCATCGTGATCGTGGTTGTAGTATGTGGAGTGATTACAGTGAGTTTGTTTCCCAAGTTACACAGAACAGGCTGACAGATATGTCACGAGGACCAGCATATGGTCCTATTATATGTTGCGTAGTGTCACCTTTAGGCTAACTGAAGCAAGTGTGTTTCTATATTGAAGTTTATCAAGAACACTGTGAAAGTCGTTTATCTAGTTCCTCGTTTACAGAAGTTATTTGATCTTCCTAGTACTGTAAGTGAATGAGAATGATAGAGTCCTTGTTCGAGTTAGGAGCTGTGAAGCTGTCGCACATGATATGTCCACCAGCTCCTCCGAAATATTCTTCTCCACGTCTTTAGAAATTTAGGATTACCCCGCAAGGAAAACACGTATTGGACGCACTATAGCTTCTAGCTTTACTACGTCTACAATTTACCCGCGTCGTAATGCCCACCTCCCAAGTGCTTGACATAGTCTCGATCTGGTCGTGTTGTGTCTTGTAAATCCAACCTTAAATGTCATATCATATTGTAGTTGAAGTACCTGAAGTTATATCACATCGACGCCTCGTGTAGGCGCGCGACCCGTTCTTCTATGAAAGGGAAATGCGACCACCTCTCCCACGGGATATGTTGTAAAACTAAAAGTACCACCACGTAATACCTAGGACGATAGTGCCTTGTCGGTTTTGCATATTACAAGATACAAACGACAGTATGTCGCGGTTCCCTCCAGCAAAAAGTATTCCAAAATGGCTTTACCTGTGCGCGGTTACAATACAGCGGTCTGTCTTCTCCGCGGCGCCAGCTGCTGCCCCAGGAGCCATTCCTCAGACACCCTTTTCGCCAAATCCCCGCACAGGAGGAGGAACGCGACGAGAGGACAGGGGAAAAGAAAAAGTCCAGTATCAATGTCGTGCCGCAGACCACGATTTTTCAGCTCTTTCTGGACAAATGGAAGCCATGTCAATCGGAGGAAACGGAAAGGCAAGAGGACCAGAGGCTGCACAACATCCTCTCATCGAGTCCTTGAGAAGCATGTCGCTTGGATCTGGTGGAAAGACAGAAGCGAAAACTGCTACGCCGAGTTATATTGCATCATCGATGATACAACCCAGCAGTTGTTGCACCAGTGTGCAACACGACGCTAAGCCGGCTTCTCCCTTCCCCTGGCCGACCGAGTACCACGATGGATGGTGATGAGCTTTTCAACATGTCCAGAGACGTGCTCGAATTGGTGCGCAACCTGATTTTACAAGAGACGCACGCCATTTTTTCCTGCGCGGCAGAAGGTCCTGGTTTTGTAGACAAGGCGTTGGCGTACGAGCGAACAATGCGGTCGGCGGTTTTGTCCAATTTGGAAAAAGTTAGCAGCCAGTCGTATCAGGGGAAGAGAAATATTAAGGGGATAGCACAGGAAAAGGACATGGATAGTATCAAGCGCCGAAAAGTTGCTGTGCTGTCAGCTGCAGAAGAAGGATATCAAACTCAACAACTCCTGGTGATCCGCGCCCGGTTGCTGGCCCTCCTTGTCTTCACCGACATCCGGCGGTTTATGTTTGAAACGGCAAAACATTGGTCAGACGAAACGCGGGAACAGTATCGCTGCCGAGAACCGTCGAAAGGACATTTGCTTGAGCTATTGCGGGAATTGACGAGGGAAGATGAAGCGATGACTAATCGTCCGGGGAATGCTAGCCGCGATACACCAAGGCCAATCATCAGCCAAATGTTGAATTTTCTCGCCGAGGAAGTGCGAGAGGTCGGGGAAAATCGAAACGCGAGCAACGGCGTGAAGCGGCTCGTAAGTGAGCAAGATGGTATTGATCACGTGCGGGCGGCAGCGTTGCGGGAGAAAGACAAAGAAGCTACAACATGTTATCCACCGTCTTCAAGTAGTTCTTCTGCTGCAACGACCGCGTCCACGGCGGCGTCTTCTAATTCCGGTGGGTCAACATCTGCTGGCTCAGGCTCAGCATCCGTTGCTTCTTCACACCCTTCTGCACGAGCAGATACGATCACCTATGACGACTACATGGAAAAAACGTTGGAATACACAACCCGACAGCTCGGTGTAGCTTTTCGAAAATTCGCCTCAACCCCGATGCGGTGCGCTTTAGCGGGCTTGCGCTACCCGCATGAACTCCATGAAACAACAGTTGCAGTGTCACCCGACCGAGCCTGGCTGTACCGGGTGCTTTGGGCGCTCACGCACTGCGCGCCAGCGAGAGTCGCGCAGGGGAAAACAGAGTATGACAAGCTGGTGCAGAAAACGGGTGGTCTGCCTTCGCCGGATGCGTACCGGTACGCCAAACTCGGGGCAGAAGTGGTGGACGACGAGGACGAGGACGATGATGATGCGCGTTTTCCTGACAAGGAGTTGAACAGATCCAAATCATTTTCAGCGTCATCCGGAGGAGCAAATAGAGCAATGACAGCATTCAATATCGCTGGTGGTCCAGCACTTGATGTTCCTCCCACAGAAATAACATCAAAAGAAGACCGCGCGAACATCAAGCACCACAACCACAAGCCACGTCTGAAGTTCAAAGTAGCTCCCCGATTTTGGACCTTTCAATCAGAACCGCTTCCGCACTTTCACAGCAGGCTGGTGTTCGAGCTAGCAAGGGCTGACGCGGTGAAGCAGGCAAAGCTGAAAATGGAGAGAAGTAGTAGAAGCTGCCAACCGGGGAGCTGCAAACGAGGTGGAGTAAAAGGGGGTCTTTCCGATAGTTCGCGAGCACGTACTTCTAAAAGAAGAAGCCACGACGGGCAAGACGAAGACGACGATGTAGAAAAAAACGAGCCATTCCTGGTCAACACCCTGAAAGACGCGGTGCGGGGGATAAAGCTGAGGCCCGCACAATCGTCGACGTTCGTGGGCCCGCTGTGGATTAACTCTGCACAGCGCCAGGGTGAATCTCAGGAGCCAGCACAGGTAGAAAAGTTTATCACTGCAGCCCTGCAGAACGACATTTCCTCTCGCCCCGAACAGGATCCGCGCCGCATGCAGCTGAAGAAAGCGCTGCAAAACATTCGGAACTTCTACGAGTCGGATTTTGGTGTGCCACGAGAATTTTTACAGCCAACAGGAGGCCAACGCGACGCGGAGCAAGCATCTGCTACTTCAGCTCCACAAAAAACGAAGAAAGAAAAAGACTTTGAGATCAACATGACTATCGACGCCAACTGCGTGAAAAAGCGGCTTGCCTGGTGGGATCGCTTACGCACGTTGGACGACGATTATAAGCGAGATCCCACCAGTGAAGATTCGTCGGGAAATGAGAAAGACAACCTGGAGCAGCGGTTTTTGCGAGCCAAATTTGAACAGGAACAGGGAATCAAGCGAGGCAAGCGCATGATCCAGGCGACCATTCGGCAACAGCAGGAAAATAATGGTGGTTCTCGCCGTCGACAGCGTCAGGTGGACGAGGACTTTTTATTGTCGCACCAGAGAACAACTACCACTGTGTTCGCCGCCGCGTTCTACCGAGACGACCGATCAGGCATTCGTGCGGTTTTGCTGCGAGCCTTGTTCCAGGTCGTAAAAGAGATACGCACCGGGATCACAGATAACATTGAGTGGGTCGGTATCCACTGCAAATCTGTCTGGGTCTGGAAGATGGGCGGGAAAGTTGTTTGTCATGCAAATTGTCCATGTTGGCCCGCGATGCCTGTGAGACGACCTGCTCCAGCTTCACAGCTTTCGCGAAGGCTTGCCCATGGTCATGCCTATCCTGCACGAGAAAAATAAAATGCCATCTCCGAGGGGCAAAAATCTGAGTGCTTTTGTTGCTCATGTTGCAGAAGTACAGGTTTTTTTATGATCGACAGTTGGAGGAATCACAAATCCCATAATTCTACTTTCCCGACCCAGACGTATGAGAAAAAGCAGCACTTGTATGCACATCCGAGAAAAGATTTCGAGACACAGAAGCGAATCGAAACAACAAGGATAGCATGCGTGAATGAATGAATGAATGACCCAGACGTATTTGCAATGCATAGGCGGCACGGAGCTACATAACGGAGCAGCACTTCGACGAAAAGTTTTTGCACAGATTGCCACACTATCAAATGTAAAAATGTCTGGGTCTGGAAGAATGCGCGATTTGTCATGCAGCTTTTCCATGGCCCATGAGCCCAGGAATGCGGGACCTAGCATGACAGATTCTGTGCAATCTCTCTCATGCCTATCCTGCATGACAAACTCCCTCCCGACTTGGTCAAAACTGGACGACTTTTGGTAATCATGCAACACAGATTTTTGCATGCTTCAGATTTAGCATGACAAGCTGCATTCTTCCAGACCCAGACATTTTTACATTTGATACACACGCTCGGACGCCACGACCAGCTTACTTCTACAGAGGGTCCATCTCATCACGGAGACTGAGTGGCGTGACGATGTTGATAAACTTCCTGGGGAACAAATCAATGCTGCGAGAAACGACCAGAGTCCTGTCACTGTTCATGAAGATGTTGTACTAGAAGTTGCTCAGGAAACTACATCAAATTCCTATTCCGACGTCGCGCAAAAGTACACGCAGGTCCCCGATGCGGACCTCTTGTTGAACCTTGAACTAGGCAACCTCCTCTCCGAGACAGCAGGCGGCTCTGCCCTTGGTCTTCCTATCAACTGTAAAAATGTCTGCGTCTGGAAACTTGTGATGCTGGGTGGCGTCTCATGATGAGGCCACAAGTGCTGGCTCAGCATGACAAGTTTCTGAGCTTCTAGGTGTTGCCTATTCTGCATGACAAACGGCGTTTCTGCATCACAGAAAAATGGAGGTCTTGGGTAGCGTGCATGACAGATTGAAGAGTCATGCCAGACAAGCATGACAAACATGAATTCTTCCAGACCCAGACACTTTTACATTTGATACGTCCACCCAGCCAGCTATTTTCTCGGAGAGATCATCTTCTTGCGGCGCGGGACGCCGCAGCACAGTCACTTCTGAGCCGCGCCTTTTTTCTGCCCGAGTTGATACCTGCGGTCGAGTTTCCCGGGGATACTCCTCCTGATCTGGTCCAGCAGCTACTGCCGACAAGCGCCGGCAGGATCCTTCACTGGTGGGTGCTGGATGTCTACAGTTCCCTAGCTGGCTTGGACGTGGTATCTCTGCACGCGGTCGATGTTCAGCCGAAGATGAAAAAGAAAACTGCCACTGGAGCTGGACAGCAAAGCACAACTCCACAGCGTCCTCGCGCTGGTGGCATGGCTGGTCGCGCCCCCACCTCTCATAGCAGCAGCTGCACCAGCTCCGAAGCCGAGGGGGAGGCCGAAATCGTAAGGCAGCCTGTGGTCTTCACGATCTACCATGCGGCAACCCAGATGCGAGAAGGCGAAGACAGACGGTCTATTCGGGCCAAATGGGCCAGGAACTTCTTCTCGGGAAAAGTTCCCAACGAGCTGCTGGAAGGTAGTACTTTATTTGGATGCACACCTAGTAGAGCTAGTGATCGATTTGGATGAAATGACGATCGCGGATCATGACCACAGTTGTAGTTTTTGATGTCTCATAACTAGCATTTTGGTTTATTTGTTTATTTTTTCAGAAGGCGCAGAAGCACCAGGACCTCCCCAACATTCTATCAACATCAAAAACACTAACGCGACAGCCCCTCGTTCCGATGCTTACATGAACGTCGCCCGACCCGACATGCCGGCCTATGTGAGAACTCCTGCTGCCTCCATGAACGTCGCCCGACCCGGCATGCCGGCCTATGTGAGAACTCCTGCTGCCTCCATGAACGTCGCCCGACCCGACATGCCGGCCTATGTCTCCATGAACGTCGCCCGACCCGGCATGCCGGCCTATGTGATCGGTAGTTCCTTTGCCATTGCCGCTGCTGGCAGTCAACGGGGAAGTAGACAACAGCCTCCTCCTCATGGACGACCCGATCATTCCGCCCCGGCTGGTCTCCCCTACGAACCGGCTCGGATAGAGGTTGACACGACGTCGACGCAAGCAGAGCAGGACCTAGAGCCTTCGGTGGAAATATTTGGAGTACGACAACTTTTAGTGGAACAGGAACAGCGACAGCCTCCTTCTCGACAGCCTCGTGCTACTAGCGCTCATGCTGAGCGACAAGAGCTGACACGAAGGTTGGCCGAGCTTCTCTCCGCGACGCCACGGCGTATTGTCGGACACTCTGGAAGACCTGCGACGCTCCGGCGTGTTGTCGGAGACAGAGATAGCAGAACAACTGGCGAAGACTACTGCAGCGGAGCAGGCACGAAGAGCAAGAGTTCTTGCTGGGGGCCGTCCATCTTCGTCTCTTGCTTCAGGTTCAGCGTCAGGAAGTGTTGCAGGAGGTGGCGCAGCTGGTGCTTCTGGAGCGACGACCCTCAGCACAGCGACTCGTGGTAAAGCAAGCGCGCTTGTTGTTCCTTCTGGTGGAGCCGACGTGTCAGGCTCAGGAGGCCGTAGTTCTTACAGTGGCCTTCAAACAGGAACAGGAACATCACCACCAGTACCACGAGGAATCCGATCCGCAGGAGCAGCAGCAGCCTCTTCGTCTTCACAGCCAGGTGCGCCAGCTCCATTCGGCGTCCACGGAAGTCGTGGCGCAAGAGGCCTCGCAAGATCCCAAAGAGCATTTGAAGGAGCCGACCCACTTGGGCCACCGAAGAAAGTTACCCCCGGTTCTGGTGCCGGAACCCAGTACGTCGCGGCAGAGCCGGAGGTCGTCAGAAGGGAGCTGGAAGCACGTGTGTGGTGGCAGAACCAACTCTTGCAACCCCTACTCCAGCTGCATGCCGCACCATCGCATGAATCCGAGTCGGAGCAAGCGCTGGGCCGCCTTCTGGCCGAACGAGAAAGTCTTCGCGCCCGGGGAGAAGCCACTACCATATCAACGCCTACAAGAGCGCGGCTAGCACTCCTCAGCGCGGAGGGTCTACTGCAGCAGCAATTTCGCCTGCAGGACCGAATGTTTCCGCTGTTACTGAAGCGCCCAGGTGCGGAAGACGTTCTGAAGAGAAACCTGCCGCGAACGCGTGCGGTTCAACATGCCGCCTTCCGTGCGGAGCGAGCAAGCGAGTCAGAAGCGGTCCGGCGCGTGCGGGCGCATTTGCAACGGGCGGTTGATCGGAGAAACGAAGTACACAGACAGGATATCCGCAACAGAACGCGAGTGGGGGAAGGAGTCCTAATGCAAAACCGAATTTTGCAAGAACTGTTGCGGGACGCAGAGGCAGAAGATGAACTCTTGCGTTCTTCCTCTCTAGCCCCGCCGGAGCAAGAGCTCCGTCGCTTGTGGGAAGAGCGCTGTCAGCTTGTCCACGAGAGGCGGGCCACCCCCGCGATTCTGAGGGACCCGGATGGCATCGGCGGTGAGGTAAGACCGCAGGACGTGCCTGTGGAAGACCTCGAGCACCAACGGGAGCTGCAGGACCGGATGTTGCCACTTTTGTTACAGAGACCGAACGCCGCGGAGGGGCTGCGGACGTATCTACAACGAGTTTTTGAGCGACGAAGAGTTCAAGAAGAACAACGCCGCGGAGATGAGCCGCGTGGAGGAGCAGACGCGGATATGGATGAAGCTCAGCTGCACATACTAGACCGAGCGCGACAGCATTTGGCTCAGGCGGAAGAAAAGCAGGCAGGCCGCTCGGAAGCAGGAGCAGTTGTCACGAGTGGTCCGCAGGCCTCTGAAATTGCAGCTGCGGCCTCTTCAAGTTCCTCATCCAGTGGCGCCGCAGGAGCTTTTCGAGGTGCCGCTCCTGGTCCACCTCATCGACCGCAAGGCCCTAACCAGCCGGGACAACTAGTGCCCTCGCCCAGGATAGACATAGACCCAAGAATTTTCCAAGGCTATGTGACCAGCCCAGAAGAGCAGCAAACTGCGATCCAGCTCCTGCAGCAGTGGATCGTGCGGCGGCCGAGGGTCGGTGCACCGGTCGTGGTGCACCGAGAAACAGCAGGAGGTCATGAGCGCGTAGTAGCACCACTATCGGCACCGATGTTGAACGAGCAACAACGACACCTGCAGGAGATGTTCGTCAGGTTGCTCGACCGGCAAGAGTGGACCCGTCCTTACATACTCCGCATCGCTGAAGGGTCCACCTCCGGTGATCGTCCCGAACCGGTCCTAGAAACGTGGTCCTTGAGCGACAACCCGAATGTTCGGTTCTTGGTCAGAGATTTTTACACGGTGACCGAGGGGAATGGACAGAGGCAGCGAGCTGTGGTGGTCACCGGTTTTCAGCCGGGCGAGCAGGCAACTCAGGAGGGAAGAAGAGACCGCAGCGGATTGGTGTTTTCGCCGGAATACGAACTAGACCACCTAACAGTGTTTGAAGCAGTGGCGCAAACTGGTGCTCTTCCTGGTAAGGTGGTTTGGCACAGCCTGGAAAGTTGTCCACCATCGGAAGCGGCACGGGAACTGCGTACCCAGCGTCAGCAAGCAGCAACTGCCGGAACTGCGTCCTCAGGAAGTGGGACTGAAAGTATTACCCATATTACACCACCATGAACAAGATCGGAAACATTTTCATTTTAGCACGAACGTCTTTTCAGCAACTACAACTTGAAGTGGAGAACATAGAAGACAAAATGCGTTGTACAATTTTTTGTGACGATGTTTATTTCAGGACCACGACCGCGGACCACGACATGCTGACTCAGCCGTAGTTTTATTGCCACGCTGATGTTATGAATGTGAATGGGCCACAGGCTTTCCATATACTAGTGATCACGATTGATGAAAAGCACTGACATATTTTTCTCAAAAACGCCATGAGTTTTTTCGACACAAGTTTGTTTGGTCAACGAACAAATGAGCCCGTGCCACTTCTACAACACTAAGTTCCGTTCATTAACGCGTCTCTGACGATGAAAAGCAAAAGTACAAATGTATAATAGCACAGCCGTCACACAGCGACCACCACAGCATGCACATTCAAGCGAGTAATTACTTATTGTTCATCGCAAGACGAGCACTACGTTATTTGACACAGATCGTAGTGGATCGACATGGATTTCGTGAAACACGAAAAAAATGGCGGTCACATGATTACGACCTCATGAAAGAATCTACGGAACTACAACTAGCCCAACTGTAGTACAAGGAACTCGCACATGAGCTTTACATGATTGATAGGACCTGCTTCGCCGGAAGAGATTGCACGTGAAAGATGATGAACATCAATATGCAACTTTTGGCCGCGGCCGGCTACGGTGGCCACCACTGAGAAGATTCGGGGGTACACTCCTCGACGGTCGACATGTTTGTTCGTCAAATTGAATCAAAAATGATGTTTGTACTTCACCGAAGAACGACGCAGCCACAGTCTGTCACAGATCCAGATCTTCGTCACGACCGCACTATTTGTATTGTATTTTTGTTTGACGAGCATGTTTCAAAAAAAATGAAATTCTCCTCGTGCGATCCCGATCTGCAACCAGTTGTACCTCGATCCGCAATAAACAAGATCACTAGAATATTAGCAGCTATCGAGACACACATGAGCGATCAGGCCTGAAATTTTGGATTTCAATTTTTTGCTTTTCCCCTTGCTAACAATGATATTTTTGCAGACAAAATGTCTGTGCCCGTGTGTGTGATCAAAAGTCAAAATGAATACCTCGCTAAAAAATCAGATCTGGTATTGGTGCATTCGATCCCGGTTGGTACTTGCTTGTATGCGATGTGAACGCTACTTTTTGTTTTTTTTTCTTCGAAAAACCTTTTCCTTTTTCTAATCATACCGCCAGAGTGCTTCTGATCCTTGGACTGGGATTTGCACAACAACATGTTGGATGAATTACAATAGACCGTGATTGTGTACGAACTAGTACTAGATGCTACCCGCTTATTTTCTTGTGTAAGTCTAACTCTAGCACCGCCTTGCAGCATTTATTTGTTGTGATGTCGATGCGTAATTGAACAATTTGTCGTCATACCGTTCTTCCTGAGTCGCAACACCTTGTTTGTGTTTCATGGTTGATAGATAATTATCTTCAGCCGTGCATAGAAGTTTACCCACATAATCCTGATAATTATCTTCAGTCGTCATTGCAGTTTTTGTTAGCAATAAACGGATTTGACAAGAAGAAATCAAAGATGTTGTCTCGGAAAACGAAAAACTCATTTGGCACCGCCTGTGCATGATCTTCTTGGTTTTCCATTTACCAAGATGCAACTACTACATGCCGAAAGAAGGGTGCCTTTAACTTTATTATTCACGACCACCCACCACCACCGCAAAAGAACCAGCACCATGAAAATGCTACCCAGCAGGGGGATTCTACTCACACTGTGGACTTTCTTGTCCCCAGGGGACCACCTTAGCGGGTCCGATTTATTTCCGCATAAATTCTTTTGCCACGGCAAAAAAGCTGCCTCCCCGGCGTCTCCCGCGCCGTCCTTTATCAGCGGACCAGCTTCGACGAGTCCTTATGCCGATGACGGTACCGGGAGCAGTTTCTATAGTCCTGTGCAGGAAGCACTCGACGGAGGACAGCATGATTTCGAAGTCCACAGGAGCAGGAGAGCAGGCTCCAGAAGGAGGAGTACCAGTACGAGTAGACAACGCTCCAGTGGCTCTGGTGGACGAGATGATGATATGACATCAAGAACGACTTCTAGACGGTCTAGCCGAGGCCGAGCTGCAGGATCAGCAGCTACTCGTGCTTCACGACATCAAACAAGAGGGTCTACTAGTACCTCACCCTCATCAGCACGGAGAGAATCATCAAGAAGTAGGTCCTCGCGACCAGTAAGACCATCACCATCCGGAGAAGTAGCAGCAATACAAGCTACACAGACTCCCACTCCGAAAAACAAAAGGGAAGAGAAGCTGGCTGCTTGGGCGAATCAGCTGCGGCACCGGCAGCTCTTGATCAATTCAGATGCAGAAGAAACCCTTGCTTCACCCGCCGGCAGCACCTACTGGATCCTGCAGGTCCTTAGTGACGTGGTCAATCTTGCGCTGCTGCTTACTAAATCAAAAACGGAAGCAGGGGCTACACGAACAAATCGCTTAGCCAACGGCACCGGCTTTGCCTTCACCCCGACACTTCGGGCCGCCGTTGAGCGAATTTTGGTTGCTTTTGATAGCCAAGCCGCAGAAGAGCAGGTGTACTTGAGCCTAGTATCAAACTCAGTATTGACGTCGCTTGGAAGCAAAATCGCAACTTACAGCGCTTGCGAGCTGGTCAAGTGCCCGCTGGCTGTGCTTGCGAGAAGTGGGGAGACGAATCCTGATCAAGAGCAAGCAGAGGATGCTGCACTTCTGGTGGAGCAGCAACAGCCGGAAGGTGAAGCACAAGTAGACGATCTTGCAGACCAGAGAACGCTGTACATACCGACACTTCTGCACATAGAACAAACACCACCTCCTGTTGCATCAAGCGGGGCGAACACTGCTTCTGGTTCTGCTGCAGCAGTAGAGCCCTTGTCTCCTTCCTCGCGCTTACACGCCGTGCTGTCGCCATCCTCTCGTCGGAGGACGACTAGACGTGGTACAGGTACTCGTTGCAGCAAACAAGAGGAACTTCTCCTGGGGGTATCGCCAGTTTATTCCGCTTCAGAAATGACCAGGCACCGGCCTGATCTGCCAGACCACGAGATCCCGCCTTCCTTAGACTTCGTCAGCGGTGGCAGCAGCAGCAGAATGACAGAAATATCAAATGTAAAAGTGTCTGGGTCTGGAAGATTGGAAGCCTTGTCGTGCATAATTTGCATGACCCATGACGCCTGTAATGCATGTCCTACCATCACAAATTTTTAGAACCCCTCCTGAAGCCTATCCCGCATGACAAATGCCCTTCCTGCGTAGCACAAACTGGGCGCCTCTTGCTGGTCATGCAATACAGATTTTTTTAGAATCCAAAGTTAGCATCACAAGTTGCATTCTTCCAGACCCAGACATTTTTACATTTGATAAGAAAGAACGCTGTCCAATTCCACCGGGGGCGCGTCCTCCTCTCTTTCAATCGCTGCAACAACCGCTGGTGCACCATCTTCTCACCCGCTCCCTGGAACGGCGAGAGTTTCGAGTGCGGGTAGCATTGTTGCGGAAAGTTCTTTTGGCGAAGCTGAGACTGCCAGTGAAGGGCTGGGAAGTGGTAGCTCTTCCCGGGCGAGATCTGTTTCCGATGGGAATGGTCAGACGTCGGGACGAGGGGCTGCGCGAACACCTGCTGATCCCTCAGCCTTACAAAGGGAACAGCCTCGTTCTGCTGATGAAGAGCCAACGATCACCACGTATACAGGTCGTACAGAAGGAGCGCATGAACTACATCAAGATACTGTTCTTGATGGCCACCAGCCACTGACAGTGACGCACCAACTTCAGACACCCTTACTACCTCCACTTCCGTCCGCCCACACTAGCCATGCCCAGCAACCACGTCCGCAGCGGCTCGATTCCCTAGACAGCGCGGGGCCAGCACTCAGCCCGAGCGCCACTTTCGGTTCCGCCCGAGGAGGGACCACTGCGACGTCTTCAGGCGGAGGAAGCGACGTTGCGTCCTCACTGCCGTCACCCTTCACAGGGGGCCACTACCACAGGGCCGGAAGCGGGGGACAAGGTTCTTTCGTGTATCCCAGCGAGGCGCAGCAGGAGCGAGACTTTTGGGAAGAAGACGATTTGTCGCAACCGCGTCTGGAATCTCTGATGCAGGATAGGACCACAGGTGGCTGGAGCCGGGCCTCCGCGACCCGGATGCTAGTTGACAACAAAGAGCTTTTAGAACGATACGCCTGCTACACCTGTGCTGTGAAGGAGAATTTTGATGAAAAAGTACTATGTGGTGTGCCGACAGGTGCAGATGAACAAGCAGGAGACCACCACCACACGCACACTCGCCTTCAAAAAAGAACCGGCGACAAGCACGAATTTTTGATTCGCTTACCGATTCGGGCTTGCGCCGCCAGATCAAAAGAACAGCCCCAAACGCGTACTCCTGCAGCTGGAACTGGACTTCCTGCTTCATCTACTTCTTCCCCGTACTACCACCAGGGCATGTGCAGCTATTTCGACGGAAAATGTAACCATCCCAGCATTGCAGAAGGCCCGGGCTGCCAGGATGACCTGGGGAAGGTCGAGTATACCGCGAAACGAGCGGAGCTCATGACCAAGATCGCTGATGCGAATTCAAATTCTACTTCTGGACGAAATACGGACTACGTGTTGGAACTGAAAACCAAAGCAGCAGCACCGGCTTCTTGTCTGCAAGTGGTGAAAACCCCTGTGGGCAGCGGCGGCGCTCATTTGCAGCAGCAAAAACTCTCCGACGACCAGAAATACCTCGCCACTTTCGCGTGGCTCGCGGGATACAGCATTTTGGTCACGCACAGCAGCGGCACAGGGGCCGAGGAAGGTCAAATAACTACACAGCCGGGATCAGGATCAACACAAGCTCAAGCTGCAGAAGAACAAAGGCACGCGATCTCCCACCGCCCTGACAGTCCGGCATTGCTGCAAAACCAGGAAAGAACAGAAGTGGAAGAAGCGCTTCAACAAAAAGCCAAGTCGCTCAAGAAGGTTATCGACAGCAAATTTAAACACATGAACGAGGAAGATGGAAAGCTTCTGACAGAGCAACAGCAGAGGAGAGCAGGAGGACAAACACCCACCATTTCCAAAATTGAGGAGCAGTTTGCACAAATGGCAGTATCTTCAAAAGAGCGTGGTCGGGACGGCCCTCTCGTCGAAGTAGAAGATGATTTGTCCCAAATCGCTCCAGAAGTGGTTTTCGAAATCAAGGCGATTCTTCTGCGAGAAGTAGGGCACGAGACTCCCATGCCGAACATCACAGTTGTCGGGGGGCCTGCAGATGTTGCACCAGATCATCCTTCTCCGCAAGTGCTGAGAACTGCAAGTGCAACTGAAACCCAGAAAAATGCCATTCCCTTTTTGGAACAAAAGTTTTCTTCTCTGTCGCTCGTCGCGGGTGGGTCGAAGAGGCAAATTGAAAAGCATTTGAACCAAGTTGAAGAGTTTTGGGTGAAACTGCGGGACAACTTTGTGTTGAAAGATATAATTCCAACGAGACCCCCTGCGCCGACGTCTTCTCCAGCAGCCGAAGCGACATTTTTCGCCAATGTGAAGAGAACGCGACTTTTAGCCTTGCTTTCCTTACTCCGGGTATTGCGCTGGACCTGGCCGGAGTGTGGTTCCCCTTCGGTGACAGTCCTGACTGAGACTGCCGGTCCGGAGCAAAGAGACAGACAAAAACTGGCAAAGGACCTGTATCTGTTTTTTGTCCGAGAACAAGCAGGAGAAGGGTCTTCGCGGTTGTCACGGTTGATGTCCTCTAAAAGCGGTGCTGGTACGGGTAGTGTTGCAGGAGCAGCAGGCGCCGGCAGCGCCGAGCAAGTAGACCAGCATCCTCAAGTAGACCGCCACCGCACCCTGCTACAGCAAGCGGAACATCAGCTTCTCTTTCCCCGTTATGGATGTGTCAGGTTTGAAATCGACAAAGTTGAAATAACTTGTAATGCATAAAATCGATACCAGTTGGAAGCCCAATTTCGAAGCGGTGCATGACAAATTTCGGCACCGTGTAAATCCAGTTTGTCATGCTGTTCAGGGACAGAAGGCGTCTTTTGTCATGCTGCTTTAGCATCTCTGTCGCAGACCCCAAACAGGCTGACAGTCGGCTTCACCTGCCATCCCTGCAAGAGAGGCACTTTGTGCCTTGCATTTTATGCATGAGAAATTATTTCAACTTTGACGATTTCAATCCTGACATATCCATACCCGTGTGCCGAAACTCCTACCGGAAACCAGCAGTATGTTCGAGTTAGAACACGAAACCTCCTTGCAGATGCGTTGCGTCGTTGCTGGTTTGCGGTACGAGCAAGAAGCTTCCGACCACGAGCGCGGTTTTTCTTCAGAAGATGAACAAAAGCTCGCTGGTTACTGGAACCGGGTATCCTGGGTGCTAAACTACTGTATCGAGAACGAAATTCAATATGTGCGATTAGGAGCAAAATGGGCGTCGAGCAAAGATGTTGCTGGTGCTTCCGGTTCTTCTGCTGCACCCGTGTATACACCAACTACACCGGCTGATGCTCCTGCGTATTCATCAGGTCTTTCTTTTCCTGATAGTAGAAGTAGTGGTCTCGCGGCAGCCGACAATATCATGCGGGTGGATCAACATCAAGATCAACAGATCCTGCCAAGAAGTCCAAAGTCGCCGAGCCGCTTGCAAGAAGGTGCCTACACCACGGAAAGGGAGTTCTTTGTCACCCGGAAATTCCGCGTTTTCGCCGATGAGGAGACGACCAACTTACAAGCACGGGCACTTTTCGAACTTTCCCGCGCGGCGGTCATACGAAACGGCTCAAATAATGGTAAGACAACGCAAAAAGCGGACGATTTGGGGAAGAAGGCAGACACTTTTGTCATCCGGAAATTAAAACCCAGGACAACCGCCGACGCCATCCGGGAAACGCAGTGGAAAACGCGGCGCATTCCCTTCGGAGGACAGCGCCACCTGTCGCACGGCACCCCTACAAGATTGTGGCCCGCCGTCAGGGATATTTGTAAACATGCGGATCCGGAAAAAAAACAAGAGTTGAAGCAGTTTTTCCATCCGGAAAGGTCGAGTAGTGTGCAACAGAATATCGCTAGTACGGCGAATTTGCTATCGCTAAGCTACGGCTTGGACCTTTTTTTCACCGACGATACGAGTAGCGATTTTCTGAAGGAGTTACAGCTTCCGGTTTTTTCGTTTTCCCAGGATGGGGAAGACCTGCGAAAGTGGCTGTTTTCCTCCAGCAAGGGATCTAGCGGGGACAAAGGAAAAACTGGCAGTCGTGGCAGGAGTAACTCCGTCTTGCGCGGCGCACTTCGCAAGAGGAAGCGAGAGGGATTTCAGGGTGGGCCGCGAGATGGCAGCAGACGAGAACGCCAAAGCGATCCTGCGGGAGCACAACCACGATCCCCTGCTGAGCAGGACACAAGTAGTAAAGATGCTAAAGGAACCTCGCCGGAAGAAGCTGCAGCACTTCAACATCCTGACGAAGAAGCCGAGTCTCTCCGGCTGAGAGAAGAGCTCAACGCTGCACTCGTCCGGGCAGTTTCTGCGCTGAGTGCGGAAGTGGACCGGATTAAAAACGAGGAAGAGAAAAATGCGAAGAGAAAAGCCCTGCAGAGCTTTTTGCTTCAGGGATTGGAAGACATTTCTCGAACGAGTTGGCGGATGGAAGTCGATGTAGCCCCCGCTGAGGACGAGGGATATAATACGACCGCAAGGAGGACTGCATCTGCAATGCCTTCTACTGTAACTACACATGCTGAAGCACAATTACAGCAGCAGCACCAGCAGCTGGGCATGCAACCGTCCTCCGAGGTTGCTGCTGGTGTTGCAGCAACAAATCAGCAAATGCTGCAGATCCTCGGAGACCACCCAGTAGCAAGCGCAAGCCAAGAACGGCACCAGCCTTTACTGGAACAACGACAACGAGAAGATGAACGAGAGGAGCGAGGACCAGCTCAGCCAAATGTCACTTGTCCCCGCCGACTCGCACAGCGAGCCGCAGGAACTGCCCAGCAGTGCGTCGGAACTGCCCGACAGTGCGTCAGAACTGCCCGACAGTGCGTTGGCCGATATTATCCCCGCCGACGCTGTCGTCGTCGAAGAACCTCTACTACACCGGACGCGAGACAAGTTCGCCGTTCAAGTACCTGGCCCCCGGTCGCGGGGCCGCGGGCGGCGCAACATGGTCAAGAATTGGTCAACACAGCCTTATCCCAGCTAGCGGAAGTTGTCACAGAGGCCTCTTCCTACCAGCAAATCGTTGCCAACGGGCTGCAAATCTACACGCAGCTCGCGGGGTATGATGTGGCTGGACTGGAAAATTGGCAAGAGGGAAGCTGGAAAAGCTGGAAAAACCCCTCCGGTCGTGCACGAAGGCCACTTGGACCCCGTGCTCGGTCTGCTTCTACTGGACGTGTTCCACCGCGTGGATCTTCCTCACAGCGGGGTTCAAGAAGTCCCGGAAGAGACGAGCTGCAACCGCGAATAACCCGGCGCACGAGCAGCTCGCACTCTCCATCTGCACTGCGAACTGTCCCAACTACGCCACACACAAAGTCGCCCCTCGGCGTACTTGGGCAACAATTGGCAGTACAGCACCAGGCCCGGGTCGAGCGCGGAATCAGCACAGCGACTGTAAGCAGTATTGGAGGCGGGGCCCTGACACCTCGTGCTGGAGGGGAGCAGACCACACCGAGAGTAGTGGAAGAGGGACGTTTTTGTTTTTCGATGCCAGGGCTCCTACACGACCAAGCAGTGGCAACATCCACACAAGAACTCGGAACAAGTAGTGAAGATCAAGATCAGCAGCTCCACCAACCTCAGCCCAAAAAAGCGGTGCGTCAGTCGTCGGTCCTCGAACCACTCCCCCTTCCTGTCCGCAGTAGTTATACGCCGCCGGCGTCAAGAGCAACGTCAGAAGCGGAGTTCCGCACACCTGAACACGGAAACACTCCGCCTCCAGAGCTGCAGGAGGACATCAACGATCATCCTGCTCGCCCTCCATCGTTGCTGAGTCCAAGAACAATTCGCCGAACCCCGTCCGCAGACTCAAGCTCGAGGTTCTCGACAAGTGGAGGCCTTTCCGGAACAGAACTAGAAACTCCTGCGAGCGTGCGGCGTGAGAGGCTCGATACCGTCGCTCCACTCCGTCAGTTTCCTCCCGCCCACGGCCCTCCTCCTGTGGACTCATGGGGAAGTAGTAGCTCGGGTAGTAGTTCTGCTGCTGGGTTTATTACCCAGGGGTGCAGAATCGATTTCCTCGACAGCGACACCTTTTCCCTTGCAGACACCATGATTCCACCCGACCCCGAGTCCCTGTCGCGCAACACGTCACTGGAGGGAGGCGTCCCGTCGCGACTACCTAGTGCAACTTTGTCAGCGCCGAGAGATTCTCCACAGTCCCTCTGGGGAAGTCCAGGCTTTTCTTTTCCAACTCATAGTGGCGAAACAAGGGCCGACAGCGACTCGCCGACCGCGAGAACTCCTTCCATACCGGAAGTAGAACCGCGAGCAGGAGCAGGCTCTTCGCTGCGAAAGGCGACGATGTCCTGGTTCGAGAAAAAGCTGCAGGAAGCGGCTGGCTTAGTCGGCGGAGCTTGGTCGACGTCGAATGCGCCGAGCACCGATGTTGAGGGTATGAATTATGGTACTGGAAGCTGGCGAAGTATGGCTAGTGCCAGTACGGCGGCTGGCGCTGGCGGCTCCAGCTTCTCCGATGCAGAAGACCATCAACATGGGTGGTCCTTTTCTTCCTCACGTGGGGGACGAGGTCCTGCGATACTAGCGCCACCATCTCCCACGGATTCGTCCTTTCGAGTCCTGCCAGATTCCAACTCACCGGCAGGTGGAAGCAGCCCGCCCGCGGGCGGGGGATCGTTTGACCTGTCGTCTGTTGTGCAGCCGCCGGCGAGCAAAAGCAAGGGCAAAACGAAAAGCAGAAATAGAACCAGAAGTGGATCACCCGCCTCGTCTTCTCCCTCTGCCGCTCATCTCGACAGGCGGTTACTAGGCACCTCCGCTCCGCCCGCACCACCGCAATCTCCGAGACAAGAACCTGCATCTGGAAGTACGGACCCATCAAGCCCACATTCCGACTCAGTCCCCGATGCGAGAGCAAGAAGCACTCCGGTGGAAGACGAACATCACAGTGGAGCAGCCTCGTCTGGAGGGGTTACTTATTATAGGAGAAGAGCCGTCGAGATTTCAATTTCCTACCACGGCAGGAAGTGTTGATTTTCACCAACGGAGATCTGGATCACCCACAACCTAGACGGAGGACTAAGACTAATATGTCGTGTGTGATGGTAGTACATGAAAAATGCGTCGTGTGTACATGATTGATGTGAAGATATTAGATGCAGTTGTTGTAGTGAGCACGTGCGACAAGTTCAAGTGACCTGATTTTCTGTAGAATAGTGAATGACAAGGAGTTGTATTCATGATGACGAGCAGGCTTCACTGTAACTGTAACTGTTTGAAAATTTGTGATGTTGATGAGAGACACACACGTGCACGTCGAAAAGACCACTACACAACGACCAAGACACAACATACGAGGTGTGCACAGTAAAACTGAACAGACGACAGCACTTTATTTATAGATACAAAGTTCTACAAGCAAGAGCAACACGAAAGGCCATGCATAAAAACGACACTCTAGCTGTACAATGATTTCAATGAATTCAAGCACGTGGCTGCGGCTCACCCTCGAGTCACTTTTCACTAGCGGATAAGATTATATATTATTTTGTCTATTGGAAAGTGCACCGGAGCGTCAAAAACATGTTGGCTTTCGAATGGTTTTAGACAGTAGCATAAGATGTTGGATGTCGAGAAGAATCAAAGGAACCAAAAATCGAGTGCGTGTGCGATTCGGCATCGGAAAAATGTCGGCATCGACAAGATTTATAAGATTTGACTGGTTTGGGCACAGGCTGCAACTTCATCTCCGTTGCCGCATACTGTTCTTTGCGAGCCAACGCTTTTGGTCGTGTTCCCTCCGTTGCGAAACGATCGACGATACGACGGTGGATGGCGTCGTAGATCCGCTTTTACTCTGGTGTTTCACCCTTGTTCTGGGCTGACATTGAGGAACAAACTCAAACGCTATTCGGAAGATTCGAGTTCTGCAGTCAAGATCCCGCCCTAGTGGTAGAACACATCCCTGATGCCGGATCTGAGACCACACAGCAAGCGTGCCGAAGATCATTCTAACGACGAAGCGCCACCAAGGCGAGATCCAGACTGACAAGTACAACTAGAAATAAACTGTTACCGCGTAAACGACTAATGCAGAGAACACGCAACAAAACAAACCTCCATTAGGATCATTTTCAACGTAAGTTGTACATCAAAACCACCTTCAGGCGGCATACATTATTTGATGAAGAAACTATATGTCGATGGATTTAATAGGTCGTGAGCGTTCGCGTGTCTTTTTTGAATTTACACAACACTCAATATTGTGCCGCTTTTGATGCCTGTAAAAACGAAAATAAAATCCTACCTACTTGTTTGCTTTCTGCGAAACCATTTATTTTTTTGAGAACAAACGCTAACGCACGCCGGCGCTTCCATTGTCTATATATCAATCAGTACCTCTCAACGTCCGGAGAATGAAAATGCCGTCGGCTATCACGACCACTAGATCAGCAGTGACTGATCGAGACGACACGCAGCAACGTTGCACCGCCGTCTTGAACAAAGCGCGAAAACGACATCAAAACTACGCAAAAATGCGACAGAGCAATCGCCGGCCAGCGTCTCTTCCTCTTGTTATGGCCGCAGCAGGAGCACTGTCGTCCCTACCTGTTTTGATGTTCCCAAGCGCAAGCGCAATATCGCTACGACCGCTGAAGCCGGTGCTTCAGCAACAGCTTCAGACTGACAAGATCAAGAGTGCTACAAACACGATCCCTGCTGTTGATGCTGTTGAAAATGACGAGTCGCACTTGTTTGAGGATTGCCTGGACGAAGATGTTGATGCCAGAGCAGCATGCGCTAGTACTCCTGCTCGAGAGAAAAACAACGACCTTGATGTGAGCAGCCCCTCCAGCCCGGTCTCCAGTCAACAGTCGGACGAAATGCCGACAGACACCGAAGACCAGCAAAACGACGGTCATGCTATGAACGACTACCTCCTTCGTCGAAGAGATTCCAAGACCTCCATCGGAGGTAGCTCAACAGCCACTACTGGGACGACGCTTGGCGGCGGTGTTTTCAGCATGTTGAAACGTGTTGTTGCGCAAGACATCAACACGGATGCCACGACGAGAACGAGATCGTTTGGCGGAACGAAAGGCAGTGATGCGATGTCTGATTCTACTTCCGAAGACGAGGGCATTAACCAATCGTCTCCGTCGTTCAGCAACAGCACGCACGAAGGAGAGGGTGGTGCACGTCTTCAAGACTTCGCTGGCGAGGACTCCGAGGACGAGGAGGACCTCTTCTTCGACGGTGCATATATCAAACAACTTGAAGAACAGAAGCAAGAGCAGCTCCGACGCGACCGGGAAGTAGATCCAGACCAGCTGGAATCCTTCGATGGGTTGTTTTTGCAACAGCATGAAAAACAAGTACGGGAACAACGAGTAGAGAGGTTGCAACAGTGGTTGGAGGATTGCAGAACACGAGTTGGTGTGGCCGGAGCAAGAGACAGGGACGAAGAGGGTAGTAGCACCAATAGCACATCCACGAGAAGCAGCACCTCACCCTCCGCCGAGGACCCGCGGCACGTTGACGATGGCTGCTCCAGCAGCGCTTTTCAAAATGGTTTGTCCAAAAAAGATCACTCTTTTCTCGAGTGGTACTTCCACCACGGCGGGAGTTATCACAGGAAAAAGTGCTAACGTTTACGGAATTTGATATGCGGCAATGCATCACAATCACAAAACGTGCCCAAATTTGTCATGCATAGCATGCATACTAGGCTGAATTTGTGAAGCATGGATGCATTCTGTGAAAACCGTAAACGTTAAAACTTTTCTTTGTGATAGAAGTGACAGCGAAATGATGCAAACCATCTTTGAACAGCAAAGAGAAACGGCCCGCGAAGACTGGCAAAGATCATTGGCGAGGAAGCAACTTTTGAACAGGAAACGGCTTGTGAAGTGGTGCGCGGGGCTCGGCGTGTTGGCGGCTTCGTGCGGTGCGATACAGAGCGTCGTAGGTGGGTGTTCTCCGCAATAGGAGCGGTTGCGGGGAATGGAGCATCTCCCTGTCTAATATTACGATGAAATAAATCTCTACTAACTGTATACAAATATTTTTTCTGGATTTGTTTCGACACATGATGTTCCACCCGCTTGCAATATGTTCAACGAGAATTATATATCCCTTGTGGTCATATTGTCTTTTCGTGTGACTGGTGCGGGACAAAGGAATACAACCAATATTGCAAATCTTAATCTCCGAGTTGTATTGTCCGTGCAAAAAGAATACAGCCTGATGAAGTTTCTTTGCGAATGCAATTTTTCCATGATTTCCATGAATATTGCGTCGTTTCGCGGCCACGAGACCAGCAGGCAACATTGCATTTGGTGTTTTCTAACTTGTTCTCGATATCGACAATTTTCATGATTTTTTTTTTGACAACTTTCGAGCTTTTATTTTGCTGATTTTTTTGGAGACGATAGACAACACCTAAATGCCCACCTAGTAGCTTTATTAGCCCAGCAAAGGAGCAAAGAACATCTGTGATCCCGATCAAACGGCAGCCTTTTCCTTTTGTTGTTTGAACACAGCGACTTCGATATGTTGTATGATTATCGAATAGAAGCCGCGGCCAGCACAGTTGTACACAGCCTCAGCCTATTTTTCACTTTCGCACTCCACATGATGAAGTAAAATCTTTGTAAAATGTCCGTGTTTCGCATTCGCTCGTAAGAAGCTAACATACGCCAGTAGAACGATGTAGAATTACACACCACAAAGGAAAACTAAAAAACACACGAGAACTTCGCAAACAGCCACTGTCACTGATCTTCAAAATGTAGAATCAACAGGGGCATCAGGCTTTTTACAAGCAGCGCCGCACAATATACTGATTTCGTTAACGAAAAAATAGCGTCTAAGAAAACGACCTTTGGCTCGTCCATACATTCCGCTTGTGAAGACCGCAGTGCGCAGGCATTGTTCTCGTTTCCGCATGCTCAACGTTTTTCCGCGTGGTCCGCGTTTAGCTCTGCGCTTCCGACGAGGACTCAGCAGCCGTACAACTTCCCTCGTCTGCGCCTCGTGTCGGAACAAAATGATAAAGCCTTTCGCTACGGTGGCGTATCCGCAGGCTGCAAGAAAGGTCGGTTTTCAAGAACAAAGCAGGAGCGCATCTTCTTCGTCTTCCGCTTCAAGTGCTGCTGGAACTTGTAGGTTGTTCCCACCACCATCTTCTTCTGAAGATCCATCAAAACATCAAAAACCAAAAACCATTGCCGATCTTGTTGCCATCGCCAAGGCGAGACGGAATAAGGAAAGCAGCGACCAAGTTGCAGAACTGTCTCCCTTCGAGGAAGTTGTGACTGCGCCGCAGAAGAAAACAAAGACCACTTCTGGGTCGGTAGAAACAGCAGCAACTACTACTACGTCTCCCGTCGAGCCAGTAGCTTCCCCGTCGAATATCACCAGTTCCACGCAAGAGGGCGACGCAGGTCGAGCTGCGTCAGAACAGGCACCTGCCAAGCCAACGACCCGTCGTCGCGCCGGCGTCGCTTGTTTGCTACGGAGAGGGAAAGAAGAACATCAAGATCATGCTGGACAAGCCCGCAGTACCGAAGCTAGTGAAACAGAAACAGGTACAACAGTATCCACAGTAAATTTCTTGTACACGTACAGATGCGGTCTCTGCATGACAAAACTTGGCTTCGACCGTAGTTTAGCATGACAAGTTTTACACTCCAAATTGGTGAAATTTGTGATGCATGTTGTACATGTACGGGAAATTTGTATTGCATAAACAGCATTATCAAGAAACTACGAGGTCTTTCTTATACTCCGACAACAGTTGAGAAACGACCCGTGGTCCGGGCAGGTCGCCTTTCCCGGCGGCAAGTCGGAGAAGGATGAAAGTTTGCTTAACCTGTGCAAAAGCATCGTACTCGTAGCAATTCCAATTGCATTTATGCATTACATACAAATCAAAATCTCTTTCTTAAGCTGTATCCGCATGACAAATTCCATTTGGCATGCTGAGCTAATTTGTAATGCAATACTACGAGTGCAATACTATACTTTTGCAATTCATATTGCTGGAAACCTGCCTTCGCGAAGTGAAAGAAGAAGTGGGCATCGACTTGGAAAAAAACAAATCCGCCCACTTCGTCTGCGCTTTAGATCCTATTTCCGTCGCGAAATCCCTCGACGTGTGGTGTCTCGTGTTTGAGATCGCGGAAGAGGAAAATCATGACAAAAAAACACAGAAGATGAGCAAGAAAATCAAACTGCAGCAGTCCGAAGTCCAGGCGGCCGGGTGGTTCGACTTGATCAAAAACGGAAAGCCCGCAACCCTCCGCACCGACCTCCGCGAGCACAAAACCTTCACGAAACTTGCGGAATCCAGCTACGGGTTTGTCTCCCCCGAGTTGCTGCATAGAGTAACGTATCCTGTGCAAAAGTATTGTACTCGTATTGTAATCATGCATTACAAATTTTCTTCTCGATGTAAATCCGCATTACAAATTTAATTTCTCATGCTGAGGGAATTTGTAATGCTTTTATACGAGTGCGATACTTTCGCACAGGATATAATTGAGTTATTCGGCCTTCACGAAGCGGCGTTCTCCGGCCAAGTCTGCTTACCGACGGAACTGTATGCGATAGAGCGATCGGGGTCGAAAGCGAAAACGGAGACGGCAGATTTTGCGACAGTGGAAGAGGAATTCAAGTTAAGTTGGAAAACGCAAGAATACCCGGTGAACGTCTCCGGCTGGAACCCGGGGAAGGTCAAGGGAATGCTGCGAAACGCGATCAAGAATTTAACGAATTTCACCGCTGTCACGGGAGTTTGCGGAGACAGGGATTTGATCCAACTGCAGCTTTTGGAGAAAAATCCGTTTTTATTGTGGGGTTTGACGCAACAACTGCTCGACATGGTGATAAGTAGGACGAACTTACCGAAACCAATGAAGCCGGAGACGAAATTTTTCGGAAAAAAATACGCGAAACGGTTCGGCAGTTCCTACCACGATATTCTCTTCGGACTGACCATGCAGAAACACCTGCAGAAAGACCGACACTGGCTGGACTTGTGGCAAAGGTACTTTCAGTTTCACGTCGCGGTTCTGTGTTGTGGAGCGGTGGGGGTCGGCGGTGTGGGGTTGGGCGTATTTTGGAAGTGGTATTTTGGTGGATCTGGGAAGACGAGAAGTAGACCTGGAACTGAAACTGATTTAGCGCCACCGGAGGCCAGACTGTAGGGAGGAACTCAGTGTCAGTTGTACTTCAAATTGATTTAACGCACTGCACAGTTCTATCGAAATACTTAAATTCGAGCCACTTCATCCCAGAACACACTGGTGATCGCGGACATCTGAGATTATTCACATTGTTGTTTCTCCGTGGTCCACCTGTTGTTTTCTTTCCTTTCGTGAATTGAGTGTCAGCACGCAGCTACTTGCCTGCTTGGTGGAGGGGACGTCGAGAGCGCTTTTTTTCTAAACGCTCTAGTGCAGGAAGGATTTTTGCGCTTTTTTTTGTTTTTGTTCAGAGAGCAGAAGGGCGCGGGGAAAAAACATGTGGGCAGTAGCTGGGAATTATGGGCATGGGAGTATTAACATATTGCACTGATGCACTTTTTTTTGAACGCCACACGAAAGTGTGGTGTCCTCTACGTTTCCATACATCGATGGAGATTTTGTCGTAAGACGAGCGACTAGGTAGAAGTAGCTAGTAAACGCGGGCTAGATGCTGTAGACCACGCACGGAGAATTTTCCACTTGCGGTCCGCATTTGTTCGACTTCACTTGTTCTGGTCTACTTGCCGATTTATTTACGTTTAGATCGCGATCACCTACCAGGATGAATGTCATGTCGCCGCCTCTGCTAGAGAAAAATCTTCCCATGGAGCAGCAGCACCAGCAGTCGGTGCCACTGCTCGATGATCACAATCTAGAGCACCACCGCTCGGCCTCCGGTATGGCAACTAACAACAATCACCACTCCGCGTCCATCGCCGTTGCGAACGGGTCCTCGCAACTCCTCCAATTCGCCACTGCGGTCTTTGAAGACATCGATTCCGCGTCGAAATTTGGCTGCAAGGCGATTTTCGAGTCGTTGCAGCCACTTGGGATAGACACGGTGGAACTCTTCTCCGTTTACCCCATCTCCCGAGAGCAAATCGGCTACGAAAATGTTTTTCTCGGCGAGAAGATGTCGATAGTCAACGACGAGATGCAGCTGACGGACTGGGAAATCACGCTGTTGGAATCCATCTACGCTTCGGAGTTGGAAGAAGTTGTCGCTGCCCCGAAAGAGCGGAAAACCATCATCAGAGCGGGCGAGCTGAAGAGCAGTGGAAGTTTGAAGCTTTTTGACGCAGCAGGAGCAAATAAAGATCGAACGAAAGACACAATTACAACTGCGGATTACACAACAGCCCCCACTTCCAACAAACGGTCTTCCCCACTGGATTCCCCCCACGATTCCGTATCGATTGAGGCGGATAATGACAGCAAGGTGGAGTTCGACCAGAACGACTACTATTTGGAATCCGCTCTCCACCGGAAGGAGATGGTGGAGGTGAAGAATCAGAAAACATATCTCTACACGGTGTACGTTCCGATTCTCTGCCAGGGCAGCGTTTATGACAGTGCACAACTACCCCTCCCTCTCATTTGTAAGTATTGCATGGACAGCACTACAAACACCGCCACACGTGGAGCCTGTGCATGACAAATCCATGCGCCTAGTGTAGTACTGTTTGGGCTTCCGGAATCTGTGATGCAAACAGTGCCACAGGGAAGCACTTGGATTCGGGGTTTTGCATGACAAATGAGGGGCAGGGATAGTTGTGCACTCTCATAGCGTTGGTGGGTTGTTCATTATCAAGACCTTGAAGAAAGTTTTGCCGGAGTTCACGGCGAGTGCGACTGTGGTTCCGGATGTTCCAGCAGCTCTTGCGGTATCAAATGTAAAAATGTCTGGGTCTGCAAGAGTCATGCTGTTTCTGCATGACGCAGAAGGTCTGGCATGGAAGCCCTAGCATCACAGGTTTCGAGAAGCTTCCGCAATGCCGAACCCGCATGACAAATCCCCCATTTTGGTGACAGAAAGTGGGCAGCTTTTGCCACCTATACATGAGAGATTTTTTCGTGTTCTGAAATGCGCATCACAGGTAACATCCTTCCAGACCCAGACATTTGTTCACTTGATATGCGGGCGGGGGAGCTGCTGCACATCCGGCTTCCGTAACGAATTCGAAACAACTCGGTTCGCGTGTGAGCCAGAACGAATCAGTCAATTCGGGTTCTTATCCTGTGCAAAAGTATCGTATTCGTATGAGTGCAATTCTTGCATTGCAAATCTTTATCTTAAGGGAAATCCGCATTCCAAATTTTCTTTTTCATGCTGAGGAAATTTGTATATGCATTTATACGAGTACGATACTTTTGCAGTTCATAGCTCTAGCTCGTCCAACACCGCCGGGGCAGCCTCGTCGTCCGCGGTGACAACCAACTCGGGAACGGCAATGATGAAGCCAGGATCAACATCTACTCCTGCAGCTAACAACAAGGAACCGCGGCCAAACTCTTCCGGCGGGGTAACAACAAGTTCTGTCGCAGCTGCTGCGCTAGAACAGCCGGTGATGCGGTACGTCCCGGGACAGTCGTCTTCTTATGGCGTTCTCAAACGTTACACTCTCAACTGTTACATGAGTTTGTCACGCAAAAGTACCTTGAGCCGGCAGATAATCGAGCTGCTTCGCATGACAAATATCGGAAGGGATAGACAGCATCTAAATCTGCGCCAAACTTGTAATGCAAAAGTTGCAATCTTCCTCGTTTCACTTTTGCCAGTCTTGCATTGCAAATTCATGTAACACTTGAGAATGTAACATTTGAGAACTCCATACTTCTACGAGCAAGCTTGCGTTTCAGGCGGAATCTGGCACCGCACACCAACCTGGAGCTGGCACTAGTTCTACAACGAGTCAGCAAGACCACGGGCGGAAGATGAATCTTCAAGCTGTTGACGGCCACACGAGCAGCAGTAATAATGCTACCGACTTTGTCCCAGTGCGCAGTAAGCGGGCGTCCCTGACCGCTCCAAGTCCTATAGTAGCGTCGGCACTTTTCTGCGACTTCCAGCTGCAGGACGAGGTTGCGGCTGACCTCTTAAACAAATCCTTCACGGGGGCCTCGTCCCCGACGTCCGAGTTGTTTGTTGCTAGTACTAGCAATTTGAATTTCGTTCAACAACAAACGGTGAAAAATCAGAAAACTATGGAACAAGACGACAGCGCCTTACTTGCGCAGAAACTGGACCAGATCAAAAACCGCTTTGACGCGAGTAACGCACTGTGGTCACTTCAATCCGTTTCCTCCTCCATGGCGCTGCACTGGACATTAGCAAGGGAGAACACGAAGAAAATTCTGGTGAAATCGCTATCCGAGGTTATGGTGGAGTTGATCAAGCCCTGGGCGAATAACTACACGACGGTTAATTTCGATGATAAGAGCAAACAATTCTCCAGTTTCACAAATTCAGAACAACTGTTTCAGCAGCAAGCACAGGACGGAAACGGACCGACAAATGCGGTTGCGTGTGCCAGTGAGCAGACAATCCAATCGAGCCAGATGATTCTGGAGCGGTATTGTTCGCTGATGCGGGCTATGCGTTGCAAAATTATCGTACTAGTTCTAGTAGAAATAGCATTACAAATTTTCCCAGAAAGAAAGATCGAATCTGTAATGCTGAAATACCTAAGAGGAGGAGTCCAGAAAATTTGTTATGCATAACTGCAATTACTACGAATACGTCTGCGATACTTTTGCAATCCATACGGGCTCTGGTGCCCTGCGAGCGGGTCACGCTGTGGGTGCCGGATCAGGATGCGGAATTAGGGTTGAAGGATATCGCAACCAGTTCTATCAAGGCGGACACGTTTCTTGTGCAACAAGGAGCAGTTCAGGGTACCACGGGCGTCGAAGGGGTTGGCGGGGGAGAAGAAGGATTACTAACCGCTTCCATGGACGAAGACATCAACCGGGTCGGTGGAGTATGAACTGCAAAAGTATCGTACTACGTAGTAATTGCAATACAAATTCGCTCAGCATCACAAACGGAGTTTGTCATGCTGACTTGCCTTGGGAACGAGATTTGTAATGCATGACTGCAATTAGAATTACTACGAGCACGATACTTTTGCACAGGATATGGAACTACAAGCACGAGTAATAAGGAAAAACCACCTGCAGGCACAAGGTTTTCCTCGCGTCCGCAGAGCTCCTCTTCCTCCCGCAGCCGGGAGTCCTGCTACGGATCCGTCGGAGGAGGCGGTGGACTACACCCACACAACACATCAAACACTGCGAACAAAACAGTAACCCCGGAACGGCGTTTGAAGTTGTTGGCGAAACGGGCGCTGGAGTCCCAGGAGTTGCTGAACCTGTTGTTACCGCCGACTGGCGGGGTCGTGGGTGGAGGTAGTACCAAACCGCCCCGGTTGAGCGAAAATGGGATGATCAGCAAACAGGTTTCTGGGAATGACGAAAAGTTGCTGGATAACACGGTCTCCTCCTTACCACCTTCCACGCCCTCCGCCTCGGTGGAGCAGATTGGCGATCAATCGGATGGAAAAAAGGAGAAAAGTGCAACCAAAGCCGGAGCAGCAGGTGCAAGTGTTGAAAATATGTTGTCGCTTTACTCTCTAGTTTTACGTCTACTTCTATGTGATGTCTACTTTTTTCTTGATCATCCTCTAAATGATGAAAAGAGAATCAGCAGTTGCTTCTACTCAATGATTAAGATTAGGGTGGACCTTACTTCGAATGCGCTGCATTCTGGAGAACATCTCCCTAAACACGACCTTAATTCGATATTACCACGATTAAATCTTCGGGCAAAATGAGATTCGAATTGGTAAGTACTAGTAAGCGAAAAAGATCACCCAAAATCCTATCTCCCTAACCGCGGCTAGCTACAGGTACTACCCTGACGCCCTCCGGTGGTGCAGCAGGAGGTGGTTGCGTCGTGGTCCCGAGGCAAAGCCACACAGACCGCATCAGTTCATCCTCGATTGACACTGATAACTACAAGCGGTCTTCGCGCGAGTACGCAAAATCTTCAATACAGTCGTTCGTCTGGTGCAGGATTGAAATTTCTCATGTAGACATTTCTGATTTATTTGCAGCCAGCGTGCCCGCTCAATATTTCCGATTGGGCATGATTCGGAAGGAGAAAAATGAAAAAAATCTGCAGAAGACGTTATCTATCTTATGCCATCGAAAGATCTCTTCACACGTACCCCGACGACTTTACTTTTCCCAATCTTCCATACCCCGCTGACCGCCTACCAAAGCGCTCTCTCCATCCCTATCCGCGGTTCAGCCGAACAAAATCCGTACTTTATCCTGAGTAAAAACGTCCCCATACCAGAGTCAACGTGGAAAATCTGCTAGACAAATCGGCCAACTTTGGTTGTCTCGCATGTCAAGTTTGTCCTCGTAGTGTAATCCTGTTTAGCTAGTTCAGAAGCGTCACAGATCTAGCTGCGCATCATGCTATTTCTAGCATCACAAATCCCAAAACGCGACTAGAAAAAGCTTCTCATGGGGCTTCGCATGAGAAACTTTTTTGGCATGCAAATTTGCATGACGACTCTGGGGTGGGGATGTTTTTTCTTGGGATATACTTTTTAAGCGGACAAAAACCTGCTGCGATCGGGGTCATCCAGTTTGTAAACCGCATTGTCAACGCCGTGGACGCGCAAGCGATTCAGAATGCGGCGAGCTTCGATGTTCTCGGGCGGGAAGTCCCGGCGGGTCAACATAGCGCTGCTGGTGTCGCTGCTGGAAGTAAAAATCATGCCGAAGCGGACCAACAACACATCATCCAGATTGGAAGGACTGCTACCGAAGATCACAACGTTGATAACGATGTTCTTGGAAAGTCGCCAAGTTTTTCATCTCCGAATCGCATGAGCGGCTGCAATGCCGGTGATCATAACCACGCGGACATAGGGGCGCTTGAGCCGTCCGGAACAACTGCCGCGATCGCGAGCAGTGCGAAGCTGCAGCAAGTATCCACAGAAAAAAACCCATCCACATCCATTTTTTGCATGACAAACACAGAATTTCATGTATGTTTTGCATGACAAATTGGATGTGGATGGGTGTTTTTTCCTGGATAGAAAGTGGATTTTTTCCACAAGTACCCGACGGCCTCAGCCAGCATGACGGAATCGATGTCCCTCCTCCGGCCGGGAGGTGCTACTGCTTCTGTGGGCTTGGGACAGCACGACATCTCGAGTGTGGCGAAATTCGCCTCGGCAAAAACCAGCCCGGAGTTGCAACTGGAACCTTCCTGGTCCATTAACAGCAACGCGGGGAAAACCATGTGGGCCAGTATCTGCAAGGGGAGTTTCGTATCCTGTGCAAAAGTACCGTACTCGTAGTAATTGCAGTCATGGTGCATTACAGTTTTTTTTCTTAAGGGAAATCCGCATGACAATTTTTTTTTCTCTTGCTGAGGAAATTTGTCATGCATTTATACGAATGCGATGCTTTTGCATTGCATATTTCGCCATGAACCACAAAACTCGGAAAATGAGCATCATGTCGACGCAGGGCGGTGGAAATCTCACCTCCTCCGGGTTGGGACAACCCCGCAGTTCGGCACCCAGTTGCAACGGCCCGATTAACTTCGGTAACACCAACAATTTTGCCAACGTTCCGGAGCAAGCGGCTCTGTCTTTCGCGGAGCGGGAAGCGTCAAACCACGAAAACCAAAACTGCGCAGTATCAGAAAGCGGGAAAGAATCGGCGAAGTCTGCTGCGACTCTAGGCGGGACGAACCAGACGACCGTACAGATGAACTCGTCCCCATTAGAAAACATCCCCTCCGGCTCAGAACTGCCACATAACCAGGAGCAAAATCAGCAAACGGCGGCGACAGCGAATCGGAACAGCCGGCGGTTTGAGCGGAGAAGTTCGAACGCGACGTCGATTAACAGTTCGCCGACAAGTATGGGAGTGTCAGGATTGAAAGCGATAAAGTTGAAATATATTTATAACTTGTAATGCATGAAATCGATACCAGTTGGAAACCCAATTTCTAGGCGGCGCATGACAAATTTGGGTAGAGCCCAAATCCAGTTTGTAATGCTGTTTGGGTAAGGGAGACGCCTTTTGTCGTGCTAGTTTGGCAGCTCTGTTTCTACCCCCCAACAGGCTTACAATCTGCCTCCCTTGCCTACTCTACAAGACAGGCACTTACTGCGTCGCCTTTTATGCATGGCAAACTATTTCATCAGCTTGACGACTTCAATCCTGACACTCCCATAACGAGTTCTCCAACGATGTCCACACCCAGGGACTCGCAGCACGACTCGCTGTATCCACTGCAAATATGTCTAGCTCTTGAGGAATGCAAACTTGTCATGTATATTTTCGATGCCCCACGAGGTCTGGAATGCAGGACCTAGCATGGCAGGTTCTGCGAAATAGTCTGTATCATGTCTATCCTGCATGACTACAAATTGCCTCCACAGCCATTGTTTAAAAGTGGACAGGTGTTGGTAATCATGCAACACAAATTTTTGTACGATCCAGACTTAGCATGACAAGTTCGCGCCCTTCCAAACCCAGACATACTTGCAATCCATACACTGACCCTTGACAACGGCATGGTCATCCCGCGGAAAAGCTATTTAGCCGGGAACACAACCATATGCACTGCAAAACTATCGTAGTAGTATAAATCGCATGACAAATTTCCTCAGCATAAGAAATGAAATTTTTGATGCGAATTCAACCAAACAAAAAAAATTGTAATGCATAAATGCGATAAAAATTAGTGCGATACTTTTGTCATGCATAAACCAATTACCAGGACGCGGCCCTGTTCACCTTTTGCGACGTGCAGTTCATGTATGACAGTGCACAACTCCCCCTCCCCCTCATTTGTAATATAGCATGAACGGCAACAAGCAACAGCAAGAATGTCGGTTTTGCATGACAAACTTCTACTGGAGGAGAGAGCTATTTGGGCAGCTGCCAGAACTTGTCATGCAAGCAGTGCCAAGAGGCAAAGGGCGAATTGGGTAGGTTGCATGACAAATGAGGGGGGGGGAGTTGTGCACTCTCATATCATGCAGGAGATCTGTGAATCACCCATGACACTTGGCGTTTACATCGCGACCTTGGCGAAGAAGTTAGAGCAGAAGGAACTCCAAAACAACGCGATTGCCGGTTTGGTTAAGACCATGTCGCGGGCGCTGAACGTCCCCGACATTATGGAAGCGATCCGCTCCAAAGTGAAAGACGTGCTGCAGTGTGAGCGCGCGGTTTGCTTTCTCGTCGATGAGGATCACCAACAAATTTGGTCACCCGCGAGCCACGACTGTCCGAATGGGCTGGTGGTCGGTGTGGAATCTGGGATTGTCGTATCCAGGAAAAAGCACCCGTCCCCATCCAATTTGCCATGCAAAACATGCATGAGCTCCAGTGTTTGTCATGCAAAAAAAGGATGGAGGTGGGCGTTTTTTTTTGTTTTTTCTGGATACGTCGGGATTGTCGCCCGGACCGGAGAATCTTACATGGCGAACCGGGTGCGGAAGGACCCGAACTGGCTGGGGGATATCGAAGATAATTTCAAAACTAGAAATCTGCTAACCGTCCCGGTGAAAACGCAACAGAAGCTTCGGAATCAGGTCGTGGCGGTGGTGCAGGCGGTGAATAAGAAGGGCGATTTTGACCGGCACGATGTGGTATGCATTGCAAAAATGTAGTTTGGGTCTGGAAAAATGCCAGGTTTGTCATGGTCTGCTAGCTTGACTGTCAAGTCTGTCATGCAAGGTACCCAAAAGCGCCACTTTTGTGTCATGCAAAAACCCAGGCTCTCATGCAGAATAGGCAACACCTAGCGACTCAAAAACCTGTCATGCTGAGCCGTCATTTCTGGCGTTCTCTTGATTCGCCAACAAGCATCACAAGTTTCCAGACCCAGACATTTTTCCATTTGATACGTGGAGATCATGAACATCTTGGCGTCGGAGATCGCGAATCATTTTGACCGGTTAACCTTGACGATTTTGCACGAGAAAGCGAAGATCGGGGCGCCGACGCAGGTGGAGTTGACCACGGCGTTGTTGGATTCGTTTTACATGGAGAATAACAACGGTATGATGACGGACCACATGAAAGACAAGATGAACAAGGAGAAGGAGAACGGACAAAATGAAAACAACGGCTCTTCCTCCACGGACCCCAATGGGAACGGCGGGGCAAACTCGAAGGAGAAGCAAGTCGGGATGCTCGTAACCGACCGCAAGAACTTCGAGCGGTCTATCGCGTTGAACTTGAATTTTTCCCAGGAGGGCCGGCTTCTGTCCGCCTGCACCTACGACCCAAGAACCTGCTGGGAAGTGCCGTACCACTCGCTGACGCTGGACGAGACGTTGGGGTTTCTGCTGACGGGGTTGGAGTTCGCGATGGAAACCATTCCGACGAAGACTTTGGTGAATGTCATGCGGGATTTCAAGGTATAATACGACAGAGTCATAGCAGATCTTCGCTTTCCTAAAGTTGCGTAGTATACAGAATCGGGTTGTGATGCTGCAGTAGCATGAGGAATTTCATGACAAAACCTCTCCACCTCAGGACAACTACCTCACCACCCCCCGTTTCCACAACTGGGGCCACGCATTGCAAGTTTTCCACTCCGCCGTTTTGATGGACCATGTGACACCCAAACTGTCCGGCTTAATGGATTCCGTCCACTCCCTAGCCCTCTTCATCGCTACCATTGCCCACGACGTCGCGCACAGAGGGAAAAACAACGGCTTCGAAATTGCGAGTCAATCCGAACTGGTATCCGATGCAAAAGTATCGTACTCGTATTGCAGTCATGCATTGCAAATCCTTTTCGTAAGGTAAATCCGCATTGCAGATTTTATTTGTCATGCTGAAGAAATTTGTAATGCATTTATACGAGTGCGATGCCATACTTTTGCAGTGCATAACTGGCGTTACTCTACAACGACATCTCGGTTTTGGAAAATCACCACGCGAGTCTGTGCGGGCATATGCATTGCACATATGCCTGGGTCTGGAATAAACCTGTAATGCTGAATGGTCATGAGTGAGTGCGCCTCTAAGTGCAGTATTGCATGACAAATTTTTCAAACGCTTTCTCATGCTTAACGCGCATTACAAACTGCGCTTTTTCATGATCGATGAACTTGCGGCACTTCTGTTGCAGCTTTTATGCAATGCAGATTTTTCTGGAGTCCTGGACACGCAATACAAGCTCAACCCTTCTAGACCCAGATACTTTTGCACTTGATAGGGCAGATTTTGAAACGACATGATTTCTTACAGCATGTCCCGGACGGGAAGCAGTTCCGGAAAATCGTGATCAACGCGATTCTCGGTACCGACATGAGCAAACACGGCGACTTGATGAAGAAGATGCAGACTTCGCAGATCGAATCCGACCAGGAGTTGGTTGTGACTTGTTGTACGCATTGTGCGGATCTCGGAGCGCAGGTCTTGCCCATCTCAACCGCCTGGGAATTCTACATGCGGTGCACGGACGAGTTTATGACAGTGCACAACTCCCCCTAACCCTCATTTGTATTGCATGAACAGCAATACAGACACCCCCACGTGTGGAGCCTGTGCATGACAAGTTTATGCGCCTGGTCTTCTACTGTTTGGGCTTCCGGAATCTGTCATGCAAACACTACCACGCAGCAGCGCTTGGATTTGGTATTTTCCATGGCAAATCAGGGGGAGGGGGAGTTGTGCACTCTCATAGAGTTTCAGCAACAAGCGCTGGATGAGAAGGAACTCGGTTTACCCGTAACTCCTTTCATGACCGGCCAGGAAAACCCGAAAACGCGCGCGTTTGGGCAAGTGCAGTTCATCGAGTTCGTCGTCATGCCCTTGTGGAAAGCGGTGTCGGAGGTGTTTCCGACAACGAAAATGGTCGCGGAGATTGCGAAACAAGGCGCGTCGAACATATCCACAAGAACAAATTTCCCGTACACGTACAACTGCGGTATCTGCATGACAAGACTTAGCTTCGATCCTAGTTTAGCATGACAAGTTGGACAGCACTCCAAGTTAGCGAAATTTCTCATGCATTTTGTACATGTGCGGGAAATTTGTATTGCATAGAGCAACGGTAAGAACAATCAGGGAACGAGCAGTGAGCAAGTGTTGTCCCAGGACATGTCCATCCGGAAAGCTACGCAGCCGATTTCTGCCGCTTCCGCGCACAGCAGCCAACAATTGAGAAACGACTCCCGTGCGAACTCGCACAACCAACAGGTGCAGTCGGAGTGGCTGAAGAATTTGAATGAAAATCTCGAGGTTTACAAGTTCGTCGCGAAGCACGGAAAACGAAAGTTTGAATTGACGGAAGAGGAATTGCAACAGATCGAAATGGAGGAGAAGCGAGTGGAGGAAGAATTGAAACAAAAGGAAAAATTGGAACGGGAAAAGCAGAAGGAGAAGCAACACCAACGGGGGGCGACTGTCATCAAAAAGGCCAGTCCACCAGCAGCGGGGGTGAGTAGTGCTGGGGAGAGCAGTCGGGGGAACGCGGGAAGCGGTACAACTACTGGGGCTCCGAGTAGCAGCCCAAGCAGCAGTAAGGATAGTAAGCCGAAAAGCTCGAAATAGTCGGAGGGGTGTAAGTAAGGACGAGAAGTTTGTTCTGCAAAGACAAAGCTATCGCATTTTGATCTTTTGTATTAGTCGAAATTACAGCTTCTTCGTCCTTGAGCTTGTAATTTGACCTTTGAGAAGTGATCAAGTGTCTCTGATGTTGACATAGAAAGGTTTACAGCCGTCGGATCTACCATCCAATAGTACACGAGCGCGGAGGTCTTCTGCTTTTGAAAAGTGTAGTACGGATGGAAGTTTGTTTTACATGCAGTGTACAGCCGAGACAGGACAAGGAATAGCACGTTCAAGCATGGCATGATCGAGTTTCAGCAACAAGTGAAATATGTGTAGCCTTCTGTACCAGTGCATGGTGCTGGGGCGGGGGCAATGATTATGATAGTAGATTTTCCCAGACCTGGTTCAGTTTCATTACTACGCTATGCAAGATGCGCTAAAGAAAAAGAGCAGTGCCAGTAACTAGTGACAATGTCAGCTGTGTGCAAGAAAACAACTAGACAAAAATATACGATGAAGTTCTGTAAACGGAAAGCACTTTAACGAAGATCGCCAAAGAAGAAAGGTTACGAGCAGGCACATCTGAAGAACTATCGTAATGCGAATGTCTACATGGACATTCTTATCGGAGTCTAATCACAGATTGAAAGAATTATTTGAACAAATTCAAACTACTGTAGTTGTACACATGACATCGGATTTGGTATGGAATGCAGTCAGACTCAGATGTGGCCACGACACGGTAAGTTGTCCATGCGGGGGTATTTGCCGTGGTGGCTCTTGATGATGTTCCTTGAATTTCAAATTTAGAATCATCTGCGCTGCAAGATCATGGCTAAGGACATCCAAGCCCGGTGGAATGATACAGATCTCTTTTTGTTGCGCTTAATACAATATGATCATGAGAAAAACGACGGATCACGGTCACATTATCCGCCAAATTTTTCTCGATACTAATCCTGCGATCGAGATGAACCCTCAAGATCTGCGACGATGACACCAGCGGATCCGAAACCGCAACTCAAGAGCTGGTATGTAGATCCCCTTCTTTTCTCATTTTTTGCCCACTAGGTCGCGTAGAAGTCATCCTTTCGTGAAAAGCTGGACCGCTACATTATCGATTTCCCCGAATTTATTCCGAATCTACCATCAGGCTACGGGAGATGAGTGAGCTACTACTAGGAGAAATACAGCGCAAGAAGATGGAAAGCGCAGGCAAAATGTAGCGGCTAGGAAGAAGGTCCACCACAAAGGAGGATGCCAGCTGCTCTTTTTTTCCACGCTCCAGGAGCTGCAGTCCCAGTTGATTTTATTGCGGTTGTCCGTCCGTCGCCATTATGTTCAACTCTTTCACCACAGAAGACGACGCGGAAACAACTGCTCGCTGGCTTATGCAGCAAAATGGTTGCGCCGCACAGGTATGGTTTTTTTGATTTCAGTAAATCTATGTCGTGTCGCAACCACATAGTTATGCACATGGTGCTGGTGTCATCTTCATGTTTCTAGTTTCGGATCCGCTCTTCACAACAACTGACATTTCAACCCGAGCCTGAAACACTTCCAACCCACAGGTTTTTGCGCGGCAAACCTAGCCGAGAGCGAGATGAAGATTACACCACGAACTTGGCCGCACACTCCTGTTGACCATCTTCACAAGTAGCGCGACGAACTGCTTACTCGCCTTCGACGACTGATGTTGCCGACGCAAGAACTTCGCAGCGCAGAGCGATATCTTCGGCATGTTGGGAAGAACATCACGAGTCGCTTCTTACATCGTCGAAGGCACCAAATCTCCACCCTGGACACAAAAAGCACGACTGCGCAGAGGAATTTTTCGGCTATTACCGTTCTTGCAACAGTTTGAGCTCACCCTGACGGAGCTCCAGATTGCCACAAGCCGGGTTCCTGTTCTGCGAGGAAGATCCCCGCGCCAGAGAGTAGAAAGTACTAACGGAGTAGATCGTAGTTGCGATTTCGCTTGTTCCTCACGTTTTCACTTTTCCTTCTGGATTTGTCATGCAAAACGCTGTTTAGGGACAAGATTTCGTAACTCGCGATAGTTTATTTTCAAAGTTAATGTCGTGAGCAATTTTTTCAAATATTGCGAACAAAACGGGGTCTACTCTTTTGATGTCCACAAAGGGAGAATTATAGTGTGTTTGTCGCCTATCAATAATGTTGATCTCGTCTCTCCTATTACCGAGGGAGCTACGCAAATTTCAACTTATCATCTTAGACCCCATGCCGTAGTACCAAGGTAATAGTAGTGCTGCCGCAGCCCCCGCAGGTTTTTCTGGCTGTCGTAGCGAGTTCCACTAAAGTAGATGTAGGTGTAGAAAAACAAATCTGAAACTGGAGGAGTTGTTTTTATCTAGAAAGCGAGCCCGATGATTATATTATGGACACGAAAAGCACGACTGCGCAGCGGTATGTACCTTTGTCCCAGCGCGAGTCTACCGACGAGACTTGTGTTTACGGCAAGTCATTGTACCGTGTGCGAGGAAAATCCCCGCGCCAGAGGGTAGAAAGTACCAACGGAGTAAATCGTAGTTGCGTTCTGGGTCACAAGTCAATATGTGTATACCCTCCCCATACCATATTCTGATGTGACAAATCTTCAGCCGAGGAAATAACGGGATGTAACTTGCGATAGTTTTTAAAAGTTAATGTCGTGAGCATAGTTTTTGCTAACAAAACGGGGTTTACTCTTTCGATGTCCGGCCACGATTATGGGCTTCCTCTACTTTTTAGATTTTTCTCTTTCCTACTGCACTAGTTCTACGTGGACTTCTCTCCGATTATAGCCACCTCAATACGGGCGTGCAACGAGGCTGCGTCTGTACCGTCCCCGCAGCACACTACTTTCACTATTATTAGACCACAGAAAGGGCGGCGGCAGAGACAGCACTTGGCATGTTGATGCGCCTTTAGCACGGCGGTCATCCTAGTCTACCTCGCTTCTTCTCATGAAATGCGCCACAAGACATGTCTATGCAGTACATGTCTCGCGCTGGAACCAACCCCCACTACTTCCCGGACACAGAAAGCACGACTGCGCAGCGGGTAGTGAACTATTGTCCCAGCCGCACAGGCCCACCCTGACGGGGCTTTTGCGCGTGACAAATTGTACTCCCGATTGCGAGGAAAATCCCCGCGCCAGATGGTAGAAAGTGCCGATGGTCGATCACAGTTGCATTTAACATCGAGTCCCACTTCATTGCTTGTCTCTAAACCTTCGTCTGTCTTGCATGACAAGGTGACACGCAGGGGCTCTGATGTAACTCGCGATCTTTTTCAAAAGTTAATGTCGTGAGCTTTTATAGCTAACAAAACGGGGTTTACTCTTCTGATGTCCGCCCAAGGGGGAAACGTAACGTAGCGCTGTAAGTATGAACCAACTTGATGAATCGGAGCTAGCGCCGTTGCAGTTAACCGCCACAATTTTATGGGATCTTGCGCAGTTTACTCTTGTGTGGATGGTTTTCCGGACTGGAATCGTGCGAATGAAGTTTATGTCGAGAAAAAATTTAACCACTACAACTTCATGACAGCTCGCACTCTTCTTGCTGTAAGTCCTCTCTTGCGCAGTGTGTGCGAGAGTTAGGTGCGAAATGCAGATGAGCAACGATCGCTCGACGTCGACATTGCGTCGTCGGGGCTCCTCGTAGAGATAGTCCTTGTCTTCGGAATTTCTCACCCGATTGAGTATTGTGCTTGTGAATGACAGAAAATACAACATCGCGCCATGGCGGAGACGATGCAAAGCACTTCGCTGCAGTAAAAGGAAGCTTTCGCCTGTTCGTGGCTGTTTTATTTGGCCCCCAGACTGAGTGTTCGCGTCGTGCGTCGTAGATTGATTGTGCCGACATAGGCAGAGAAGGGGAGAGAGAGAGGGAGAACTGCGCTTAACAAAATGACTCGTTTTATGTGCTGGCTTACCGAGCGACAGCTCCGAGCGACTGCATGTCGGGCCATTGGCACGGTCCTTGTCTGGGAAGTACTTAAGAGGTGTGTGAGAGATCTTGTCGTGCACAGATGCAGACGTGCTGCTTGTTTTATTTCATCTTCCATAAAGCTTTTTGTTCAGTTTCTATTATGGCGATGTCGTTTCGACCGCAGAAAGTACTTTATGTCTAAAGAAACGTTGTGTCCGCAGCTGTAGTGTTTATCACACTATCCGTAGCAGAAACAATTACGAGAAAAAACACAAAAACAAGATGCGCCTCCTATCCCAGTTGTTGCAGGAGAAGATTGGTAGTTTTTCGTTTTCCCGCGATCAGCAGGACATTTTGTCTCATGCGGAAGGGTCGTTCTTGGATGACCACCAGAACTTCGGACAGCGAGCCACTTCCTTCAACCAATTCCTCGCCGAAGACATTTGCCACACCTCCCCCAACAACTCCGAAGGTACGACCCTCCAGTTCTGCGCCGAAGAAGGTTCTCTCTGCCACGACGGGTACTGCCGAGGCGGGGACGTTTGCCTGGACAATTCCGAGACGAACAAAAGGAAGTGTATCACCGAGGCGGAATTCTACAGCAACATGAAACTGAACGAAACCACCACCATGTCGCTCACCCGGCACATCGCCAAGTGGTTCGCGGGGTTCTTACCAAGGTTGATAACCAACCCCCTCGGAAATACTTCGAAGGAATTCCCAGTGTGTGATGCGTCTACCTCCACGGAACTAACGTCGCACTGCGTCCCTCCAAAAACGAATGAATTAATGGCGAGAATCGGGTTTGGGTTGATCACCTACTCGAGTTTCATGTTCTGCATGTACATCAAGGACCTGAAAATTCCCTATTTGGTCCACGAAAACCAGCAGGGGCTGCAGCAACAACTGTCCAAGCAGGTGAAAAAAGAACCGAAGTGGTGTGTGGATCAGCAAGACCTGGAAACGAGTTCGGAAAAATCTTCGTCTTCCGATTCGGATGGGGGCAGGAAATTCCGGAAAAAGAAGGAGAAGGAGAAGCATAAAGGTAAAGGAAAGAAAAAACCACGGGATGCTCGAGACAGTCTTGACCGGGACAAATCCAAGTACGAAAAGGGGAGTAGGAGAGAGGGTTCTGGAGGTACCGCTCTGGAGCAAACGCCAGCGTATGATTTCGACAATGCGCCGCCCCCGGGGGAAAGGAAAGTAGTAGAACTGGACATGAACAATTTGTCGGACGTGGAGATGCCATCTTATTCGGAAGAGGAAGGAGATTTTATTTCGTCGCCGGGCGGGAAGAAGGGAAAGAAGAAAAAAGGGAAGAAAGGGAAAGGGAAGAAGAAGTAGGTTGTTTTCTGGATAGGTAGAGATAGAGTGGCGCTTTATGTATGATGCTTTTCATCTTCGACGTTTTCGTACTGCATCGTGCGTCTGTTTTTTTTTCGACATGTAGTTCTTTGTGTGGAACAGATTTTGATCATGTACGATGATAGCGACGAGTTTCGTACCCACAGCAAGTGGATTTCCTGATGAACTGTGGATTGCGCTGCACCGAAGTGTGTCACGACTGAAAGAATGTGAAGCAAGCTGCATTCATGATCACACTAGACTGCCACTGCTAGTAGTTGCAGTTGATGAAGTTTCCTTGCAGCTGTCGGTGCAGCGACGCATTGCCAGCCGTGCAGAAGAAGCAGATGTCTGGTCTTACAGACACAAGCACCCTCGTTGTTCCGGTTGAGAGTCTGTGCCGGGGGTTTATCACGGAAACATAGGAAATAAACTGAGGTGAGACTGAGAGAAGTGGCGTCATACCTTCTTTCCGTTTTTTTCTCATAGTAAGTACACACTTACATGCGAGTGAAAGACGGGCAAAACAGAATGCGAGAGCTTGAAGAGACGGTGCTTGAAGAAGGCTGCCGCGGCTTTACAAAGTTTTGAGCGGTTTAGTCGATTGCTCGTCTTCATCTCCATCAAAATGGCGCACGTCGTTGCTCTGTTGGGTAGATCGTCTTTGGTCTGCCCTTCGTCGTTGCGGCAATTCTTGGGCCAGCCCCGAGGTGCCCCCCCTTGCCGCCTGCGTGCTGGACGGGCGTCATGGCCCGGGCGTGGTGTCTCTGGGCCCGGCAATTTCGTTAGCAAAGGGCATGTCGAAGCTAAAAGTAAAAGCTTGACGAGGGCGCGCAGACTGGCAAGCGGCGCCGCGCGGGCCTTTTTTTCTTTCTGTTTGCGTAGTGCGGCCGCCTCCGGGCGCGCCTGTTCCGCTTTCCTGGACTCACCTACCCCGGTGCGCGGCGCGCGCCCGCCGGCTACCTGTGCCTGCCGCACTTTTCAGGCCCTGCCCGGGCGCTCCGCCGTGTTGCCTAACCGGACCGGCCGCCCGCGCTTCCCCTCCCCTTTGAGTGGGGTCGGGGCGGCGTAGCCAGAACTCCCATGCCCGTCCGGCCGGGGGCGCGATCGATGGATGTGGCCGGGCGCGTTCGTCTTGGTTGGGTGACGTATAGCGTTGCCACCCCTTCCTGCGCGGCCTGGCCCGGCGGCGCGGTGGCCGCCGCTGTGATTTAAGATAGAAAGAAAGGGAAGCATCTTGCCTACGAGCGAGGTGTGCTCCCAGTCGCGCGCGGACCTAAAGTTGAGTTGCCGTCGTATCTGGTGTTCGGCGTACGAGAGGACATCTGAGTGTGTGAGCAACGGCATCTTTGGCCCGCGTTGCAAATTGGCCTGGGACCACCAACTGTGCACTCATGGATGACGCCTGGCGCTAGGGTCACAAATAGCATCGCATTCTTGTTGCATTTCACTTTGGCGGTCTGCCCGACAGATAAGCGTAGGGAAACCCAAATGAGAGAGCTAGTATCGCGCTGTGTCATTTGCGTTTATTCTTTCTTTGACGCCTAGATCTGGGTGAGAGACGGGCAAAATCAGGATGTGAGAGCCGAGAGGGCTGATGGTTGCAGCAGCTTGCGCTTTATTGCAAAGTTCTGCGTGTCTCAATTGAGTGCTGGAAAAAATTGGAATTGGCGCAACTCTATTTTACTCTACCCAAATACATAGGCTAGAAAAGGAGCGCATGGCGCTAATGAGGCTGTGGTCTTCCCATGTTCGCCGCAGTGGCTCCGCAGACGCCGGCCCATAGCAAGAGCGCGCCGCCCTTTGGTGCGTAATTTCGGGCGCCGGGCTATGTATCGGGCTCTCACCCGACTACAGGCCGAGTCCGCGTCGTCCCTCCGGGCAGTTGGGGTCGGGCCGGGGCCTTGCTGGAGTGGCGCCCTGCCGCTGTTGGCCGGCCATGCTCCACAGCGGCCCGGGTGCGAAGGTGCCCATGGTGCGGCGTTGGTTGCAGGTTCGCCATGGCGCCCTCCAAGCGGCCGGGCATAAGCCTTGAGGGCTTTTTAATAAAAGTCATAGTTTAAAAATACAGATCGCCGGTCGCGGGAAGCTGGAACGCCTCGCAAGAGAGCCGTCCAAGGGGCGGGCTATTTGTGCGAAAGACGCAGACTTTGCGCATCGGCCGACTTGCCCGCGGTTGCCATCTCCACACCACCCGGAGGGAGAGCGAGCCGGCCAAAGTAAAGGCTGGCGCGCGGCCTGAAATTCCTTTGCGCCTCGCCAGCTCGGGGCGCCCGCGTGGGGCCCGCCCCTGATTATGACCCCGCTCGCGGGCCCGCCCGGCGGGCGACGCCGTTTTGTGCCAGGCACGTAGCCTGCTTTTTTCGGCCGGCCCCCCCTTACCTGCCTCGCTGTAGACGCGATTGGTCTGTCGCGCCAGTGGTTGGCTCGCTCCCTCCGCCGACGTGGCCCAGCAGGGCGGGGCAGACCCCCAGGGCGCTGATGGTCGGTGGGTAGGCGGCAATGCCGTCGGCCAGCCAGTCGCGCCTTGCGCCCCGGCTTCATTTCTCATTGCCAGGCAGAGGGGCCGCGGCTCGGCAGCGTTGGCCCTTAATGTTGCCGCGTATGACGAACCGTCGGGACAGCATGCGCCCTCATCTTGCCAGCAGCAACGCAGACACGGATATTGCCTGAAGCGACAGTATTAAACATCATTCAGGACGCCGCGCCAGCGGGAATCATGGCGGGCGCGAGGCAGGTTGTTCCCTTTTCGCGGCCCGTCTCGTCAACCCACTGGCCGCTCGCGGGGGAAGTTCGTGGTCCGTCCCGGACCGCGGGGCCGGACCTTGCTACAATTTCACTTCCGTGGAGAGAGGACTCACTTGCATTGCAAATCCTGCTTACCATATCCCAATTTGTGAAGGCGCATCGTCATAGATAGTGGCACTTCTAGAGGCCTTCCGCTGGGTTTCCACGGGCCGCAGTAGGCACTGCAGGGTGGAAAACAATCAAGATCCTCGTAATTTTTCATCCTAAGTAAAAGATGGTCGCTTGTTGCCGCGGTGCGACGCCGCGGAAGCGGCCGTCGCTCATCTCCAACAAATCCGAAGATCCGCTTTCTCCCCTGCCCATCGGTCAGGACGCGCCGCCGACGCTCCTCTCCATTTACGACCCGGAGTCGAAAATCCAGGACGTGCCCAAGCAAAAACTCGGATTGGGGGCGTATTCGCCAACCTTTTCCTCGATCAAGAAGAAGTTCAAGGCACTGCACCGGATTGGCGCGTTGGGGAGGAGTGAGGGCTGTGGGAATCAAAACGGTGCTGGGGAGCAGGGGGATGGAGGAGTTGGTGGTACTTATTTTCTTACGCTAGATTTTGGCAATCTCTGGTGTATCAGATCGATAGCCTGCTACTTGATGAAGTTCGTACAACCCGAATGCTACTCCAACGCATGTCTGCATGATGAAAAAACACTTTTCAACATCCAGCCTCGTCTTCCAGCAACGCACCTCCCGCGACAAAACAAGGTTGGAAAAACCCTTCCCACGTCATCGCGAAGAAGCTGTTCAAATTTCAAATGAACCGGATTGGGAACAACAGCAACAGTGATGGTATGATGAATCTGGGGTCAACATCTTCAGATCAAATTATTCGATCTGCAAACTACAAACAACCGCCTCCCCAGTTCGCCGCGGCCGGAAACCTTGCGGACCAAGCAACGGAAATTTCCCCGGGAGATATCAAGCGGAGACTGAAAGTGACGGAAGACGACGAAGTAGATCTACTTCGGGATCACGACCGGGAATCCTTCTACTTTTCCGCGCGGTCAGATCACGGAAACAACCAGGATTTTGAAACTAACAGTTACCTCGGGTTTTACCGCAGCAACTCCGTGACCGAGGGCGTGGACTACACGATGCAGCGACAGGGTGGTGGTGGTGATCTGCAACTTCTTGGTGCTGGGAGAAATTTGACCGATGACAATGAAGACCGGGTGAGCTGTATCACAGGAAAAAGTGTTAACGTTAACGGTTTTCACAGATTGCAGTCATGCGTCACAAATGCAGCCCAACATGCATGCTATGCATGACAAATTCTGACACGTCTTGTGATGCATTTCTGCATCACAGTTTCCGTTAACGTTAACACTTTTTCTTGTGATAAGCTGCAACATTCCGGGATCACCACTACCGGACATCAGCCGGGCGAGCCGCCAGAGCAGTCGGGAAGTCGGGTTTGTTATCCAAGAAAAAAAGCGTTACAGTTACACACATTTGTATGGAGTCTCAGCATCACCATCACAAATTTGCTCTTCATCGCAAAGAAATCTTGTAATGCGCACACTACAAGGAAATAAAACACGAATGGAATGAGGCCAGCACGCGTTATTTCCTGCATGACAGAGGTTGTCTGTTTTGCTTGTCTTGCATGAGAGTGTGTAACAAACTGCTGTAACGCTTTTTTCTCACGATATTTGTCCCAGATGAGGAAATGGTCCGGAACGCCACGATATGAACTGCAAACGTATCGTACTCGTAGTACTGCAATACAAATAGGCTCAGCATGACAAATGAAATTTCCTACGCTGGCTTGGCTTGAAAAAGAAATTTGTCTTGCATGACTGCGATTACTAAGAGTGCGATACTTTTGCACAGGATACACGATCGGCGTCGAAAACGCGTGCCAGCGGTTTGAAAAAGATGTACCGCTGCCGAGGACAGGAGGCGGTATTGGTAATCATGCAGCCGCGAATAGTAGTGCGAAATCGAGCGGGAACCACTACAACTCCGTGTCCATACCATCGATGCTACCGGTATCCACAGTGAATTTTCCGTACACGATGTACTACGGATGTTGGTTCTGCAGGACAAAAATTCTTGCCTTCAGAGGTGGTCTTACTCAGCATGACAAGAGGAACGACTCTGTAACTTAGCGAAACTACTTGTCATGCATTTTATACGTCGTGCACGGTAGATTTGTAATTGCATAACCGCGACAGGAGTCCCAGGTTTTTTCTTCCGCGGAGGAGCTTGTCGCCGCGTCTAAAGACACCTGCGGATCTTGTCATGCGGAACTACAGGAACAACCACTGAAACACACGCCCTGCTCGACTTTTGTCCGACAACTGAAGTTCAACGACTTCGCCTCGTCCCACCTGCACGAGGAGCAGAAGATATGCACTGCAAAACCATCGTACCCGTTGTATTGCAATAATGCATTACAAATCTTTTATTTTCTTCAGGTAGACCAGCATTACAAATTTTATTTCTCATGCTGAGGAAATTTGTAATGCATTCATACGAGTGCGATACTTTTGCAGAGGATAGAAAAAACGGGAAGTCGACGTCGCGTTCAAGGGCACAAGCGGGCAACAACACAAGAAAAAACTCGAAGAATTTATCCACGACATTGCAGAGGGAAAACTCCGGGCGGTCATTGTGCAGAAGTTAATGGCGCGCATGGGGATCTTCACCTGCATGGCAAACGGGAAAGTAATTGAGCATCCGACTTTAGAGAACACGGATCCGTTCACCTTATGCAATTAACAAATTTCCTGTACATGTACAAAATGCATCACAAATTTCACCAATTCCGGGTGTGACACTTGTCATTCTAGATGAGGATCGAAGCCCAGTTTTGTCATGCAAGGACCGCATTTGTTTTTGTACGCGTGCGGGAAATTTCCTGTGGATACACCCTAGCCGCCTTTAACAAAAAGAAGTTGGAGAAGATGTCCAGTACTACTAGCGGAGGCTGTAATCAAAAGAATAATTCAAACACGACATCATCATCAACCGCTGCTGGTCCTGGTGCGAGAAAAAACAGTAACTCCTCCAAAGAGCAGCGCCGGCCATCCTTCCTTCTCCAAATGGCGCAGAGGTTACGAAGAGGCAGTTCCGCGAGTGTTTTGTCATCGGAGAAAGCGGGGGACTTCCAGGACCTGATTGGCAACGTGGGGCACGGGACGGGAGCGATGTTTGGACGGAAAAACGCGACGGTATGCATTGCAAATATGTCTGTGTCTGGAAGCATGTAACGTGTAACGCTAGCCCTGCACTCCTGTAAGTGTAAAGCCTGTGTTGCGTGACTAGCAAAAAGAAGATACGACCCTCTTTAGTCATACAAGAGTGCAGTTTCTCATGCGGACTGAGCATGCAAAAGTGTGCGGGAAACTTGTAATGCTCAGCTGCATTGGGAAGTCGAAGTATTTCAGTCATCCACAATTCAGCATCACAAGTTTCCAGGCCCAGACATATTTGCAATTCATAGACAGAGACGATTAACAAAATGATCCTGCAGTACCTGTTTGACGTACACAACGGAGCGGATTTTTGCTGCTTCATCGTGCTGCGATACTGTATTCTTTTTACGATTTTTGTTTTTGACGATGGTATCAAAAAAGGTCCTTTTAGCCAGTACGTAGCTTTGATGCAAGAACAAGACCTGCTCGCTCTTGCAGGCATCAACACAATGATGCTTTGTATAGCTTGAAGTTGAAATTTCATTACCATGTCCCTTGAAATGCAAATCGAAATACGACGTAGATGTAACCATGATGACCGAAATTCAATCTATACTCAAGTTGCTGAACAACTTAGGTGTAGAAAAAACCGAATTTGCACGTCAGGCTGATCACATTGTTTGATTTCTCATGCATGCTGGTACAGAAAGACCAACAAGCTGGTGGTTATTGTCCACCAAGTACTTACGCAAGACAACTTCTAGCTCCACTATGATGACTTATTCTACCAATCTATACTCAAGTTGCCGAACTAGAGTGTGGAAAAAACCGAATTTGCACGTCAGTCTGATACAAGATAACTTCCCATGCAGATCAAGCGATCCGAAGGATGTCTTTCATGCGCGTCCTGCAATAGAAGTAGAACAAACAAGCTTCGATGTTGTCATGATGATCCAACCACACAACCTTACCTACTTTACTTGAGCGCTTTGCGTTGGTTGTTTGTTCATGCATCCGGCCAGCACGCAGCGTGACGAGACTCTCGATCTGATGTATTTTTACGTAGAAGAAGCTGAAAGTGATAGTGAAACAAAATCAATCTCGCAAGAATTCCGGAAGTACTGGACATGATAGTACTCGAATCGAATCCGACTTTGACCGCTTTGACAGAGTATTCGAATCGAATCCTGTTGAACAAGTGGTGTTGATTTACGCATTGTCAAGATCACAGTGCTTGTTCGGGAAAACTGCATCACGAAAAATCAGGTTCCTGGGACCGACAAAAGGCGTTGGAGCACTTGGCGCGGGTGATCGTCTGGTACAATTGTGACGTCTACCAGCACCTGATCCACATGAACCACACCGACTTACTGAAACCTCAAGACCTTTGCCTCCCTTCCTACGTTCGAACGTACCACAAGCCGCTGCGCCCGCTGCAATCCTCGGTGAGCTGTGTCGACTACAGTTGTAATGCGGTGCAGCGTGACAAAACTGTTACATCAACTTCCACCGGCGTCATTGATGAGGAAGACTATGACCTCGACACCGGCCGCCGGCAGTGCACTGATAGTCTGAAAAGTTTTTCCATCGGCGTGCAAACCTGTCGGGAGAATCTCGGGGGACCGGAGAAGGAGCTGATATGGAAAAACGCTACTGCTGGTGCAGTAGAAATCGGTGATATGAAAGATGAAAACTCCAAGAATTCTACAACTGCGACAACCCCGAATTCCAAATCGAAAAAGAATCTGAAAACCGCTGAGCACTACAAGATCGATCTCGATTTTGACTTCGAAGCGTCGCCGGGTGGACAAAGCTGTAAAAAGAACGGTGAAATAAACAGCAAGAACAATGCTCCTGCTTCTTCTAGTAGTACTTCTTGTTCGAAAAGCAATCAAGTCCTTCAGAATCTAGCGAAAACCACCAGCGTTCCGCGAACACCACTGTCACCAGGAGCGTCTTCTAATGCAGTAGAACAACTGAAAAGAGCGAAGGTCGAAACCAGGTCTATCAGCACCCAGACTGACGAATCGTGCCCGGACATGCACCCGATATGGGAGTGTCAGGATTGAAATCGACAAAGTTGCAATAGCTTGCAATGCATAAAATTGCTACCAGTTGGAAGCCCAATTTCCAAGCAGCGCATGACAAATTTCGGAACCATCTAAATCCAGTCTGTCATGCTCATTAGGGACACAGGGCGGCTTTTGTAATGCTACTTTGGCAGCTCTATCGCAGACCCCGAAGAGGCTGACAGTCGGCCTCGCTTGTCATCCCTGCAAGAGAGGCACTTCATGCCTTGCAATTTATGCATGACAAGCATTTCGGTCCTGACGCTTCCATACCCGATTGTGGCGAAGTACACTCCGGAACCGCTGGCGCAGGTGTTGAACCCTTTGCCCGCGATATCTTGTGTAAAAACGTCCCCACCCCAGAGCTGTCATGCAAATTTGCATGCCAAAAGAGTTTCTCATGCAAAGCCTCATGAGAAGCTTCTTCTAGTCGTGTTTTGGGATTTGGGATGCTAGAAATAGCATGGTATGCTCGATCTGTGATGCTGGCTAACTAGCTACTCAGGATCACACTACGAGGACAAACTTGTCATGCGAAACAACCAGAGCTGGCTAATTTGTCTAGCAGATTTCCCATCCTGACTCTGGTGTGGGGACGTTTTTACTCAGGATGCGCGAACTTTTCCGCCTTTCACATTCGCGAGCACATGGACGACATGGCCGACAAAGAGCTCTGGTCGTGCTTGAACCCCGCCTACAAGTTCAGCAACAAGGTGTACTTGACGAAGTACAACGACACAATTGAATTATGCACTGCAACAGTTTCGTTATCGTACTACTTCTAGTACAAATCGCATCACAAAGTAGAATTTGGTCAGCATGAAAAATTGAATTTGTGATGCTGATGAGCGTTGTACAAGGCAGATCTGTCATGCAAATGCACGATTGCGAGGATCAGGATTAGTACGCGTGCGGGGCTCGCCTTTTGCAGTGCATAGGAATTCTGCCGGTTCCAACACGTCACTGGGAACTGCTTCAGCAACAAGGCCAGCCACGCGAATTCCTGTGCCATGCTGCACAACCAGACGGAAACCGATTTGCAGAAGATGATGACGATCATGAAGTTGCGGAAACTGCAGCACATGAAGGAAGTGGGGGCGACCGGGTCGGTGTTTCTGCTGGATTTCAAAAACTGCTCTCTGTTCCAGATGAGCAAGGCGGTGCGGAATGCGCAGAAATTCCAAACCTTCGTGTGGGAAATCATGCGGAACATTCCGGGCGGCATGAACCGGTCGCTACTGTACAACATGAGCTCGGGCGCAATCACCTGTCTGACCATGGCAACCATGATGTGGTGTGCGGACGACAGGGCCAGGATCAAAACCAGCACGGGGAAACCGTCCAAGAAACAGTTGGAGGATTTGGGAATCAGTGAGGAAATGTTCCTATCCTGTGCAAAAGTACCACCAGTCGCATTCATGCATTATACGAATTTCTTTCTCAAGTAGTGAAATCCGCTTTTAGTAGTTTCTCATTTGATGTGTTTCAGTTTTAGTACACATTTTGTTTCTCACTTGATGTCGTGCATGTTATACCAGTGCGATCGGGATGCTTTTGTATTTCATAGCTCCAGGAAATGGAAGAAGAGCTGGATTCCGGGGGAACATTCGATTTGTTGAAGGGAGGGGAGCACGCCGCGGGACAGGGCGTATCAAATGCAAACATGTCTGGGTCTGGAAGAATGCAAGTCTGTCATGCTGTCTGGCATGACGCAGGCTCAGAAATCTGTAATGCGTGACCAGGAAAAGGGCCTCTTGCCTGTCATGAAAAAACGAAGTTTGCCATGCGAAAAACCAACGAAACACAGTAGCAACTGAAGAACTTTTTGTCATGCCTGGCTGCGTATTGCAGGCCGCCCACCAGTCACATTTTAGCGTCACAAGTTTCCAGGCCCAGACATATTTGCACTTGACAGGCCGGTGTGGGGATCAAGACGAAGGGATGGAGGAAATCGGTGTGATGTTCTTACTTGAGGAGCTTTTCCTTTCTGAAGACGATCCCAGCATCACAAACTATTTGGAGCGTCTCCACCCATTGCTGGGAGTCACTACTTACAACTACCTTGTTATTTACAAGTTTTTGTTTTTCGAAAATAAACCACGAACTGCTAGTACGAAGCCTTTCGTCGTCGAATCTGAATCTTTGTTTTCAGAATCTTCGCAATACCAATACCTGTGTGTAAAATCATGTACTAAAAATAAACCTAGCGATTCATAGAAGTATTCTTGCACTTCATCGCTAATATTGTCCGTTTTTCATTCTCCTGATTTTTTTGGTGATGCAGCCAGGTCCAGAATCTTCAGCTGCTGACCCTGAAATTATGTTACCGTTTTTATCAAGGGATTGAGTACAACTTCCGCGGTATGATGATTTTCCAAATGCCTATCTATCAATTTTCATGTAGGAAAAAGAATGCGCTGAGTTGTTGAACAATTCGCAAGCGGTTTTCTCGCTCTAGCAGGACGAGACGGCGTCGGCGCACCATTTTTTTCCAAGAATCAAAGTTTCGTTGCGCTGGTAGAAATTATGGAGTACTACTTCGGAATTCGACTACTGTCTGCAGGTCAGGTGTGCTTTCATCAACCGCAACCGTCTCTCCTGTGGGCAATACTAAAATTCAACTTTATGTGACTGAAAATTTTCATCATTTTTTTCGTTTCGCGCGTACTTCTGTTTCACCTCTGACGGGCTCAGGCAGTAGCAAGAGCGAGCGTCTTCGCATGATCATGTCAAGTCGCGGCAGGTGCTCCTACTGGAAGACAAACACAAGTTTGATTGCGCACCGCTTTTTATGTTCAGCAATTATAGGAGTAGCATAGCATCTACTTGGGTTTAAAGAAACAGCAGTGTAAAAATGAACCATGATGTTTTTTCGTTTTTACGCAAACGGCGAGAGGGCCTGTTATTCCATATGCATATTTCTTTTCACAAAATGTCTTTTCTCAACACTACACCATATGTTTCCTCCTGCACAACTACATAAGAATGCCTTGAGCGGATTTTTGACAGCATATAGCTACATCAAAATCCGAGATTTCAGACTTCTGCTGTTGTACAAGCACTCTGTCATGATCCTCAGGGCCATCATCAGGAGGTCTATGAGCAGTGATTCGATAAGCAAGGCTATTCGCAGGCATTTCTGCTTGCATCATCTTGTGAGATGTCGAGCATTTTTTGCTCCTCCTCGTGATGTTCAGGTGGTCCTAGTGGCTGCGAATTGATGATTGCGAGCAAGCGCGCCCTTCTTCCAAATTGGAAATAAACGAAGTGATAGGATGTTCTTGTTCAAATGATTTGGGTCCCCTGAGTAGAAGTTGGCTTCAAAACGTACCTCAACTAACAAACAAGGAAAACACAATTTCAATTTCTCATTTTTTTCACTACGCCGCCTGAGAAAAGTGAAAGATTCGTGTGGTACAGTTAAGTTCATCATCCGGCGTTCTCAAGTACACCTGTTCTTTCACAACAGGACCACATTTCATTCATGGCATTGAAGATGAAACTTTTGTTTTTGAGAAGTTCTCCTTTTTGCGACCCGCAGCATTCGCATTCTTGGCTATAGCGACAATTTTCTTTCCCCGTAAAAATCGTGTCCCCCCGCCACAAATATCTCATCTACTTTCATCTCAAACTTTTTCTTTCGCACTCGTCGTAGTGTCACGACAACATGACCCTGATGTTCTTGATCCACGACGACCGGTCACCAGGCTGCTTCATCTTCCCGCACAGCTTCATCGCCGCATCGTCGTCCACCTGTAAGAACAAGACCACAACGGAATTTGTCGACACCACAACGCGAATAAGTTGGCGGTAGTTACGACGTCGCGGGCGAGGAACAGAGTAGGTAGAGAAACTTCCACCCAGCAGGAGCAGCTAAGGGGACGACAACTACTTCCAAATAACCCAACTCGACCACATCGCAAGATGTTCGACGGTGGGTCCTTCGGCAACCGCGTCGACCTCGGCGGCAAGTCGAAGCGCGCTGCGACGGACCGGAAGCAGTTTCTGAAGCAGCAACAGAAGGAGCGGGAAGTTCGACAGGAAAAGGCGAAGCAACTCCTAGCGGCGGAAAAAATAAAAAAAGCTTTGAGGTCCTACTGTATTTTAGAAAAACAGAAAAAGGCGGAGAGAAGTCTGTTCGAAAAGCGATTCGGCGACATGCAGAAGGTGTTGCACAACCCGCAGGCCATGCAGAACGAAAACATGAAGAAGGCGATCCTTTTAGGGCTGCAGAAAAAACTACTACCATCGTTTTTGTTCTTCTTCCAAGGGAGAAAAGACATCGGCTTGCTGGAGCAACTATTGGAAACGGTAGTGGCGACGATGGCGCCACCGGTCATGGATGGTGCAGGAGCTGCTGTTACGCCGACGTCCACATCTAGTACGTGGAGAATATTCCAACGAGATCCAACAGAACAACAAACTCAAACACCCCTTTCATCGTCACAGCAACAGCAATTACTGGAGGAAGACCAGCTTTTGCTCCTGCGTTGGTGCAAATTGCTGTTCCTTTTCCTGCGCTACCTGCACGACCGCGGGAACAAGAACCAGCAGAAGCAGATCGGGAGCATTAGCTCCTCCAGCAGCAGCACGACCACTCGAAAGAACTACGGGCGGGAGATTCTGTCTATCCTGGAAAATGTTATGAACTGCAAAAGTATTGTATATCGTACTAGTAGTAAGTATTGCAATACAAATTAGCTCATTATTTTGACCAATGGAATTTGTCATGCTGTTTGGCCCTGGGATGGAGATTTGTGATGCATGACTGCGATAATTACTACGAGTGTGATGCTTTTGCAGTGCATAGACGTCAACTCCGAGCAGTTCCGGGCTCGCATGGCGCTGCACCCGGCCATTTTCCACTTTCTCAGGGACGTCACGAGCGCGAAGTATGCACTGCAAAAGAAAAAGTATCGTATTAGTGCAAATGGCATGCCAAATTTTGTCAAGAACAAAAACGCAACTTGTCATGCTGGATCAGGTAAAAGGATGAGATCTCTTATGCGTGAGTGCGCTTAATAGCACTGTTGCGGTACTTTTGCAGTGCATACGAAACTGCTGATCACAAATCCGATGGTGAAGGCCAAGGACGTAAAAGTCCGCCTGTTGGCGGTGTGGAAGAAGTTCTCGCCGTTGACGGTGGGGGAGTTTCGGGAGAAGGAGACTTGGATGATAGAAGAAAGTGTTGTTTCATCGACATTTTCCACAGGAGCAGGTGGATCTTCTAACTTCGACTTTCACATGGAGGACAGAGATGGAGGCACAACACTTCTGAATAGCAACAGCAACAGCGACGCGGGGGCTCTCACAGGAGAAGTAGTTGTTCCGATGGTGGGAACGACTACAGGCGCCTCCTCCTCATCCTCGGCCGAAGAAGATGCGCACATGGCTGACGCAGCTAATGCCGACGTCGGCCACGATTCATCAGCGAACCCTAGTACTATGGTATCCTCCAGTAGAAATAGTGCCGCGGCTGCGTTCCGCAATTTCCAGACGCACCCGGGCGTGTACTACCATTTCTCGCCATCAGGATCTACTTCAGGGACGGGAAGGATAGGAGCAGCTAAAGGTGGTGTGACATCAGCACAACCGACAACAAATCTTCGGAGCAATAAAAGTAGGAATGACCAGCAGCATTTTTTCATCGCGTGTGAATTTTTGTTTTCCTTTCTCCTGTCCAAAGGTCTGCTTTACGAACATTCGGAGGCCTGCTTCTGGTTCTCCGAGCAGATGCGGGTGCTGCAGGAATTGTTCCTGCTTCAGTCCAAGTTCGCTCTCCGCGAGTACCTGTTATTCTACATTGCGTACAGCTTCTCCGCCGACGAAACACACATCTACCCGCCGCTTTTGTACAGTCCAGAAGGCGATAGTTCCTCGTCATCTAGAAATAACCGAGCTGGTTTTATTCATGCGTCGGTGAATACAGGCAGGACCACAGGAGTATCAACCTCCGCGGGGGCAAGCGCGTCATCGTCTAACAAACGGGGCAGGGCTGTGAATTCCAATGCCTCAACAGGTGGTCCTTACTCAGCCGAAGTGCAGCATAAGCTTCTCGCGCAGATTGTCCAAGTGTCGAGAAATACCGCTCTGATTAGCTGGAGGGAGAAAGAACAGGCGAAACAAGACAATTTCAATCTCCAAAGTCATCTTCAAGGCAGTTCGTCTTCTACTGCTTCTGCAGGAGTACCACGTCCCCGCACCTCCTCCATCGACACAAATGTTGATGCGAAGTACCTCTCCGGTCTCACGAAGCAGCTGGATGTGCAGCGGTCGCAGATTCGCCTGCAAGCGCGACGGTATCAAATGCAAAAATGTCTGGGTCTGGAAGGATGCTGCAACTTGTGATGCTGCATTTGGATTCCAAAAAAATCTGTATTGCATGAGCAGCAAAGGGAGTGTAATTTTTGCTACGGGAAGAGGGCATTTGTCATGCGCAATAGGCATCCAGAAGCCCTTGAAAAATCGCTGATGCTAGGGCATGCATCACAGACATCATGGCTCATGCAAAACTTGCATGACAAGTCTCAGAATCTTCCAGACCCAGACACTTATGCACTTGATAGACGGGCCATCCACGCGATGGGGAAAAGCCGAAACGTGACTAGCGACCACCCGAAAGTGGTGCTGCTCTTATGCATTGCAAAAGTATCATACTAGGAGAAATCGCATGACAAATTCGCTCAGAATTACAAAACAATTTTGTCATGCAGATCTGCCTTAGGAAAAAGATTTGTAAATTCATGATTGCCAAAATTTTTAGCTCGAGTTTCATACGTTTGCAATGCATAGCTCTCCGCCACGGGCAATCTTTGGTCGGCGCTTAAGTATGGTTTGTTGGACGGAGGAGGGGGAAACTCTACTGCAGGACCTACAACCGGGTCGTCTTCAGCACATCAACAGCACAAAAATTTTTCGTCCTTTGACCGGTCGTTCTTCGATCTCCTCGACCTCTTCAGCCTGCTGTCCGATCCGGAGTACCTATGACAGTGCACAACTATCCCTGCTCCCCCTCATTTCCCATGCAAAATACCAAATCCAGGCTGTGCCTCCTGTCACTGCTTGCATGACAAACTTCGGAAGAAGTAGCCGAAACAGTAATACACTCGTCCTGGAAAAATTTGTCATGCAAAACCAGCATTCTTGCTGCCGCTTGTACTGCCGTTCATGCTATACAAATGAGAGGGCGGGGGAGTAGTTGTGTACTGTCATACCACGATAAGGAAAGACTGAAGTTGGAAGACTACTTGGACACGGAGTTGCGAAATCAGTTGATGATCAAAGAGCAGTCCAATCTAATTCGCCTCCTGTCCGAGAAGTGTAAACTGGACGACTTTCTTCTCTGTTACTTTGGGTCCGACTTCACGGAGCCGCCCCACGACAGCGTTTTGTCCACGCTCGCCTTTGCCTGCAAAAATTTTCTCTCTTTACTCACCGAGAAGGTGCTCGCGAAGTCGGCGGAGCAGTGGGCGCGGGAATTGGTAGATAAGTGCGTATATGAACTGCAAAGGTATCGTACTGGTAGTGATTGCAGTCATGCATTACAAATCTTTTTCTTAACGTAAATCCGCATGACAAATTTTATTTCCCACGCTGAGAAAATTTGTGATGCATCTTTACGAGTGCGATGCTTTTGCAATTCATAGCGTAAATGGAGGGGACACTACTTCAAGCGGGACCACCAGCGGGGGAGCAAACCTTTATCACTTCGGAATAGCGACGAGCTCAGGTGCTGGGGGCTCTTCTTCTTCCTCTTCTTCAGCGAATAACTACAGGGCTTTTGGTGCAGAGGCTGATGGAGGGGCCTCCTCCTCTTCTCACAACGGGTTGTACATCGTGCCGTTTGCCTGTGTTTTCAATGTGCAAGCCACGGTTGTGGACGACATCGAGTTCTTTTCACCGACGAAAAACCCCATCGCGGAAAAACTGCCGGCTATGCATTGCAAAATTATCGTACTAGTACAAGATGCAATACAAATTTCATTAGCATGAGAAATGAAATTTGTGGTCATGGTGATTTGCCTTGGGAACGAGATTTGTAATGCTAATGCAAGAGTGCAAGTACTACGAGTTACTCGTAACGAGTACGATACTTTTGCAGCGCATACCGGTGATCGCGCAGCTGATAAACCGGTTCGCGTTTGTGTTTCTCCAGCACATTGACTCGCTGATATGCATTGCAAATATCCCTGGTTGTCTGGAAGATTTTTGCGAGATTTGTCATGCTAGCCTCGCATGACTCTGAATTCTGTATTGCGTGGCCGCATAGAGCTCCTCTTGCCTGTTATGCAAAAACGCAGCTTCTCATGCGGAGTAATACGCAACTCAGAACCATGGAAAAACTTGTCATGCTTGGCAGTGCATTGCAGTGCGCTCCCTCGTAGTCCCTTCCTTGCACCATCACAAGTTTCCAGACATCCAGGGATATTTGCACTGGATAGCTGAACGTCACCTACAACCTGAACCTCCTCGGGCCCAACGTGCACGATTACCACGGGACTCGTGGCGGAAGAACCAGCGCAACGACGAGCGACGACGAGGACCTGAGCAGATCCGAAGATGCGGATTCGGATATAGAGATGAGCGACGCCGCAATTGGGACTAGTAGCCCTTTATTCGCCAGCGGGCTGCAGTCCTCGCACCATCATCCTGACCACGCGGGGGGCTCGTCGTCCCCCCTGCTTTCGGGCAGCGCGAGCGCTTTCGGGGCGGCCACGATCGCGGGCGCGGGAGGTGCAACTTCGTCTACTTCTAACATGAACAATAAACCTATCCACAGGAAATTTCCCACACACGACGTACAGGTGCGGTTTCTGCATGACAAACTTTCTTGTTTCGAATCGCTTTTCCGCATGACAATTCATGGAAATTTGTCGAAACAGGTGAATCAATAAATTTGTGATGCACCATTCTGTACATGAACATGTCGAGGAAATTTGTATTGCATAAAAGCAAGCCGAGACGACAGTCCAAACGACTCCGGCCCGGCCGTGGACAAGTTCGGCTTCACGTCCTTTACTGGCGGTAACGGGGAAGAGGGAGTATCCTGTGCAAAAGTATCGTACTCGTAGTAATTGCATTTGTGCATTACAAATCTCGTTCCCAAGGCAAATCAGCATGACAAATTGCATTTGTCATGCTGAGGGAATTTCAATTTGTCATGCAATTTATATACTAGTACGATACTATTGCAGTTCATAGGGAAACGCAAGAAACAAAATCCGGTTTCCCCAGCTCCTGCAACTCGTGCGGCATCGCGTTTGCGGGCTGGCGAGATCGCTGTACGACAAGTTTCGAAGGAGACAAGATTTGTTCTCGTCCTCTTCAACATCTTCCACTAGCAGTGCCAGCGCGATGCGAACCGGTACTACTACTTCAGCGGCGAGTACTTCTACGTCTAGTGTGGTTAATATCGGCACCAGCAATAAAATCGATTGGACCATCGCATTTTCCGGCACGAGGCGGAGCAATTTGGTGCTCACCGAGCTGCCCCACTGCATTCCCTTCCATATGCATTGCAAAAATGTTTGGGTCTGGATGAATGCAGGAGATGTTTGTAGTGCAGTGGTTGCATGACACAGAGTGTCTGGCATGCAGGGACCAGCATCACAGGTTCTTCGAAAGCCCCATGATGCCTACTCTGCATGAGAAATCATCCGCTCTCTCCAGGACCGAAAATAGACATCGTTTGTTGTTTTTGCAAGACAAATTTTTCTGCGATCTGAAATGCGCATCACAGGTTGAAACCCTCCAGACCCAGACATGTTTGCTCTTGATATTCCAAGACCGCGTGCAGTTTTTGCAGGAGTGGATTCGCATCGACCACGACATTATCAAGTGCAAAAATGTCTGGGTCTGGGAAAGTGTAAACTTGTCATGCAGATTTTCCATGACCCATGAGGTCTGGAATGCGGGACTTAGCATGACAGACTCTGCGAGGTCTCTGCCATGCCTATCCTGCATGAGAAACCGCCTTCCAACTTGGTCAAAAGTGGACAGCTTTTGGCACTCATGCAACACAGATTTTTGCATGCTTCAGATTTACCATGACAGGTTGCCACCTTCCAGACGACCCAGACACATTTGCAATTGATAGACATGCGGCAAGCCGCACGCAATCCGTTTCAGCAGATGATGGGGACAAGGAAAAATATATCAAATGCAAGTATGTAGTCTGGGTCTGGAAACTTGTGATGCTGAACTGCGCACGACTGAAAAACTTCCCAAGGCAGCCAAGCATGACAAACTTGCCGAACGCTTTGTGATGCGCATTCCGCATGACAAGCTGCGCTTTTATATGACAAAAGAGGGCGAATCTTTGTTAGTCATGCAATACAGATCTTGCAGGAGTGTAGGACAAGCATTAGCATTACAAGTTCCATGTTTCCAAACCCAGACATTTTTGCAATGCATAAAATATTCGGAGGACGCACATCGTAGAGGACGGGTACGATGCCTTCGCGACTATGGACGAAGAGCAGCTCCGCGGTGCATTTCGCGTGGTTTTCATAGACGAAAATGGGGAACAAGAGTCCGGCATCGACGGGGGCGGTTTGTTTAAGGAATTCCTGCTTGAGCTGTCTCGATCGGCTTTCAGTCCGGAGCGAGGGTTGTTCCGCGAGACGACGGACGGGGAAAGGAAGCTGGTTCCCATATGAGAGTGCACAACTCGTCCCCCTCCCCCTCATTTGTCATGCAAAATACCTAATGTACGCATGCAAAATACCTAATGGACAGGAGGTAGTACCTCCTGTCACTATTATGCATGACAAGTTCTGGCAGCCCAAATAGCACTGCGTGCGCTCCTGTCCTAATTTGTCATGCAAAACCTGCATTCTTGCTCCTGACGCATGTATCGCTGTTCATGCGATACAATCATGAGGGGGAGGGGGAGTTGTGCACTTCCATATCCCAGGTCGTTAATCGACACCACCATGGTGTACGAATCGGAGCGCATGTCTCTCTATGAACTGCAAAAGTATCGCACTCGTATAAATGCATTACAAATTTCCTCAGCATGAGAAATGAAATTTGTCATGCGGATTTACCTTAACAAAAAAAATTGTAATGCAAGACTTGCATTTAATATACGAGTGCGATACTTTTGCACAGGATACTCTCTCGATGTTCCACTTTCTCGGGAAGGTGGTCGGGAAAGCCATCTACGAAAACTGCCTCCTGGAGCCGCAGTTCAGTCGGGTCTTCTTGAACCTGTTGCTGGGACGGGATAACACGATCGACGACGTATTTTCTCTTCTTGTTTTGTTCGTTATTTTTCCATTGCTGTATGACGATGACGTCGGGATTCAGATAAAGATATCGATATCGCGACCGGAACCCCGATGGTGTCTGCATAAAGTTGATTATAATAGATACGATTATCCGATCTTCCTGCCGCGCGTTATGGTGTTCTTGCACTACTTCATTTGCTCTATCATTGTCATCGACACGTGGCACTACAAACTATGATCTAGTACCCGTTTAATATTTTCGACGTCATCATCACCAGTAGGTACCTACCACCTGCTGACACCGCCCGATGCATAGTAGATACGATATCGAAATCCAAACCAATGAAGAGTATAAAAAAAATAGTGCACAAATAAAACGAAACACCCAGCTGTACGCCTTGGACCGTGATTTTGCCCGGAACCTGTCTCTGACAAAGGAGTCAACAGTCACCGAAGACTGGGGCCTCTTCTTCTGCATTGAGGGTTCGGAAATGGGCGGGAAGCAGTTTACGCACGACCTGAAGCCGAATGGGCGCAACATCGCGGTCACGGAGGAAAACAAAATCAACTATATCCAGCGCCTCGCCTTCTACAAGACCACCACGGAGCTCCAGAAACAGTCGGTCGCGTTTCGCGACGGCATGCTGCGGGTGCTAGACAAACACTGGCTGAAGATGTTCGATCCCTACGAGCTAAATTTCTTGATTTCCGGCACCCCAGACCTGAAGTTTGACGAGCTGAAGGCCTGCTGCACGTACGCGGGCGGCTACACGCAGAACAGCGAGTGCATCACCTGGTTTTGGCAGATCCTGTTGCACGAGTTTATGCTGTGCAAAAGTATTGTACTCGTATAAATGGAGGTCTTGCATTACAAATTTTTTTGTCAAGGCAAATCAGCATTACAAATTGTATTTCTCATGCTGAGAAAATTTGTAATGCATTTATACGAGTGCGATACTTTTGCAGTTCATAGAGTTTTCCGTCGAGCAAAAGTCGAAATTTCTGCAGTTTGTTATCAAAACCAAAAATGCCCCCACCTCCCCATATCGAAAACTAAATTTGTGATGCTGCATTTGAGTACACCAATCGACTTGTATTGCTAGAAGGCCAAGTAGAGACGCAGTCGTGGCCTGAATTGCAGGCAACTTGTCATGCTAGTTCCCACGTCCAGCTCCCTCCTGTCATGCTCAAGATGCAGGGATTTTTCGCGCCAGCTAGCACTGCAGCCCGCGTCTTTTGCTTTCTATAGCATGACAGAACTGATTTGTGACCACAAATCTGCATCACAGAAGATTACCGCTGTGATATGGGGAGGGGGATTTTTCTTCTTGATATTTGTCACCTCCTGCAGCCGGGCGCCGCTCCTGGGCTACAGCTCGCTCTACCCGCCTTTCTGCATTCACCGGGTGCCCGACAACGAGCGCCTGCCAACCGCGTCGACGTGCGCGAATTTGCTGAAGCTTCCGGACTACAGCGACAAGGCCAGACTGGCGGAAAAACTGATACAGGCGATCTACCAGGGCGAGGGCGGCTTTCATCTCAGCTAGAAGAGGACATCAAAGGTCGTGGAACTACAAGCGTCCTTGTCGTTGGTCCGGTACGCACCGGCGGGCCGCTCCAATGATCGTCCTGGGCTTCGGTACTCCTGTTCTTGTGCCCCACCGAATATCGAGCCAGAACTTCTACATCATGTAATAAGTCTACTACTCTCCCAGTCAGCACTGTGCTTCTTTCATTGACGGCGCACGAAGTGAAGAAGTCCAAGAACACGACGCTGGCGCGTTGATACAGTTTGTAATTGCGTTTACAGAAAAGATTAAGATTTGTCAGAAAAAAGAACTTCGATTTGTTGTGCAAGCCGACGAAGGTGGTTTATCATCCGAATGAAATTCATGTGAAATTTGATTTTTCAAAACTCTTCTATTCGTCTTTGCAGTTGGAGTTGTTTTACTCGTCCGACTCCGCATCCCAAGAACTTGTTGATCACGCTTTCTTATGTGTTGAAGCGCCGAATTGAAATTTTTCGTCAGGATTTTCGCATGTTCTTCTGTTCATCTTCGCCGTACTTCTAGAAGAAGTTCTGCCTATTTATTTTGACTTTGAAGATGCAGCAGTTGCACAGCAGAGCTTGGTCTATCATGAGTTGGGATCATGCTTTTACATCAGTGCATCCATGATCCATGAAACAAGCGCCATCCATGATCCATGAAACAAGCGCCAAATCCCGAGGAGTGACTTCCTCGTCGGCGATCCTCGTCTTCATTTCGGTCTTGAGTGTAAGGAGTAAGAATTATTTCGCCGCGGAAAAGTGAGCACCTCGATGTGCTGGCGCAAAGGTAAAAATACTTCGGTCAGCATCTCAATCTCATGACGTTGATGTACTAGGAAAAGATAACCAGGCCGCGCACCGCCACAAATAGAAATACAGCTCCACCAGCCAGCCCATCGATTCTCGGTCTTCAATGACTCTTGAATTAGGAAAATAATACTATAGGGCAAGAAACAAGACCTCGGTGTATTTTAGAAGTCGAAGTTGTGGTGGTCGGTGTCAGTATTGTGAACAAGTAGTGTGCTAATCTTATGTACCAAGGACCAGCGCGAAGACCTACTTCTTGTTGCACTCATCCTCGTCTTCTTTGCGAGTAAGTAGCCTCTCGATGTTGAAGATCGCTTTCTGTTGATGGGTGCACGTCAAATGGCAAGCAGTGGCAGTTCCTCCAACTTAGAGCTCATCCAGAGAACTGTCATCGAAAGAGGTATCAAAATTAATCACCGAAGAACACCGAACAACTAGAACCAATCTTCACAATCCACACAGCTGCTAGCTGCACCAAGACGCGATAAAAAGTCACGACTACTTCTTCAGTTCAACAAAGATAATTGCGGAGCGAGTTGTTGTCTTTGGCACCATCATCAAAGAACCCGAGTTTTTTCATCTAAAAGTAGCAGTAGGTCGTGGACAAAGATCAACCGAACAAAAGAATTGTAAAATTAAATTATAAATATCAACAAGCTGAGTATTTCTTCAGCACTTACCGCACAACTCGAATACAAGGAACGATGGCAAAATCCTCGCTGTACGGTTTTGCCTCCGGCGTTCTAGCGCTGACCACGACCCTGCGTGGCATTGCTGACTTCTGTTCCTTCCGGGACCAATTTACGCAATGTAAATATGTCTGAGTGGTCTGGAAGGATGCGAACTTGTGATGCTAATTCTGGAGAACGCAAAATAAAATCTGTGTTGCTTGAGCACCAATAGTTGCCAATAACTCCTTGCGCCGTTGCAAAATACGAATTTGTTATGCGCGATAGGCATTGGAAAGCATGCTTAGATCCGAATTCCAGCCCATTTATGTAGTCCAGAAGATGCATGGCAAACTTCTGCACTTTTATTCCAGACCTAGACACATTTGCACTTGATGCATTTCCTTCTCGCGGGAGTGTCCGTATCACGAGCAAAAGTATTATCGCACTCGTGCGAATCGCAGTCGTGCATCACAGACGCAGCTTTGGCTGGCTGCCTGAATCTGCCTCACAAATCCTGTCAATTTTGTTCTTGTTGTAAAAACTTTATAGATATATTTATGCAGTCGATACAACTTCGTTCTAGTGCACTACTTTTGCATTGCATAGTCCGGTCTCCAGCTACAGGTCTCCACCTCGCTCTCGCCCTCGTCGCGCGCTGCAGCCGCACGTCCTTCTGCTGATGGATATCCCGTGTAAAAACGTTTCCTTCCGCCCAGAGTTGTCACGCAGATTTGCTGCTCCCACAGGAACATTTGCAATGCGCGCCCCGCCTATGTTGAGAGGCATTCTTAGTCGCGTTTTGGAATTTGTAATGCTGTATAGCAGGATCAGTTTCAGCAGATCCTGATGGCTTCGTGATGCGGCCTGCATTACACTACAGCAAGAAAGGACATCTCCCAAAGTGCCGGGATGTCGATGTGTGTTGCAAAGCTAAAATTCCCATGATGATCTTGACGACTCAGCGGCGGGTACGTTTTTCCAAAGGATGAAGATTCAGGTCCTGCAAGGTCTCCAGAAGCAGAACCAACAACCTTCATGTGTATGCGAGCGTCAGGACCTACTAGGAAATCTAATCAGAATGGAAGCGGTTTTTTGCAAGAGTTGTGTTGCGTGCTGAATGTGAAAAAATGCTACGACTTACTTCTCGCAAGTTGTAGTCATCTGTATTGGCAGAACAAGGATATGCTTGCAGGTTGGGCCGCAATTGAAGCCGATGCAGCGGGGCGTGACGAGGTTCAGTTCTATCTCTATGTCCTGCCCGAGTTCTTTTCGTCACGCATATAATTTGCATTCGCCCACCCGTCCTGCTCCCAGAACATGTCGCATGGGGGGGATAATCCTGTTGCCTCGTTCATCTGGTAGTTGTTTGACACTGGGGGCACCGGAGCATTCTGGGTTTGCGCCCAGCTTTCGTGGCCGCGCTCCGTGGCACCCACGACACGTGATTTCTTCGATGCAATATTAACGAGCGGCCCGTGTTGCAGACTGTTTGCGCGTGTGGGGCCGGCCAGGCAGCGTGGGATGTGGTCCGGCAGTGTGTGAAACCGTTGGGCGGCCGCGCCACAGGTCGCACCTGCTATCGGCCTCCTGGCCCGATGTTGTCGGGGTCAGTGGCCTTGCGACGGAGCACGAGTTGTGGCCCCAACACTGATTGATGAGGGTGCTTGTCGATCACGCGCGCAATTATCGCGATTGTGCCGCACCAGCTGACGAGCGCGCATCCAGACTGTGCCGCCCAACCTTTTTCATTACCACGGAGAAACTAGGACACAACCTGTCCTGGGGCTGGGCTGTGTTTACGCATTGCAAAAGAAAAAATATCCGGGTCTGGAATTAGGGTGCGCAGCTGGAAGTTGCGGGACTCCACCGAGGTCTGTATTGCATGAAGGGGATCAACATTGGCCCGCGGTTTTTTTGAAATCGTGTTGGAAGGCAGTTGTTGGTCCTCGCCATGCTCAATCGAAGACGAATGAACACGAAATAAGACCCGAACAACTTGCGATGCGCCGTTCATGATCATGCGGTAGTACTGAGGAGTAAGTAGGTACTGAGGAGTAAGTAAAAGAAGCGGATGCGGACAGTAATGCTGGGTGGCGCAGGAAAGCGCTGCATCTTCAGCATGACAGGAGGCAACTAGAAATGGGAAACAGCACGACAAATCGCCTGCAATGAAGGCCGCAGCTGCGTCTCATGGCCTTCTAGCAATACAAGGCGACTTGTGTTGTACTCAAATACAGCATCACAAATTTCCTTTTCGATATGGGGAGGCGGGGTGATTTTTCTTTGCGATAAAATCCTGATCGAGGGGCCTGGGCTGCAGCTCGAGCGGGCGGGTTATCAAATGCAAAAATGTCTGGGTCTGGAAGAATGCAACTTGTAATGCTGCGTTTTGATGTCTAAAAAATTTGTGTTGCATGAGCAGCAAAAGGATTCTAATTTTTGCTACGCGGAGAGGGCATTTGTAATGCGGAATATGCATCAAGAATCTCTCAAAAAACCTGTGATGCTACGACATGCATCACAGACATCATGATGGCTCATGCAAACCGTGCATGACAAGGCTCAGAATCTTCCAGACCCAGATGACACTTTTGCATTTGATACCGGTAGTAGTGCTGGCAGTGCTGGCACAACCACCTCCAACAGGACAGCAGTTGTACCCGAGTGGGCGAAGAAGAAAGGGGTATTGCCGGGTGACGCCATCGTATGAACTGCAAAAGTATCGTACTAAGTAGTAGTAATTGCAATACAAATTAGCTCAGCTTGTTGACAAATGGGAATTTGTCATGCTGTTTTATCTTGGGATGGAGATTTGTAATGCATGATTGCGATTACTACGAGTGCGATACTTTTGCACAGGATACATCGTGGTTTGCAACGATTTCCAATGTGGCGACAGCACCAGTGGGCTGGAAAAACTACAGCAGCTGTTCAACACAACAACTTCCGACCCCACCGGCGCGTACGTGATTCTCCGACGGGAGGCCGGCTTTCCGGACGCTGTTTTGAGAACGGAAGTAAACCTGGATCGCCCCTTGCCCTATGAACTGCAAAAGTATCGTACTAGTATAAATCACATGACAAATTTCCTCAGCATGAGAAATGAAATTTGTAATGCGGATTTAACTGCGGTGGCAGGATCCAGCGCCCCTAGGTCGGGGGCGCTCCTGCCTTAGCCGTATGGGACCCCGTGGGCAGAAGTATCCACTCGCGCGCCGCGCCCGTTCTAGTTAGGGTCCATCTTCGCTTTTTCTTCTCTTCACCAATTCGACAGGTCAAGCAAATCATTTCACGCAGTTCGCTCCGGCTACAGTGATCTACCTAAACTTCTATTTTGATTTTACATTGCAAGGTGGTGATAAGTTGAGACACTATTCACCAGCTATTTACAAGCAGGAACATAGATAGTACGTTTAAACTACAGTTACTCGCTCGCCTAAAGTAGAAGCGAGCACCCGATTGATTTTACATTGCAACGTATAAATGCATTACAAATTTCGATTTCCTCAGCATGAGAAATAGAATTTGTAATGCGGATTGTGGTTAAGAAGGAGATTTGTAATGCATGACTGGGATTGCCGTTCATGATCATGCGGTAGTACTGAGGAGTAAGTATCTAGAACGGGCGTGCGCTCCGCGCCCGCCGGCCCGGCGACGAGGGGGTGCAAGGGGGAGCGAGGGAGAAAGAACCCCTAGGGGAAAGCCCACGGCCCAAATCCCACGGGGCATGCCCAAACTTTGCTAACACCACAGGCGGAAAGCAATGCCCACACACACACAGACATCAAGGCCGCAGGGCGCGGAGGGTGGCAGGGGCATAAAACGCAGCCACCTCCCAGGCCTCCACAAACAGGGCGGCCGGAAGGCGTTCGCAGAACCTTTGCGAAGGCCCGGAAGGCTAACCACAGGAAACAGAGGCGGGCCACAGGAAACAGGGCGAAAAGGGGGCACGAACGGCCAAAAGACCAGATGAAACGGGGCTGGCGCAAGGCAAGACAAAGAGCACAGACAGGAGGGGCACTGCTGGCGATATGCTTGCTCTAAAAGCCAGAAAGCCGACAACAAGAGCAAGTGGGCCAAGACTTGCTTCGACCAAACGAAAGCCCTGAAAACGAAACTAATGCGCCGAAGCAGGGCACGGAGGCGAGGCGCAAACCAAAAAGCCCGGCAACCCAAAGGAAACGGGGCAAAAGTATGCAACGCCGTTGGGGCCGAAGAGGCCCCGCGGCGGCGAGCACGCGGGAGACGCAAGTCTGCAGAGTCACACGCGGAAGGGAAAGGCGAAAATTGGCGCCAAACCCCTCGCAACAGGGGGTGAATGACAAGGGGCGCCAAAATGCAGCACGACTTCGGCCCGGGGCAGCCAATCGGCAGCCGCCAGCCAGGCAACTAAGAGGGCTCGGCAAAGGAAGGCCGCAGCCCCAAGGCCCCTGACCGAGGCCCCTTGACAGGCGGCCCAGGCGAGCTTTTGCTGGTCTATTCCCTTCGGGGTTTCTCGCTCCGGCTGCGTTGGCGGGTTTTCTCACTAGTGTTTCCGCTTTCCCCAAAATCGGGTTTTTTGTCACTAGTGTCTCCACTAGTGGGCGCCTTCACTAGTGGCGCCTGTCACTAGTACCGGTCGCGGCTTTTTGTGACGCTAAAAACACTAGCAGGATTTCTACTAGTAGCCGTTTTTCTACTAGCACAATTCTACTAGCAGCATTTCCACTAGCACCTCGCACCCCCGCGTCCGCCAAAATTTTTTGAATAGTATTATAGATAATTGTTGCTATCATGCGGTAGTACTGAGGAGTAAGTAGTTGCTGGCTTTGTATGCGTGTCCGTGTCTGCCGCATGTTGCAACTGCGGCAAGCTAGCTACTGCGTTTCAAGCGCGCTGACCTAGCTCGCTGAAGGTAGTCCCGAAATATCCCAGAACGGCGCTGCCGTTATACAGGCCAAAGCCGCGGCTCCAGAAGGTCCTTGGCTGGGAGGCTGTCTACTGACACTAGAGCAACCAGATTTCCGTCCGCGGAGGATCGGAATACTGCGGCTGGTCTTGCTGGGTTGCCCCTCAGCATCTCGGGCACATCTTACTCCTTGACGAAAGACCTTCAGCAAAGGACCTCCACAACCCGTGAAAAAAAGGCAAATTTTTGAGCAAATTAACCGACGACCTGGTGACAAATCTCGAAAATCGTGCATTTTGCACGGTATGGTGGACTCTGGGAGCCCAAAATCGGAACTGGTGACAAATGCCAGAAATTTTGCATTTTGCGCGGTATGGTGGACGATTGCGCACTGATCAAAAATTCTTGCAGCTGCAAGAATTTTTGGTCCGTGCGCAATCGTCCACCATACCTTGCAAAATGCAAGAATTTGCTGATTTGTCACCAGTAACAAATCTGGCTCGGAAACGTCCACCATACCGTGCAAAATGTAAAATTTCTGGGATTTGTCACCAGGTGGTCGTTAAATTTGCTTAAAATTTTGCTGTTTTTTTCTGGGTTCTGGAGGTCCTTTGCCGGAGGCCTTTAGTCAAGGAGTGCCAAGGGCCCGACATTCCCAGGAGCAACCCAACATCGCAAGCCGCACCATGCAGAGAGCCCCCCCAGCAAGGATCGAGCCCCTATGCGCCAGCAGCCAGCCTCCTCGCAACGGACCTTCTGGAGCCGCGTCTTCGGTCTGTACGACGGCAAAGCCATTCCGGGGCGCTTCTGGATTGCGTTCAACTACACGGGCCACCATGCTCGAAGTGTAATGCCTCGCGGGCCACATTTGCAACAACTGATCAATATGGGCATGTGTGGGATATCAGGAAAAAATCAAATTTTTTGGGTCGGAAAATGAATATGCCAAAACGGTGACGGTGACAAATTTTCCCTGAATACTTGCGATGCGCCGTTCATGATCATGCGGTAGTACTGAAGAGTAAGTAGTTGCTTTGTTATGCAAGGCTCAGTGTGACATTGACTTTTTTCAGACCCGGACGACTTTGCAATGCATAGCGTTATTTATTCTGTGGCACTTATTTCGCGAACCAAACTGCTTCCTTTCGGTCGATGGAAGATTTTCACCCACCTGACGCAGCCATACAGTGCTGCATTTGTCACGGAGATTTTCCGATTACTGAAGATGGACATCCATTGTGTGTAGGTGGAGACCACAGGGTGAATAAGGAGATCTGCAAGCACTGCTACGACACCTTCCTCGCGAGGAGCAGCTCCGGCCCACCTCCGTGTCCTCTATGCCGTCATATGACTTCGTGTGTTGCGCGGGTCTGGTTCTGCTGGAAAAGGGCAAAGTATATTACGTAAGTACTATTCTACACGGCTTCTTGTTCATGTTGCTCGTCTTGGTGTTCTTGTCATGCTCTAGTACTAGCACGACGCCGACGTCGCCCACGCGGCCAGAGACTTCTACTGTGGAGGAGCGCCACAGCGCGACGCCCACGACCATTCTTTATTGCATGATAGTTGTCGTGCAGCCGAAAAGTAGAGTCATGATGTACAAATTATTGTATGGTCGTATGAATATTATAAAAGCCAGCTTTATTTTTGATATGAGTCTCATGCGACCACGACACGGCGCTTGTACAAACACTGCTCAGCTACAGCTAGGAGCTGTGCATCGATTAACATCCTGTGGCGTCTTTTGCCGTGCGGAAAAAACTTACGGTGCTCGGCTGCACATCGAAGTGAAAGCGTCGTGATTTATTGCTAGGACACAGCTTGTTCCTTCCAGTGGAAAACCCACGTGAGTGCTTGCGCTCGATATTCCGGACTGACAGACCGGTCGTTAGCCCCGTTTACTACAACCGCGCGATAGAAATTGCGGGGGTGCGAGTCCTATCAAATGCAAATATGTTGTCTCTGCAGGTCGGGAGGACGAAGATTAATGCAGTGATTCTTGTAGTTTTTCGCAGACTTTAGATTATTTGGAGGAAGGTATGGAATTTTTATGCATATCTCAGATCATGTTCACGAGCACTACATGAACATGATCATGAGTACGCAATAAAGCTTTACCTGCTCATCCTCATGACGAGCCCGCTCCCGCATAATGCGAAGTGGTTTCTTGTATATTTTTCGGGAAACAAAGAGCGAGCATCTTTTGCTGACTAAGCAAGTACTACACAGCAGATTATTTATCTTGCCTCTTATTCCAGAGTGAAAACACGACCAGCAACACAAGTTGTTTGCGTCCTTGTCCTCGGCCCGCTGGACATAATATTTGCAATGCAAGCGTCCTCTTCAAGATGCGCTACGCGGCGCACAAAGCATGGCTAGCTCTACTAGATCCTGCTGGCCCAGATGGTGGAGGTGATGTGCCTGTTTTATCAGGCGCGATCCGTGGGTATGCAAACAAGTACGGTACGAATTACAAAACGATATGGAATCGCATCAGACCCCAAGAACGCGGAACAGAAGAATCTATTGGCGCATACGAAAAACGTGTTTTTACATACGAAAAGCGTGTTTTTACACCAAAGCCGACGCGTGTGGAGGACCGCGGTCAGCAACTACACGCCTACGAGCGTGCTCTTGACGTTTTGGCCTTACTCTTTGGACCGGAAACGTCGGACCACCATCGCTTTTCGTTGAGCTCAATTACTAAGCCTAACGGTGCCTTCGCGTCTCATCACCCGTACACAGAAGAAGGTATTGAGAGTGCCGTGCAAAGCTACTATTGTAATAAGGGAAATCGTGACGAAGACGACGATCTCGAGCAAGCGGAAGAAGCGTTAAAATATTTTTATGAGGTAAAGAAGCTGGCGGAAAAGGAGCTCGAGCAAAACCATGCTGAGTTGAGGGACAAAATCCTGGATGCTATTGTTGAATGGCAGTGGGTATGGATTTCAAATATCGATCTGGGTCTGAGAGACGGATGCAATTTGTGATCATGGTCCTGCGACATCTCTGTATAAATCTGTTTCTGGAATCTGGTTCATTTGCATCCGTGCTAATATAAATAAAGAAACGCTGCCCACTTGATTTTTCTACGTAGCAGATAGCGAGTCTATCGATCTTCATCATGCGGGGTGGGAGAGGACATAATAATTGGGAAACCTTTCCAACACTTCCCTGTGAAGCTTCCCGTGCATTGATTCATCTAAGCCACCAATCGCCATATCCCGCTCCAGAAGATGCATGGCAAACTCATCCAGCCCCCATCCGGGAGACCCAGAACGCATATTTGCAATCCATAGTGGGCGACCCACACAAAGTTTTGCCGAACCGATGCACGAGTGCAAGGGTATCATGAGGAAAAGCCTCTCTCTATCGCAGGTAAAAGCGCTAACGTCAACGGAATTTGTGACGCGGTAATGCATCAGAAATCAAGCCACTCGCCAAAATAAGTATTTGCATTGCGTCGCATGCACCACGGAGCGAGGTAATTGTAATGTACCACTGCAATCTGTGAAAGGCGTTGACGTTACCGCTTTTTTGCTTGATCCACCCCTCCATCCTAAATTTAATGTGTTTATTACGCACGAAAAGGGCAGTAGTTTTGTCATCAGTCTCTGTAGATACAATTCGGGTTCTTGGTGGGCGGCGCGACAGAAAAAGCCTTGAAAGCAACTTGGTAAGCGAGGCCAACAAGAGCGCGCTTTATAATTGGACAGGGTATCATGATCAGGTGTAATGCTGCATCTTTATTCATCTTCTAGCCTAGTAATATAGTAAAAGGTCTACGACGACCTATCATAGTGAACGCCCGGAAGTGCTAGGCTTCCGGAATAGGCGAAACAAGTCAAGAAAGACGCGCTTTCGGTCTTTTCTTTCAAGGCAAGGGCAGCTGTTTGCGTAGAGTACAGTGTAGATCGAGAATCTTCACATCCCCTTTTGGGTACGGAGAGGGACGCCTTTCCACCCCCCAAATATGAGATCCTCCGATGTGAAATTTCAAAAAAAAACAGAAAAAAGGCTAGGGGCTTCATCTCGTAACTTATATATTTATTTCAACATACCGTCTCCTCGATTTAGATTTACATTTAATTATTTATGCATCGAAACTAGGTAATTTTTTTTTGATTTGCTTGGAATTTCATCATATCTGAGGACGTCATAGCGATAGCGGCTTCACGCCCTCCCAGTGCCTGCGGGAGACGCGCGTGTCTGCGCCTCCTTACCGACGTCTCCCCGAAAAAGGGGCACTTCCCCCCGCCAGTGTGCCAGATGGTGCGACCTTGTCCGGCGAGGAGTGGAAGAAGTGGCAAAAAGAAGCGCGGGAGGCGTTCAGCTCCAAGCCCCTTCCTATGAAAGGGCACAGCTCGTGGCCCTCCTCGCTCTCATCTGTAGTACGGCATGACCATGAGCCCCAAGAACTACACATGCAACCATGATCCAACGGCAGATACTAATGTGGCTTCCGCTTGACAAAACTGCGCGCGGATTGTATGTAGTACTTTCTGAAATTCCAATATTTGGCACGCAGACAGTGCCCTGCCTCAAGGTAGGATGTGGATTTGGTATTTTGCATATACAAATGAGAAGGATGGGGAGCTGTAGTTGTGCACTTTCATACCTCCTTGCCCGTTCGAGGAGAAAACGGATGCGTTGGGCTCGTGGATGGAGATTTTAGGTGTCCCAATATCAATTGCAAGCGTGTCCGGGAGATCTGAAAATGAACAAAGAGCGTACGCTCATTTGATGACATTGTCACGCTTGCGTGACGCTGACAGGATAAATGGGAATAAAAGTTGTAAAATCCATAAGTCTTTGGCTCCGACGTCTGGATGCGATAGCGATACAGAAACAGCCCCTCTCTCGCTAGAGCAACTTCTCACGCGGGTCAAGATGGGCTTAGCAGCTCAACAACTTGCACGCGTGGTGTCATGGAGGGAGCTGCTTACCATCCACACATGAGCATCAGCAAACATTTTTTTTAAGACCAGTCACGCTTCCACTTGATACAAGAACAATCCTGCGGTGGTGGAAGCCTACATGGAGATGGGAAAGCGTTACACGAAAGCAATTGCGTATCGCGAGAAAAAGCTGTCTCGTCAGTCTCGTCAATTTATAATGCTGTCACCCCTTGCAGCACTTTTTTGTCATGCCCCAGGTGATGAACGAAAGGCGTCTTTCGTATGGGTTTTGTCTATCTAATGGTCTGTCGCGTCACAGATTTTGCGTGTCGTTCTGACCAAATTTGCAGGCGTGGAAGTAAGTGAAAAATCTGTGTGTCATACTGACCGAGCTGAGGACTCCATGTCGGCGGATAGTAGGAGTTGTCAGGCCCGACGGACCCACTGTCGTGCACGATGTCCCTGGTGGCTTCGTGTCCTGCGGCTGGGCGTCGGGTCCTCCGGACGCTGAAATCTTCAACACGCAGCCTGTATAGAAGATGCAGCTGACCAAAATAAAATCACCTTTTTTTTATATGTTGAGTCTGCAAATAAAATGGTTCGGGAAGATTGTTGAGACAGTTGCTTTTTCTCACCACATCGCGAGGGATTTTCTTTTGGGCGAAGTCCGGCTGGTTCTTGAGGGAGTGAGAATGCCGCCCCCACATCGCCCTGGGAAGGCGCGGGATTGGCACGGTCAGATCTTGCCTGACCCAACGAATTGGAGCCGGCGGTAGTTCCGGAGGATGAATTCGAATGGGGTTCTTTGTGCATAGAAGTTGTAGAGCTCTCTTTCCTATTGTTGTCCTGCTTCTATTTCAATTTCAACACGGGATTATAGCTGAGTCATATAGTTCCTCCTCCTCCTCATATATACTAAGTAAGGCTCAGAGCCTTCCATGATCGCGAAGTTGGTACGAAGTAAGTATTGCCGATCCACTGCGAACATGTCTTAGTCTCGAAGAGTGTTGACACAGACTACATCTGCCAGGCATATTTTGCGTGACCACCTCTGGTGTCAGCGGTTTTTTGAGGGCGGGCGCGCAGTTGTAATGCCTGTGCCGCACCACGAAAAACAGAAACAAGTGCCCTCTTCTCCGTGTCAACAATTAAACCCCTCTTGCAGCTGGTCACGCAGTGCAAAAATTTTGTAGAATCCGATGGCAGCGTCACGAGCTGTACTCTTCCAGACCCAAACATTTTTATGTTGCTTCCAGACAAAACGCCAGACGTTTCTAATCTATGTTGCGCAATATTAGCATGATATCGTATTCTAGTGGACGCAATAGCAAGTGCTTAAGTTCTCTCTCTACTTCATTCCTATACGTAGTTCTCATTTTTTACCTTTGAAATTTGAAGTCGTTCTCTTCCCTGTGTTGTGTCACGGTCTTGTTTCCAGACAAAACGCCGGACATATTTGCAGGGCATATAAGGTTTTGCCGCCTGCTCATGAGTTTCTTACTTTTGTTCAGATCGATCAATAGTATTTTTGTGGAACTGGAAGCAGAGCACTTTTACAATCATGGTAGACGCATTTTATAAAGTAATTATGATTATATAAGCAAGGGGGGTGGTTGGATCAGAAGGTGCTTAAGGGGGTCGGCGGATAAAACGCTTTGCAAAGGCCGTCCCTTGTTACAAAAGAAATTGTCGCAGCTGTGGCCGCGCATGTAATTGCCGCGCCCCCTTTGTGGCCCCACCTATCGGACCACTCTACAACATCGTGGCCGACGGCGCTCGCGGCCCGAAGCAAGCCGCCGCGAGTTCCGACACGACAGGCCGTGCGAAATTTGTCTTCTTCTTTATTTCGGCCCGAGCTTCGCCGGGGGCGTGGGTATTAAAGAGGGCCAGCCCCCCGACGCGTGTAACCCTTGGGCCGTGACACTCCGGCGGCAGGAGAATCCCGGAAGAAAAAAAAAAACGCGGCGCCGCCGTTGTAGTAGCTTGCTAGCCCAGTAGGCAGGCGGAGGCGTTGCGAAAGACATAGCCGCCGCAGCCCCCCCCAATGCCTGCCATCAGTGCTTGCGGGCGAAAGTGAAAAACTTACCTTCTTCTTTATTTCGACCGGCCTGAGCTGCGCCGGGGGCCTGGGTATTGAAAAGGGCCAGCCCCCCTACGTGCGTAAGTCTTCGGCCATGACTTTGGAGCGAAAAGGAAAGTGAAGCGCGCTGCCCTGCCAGACCTTCTGCAAGAGCGCAGGCGCAGGCCGGTTTGGGCATTGCAAGCGGCCTGCTTGTACGGGTCCAGTTTCTGTAAGCCCTGGCGCGCCCCATTCTGCGGCAGGGGGCGTGGAAATCTACTGTAGAACGGGGGTGGGCGCCTGGCTTTTGGATTCCCTCGTGGCCGTCAGGTGCCAGACACTCCGGTGGCGCGAGTGCAAGAAAAGCCGAGAGGAATATTAAAGAAAAGAATGGCGGGGAGGGCTTTTCTCTCGTATGTTTGTCCGGCCCAACCCCTTACAATTTTGTCTGGTGTGGGACATCAAAACCAGGAGGAACCGGCGCAACGATACCCCGTCGCTTTATTTGCAAGGCGGAAATCATGTTGCCCCCATCAAGTTTTGACTTTGTAAAGTGCCAGGGCGGCGCGCTTGTAAATTTTGTAAATTTATCTGCTGAGCAGGTTCTTACGTGCTCCTCTTGACATGAGCGGAGTGCTCCTCTTGACATGTGGGCGACAGCTACAGTCGGAGTGCTCCTCTTGACGTGGCGCGGCAGATGAGGCCGGCGCGATGAAAATACCTTCGCGACGAGTTGCGAGCCCTGACAGACTATGCTAAAGCAGCACGATCATCATGGAGGAAGAGGCTCTTGTTGGTGCAGCTACTCAAATGCAGCGTCGCGATCGTAAATTCCTCCAAAGCTATCGTCTTTGATGAAGATCCTCATCGTGCCATGATCGTAGTAGTAACAGCTCGCCTCCTGCTTGAGCTGCAGAGGTAGATGAGGCCAACACGTTCATCGACGTGACTGTGGTGTGTCGTGTGTTCACCGAGGTGTCAACAGGCGCAAATCTGCTTGTAAAATGTTATGAGTGAGCTGGTGGACCGACGTCGTCGAGAGTGCCATGTGTCCGTGGAGAGGTCGTGTCAAAATCGAAAGCGCCTGTCCTGTGGCTTTCGGAGTTGTCTTCTCAAAAGGACTAAAAATGTGAATTAAAATTAAGTCGTATAAAATACCGCGGCACAGCTATTGTGCCCCACCGTCGTTGCTGGTCTCATTTGCGCGTCGCGCTGCCTGCTTTGAGAAATGGGGAATTGAGAAATGAGCGAGCTGCCGATCGGGCTTCTTCGTCTGTCTGTGTAGTTGCGCGACCATGTGCGTCCAAGAAGTAGAAGCGTCCACGTTTTCGTTGTATTTTTTTCTTCCCTGCTCGTGCTGCCCAACAGTGAGTAGCAGTAGATCACTTTCCCAGCCATCAGCACATCACGTGAGGCTGTTGTGCAACATGTGGTGTTGCATAGAATTACAATTTCAAATTGCAACAAGTGTTTCTACTTTATTAACAGCTTCTTCCTCATCTCACCACGCTCTCGAAGCAGCATGCCACCAGCACAAATCCCCGCCGCTTTGGAGTACTTACTGTAAAGGGGGGCACTACTTACTTGCAACTTGGCAGCACGATATATTTTCTTGACTGAACATGGTCCATCACGCCAGCAGTAGTAAGTAGTAGTCTGTGCTTACCAGTGGCAGGAGTGGCTCGTCCTGCAAAAAAAAGGAGCATGGGTGAGCTGTATAATTTTTTCTAACTTCGACCACGACGTCGCCCTGAAGGGAGCGCCGGCGGGGCAGCTGCACTTTTGTCGTAGTGCCACGGCTGGCGGAGTACTTCTACGGGGAGATGATCAACGTCATGTGCTGTCAACCTCCGGCTCATCAACATCATATCCTCGAGACCACGGCGAAATACTAAAAATACGTACGCTGAACAGAGCTGCTCCTGCAACCAGGTCCTCATCAACATCGATCACTTTCTTCGATCCCCGGCGGACAGTTGTTTCACCTCGTCTTTTTACAATAAGGAACACCAACTAAAACTTCTCTTCGCGAGTCGATCCTTTCGATGCTGTCGCGGACGAGGACAGCCTTCATGATCTTTGAAAGCCGAGTCAAGTATGTTGAAAATAAGAGCCGACGAGGACCACGAGCAGCCGATGTTGTGCAAGAACTATTTTTTGTGCGAGTAGAAGAGGCAGCCACAAGCTAGAAGTAGAAGGAGCGTTGTAGTTGCAATGATAATTACAACTACTAGCGGCGCCGTAGCCGAGGGCCACGCGCTCCTTTTTCCTGTCGTCGAATGATTATTGTGTCATCTTCAGCTTACTGGGCTCAAGCGTCGAGGACATCTTCATCAGGGTTCTTATAGAGCCATCGAGATGGAGGACTTTAACGACCCCGTAAGACCGCTTCCTCCCGTAGCTGCTGTCGTCTCCGCCAGTCGGCTCAAGTACCTGCTGTCGGCCTCAGAAAACGTCGAAGATGAGGGGGACATTATCGATCCGAAAAATTATGCCACATCAACGACAGCACATGCACAACGACCTCCCCAACAACCACGAGAGTTCTTATTTTCCCGAGAAGTGCCAGCTGGCGAGGACAGTTGTAAAAATGCCCCTGTGCTAGGAGTCAGCATGACGAGCATCAACCTGATGCTCAACGAAACCAACCTGAGTCGGCTCTTCGAGGATTCCAATCCGCTCGTCGCGGGCAACGAAGTTTCCAGTGAAGATGTTGACCACAACATCTTTGATCCCGAGGGCATGCTCGTCGACGACAACTGCAACTACAGTGTCGAGTCTAGTACTATCAACTGCAAATATGTCTGGGTCTGGAAACTTGTAATGCTGCGTTGGGAATAGTGAAGGCTCTGTAATGCACAGGCAAGCATGAGAAATATCTGCGCTTCTTTGTGTTGCGTTTTTCGCATGACAAGCTGCGTTTTTGCATGACATGCAAAGGGGTCTCTTCTTGGACACGCATCACAGACTTTTTGGTCATGCCAGACAAGCATGACAAGTCTCGCAATCTTCCAGACCCAGACATTTTTGCATGTGATAAGTACAACTCGGCGTAGTTCCTACTTGTACTTCCAGGAGGACCTGCAGTCATGCATGAAGATCCGACAAGTTGTATCCTGAGTAAAAACGTCCCCACACCAGAGTCAGGATGGGGATTTTGCAACACAAACCTAGGAGTTTTGGGTGTCACGCATGACAAATTGCGCTCCGCAGTGTAGTGCTGGTTAGCAAGTGCAGCCGCGTCACAGATTCATCTGCTCATCCTGTTCACAGCATCACAAATTCCAAAACACGACTGGCAATGGCTCTCATGGGGATGCGCATTACAAGTCTTCCTGTCTTTGCAAATCTGCATTACAACTCTGCTGTGGGTACGTTTTTACTCAGGATAAGTTGTAGACCGCTCAACAACATCTCCGTTCCTCTTCCTTCCCGCGACCCCCCAGGTGCCCCCGTTCCTCTACTGGCTCCTGGCGGCTATGAAGGACCCAAAACCCTACGGGGTCTACGGCTGGGGCCAAGCCACGATAGACAAGGAGGTGCTGGGCGCGGGCGGCGTTATGCATTGCAAAAGTATAATCGTACTAGTGCAAACTGCATGACAAATTTTGGCAAGAAGGAAAGTGGAATTTGTAATGCTGTTTCTCGCTAGGAAAAATATTTGTCATGCACATTTGCAAATAGTACGAGTACGATACTTTTGCACAGGATAGGCGTGTCTTCGGAGCAAAAATTTCTGGAATTGTTCGGCTTCACGCTGGATTGGACCCGGTTTCCGAAGATTTTCGTTTCCAAGACGCAAGTACGCATTGCAAAAGTATCGTACTACATATGCATTGCATTACAAATTTCATCCTCAGCATGAGAAATAAAATCTGTAATGCGGGTCAACCTCAAGAAAAAAGATTTGTATATGCATGACTGCAATTACTATGAGCGCGATATTACTTTTGCAGTCCATAGCAAGCCCAGACCGCGAAGGGGCAGCCGACTCCCGCCACCCAGAACGGGGTGCGGGTGGGGGACCAGTTGATCATGATAAACGGCAACCGATATCATTTGTAAAAACGTCCCCACCTCCCCAGAGTTGTAATGCAAATCTGCATGTTGAGAATGTTTCTCATGCCGAGACCCATGAGAAGCACTTTCTAGTCGTGTTTTGGGCTTTGTGATGCTAGAATCAGCATGATGCGCCAGATCTATGATGCTGCTGAGCAAGCTAGTAAACAGGATTACGCTACGAGGGCAAGCCTGTCATGCGAAACAACCAAAGCTGGTGGATTTGTCTAGCAGATTGCCCAACTTGACTCTGGTGTGGGAACGTTTTTCCTCACAGTAACCGAACCACGATGATTGCGACCTTTCCGGGCCGGCACGTCCACGACGCACTCCTTCAGCAGTTTGTCCAGCGGTCGGAGGCCGGCAAATCGCAGATCGCGAATTGGATGTTCTTGTCCGGTGAAGCCAAGAAACAATACCTGCAAATCTATCAAAATGTAAAACTCCCCCTCCCCATACTGGAGCGGAGATTCGTGTAGCATGATTTGTGACCACAAAACATGTTGTCATGCTAGAAGGCAAAAGAAGCGGATGCGGACAGTAATGCTGGGTGGCGCAGGAAAGCGCTGCATCTTCAGCATGACAGGAGGCAACTAGAAATGGGAAACAGCACGACAAATCGCCTGCAATGAAGGCCGCAGCTGCGTCTCATGGCCTTCTAGCAATACAAGGCGACTTGTGTTGTACTCAAATACAGCATCACAAATTTCCTTTTCGATATGGGGAGGCGGGGTGATTTTTCTTTGCGATAAAATCCTGATCGAGGGGCCTGGGCTGCAGCTCGAGCGGGCGGGTTATCAAATGCAAAAATGTCTGGGTCTGGAAGAATGCAACTTGTAATGCTGCGTTTTGATGTCTAAAAAATTTGTGTTGCATGAGCAGCAAAAGGATTCTAATTTTTGCTACGCGGAGAGGGCATTTGTAATGCGGAATATGCATCAAGAATCTCTCAAAAAACCTGTGATGCTACGACATGCATCACAGACATCATGATGGCTCATGCAAACCGTGCATGACAAGGCTCAGAATCTTCCAGACCCAGATGACACTTTTGCATTTGATACCGGTAGTAGTGCTGGCAGTGCTGGCACAACCACCTCCAACAGGACAGCAGTTGTACCCGAGTGGGCGAAGAAGAAAGGGGTATTGCCGGGTGACGCCATCGTATGAACTGCAAAAGTATCGTACTAAGTAGTAGTAATTGCAATACAAATTAGCTCAGCTTGTTGACAAATGGGAATTTGTCATGCTGTTTTATCTTGGGATGGAGATTTGTAATGCATGATTGCGATTACTACGAGTGCGATACTTTTGCACAGGATACATCGTGGTTTGCAACGATTTCCAATGTGGCGACAGCACCAGTGGGCTGGAAAAACTACAGCAGCTGTTCAACACAACAACTTCCGACCCCACCGGCGCGTACGTGATTCTCCGACGGGAGGCCGGCTTTCCGGACGCTGTTTTGAGAACGGAAGTAAACCTGGATCGCCCCTTGCCCTATGAACTGCAAAAGTATCGTACTAGTATAAATCACATGACAAATTTCCTCAGCATGAGAAATGAAATTTGTAATGCGGATTTAACTTAACAGAAAAATTTGAAATGCATAAATGCGATTAATAGTGCGAGTTCTATACTTTTGCAGTTCATATGCCCGACGGCTGGATGACGGCAAGCGTTCCCATGCCTGCTGCAGCAATTATGGGAGTGTCAGGATCGAAATCGTCAAAGTTGAAATGACTTGTAATGCATAAAATGCATGACGTGAGGCGCGTGTGTTGCAGAGCAGGCAAGTAAGGCTGATTGTAAGCCTGTTTCAGGTTAGAGCTCGCGCTGCTAAGGTAGCATGAGAAAATCAGTCTTCTTTGCCTAAACAGCATGACAAACTGGATTTAGGTGGCACCACCAACATTTGTCATGCGCCACTTGGAAACTGGGTTCCAACTGGCATCCAGTTTATGCATTGCAAATCATTTCAACTTTGTCGATTTCGATCCTGACAGTTCCATAGCAATGATGTCGAGCGTAACCAAGGGGGAAGAAAGGCAGAGCACAAGCGGTGCTGGTAATATCTCGGCCTCCATGTCACCGGCGCAAATACAGAGCACGACGAACCCGAGCAACAAAATTTCCCCGTGGCTTTATTGGCTCCTCTCGGGCGTGCAGAAGATGGCCGACTTCGCGCTCTACGGCTGGTCGCAAGCAACGATCGATGTGGAGTGCCTCAAGTCTTCGGGCGTTTTTTCCTCGGAGCAAAAAATGTTGGAGCTCTTCGGGTTTACGTTATGCATTGCAAATATGTCTTGGTCTGGATCTGGAAGGGTCCCAACTTGTCATGCTGTCTTTGGATTCTAAAAAAATTGTATAGCATGACGAGCAAGAGGACTCCAGTTGTTGCACTTCGGAGAAGGCATTTCTCATGCGGAGTAGGCATCAGGAAGCCGCGAAAAAACCTGTGATGCTAGGTCATGCATCACAGACATCATGGGTCAGGCAAAATGTGCATGACAAACGTTGGACTCTTCCAGACCCAGACATATTTGCAGTTGATATACGTTTGATTGCAGCAAATTTCCAAGAGTGTTCGTCTCCAAAACCCAGCCGAACACGTCGAAGGGGGCCGACACAAGGGCGACGCAGTACGGGGTCCAGGTTGGGGATCAGTTGCTGATGATAAACGGGCAAAGGGTGACCATGGTCGCGTCTTGGCAGGGACGCCACTTCCACGACGCAATCATGGCCAACATCTTGCAACGCGTCACCGCGCAGAAGCCGCAGGTCGCGCACTGGCTGTTTTTGACTGGGGTAGGGAGGAAACAGTATTTGCAGATGCAGATCACGTATGAAATGCAAATATGTCTGGGTCTGGAAAGTTGGGACTTGTAATGCTAGCTCTACATTACTGGAGGGAAATCTGTATTGCATAAGCAACAAAGGACGCAGCCACTTTTGTCATGCAGAAACGCAGTTTCTCATGCGGACTGCCTATGAGGAAGCATTCTGGAAAGTTGTCATTCTGTGCTGCATTCGGAAGTGTTTCCATCATCCACATTTTAGCATCACAGGTTTCCAGACCCAGACAGAGTTGCATTTGATATCACGCACAAGGATGAAGTCCAGCTGGACGTGAAGAAAACCGATTCCGGTCGCATCGTGAAATATCAACTGTAAAAATGTCTGGGTCTGGAAGAGTTCATGTTTGTCATGCTTGTCTGGCATGACTCTTAAATCTGTCATGCACGCTACCCAAGAGCTGCGCTTTTCTGTGATGCAGAAGCGCAGTTTGTCATGCAGAATAGGCAACACCTAGGAGCTCAGAAACTTGTCATGCTGAGCCAGCATTTGTAGCCTCATCATGAGACGCTACGCAGCATCACAAGTTCCCAGACCCAGACATTTTTACATTTGATATGAAAGATTCGCATTTTGGCGCTCGGATTTTGAGAAAAGACGACGAAATAGTGGCGGCGGGCGATTTTTTCTGCGGCGAAAGCGACAAGGAGGTATGGCGTCCTCAACTGTTACATTATCAACTGTTAAATGAATATGTGATGCAAGAATAGCAAAACTGAAAGCGGGAAGATTGTGCCTTTTGCATGACAGACTTGGCACAGATTCTCGGTCTGTTTGGGCCTTCCTGAATTTGTCATGCGCAGCAGCTTGATCGCGTCGAATCTGATTCTTGGAGTTTTGCATGACAAATCATGTATACAGTTGAGAACGTAACGTCTGAGAACGCCATAGGAGGGGCTGGCGAAGTTGGAAAATCTGATGCTTTCATCGAACAACGGCGGGGAGGGCCAGTACGTGCTAGTCCGGCGAAAAGCCGGGTTTGAGGAAGAGGCTCTAGCCAACGAGCTGAAACTCGACCGCCCTCTGCCGGATGGGTGGCTCGCAACCGGAAACGTGCCGATGCCACCACCGGGATCAACAAATACTGCGGTGGTCCTCGCTTCCTCCTCTCCCACAGGAGGAGCACAACAACTGCAAGACATCAGCCAGCTAGGTAAAAGTCAAGCCAGTGCAATTGCGGGTGCTGCGAAGATTCCGCCCTGGCTATCAAAAGGAAAAATCCCCCCTCCCCATATCGAAAAGGACTAAATTTTGTGATGCTGATTTGTGGTCACAAACAACCTCTGTCTTGCCTTTAGGGTAATGGGAGCAATGTGGCGCATTCCACAGCCAGTCACAGTCTGTCATGCGCTTTCGACTACTGCAAACCTGTTTTTCGTGCCTTATTGCTAGCCTTCTGCACATTCGGACAGGCTTAGAAAATGCCGCCAAGCACTTTCTGCAAGACAGATCTGATTTGTGTACGCAAATCCAGCATCGCAAGCTTCTTTTTGATATGGGGAGGGGGGATAATTTTTCCTTACGATATTGGCTTTACTGGCTCCTCTCCGGTGTGAAGGACATGGCGGGGTTTGAGCTTTACGGGTGGTCCCAGGCAACGATTGACGTGGAGTGCCTGAAGTCTTCGGGCGTTTACTTATCCTGTGCAAAAGTATCGTATTCGTAGTAATTGCAGTCATGCATTACAAATATCTTCCCTAAGCTAAATCCGCATGACGAATTTGATCTCTCATGCTGAGGAAATTTGTAATGCATTTATACGAATGCGATACTTTTGTATTGCATATTACTCCTCCGAAAACAAGATGCTCGAGCTCTTTGGGTTTACCTTCGACTGCAGTAGATTTCCAAGAGTTTTTATCCGAGAAAAAAACGTTGTTATTGTAAATTTGTGATGCGCAACATGCAAGACGATTGCGTCTGTCATGCTTGGCATGCGTCGTAGGGTCCATTAAAGGGCGTGCTCCCGTACTATCTGCGCATGACAGGTTGTTGCTGTCATGCCAGACAAATTTGTAATGCTGTTCCTCCAAAATTAATAGTTACACCGTACAATGTTTGTTTCTTGGATAGTTTTCGTCTCCAAGACGCAGGCCAAAACGGCGAAAGGGTCCGACACAAGAGCGACACAGTACGGGGTCCACGTTGGGTATCAAAGAAAAAAAGGTGTTTCTACCGCTACACATTTGCTCTTGGAGTTTCATCTGCATCGCAAATTTTCTGTGGCTGAGAGTAGAGAAAACGTGCAAGAAGATCTTAAGGGATGAAAATACGTAGGAAACAAAGCTCCCAGGCCTATACGGCATGACAGAGGTTGAGGTTGTCTCTATTGCTTGGTCTGCAACACAATGTCGTGTAACTGTCTGTAACACAACTTCTTTCACTGCATACGGGGGATCAGCTGTTGATGATCAACGGGCAAAGGGTGACCATGGTCGCGACTTTATCAAATGTAAAAATGTCTGGGTCTGGAAGATTAGAACTTGTCATGCTAAATCTGAATCGTGCGAAAATCTGTGTTGCGTGAGTACCAAAAGCTGTCCGCTTTTCACCAGGTTGAGAGGGAGTTTCTCATGCAGGAAGGGCATGATAGAGACCTCAAAGAATCTGTCATGCTGGGGCTCGCATTCCAGACCTCATGGGTCATGGAAAACCTGCGTCACAAATCTTGCATTCTTCCAGACCACCCAGACACTTTTGCATTTGATAGACTTGGCAGGGACGGCACTTTCACGATGCGGTGATGTCAAACATCTTGGAGCGTGTGATGGCGAAAAAGCCCCAGGTGGCGTACGAAAGTGCACAACTGCCCCTGCCCCTCATTTGTCATGCAAAATTCCGAATCCACACTTTGCCTGTTACCACAGATAATTGCATGACAGATTCCGGAATCCAAAACAGTACGTACAATCGATCCTCTAGAAATTTGTCATGCAAAAGCTGCATTTTTTCCAGCGCGTGTGTTGCCGTTCCTGCAGCACAAATGAGGGGCAGGGGGAGTTGGGCACTCTCATATGACACACTGGCTGTTCTTGAACAGCAGTGGTAGGAAGCAATATTTTAAGAACTGCAAAAGTATCGTATTCGTATAAATGCATTGAAGTGAACCGGTACCCACGGGTGTTGACCGATCGACCTATTGCCAGCTAGGGGAGCACCCATGCGGTGGCAGGATCCAGCGCCCCTAGGTCGGGGGCGCTCCTGCCTTAGCCGTATGGGACCCCGTGGGCAGAAGTATCCACTCGCGCGCCGCGCCCGTTCTAGTTAGGGTCCATCTTCGATTTTTCTTCTCTTCACCAATTCGACAGGTCAAGCAAATCATTTCACGCAGTTCGCTCCGGCTACAGTGATCTACCTAAACTTCTATTTTGATTTTACATTGCAAGGTGGTGATAAGTTGAGACACTATTCACCAGCTATTTACAAGCAGGAACATAGATAGTACGTTTAAACAGTTACTCGCTCGCCTAAAGTAGAAGCGAGCACCCGATTGATTTTACATTGCAACGTACAAATGCATTACAAATTTCCTCAGCATGAGAAATAGAATTTGTAATGCGGATTGTGGTTAAGAAGGAGATTTGTAATGCATGACTGGGATTGCTACGAGTGCGATGCTTTTGCATTTCATACATTTGCAGATGATGATCACGCACAAGTCGGAATTGCAGCTCGACGTGAAAAAATCGAAATGCAAAGTCACCGCGGATTCCCATTTCGGCGCCAGGATTTTGAAAAAAGACGACGAAATCGTTGCGGCAGCGGACTTCGTTTGCGGCGAAAACGATAAAGAGGGACTGGCGAAGCTGGAAAAACTCGTCGCGAATAACGGGGCTGAAGGCCAATACGTGCTCGTTCGCCGGAAAGCCGGTTTTGAGGAGCAAACTTTGAAGGCCGAACTGAAACTCGACCGACCGCTGCCGGATGGGTTATCCTGTGCAAAAGTATCGCACTCGTATGGCAATCATGCATTACAAATCTTTTCCTTAAGGGAAATCAGCATTACAAATTTTATCTCTCATGCTGAGGAAATTTGTAACGCATCTATGTATACGAGTGCGATACTTTTGCAATGCATATGGGTGGTTGCTCGGCAACGTGCCCCTACCGCCGGACTGGGAGAAACAAGGGGGGAGTAGTAAACAAGGAGGAGGTCTTATCGCAAGAAAAAACTGTTTCACTGTGAACTTGTGATGCAGAGAACGAAGCACCAAAGTGTTTGTCTTGCTACACCTGCAAGACATTGGATCTTCAAGCGTGTTTTCCCTTGGAAAGCGCGCATGGCAAATTTTCCGTGTCATGTGTAACAAACTTGTGATGCAGATCTTGCAAAACCACCACAGTGAAACAGTTTTTTCGTGGGATAGGACTGACATCCTCCACCTCGAACATAATTACCTCCGCAGCGGCGCAACAAGAACAGAAGCAGCCGCAGCAGTCTGGAGGCTCCACTTTAACTGCTAGTGCTTCTACTTCTTCCACCACCCCGCCGCCCTGGCTGTATTGGCTCCTCTCTGGTGCGAAAGACATGACCAATTTTGAGCTGTATGGCTGGTCACAAGCTAGCATCGACGTGGAGACCTTGAAATCCTCTGGCGTGTATTCCTCCGAAGCGAAAATGCTGGAGTTGTTCGGATTTACCTTCGACATCAGCAAATTTCCGAAGGTGTTCGTTTCCAAAACCCAGGCGAAAACGTCGAAAGGGACCGACACACGAGCCACGCAGTACGGGGTCCATGTGGGGGACCAATTACTGATGTTAAACGGACAGCGGGTGACCATGGTCGCGACCTGGCGGGGGCGGCATTTTCATGACTGTTTGATGGCAAACGTGTTAGAACGCGTCGAGGCGAAGAAGCCGCAGGTCGCGCACTGGCTTTTTCTGAACAAAAACGGACAGAAGCAATACCTCCAAATGCAGATCACACACAAAGACGAGGTGCAGCTGGAGCTCGGTAGTATCCTGTGTAAAAACATCCCCACCCCAGAGTTGTAATGCAAAATGGCATGCCTAAAATGTTTCTCATGCGCAGCTCCATGAGAGACATTTTCTCCTGCTATCTGGAAGCTTGTGATGCTGGAATCAGGATAAGGCAGTCGATTTGTCATGCGGCTGCACTACCTCAAACAGCACTACACTACGAGTCCAATAAACTTGTCATGCGAAACAGCCAAAACTTGTTGATTTGTGCAGCCAAAACCATATTGACTCGGGTGTGGGGCCGTTTTTACACAGGATAAGTAGTGGAGGTTCTTCTTCCAAAAGCACCAACTCGTTGAAAAGTACCAAAATCCAAAGAGATTCCCACTTTGGCGCTCGAATCTTGAAGAAAGACGACGAAATCGTGGCTGCGGGTGATTTATGCACTGCAAATATCCCTGGATGTCTGGAAGGATGCAAGGTTTGTCATGCTTGTCTGGCATGACTGAAGAGTTTGTGATGCGTGTCCAAGAACAAGTAGAGACCCTTTTGCTTGTCATGCAAAAACGCAATTTGTCACGGGGAAAGCGCAACACAAAGTAGCACAGATATTTCTCATGCTTCGCTGTCCATTACAGAGAATTCACTACTCACAACTCAGCATTACAAGTTTCCAGACCCAGATGAAATATTTGCATTTGATATGATTTCTATTGCGGGGAAAACAACAAAGAAGGTTTGCAGAAATTGGAAAAACTCCTTCTCCAAGGAGGGTCGTCAACGTCATCTGGAGGGAGCGGAGGTGTGGGAACCTACATCCTGGTTCGGAGGAAAAAGGGTTTTGATATCCACAAAAAAACAACCATGATCTTCCCTATCCAATTTGTCATGCAGCCCATGTATGAAGTCCTGCTCCTGTGTTTGTCATGCATAAAATGCATTTGGTTTCGGATGGTTGTTTTTGCCTGGATATTTGAAAAAGAGGTTTTGAACTCCGAGGTCAAACTGGACCGGCCGGTTCCGGAGGGGTGGTTGGCGTCGAATGTAGTTGTGCCATCAACTTCTTCTACCCCGGCAGCAGCTGCTGCTGCTGCTTCCGCAAAAGTTGTGAATGCCGGGGCGGCAACTGCAACAGCACAAGCGCCTCCAACCGGTGGCAGTAGTTCCCCCACAGCAGGTGGAGCAGCAGCATCAACATCAACTTCCCCCGCACCAACAGGGAAAGTGCTTTACACCCCCGACCAAGGTCCCAAAGTCACCCTCGTCGCGCCCACCAACGCCCTGCCGCCCGGAGCGAAGAAAAGTGGGAAAGCGGCGCCGTTTCTGTTCGCGTTGCTGATGAATTCCATGTCTTTGACCAAAGCCGGACTGGTCTACTGGGAGCAAACCACGATTGACAAAGAAGTGCTGTTCAACGGGGCACAGAACGGGTTAACGCCGAAGGAGCGCATATCGCACGAAAAAACTGTTTCACTGTGATGATTTTGCAAGATTTGCTTCACAAGTTTGTCCTACATCACAGAGAAAATTTGCCATGCGAGATTCCGAAGGGAAAACACAACTAAAAATCCATTGTCTTGCATGTGTAGCAAGACAAACACATGTGTGTTCCGTTCTATGCATCACAAGTTTACAGTGAAGCAGTTTTTTCTCACGATAGCGCATGGCGAAACTATTCGGCATGGAGCTGGACTGGACCCTGTTTCCCCTGTATCAACTGCAAAAGTGTCTGGGTCTGGAAGAGTCGGGGCTTGTCATGCACATTTTGCAGGATCCGCGAGGTCTGTGATGCTGGTGCTAGCAACACAGATTTTTTGAGAGCCTTTTGATGCTAGTTACTCATGAGAAACGCCCTCTCCGCGTGCCAAGAGCCGAGTCCTCTTGCTGCTCATGCAACACAGATATCTTTAGAATCCGCAGACAGCATCACAGGTTCCACTCTTCCAGACCCAGACACTTTTGCAGTTGATACCCTGGTAAAAGTGACGAAAGTGATCGGGAGTAAGCAGAACCCGACGCGGGCCTTCAATTGCGGGGTCGAAGTGAACGACTACTTGGTCATTGTCCACTACTATGCAATGCAAAAGTATCGTACTAGCTGTAGTAGCATACATTGCATGCGTGCATGACAAATATCTTTCTAAACCTGAAACAGCATTACATTTTACAAATTCCACTTCTGTTCTTGCCGACATTTGTGATGCAAGTTATACTTTACTAGTATGGTGCTTTTGCATTGCATAACTACCAACGCATGACGATGGTGATGCAGTGGAAGGGTGTCGACCCCAACGACGCGATCCTAAACGTGATCGGAAAAGAATACCAAGCCGCGGATATCCTGTGTAAAAACGTGCCCACCCCATAGTCAAGCTGGGACTCTGGCAAGACAAATCGAGCATCTTTGAGACTCACGCATGACAAGTTTGCCTACGCAGTGTAGTCGTGCCTGGCTAATTCAAACGCATCACAGAAGATCCAGTCTGTCATCCTGATTAGCGCATGGCAGATTCCCAAGCGCCACTAGGTAATGCCTCTCATGGAGAGCCGCATGACACACATTCAGAGCATGCAGATCTGCATGACAGCTACGGGGTGGGGACGTTTTTACTCAGGATAGCGGAAAGTGGCGGAAAACTCGGGGAGAAAAAGATCGCGGCTTTCATCTTCTTGAAGCAGGCCGCTTATAAAGAGTACCTCCAGGTTTCCGGGATAGAAGACCTCGACTTGGGGATCACGATGCACGCGACAAACGGCGAGATCGTCGAAGCAGTAAAACCAAATTCCTGGGCGGGAAAGATCGGTTTGCAGAAAGGAGATGAAGTCACGGTTTTGAATATCATATGTAATAACGTCCCCACCCCATAGTCAACTTGGGATCTTAGCAACACAAATCAAGAAGTTTTCGGAGCCACGCATGACAAGTTGCAGTCCGTACTAGTGTAGTGCAGTTTAGCAAGTGCACCAGCATGACAAATCCATCTGCTCATCCCGCTTACAGCATTACAAATTCCAAAACGCGATTAGAAATGCCTCTGCTCATGGAGATGCGCATTACAAATCTTCCTGTAATCGCAAATCGGCATGACAACTATGGCGTGGGGACGTTTTTACTCAGGATATTGAATGATAAAGTGATTCCGGGAAAACAGAAGTATTACCAGCTCGTCGCTGAGCAGCTTTCGGTATCGCTGCAGGAAAAAACTGTAGTTTCACTGGTGTAAACTTGTGATGCATAAAGAGGAGCACAGAAGTGATTTGTCTTGCTACACATGCAGCAAGAAAGTGGATGTTTAGCTGTGTCTTCCCTTAGGAAGCTTGCATGGCAAATTTTTTCTGTCATGTAGAGCGAACTTGTCATGCAAAACCTGCAAAATCCTTACAGTGAAGCACTTTTTTCGTACGACATTCGGAGAAGGGCAGTAGGCCGATCGACCTGCTGTTCCGGAGAAAGGGAGGCTTTCCGGAGAAGGTCAAGAAAGAAAACGACGACGATTTATCCCGCCCTCTTCCGGACAAGTGGAAGCAGGCGCTGATGATGGGCAAGTCCGGGTCGGCGAAGCAATTGTTTCTGCCGGACAAAAACGCGAAGAGTTTCTCCATCGCCCGGAAGAAGGAGCGGATCGAGACGGGCGAAATTGCGCTAGATTCCTACGTATCAAATGCACAAATCAAATGTCTGGGTCTGGAAACTTGTGATGCAAGACAGTCAACAACAAACTCATTGTAATGCGCTACCAAGCATAACAAGTTTTTTCGTGCTTTTGTGCTGCGTATTTCGCATGAGAAACTGTGTTTTTGCATGACAGGCGAGAGAGGATGTTTGTGGCCACGCTATACAGATTTAAGGGCCATGCCAGATCAGCATGACAAGTCTCGCAATCTTGTTCCAGGCCCACACATATTCGCAATTCATACTACGTGGAAGGGTCGGAAGCCGGAAGCCAGCTAAAAATCCACGTCGGAGATGCGAGTCTTCTGAAGAAAGCGCCCGCTGCGCCATCGGTAGTGGCCGCTGGGGCGGCTACAGGGAAATTCCCTTCAGCAGTTACCAAAGCTGCCTGGAAGAAGAGTCTGAATAGATCGAGTCTGGAGGAGGACGACGACGAGGAAGAATCCTCCGAGGAGGAGTCGTCAGAAGAGGAAGAAGATGCGGAGGAAGAGAACGGCGCAGAAAATGCATCCCAAGCGGCCGCCGCCGCAGCAGCATCCGGTACTAGTAGCTCATCGAAAAAAGTGAAAGGAAAAGCAGCTGCAATCACCATCTCTCCCCCGACAACCACAGTTGCGGCGGCTCCGGTCGTGCTAGAACCTGCAAAGGACCAGGCAAAAATGAAACCCGTTGTCCCTACCGCCGCCCCTGTGATCCAAATTATGCCCAGCGGGTTGACAAAGAAAAAGCAATCTTCATCCGGTCCGACAGTGCAGGTGATGGCACCGGCTGCACCTCCAGGAGCCGCGAGTGTTCAACATCAAACCGGTACAGCAGCTGGAGCAGCCCCCTCTGAAAATAAACCAGACTATCCCCCCTTCCTCCCGGCCTTGCTTATGTCCTGCTCGGATGTCGGGTCCATGGGCGTGAAGGGTTGGTTCTATCGCAGCAAAAAACTGTTTCACCGTGTTAAACTTGTAATGCGGAAAATGTATCTGAGAAGGGTTTGTCTTGCTACACGTGCAAGACAGTGGAGCTTTCGCTGTGTTGTTCTTGAGGTGCAGCCTTGTATGGGAAATTTTCTCTGCTATGTAGTAGAACAAACCTGTGATGCAAAACTTGCAAAACCAAAATCCTTACAGAAGTGAAACACTTTTTATTTCTTGCGATAGGTTCCACAGTAGAGTCAACGTCGACATTCTCCGCGATACGAAAATGTCTTCAGAAGAGAAATTTCTCCGGTTGTTTGGCTTCGTGTTGGATTGGACGAGGTTTCCGTTTGTCTACGTGTCGAGAGTCGAGCCCATGACCCCGATATGCAGGGCAAAAGTATCGTAGTCATTAGTAATTGCAGTGTTATGCGATTGCAAATCTTTCTCCTAAGGTCAGGCAGCATCTCATGCTGATAATGCAATTCATACTACTACGATCATGCTTTTGCAATTCATACCCGAGCAACCGGAACAAGTCTTCGGCGAACAAACACTGTGTCCTCGAAAATGGGGATCTGTTGATCATGGTAAACGAGGAGAAAGTGACCACCGTGCCGGAGTGGCTGAAGCTGCATGACCAGACGGACAAGAAGACCACCGATCCGCACCACGCGATTTTGAATAACATCGATCGAAAGCTGAAAGATTTGGAAAAGCAAGGCATGAAGGGCATGGCGCACTCCGCGGCGTTTGGTTTCTTGAACAAAATCTACATTCCCGCGTATCTACAAGTGACGGCCGGGGAAGTATTGCGAGGAAAATTTCCCCCTCCCGCTCCCCATACTGTTGCAGCGGTATACTTCTAAAAATTTGTGATGCTGATTTGTGACGACAAATCCTGCCTCTTTTGCAAGAGGGCAAATCCAGAGAAAAATCCGCCGCATCTTTGTGCAGGTGGTTTGTAATGCTGCCACGCCTACATGTGCATGGCACTGGCAGGACTCTGCTATGCTAAACACCAACACCAGAACACCCCTACGCAGGCTGAGGCTCTGCCTGCAGTGCCTCACTGCAAGACAGAGCTGATTGGTGTACACAAATCCAGCAACAGAAATTTCCGTTTCAATATGGGGAGGGGGCTTTTTTCACTGTGATAGGAAGACTTCCGCAATCAGCAGCTCGGCGTGACTGCGATGCGCGACAACTCCATGCAGACCAGAACGGTGACGGGTGTAGCGCCCGGGTCCTGGTTTGAGAAGCAGGGACTAACTGTCGGCGATATCATTGTCGCGGTGAACAATGAGTTGGTTCAAAACAACAAACCGCTCGTTGACACCACCCTCTCCGCTGCCGGGGTATGCAATAGTACAAATTTCCTGTACATGTAGTACAAAGGGCAACATCACAAATTTCACCAATTCGGGGGGGCGTAACACTTGTAATGCTAAACTAGGATCGAAGCCCAGTTTTGCCATGCAGAGACTGCATTTGTACGTCGTGTACGGGAAATTTACTGTGGATACAGGGCCCGTCCTGCGCACTTTCTCATCTTCCGCCGCGACAGCGCGCCATTTTCGGAACATATGCAAAGGAAAAAGTGGCACAGTTACACATTGTGTTGCAAAGCATGCAAGACAGACGACCTCTGTCATGCGCACAATGCTTGCGAGTCTCGTTTCGTGTGTGTTTTATTTGCCTTGTGATCTCTGCATTATATGATCAAGCGAGGCAAATTTGTGATGCTGAATTCACTACAAATGTGTAACTGTAACACTTTTTTCCTTGGATAGAACAGCACAGAGCGAAAGTGCAAACCGATTTGACGAGGCAGCTACCGGACCCGTGGGGGGTGTTTTTGCAAGACAAAGCGAAAAACGCCTCCACCTACAATCCACAATCGATCGACTACAAGCCCCTGCCACCCCCACCGCCGAGTAAGGACAACCCAACCGGGAAAGCGCCGAAAAACTCCGCGGAGGGTTTCGCCTACGACTGGCAAAAGAGGTATGACACGATCGGATCGCAGATTGGGAAGGAAAAAGTTGCCGAGTTGGACAACGAGGGGAATAAGTATCAAATGTAAAAGTGTCTGGGTCTGGAAGATTCTGACACTTGTCATGCACGTTTTGCATGAGCCATGATGTCTGTGATGCATCCCCTAGCAATACAGATTTTTTGAGGGCTTCTTGGTGCGTATTCCGCATGACAAATGCCTTCTCAGCGTAGCAAAAACTGCCTTTCTTTTGGTACTCATGCAATACAGTTTTTTTTAGAATCCAAATTCAGCATGACAAGTTGGATTCTTCCAGACCCAGACATTTTTACAGTTGATAATAAGATGGTCATAACGAAATTCGGGTCCGTCACACAAGCGGACGCGAAGCAGCCGCTATGCATTGCAAATATGTCTGGGTCTGGAAGAGTGTGATGCTGCTTGTGCATGACACAGAAGCTCTGGCATGCAAGTCCTAGCATCACAGGTTTTGAGCAGGCTTGTTTCGCCATGCCTAATCCGCATGACAAATACCGCCTTTGTGTGACACGAAGTGAGCAGCTTTTGCGGTCCATGCATGACAGATTTTTGTCTGGTATGAAACGCGCATCAGAAGTTTACATGTTTGCAGAGCCAGACAGATTTGCATTTGATAGCCCCTTGCAAAGAACAACATGCTCGTTCCGAAACAGAATTCGAAGTTCATGCAGCTGCCTACGAAGCGGAAATTTGACGCGGTGGCAACGAAGTCGGTGAGTGAGGAGAAGATGAAGAAGTACAAGGACTTTTTCGCCGAAAATGCGCTCGTGAAACTGCAACGGAAGATCCGGAAACTGCTGCGGAAAAAAGACGACGACGAGATCGAGAAACACATCTTGTACTTGCAACGGTGGGACGAATCTTTGACCGTCGAAGCAGCACGGGAAGTCGCGGAAGCGACGAAGCAATACAGATCCGCAATCGCGTCTTCCGCGTTTTCCTCTGCGAAAAAGATGGGCGTTGCGGAAGAGCGAGAGAAGAAGCGAACTGCTTTGGCGAAGCGACAAGCAGCCAGCGGAAAAGGACCGGCGGCAGCTCTTTCGAGCAAACCCTTAACCCAAGACGAGATCAAGCGACTCGGGATTTCAAAGCGACTCTCCGGGAGACAGCTACTTATCAAATGCAAAAGTATCGCATTCGTATAAATGCAAGTCTTGCATTACAAATCTTTGTCTTAAGGTAAATCCGCATTACAAATTTCATTTCTCATGCTGAGAAAATTTGTAATGCATTTATACGAGTGCGATACTTTTGCAATTCATACTACTAGCGTCGAAAAGATTCAGGAACGCGATGGATGCGGAGACGAAAATTTTCGTGATGAACACGGAGACCATGCTGGAGAAAGCGAAGGCAGTCGCTGACAACGTCATCAAGGACAAGCAGAACAAGAATTTAAATCTACAATCCAACCTGCCACTCCAAAGGCAGCACTTGGCGAAACTCCACGAACAGATGGATTTGTTGGAGATGCAGAAACCGTTGACCGTGGTCGCGGTTTCCAAGCAGTCGAGAAATTTACTCCCGCCGCATCTCGAAGCGGCCAGGACCAAGGCGATGAAATACTTGAGGTCCGCGGTCTTATCCGCTTTAGTCGTTTTGAAAAACCTGTACCGCTTCCTTGCCGGCCCGAATTCTCTCTTCGTGCCGAGAACCACGCATGCTGGGGTGAAATCGCTGGTGTTGCAGATTTTGGTGAGTAAGAGAAACGGGGAGAAAATCGAGAGCGAAACCTTTGCGGAGTGCGATTACAGGTTGGAGATGCTGCAGAAAACGGTCACGGACTTGTCCGATCTGTTCACGAGTCCAATGGCGCAATCGGAGATCAAATCGGACAGGGACGTGATCAGCAACCGCCTGAACATGAGCGCTTTTCACGACACTTCCATCACTTGGCTGTTCCGGGAGGCGGGGGATGAGATCCTACGGACGAAGCAGAAGCTGTTGGTGCTACGGTCGAAATTGGATGACTCCCCGGCGGGCAGGAATAAAGCGAAGCGATTTGGGACGGTTGTGCCCGGGGAAATTGCGGACAGTCTGGGGGTATCAACTGAAAATATGTCTGGGTCTGAGAGGATGGAACTTGTCATGCTACCTTTGGACTATACATAAAACCTGTATTGCATGAACAGCAAAAGAGGTTGTACAGTTTTTGCCACGCCGCGAAGGGGGCACGGGCACTTCTCATGCGGTATGAGCATCAGAGAGCTCTCGCATAATGTGTGATGCTCGGGAATGCGTCACAGACTTCATGGGTCATGGAAAATATGCATGACAAACTTGGCCCTTTATTTCCAGACCCAGACATATTTGCAGTGCATAATGGGAAATGTTGCTGTCAAGGAAAATGAAGCTGAAGGACGTGAGGCAGTTTTTTGAGGAGTATGGGAGGGATGTGAAAGTATTTTTGTGGTTTAGGTATTTTTTTTCGTCGTGTGCATTTTAACTGTTTTCCATATACTTAATCCATTTCCTCTCTGAAGATTTTTTCCCTAGTGATGTGATGGTTTGCGATGCTTGATGCTGCTGCCACGTGACGGGCGATTGCGTTTTTCTTCATCAACAAATATGTACACTACACATAATCCATCTTCATGTTCATGATCAGGTGAAAGCCGAGCGCCGACAGCTCCGAGCGGAGGAAGCTAGGAACACTGAGCCGATTTACGATTCCCTTCAGGAGGGATACGACGACTTCTCTTCGGACGACCCAGACTCCGACCAGGAAGGCATGGGCGCGAAAGACCAGCCGGTTACCATGGATGATATGCATTGCACTTTTCTCAAAAATTGTAATTCTGCTATGATGAACTAGCTAATCAAGTAAGAGATTTCTTGTCAACATGCAGAAGTATTGATGCTATTGCTACTTCTAGTAGTACGGTACAAGAACTTTTGCAATGCATAAATGATATCCGGAAGCAAATCGAATTAGAAGACTCCCCGGACCGAGACGCGCAGGTGCTCGGGAAGATCATTGGCAATGCCGCGTGGTGGCAGAGTTTCGGAACAGCAAATCCGATATGGCGTTCTCAAACGTTACATTCTCAATTGTTACATAAATTTGTCATGCAAAAGCACCATCATCATCCACGCGATCCAGCTGCTTCGCATGACAAATTTGCCTCGGGCTAAGCAGCACCTAAATCTGTGCGGAGTTTGTAATGCTAAATGTGCAGCCTCCCCCCTTTGACTTTTGCTATTCTTGCATTGCAAATTCGTGTAACAGTTGAGAATATAACGGTTGAGAACGCCATATCCGAATGAGAGGACTTTGAATCGGAGCAGAATCGGCGGGAAAACGCCGGACAATTTCGGCCTGTACGCAACACCGAACGAACCGAAGTATCAAACGGAGATTAAGCTGTCGGATTTGGAAACGGTGGCGTACCAGCGATCGCGGTTGAAGAAACAAACGCGGCCGGGGAACAGAACCGGGTTCCTGAAGGAGCAGATGGATCTGGCAAAGCCACCGGTTGTGATAGGCGGAGCTGGTGCTGCTGGGTTGAGTAAATCTGTGCAGTACCTGTTCTATGAAGATGAGGAGGAGGAAGTGGATGATGGTCGTCCTGCTGGTCTTTCGCTATCGCAGCCAGGAGAACAACAAGATAAGTCCTCTCCGCGTGTTTTTGAGCAGGAGGAAGAAGTCGACGACACCGCGAGTAAGATCCAATCCGAGGAAGGTAGCAGCGACGCAACCGAGCCAGTGCCGGATATGTTTGATGTTCTTGCGGAGGACGAGGAAGCAGCTCCACCAGCGTTTGAAGAGGTAGATGAGCAGCAACGGGAGCAGCTACAACAGCAGGAGCACCTCCGCCGGGATTACAACTGGGATAAAATAAATTTCGACCATGATGAAGATTCATCTGAAGGTGAAAGCAGCAGCGACACCTCTCCCATGAAATGGAAGCTCGGGGAAAGTTTGGAGGGCTCGTTTGACGACGTGGCCGAGGAAGATGATCAAGATCAAGCGGGTTGGTCGCAAGCACACAGCTCTTCATCTCTAGAAGATGATAGCGAAAACTTCCGCAAACACCTGAACGAAGACGCCGCCTTCGAGAGAGAAGTTCTAGCTGCAAGTAGACCTCCCCGGGTGGAGTTTGGCCGAGCATCGACGTATGTCCAAGAAGAAGATGCCGCTCTGTTGGAGGAGCAGGAGCAGCATCATTTTCAAGAGCAGATGCAGAACAGCATCATTTTACAAGATGAATTTGAATATCCTCGCCGGCGTTACGGCCCGCCAGCGCCAAGGAGGACTGATGATCATCTCAGACATCTTCCAGGACGAGCGTCAATCACGGAAACAAAATTCTTCTTCGAAGGTTCGCACGAGGCCCCCGCAGTAGAAGATGATCCGTTGTCTTCAGATGGTGATAACGACGATAATTTTTCAACATCTCAACTTTCGGAGGCTTTTTGTTCTGATGCGGACTTGTCTGATGAAGACGAGGAGGACGATGAACTCCTGTCTGCGTCGTTGTCAATAGGCAGCAGGGCTGCTGCACGACCGGGAGGTCGACTGGGCAATGCAGATAGAAATCCCACCGCAACAAGAAATATCATGCGCTCCGTTTCGAACTCTACCAGCAACTACTCATCTCTCTCAAGACCACCTACGAAAAAGACGAGAAACAAATTGCTCCCCATACCATCTGTGTTGGCAATTCAGCATGGCAACTTTGGCGACTCTGCGTCTTCCTCGCCGTCGTCGTCTTCTTCGGTGGGCAGCTGTCAGCGTCGTGTGGCCGGGGGGAAGTGCGGTTATGATGAAGAAGATGTTGGCACCAGATCCCTCGCAGCAGGCTCTTCCGACGGGGATTCGAATTCGTATTTCGGGAGGTCTCCCGTCAGCAGCACCCCAGCGTCCTCATCCTCCCTTCGGAATAAAAAGAGAAAAATCAGAGCGGATTTTTTGAACTCAGATCTCGAGGACGAGCCGGGTGAACAAGATGCTGGTGCACGGAGCAGTCCAGACGTCCGCTATTACCGCGCGGATTCCATGTCACCTCCTATCGGGAGTCGGCGCGCGAGGAATGTTGACAGCGACTGCTCGTCGAAGCAGCATGACGAAGGAGAGCTTCTACAGCCGAAGACCGAAGAACGCCATTTGTCTGCCCCACTGCAGCCTCCATTCATGGAAGGTACGCACGAGCGTAGCAACGTGAGTTCGAAGCAGTCGCAAACGTCTTCTAGAACGATTACGACCCGCATTAACACCGGGACGGCACTGCACGTGCACCAACGGGATCCTCAGCAGCTTCATCGGGAGCAGCGGCCTGTCCTGACGGGCTCTTCGGCGTCGTCCTCATCCTCTTCGAGTAACAGAGGCACGACGAGACCGGGTTCTTCAATGTCTTCGTGGCAACGAGAACGACGACGAGGGGAGGAACTTTACAACCACTCATTGGCCGTCGGTGGAAGATCAGCAACAAGAACACAGGAGTTGTATTCTCAGCAGGTTGATGTCAAAAATAGCGTCCCGACAGCATCTTCTTCTTCAACAGCCTCAGCGTCAGCCTCAGCCTCAGGCAGTCAACGACGCGTGGGCTGGAGCGTTTTGTCGAGTGGACACCTGCATTTGCCACAGCATCATGGTGGACGAGGATCTGCAATGGGCACGGACCACCCCCGTCATAGAAGTCCTCTCCCAGCACCACATTCCGCAACAGCTGCGTCGAGTAGAAGCGCAGCGTCGAGAAGAACTACGAAGAAGCATCAAGACAAGGTCTTCCTTTTCGCGAGCGACGCTGTGCACAAACACGAAGAGGAATGGGAAGATTCAAGTGATGACGACGATGATGGCGCGTTGGATTTCCACGCCCCGGCCGCAAAATTGCTGGACGAACACCACTACGCATTGCAAAAGTATCGTACTCGTAGTAATCGCAGTCATGCGTATACAAATCTCCTTCTTAGCATAAATCCGCATTACAAATTTCATTTTTCATGCTGAGGGAATTTGTCATGCTATTTCTACTAGTACGATGCTTTTGCATTCCATAACCACGCTGCGGCGACGAAAGCGGGTAGTAGTACAGTAGGAGGTGTAGTTCCCTCGACCTTAGTGCCCCAGCACGTCGCGGGGACCTCTAGTTCTGATGAGCTGGATTTGGACGGAGGAATTTCCACTTCTACTGTAGCGGCGAAAGCAAATGCGAAGAGTGGGGGCGCAGCTGTTGCTGTTGCAACTTCTAAGCCAGCACAAGCACCAGCTTCCTCGTCAACAGCGCCGTCCACCGCTGCACAGTTACCACAGCCCCCCAGTACAAAGGCGGCGAAGCCTGGCGCACCAGCAGTAGTACCACTACAACCACAAACAGCTCCGCCTGCTGCGAAGGTGATAGTCAAAGCTGGGACTGCAAAATTAGTCGCTTCTTCGTCCTCATCGGGTGACGAAGCGCTGGATTTTCACCCGATTTATCACACCAAAATGTGCAGCTGTCAACGACGTTAGGTAGATCTTGTCACAGGACGAGGTGGTAGTCACGCATGAGAAATTTTGCCTAGCGTCTGTGCTATGCAATACAAGTTTTAGCGTGTTAGTGTTTCGTTATTTCTGCATGCGCAACTGCAAGACAAATTTCGCTTGATTGAAATGTTAGCACCTTTTGGTATGATACGATTCCAAAAGCCAACGCGGCCGCCGCATTTCTGGATGAGCATCACGCCGCGGATATCCTGAGAAAAAACGTACCCACACCAGAGTCAGGATGGGGATTTTGCAACGCAAACCTAGGGGTTTTGTGAGTCACGCATGACAAGTTGCACTCTGCAGTGTAGTGCAGGTTAGCAAGTGCAGCCGCATCACAGATTCATCTGCTCATCCTGTTCACAGCATCACAAATTCCAAAACACGATTGGAAATGGCTCTCATGCGGATGCGCACTACAAGTCTTCCTGTCTTTGCAAATCTGCATTACAACTCTGGTGTGGGTACGTTTTTCCTCAGGATAGCGGAAAAAGCGGGGAGTACCGTGAAGCCGCACGAACTAGTGGCGCAGCATGTAGCCGGGACCTCGAGTTCTGACGAATTGGATTTGGCGGTAGTCAACGCGAAGGCAAAAAGCAGCACGGGTGCAGCTGGAGGTGTTGTTTCATCAGCACCGTCGACTGTTGCAGCCCAGCCTCCGGCAGCAGGAGGAGGCGCTTCTGGAGGTGCGGCAAAACCTCCTCCTGCTTCGGGGGTACGAGGTCCTGCAGTTGCGGCACCTCCAAAAGCTACGAAGGCTGAGGCAAAAGGAGCTCCGAACAAGGCCAAAGCACAAGCAGGGGCTATTGCAGCGGGAGCTGCAGGAGCTGTTGTGAAAACAACCGAACAAGGCGATCAAGAAGATGAGCCAACTTCTGACGATTTGGACTTCGAGAAGCTGGAAGAGGAGAAGAAAGAGGAGGACGCAGCGAAGGCGAAGGCGAAAGCCAAAACTGGTGCAGCCGCGCCACCAGCAGTTGTAGAACAAAGCTCTTCCTCTTCTGGGTCGTCGTCCGGCTCTTCCTCCACCACGGGAGATGAGGACGAAGAAACTTCTGCACCTGGTGCAGCCGCAGGATATCGAATGCAAATATGTCTGGGTCTGAAAGATGGCAACTTGTGATGCTGCATTTGGATTCCAGAAAAAATTGTATTGCATGACCAGCAAGTAGAGGAGTCGACTTTGTGCTACGCGGCGGAGAGGGCATTATTTTTCATGCACTTTACGCATCAGAAAGCCCTCAACAAAAAGTCTGTGATGCTAGGGCATGCATCACAGACATCATGGGTCATGCAAAATGTGCATGACCAGTCTTGCATTCTTGCAGACCCAGACATCATATTTGCAATGCATACAGGAGCAGCAGACACAACTTCTGCCGCCGCCCGCCAAACCCTCCCTGACGCCGCGACTGCCCTCGACACGGTACCCGCTACGACCCCCGCACCGCCGTCCCCTTCTATCCTGAGTAAAAACGTCCCCACGCCAGAGTTGTAATGCAGATTTGCAAAGACAGGAAGACTTGTAATGCGCATCCCCATGACGAGAGCCATTTCCAATCGTGTATTGGAATTTGTGATGCTGTGAACACGATGAGCAGATGAATCTGTGACGCGGCTACACTTGCTAACCTGCACTACACTGCGGAGTGCAACTTGTCATGCGTGACTCCCAAAGCTCCTAGGTTTGTGTTGCAAAATCCCCATCCTGACTCTGGTGTGGGGACGTTTTTACTCAGGATACCTTCCTCCGGTCCGTTAAGTTCGCCGAAGTCTTCGCCCCCACCGGCAGCGCCGAAAGCTGTTGGCGGTAAGGCGGCCGCGATAGGGGCTAAGAACAAACCGGCTACGGCACATAAACACCACCACCACCACCACCATCATAAAAAACCTGGAGCAACTTCTTCTTCTGCCGTTTCTGGGAACAAGAAGTCGGCTTCTGCTGCACCAGTCGGAGGAGGACCTGTTCCAAAAGCCAAGCTGGTATCGGCGCCTGTGATAAAAAGCCAGCTGGTGGTCGTTGCACCTTCCACGTCGGGGGTACAACCAGCGAAGCAAAAGCAACCACCCGGCGCGAGTGTGAAATTCTCCGTGCCGGAAATAAAACAATACAGCATCTCGCCAACGAGTAATAGTTCTTCCCCACAAGGAGGTCAAGGTCAAGGAGCTCAACCCGCTGCGCAGCCGAAAACTACAACCCCGGTGCAACAGCAATCCATTCTTGGCCAGAGTACCGCAGCCGCATCGGGGACAACCACGAAAGGCGTCGCAGCGGCTTCGGGAAAAACAGCAGCAGGGGAAGAATCTGCCTCTCTGCAGGAGCTCTCGGTTGTCGAAACTACAAATGCGCAACTGCAGGCCAAAGCTTCGCCACCCACAGCACAAGGCAAAGCCTCCTCAGCACCACCCGGCGTTCCTCTAACAAGTCCGCGGAGCCTGGGTGGCGTCAAGCCCTCGGGGCGGGTGACAAGCGCGGAAAATGAGAGTCAGAATCAGGCTGTTGAACTTATACCCCGCTCAGGTGTTACAATCTCAAGCGTTGCAATAGAATATGGAGATCTGTGATGCAAGAGTGCATGATCTGGCCAACTCTCATGAGATTGCGCATGACAAGTTCCAGAGCCCCAAACCCCACTACGATCTGGCAAAATTTGTATTGCAGAAAGTGGAACGCTCTGCAAGTCTGTCATGCTCATCAGGCAAGACAAATCTCAGGTTCTACTGTAACGTTTGAGATTGTAACAGCACCTGAGCGGGTTATAACACTGGATCAAAAGATCGATTTGTCCTCGTCTTCTGCGGAGGAGAGGAAGGTAGAGGCGGAAATCAAGAACCAGGTCGTTGTGAAACAACAAAGTACTAAACTATCTTCGGAACAACAATACGATGAGTCGAGCTCCTCTCCAGATGAGTTGGAAGATACGAGTAAGAAAGAAGACAACAAAGCTGCAGCTGCTGGTGTAACATCTAGCTCCTCTGCTGTCAAGGCTGGTGCTGGAGCCGCTGTTGCAAGTACCACCTCAGCAGGGGCGGGCACATCATCGGCCGCATTGATTGTGAAGCCCTCAGGCGCGTTACCATCATCGGTCATCGAGCCGGTCGGGGCTGCGTCCTCGGCCTCGTCGTCTGAAATAGAACCTCCAGCAGGATCTGGTACTAGTGCACCGAAACAGACCTCAACTAGACCTCCACAGATCTACCAGCCTAAACCAGTGATATCGCAGTCCCCAGGTGGAGGTCGTGGTGACAAGAAACCGGATGTTGAACAGCCCCTAGTAACCGTAAGCGAGGCGAGGCTAGCCGCGGCGCGACAGGCCGCAAAGGAAGAGGAACGGAGGCAGTGGGGGCGGAAGATCGAGCAGGCCATTGCGCAGGCAAGGAAACAGTGCGCGATCCTTGCAATGGAGCGGCACGACGAAGTGAAGCGCGGCGGGGTGGTATGAGAATGCACAACTCGTCGTCCCCTCGTCCCCCTCAAATTTGTCATGCAAAATACCAAACCAACGCTGTGCCTTTTTGCATCGTCTGCATGACAAGCTTATTTTGTATTATCCCAAACAGCTGCACTAGTACCTGCCTGTGGTCGTGCGAATTTGTTATGCAAAAGCTGCACTCTTGCTGACGCTTGTATTGCTGTTTATGCGATACGAATGAGGGAGAGGGAAACAAGTTGTGCACTGTCATAGGTGATTGCCCTGCGCGCACTGGAGGTGGAAACGCACGCAGTGTGGAAAAAGAAGCTGAAGGAGCTGCGCTCCTACGCAGATTCGGTCGTAGGCCTCGAGGACACGAATCTGTTCCAGGGACTAAAATTGGACAAACAACAGCAGGACGCGCTGGAACAAGAAATTATGGAGCGGAATAAGCAGAAAAAGCTAAACGCAGAGAAGGACGCGGCGAAGGATGCTAGCAATAGTGCACAACAAGCGCAGACAAATCAGAAATCGTCCTCATCATCCTCCAAAGTCGATCTCGAAGAAGCTATTGAAAAAGAGAAACAAAAATCTTCCTCCCAGTTGAAAGAGTTGCAAACCAAGTTTGACGCGCAGCAGGAATACATCCAGCAGGTGGAAAACATCGTGGAAGTTTTGCACAACGCCCGCCAGCACGATCAGGACCAGTATCAGGAGAAGGTGAAAGAGCTGAAGGTATCGCGAGGAAAAACGTCTCCACCCCAGAGTTGTAATGCTGATCTGCATTCTACTGAAAATGTTTTTCATGCGGAGACCCATGAGAAGCTGTTTCTTTTGGTGTTGTGAGATTTTTGATGCTCAAATCCGCATGGTATGGTAGATCTTCTGTGACGCTTCTGCACTAGCTAAACGCACCTACATTGCGAGCCCAATTTTGTCATGCGCAACAGCCAAAGCCTGGTCATTTGTCTAGCAGAATCCCCATCTTGACTCTGGTGTGGGGACGCTTTTCCTCAGGATAGAAGGACCGACTGAATGAGGTCACGAAGCTTCTGGCGGAAGCGCGACAGCAATCAAAGGAAAAACAGACAACCATCGAAAAGTTGGAAAACTTCCTGACCGAAAAACAGCACTTAATCGAAAAGCTGCAAGACGATCTGAGGGAGGTGAAAACCGAGAAGAGAGAGATGGACGAGCGGTTGGAAAAGTTTAAGAAGCAACTACCGAAGGAGTTGGACGTGACTTATCGCAAGACAAGACTGTTTCACTGTAAACTTGTAATGCAGAAAATGCATCTCAGAAGTGTTGGCCTTGCTCCTGCGCATGCAATACTTACAGCGCATTTCTCGCCGTGTTTTTCTCTTGGAACCTCGCCTGGCAAAAATTTTTTTCTGTCATGTATGACTTGTGATGCAAAACTTGCAAAATCGTTGCAGTGAAACACTTTTTTCTCACGATATGACTGGGTCGTTGTTCAAGAAGCCGGAGAAGGAGATTGAGTACATCAGCAGCAAAATTTCCAATCTGCAGATGGAATTAGAATTAGCGGTGAAGAAGGACGAGAAGTCAAAAAATCTGTTAAAGTATCAAATGCAAAAGTGTCTGGGTCTTGAAGATTGCGAGATTTGTCATGCTTGTCTGGCATGACCAAAAAGTTTGCGATGCGTGTCACAGAAGAGACCCTTTTGCCTGTCATGCAAAGACGCAGTTTGTCATGCGAAACACGCAACACAAGGAAGCGCAGATATTTCTCATGCTTGGCGTGCACAAAAATGGTTTTTTACTTGTGAGATGTAAGCTGTTCCGAGTACGTGTAATTACAGAGCATTCGCTATTCCCAACGCAGCATTACAAGTTTCCAGACCCAGACATTTTTGCATTTGATATAAAGCGACTGCAGGACGAACGGGAAACACTTTTCGAGAAGCTGCAGAAGCAGGAGGACCAGAACAAGCAGTACAAGAAAATTCTCGATGAGAGAAAGGAAAAACATATCACACCAGAAAGTGTTAATGATAACGGAATTTAGCATGCAGGCATGCACGAGAAATCATGCCCAAATTTGTATTGCATAGCATGCATGATAGCGAAAATTTGCCATGTATGAGTGCAATGCCCCAAAACCGTTAATGTTAACACTTTTTTGCTTGATAGAACACGAAAAATTGGCGGACAAGTACGAAGCCGAGTACCAGAAGATGAAGGTGAGGAATATGGATGTGTCAGGATTGAAATCGTCAAAGTTGAAATAGTTTGTCATGCATAAAACCGACACCAGTTGGCGGCCAGTTTTTAAGTGGCGCATGACAAATTTAGGAAAAGCCTAAATCCAGTTTGTCATGCTGTCTGGGTAAGGAAGACGCTCTTTGTCATGCTACTTTAGCATCTCTTTTTTTACCCCTCAACAGGCTTACAATCTGCCTCACTTGCCTACCTTGCAAGGCAGGCGCTTTGTGTGTTGCATTTTATGCATCACAAACTATTTCAACTTTGAAGATTTCAATCCTGACACTTCCATAAGGAGCGAAAGGGAAGTAGAAAAGCTCACGGAAGAGCGGGTACGCACGGAGAAACAGTTGCTGCTGCAAATCGACATGCTGGACCGGGAAGTGAAGCATCTACGGGAATGGAACGATAATTTGGCAAAGGGGATGACCGTGGGGGCAAGACCAAAATCGCCCGGTATGATGAATACGTCCTCATCTTCCAGTATAAAATTTTCTTTTCGACGGACGATTTCACTTGTTGTTGTCACTCTCTCATGGTCACGACGCGCTGGCCACAATAAAATCAACTGTCTGCTTGGTTCAAATTTCATGTCGTTTTCTTATTTTTCATCTAGAGATGAATTATCGTTCGACGTGCGGTTGTTGCTACGCGACGTCGACGCAGGAGCTTGTTGTAGCTGTACTAGTTATCACTCGATAGAGCTGGAAGGATCAGGTCAGAACTGTTCATGATTCATTTTATCATTTTCAAATCGAACCATCAGGTCCCGTGTCGGTTTCAAGGACCACCAAGGCTCATTATGGCAAAGCCTCTGACGTAGGCTCCCGCGGCGCGTCCTCCTCATCTGCTGCTGCACGAGGACCTCCAGATGGAGTAAACGTGAAAGCGGCGAAAAAGGATCTGTCCCTGATAAACAAGAAAATCGATACTCTGATCGATCGGATCGGTGCTGCGGTCACTTCTTCATCGCCGGACCAGTCGCGGTCCCCTATGAAAGCCTCAGAACGGAAATCCTCAAAGTGGAAATAATTTGTGACGCATGAAATGCGACGCAAAAAAAACTGTATTGCAGAGGACGCAATGGAGCCCCATTATTGTCCTTCTACGGGTTAAGAATTGGAGTGCTGATTGGCACGAGAGAAGGGCACCCCTTTGCGTTAACCTGCATGACAGACATGCTTTGAGTGCCAGGGGGATTTGTCATGCGCCTCCTAGAGTTGGCGCTTCAACTGGAGTGGGTTTTTGCATTACAAACTATTTTCACTTTCTTGAGAATTTCCACCAGGAGCCTGAGGCTTTCATATCTCCGGCCCGCAACAGCCCGGCGCGACCACCGAGAACCAAAAGAGCGGGCGGCGTTGCCGAATACGGATTGTGATAGTTGTAAGAACGGGCACGCCATACAACAGGAGTGCTTATTTCGGATATAATAATCTAACGCTTTTCGTTTTCAACTGAAAAATTCTCTTTTCGCCGGGCGGTGTCCTTTCCAAGAAATAATTAATGACGATAGAAGCAGATGGACCGCAAGATCATGTTGCAAGTACTAGTGATAGAGCATTCTTTTTTTTTTTTTGAAATTACAACGAATGAGCAAAGTTGATAAGGCTGTCTGTTTTTACAAGTCGTAGCGGGAACAGTGTGCTTCTGCTTTCTCTGTATGATTGAACATTGTCGTCAAGCAATTTGGGTTGTGTCAACCGAAATTTTCACGGTGTGAAGACAATCAACGACGAAGAAACGCGGGCGGTGTGAACACTGGCCATCTTGCATGTCAAGGAGAATCTAGGTGGGATTCAGTGTTTCTTAGTCGCAATCAATCTATGGTGAACTATCGTCACAGCCTGTGGGGAAAAATTTAGCGTTCCGAACAACACACAAATTTTGACGTCTCAGTCAAGGGGGTAAACATGAAAGTTCAAATTTATTCTAATCACCCTAAATTTATGAGAAATCCGATCAACCATCGTTGATCATCACTAGCTTACAGTGTGGGTTTAGAATGAACTTCATTTTTGGTTCATTTGTATGAACATGCTGATTTCACTTTGGATCCAAATTTGAACGACAAATTTAGAGCCTGATTTCAATGAACATTCAATTTAGGTCGTAGGGAATTTGCTTGGCTTATGATCCTGGTGGATTTCATATCTTGCCTAACAGGTTGAGACTTGATGTTTCAAGTGAAAGTGCTTTTGTTTAAGATAAGTACAACAACTACAAATAGACCATATAAACAGATTTATTACAAGTGGAGCAAGACCAGATGAGCTGCGTTCGTTCCGATATTAGCTTTTGAAGATACAACAAGCAGCTGTTGATGTAGCCACGAAAACAAGTATCATCTTCTACGCAGAACTATTGCTCCAAGAGTACTTCTATCGGTGTACTAGCGCATCAACGTCGTGCTTGATATACACGAGGACAGCTGGTGCCGAAATATTGGTCCTCTACGCACGAGCCACCTGTGGTTTTCGTCAACTCGTCCTGGTGTTCTCTCGTGTTGTTGGTTGATGTTTCGTGAAGCCGCCTCAAGGCGAAGATGTCGTTTTCTTGTTTCCGAGTCGTATTGAGTAGCCGCCGGTAGAACGTTTCGCTTCAGGTGGTAGTACTAAGAACTAGCTCTGCGATTCATCCCCGAAAACGGCAATCAAGACGAGACTTCTATCTGATGAACTACGCCGGCGATTACTTATTTGTCATCAAGTGAGATGTGGATAGCTCGTTGTTGTTGGTGGAAAAACATATAGTTTTTTCCCCGCCTTCTATTTATATTTGTACGGGCCTTTTACTTAGTTTGAGAATTTAGTATGCATCGTTCTTCTTCCAGTAAGTTTCAATTACAGCACACCACACCGCAGCCACCAGCACCAGCCGGAAATAGAATGTGTTAACAAATAGAAAAGCTCATAATGGAGATGCAGCTTGCTTCTGCAGCTCCGCTTTCATCCTTCTGATGAGGCCGAAAAGATGAGGAGCTACCGTCCTGCAGTTGTACAAGGTCTCGGGCAGCTTCTGGCCATAGTTCATCGTCCCGGGTCGGCTAGTACAACCTTCAAGGAGATCCTCTTCGCGGCCCCTATGAGGTGACGATCGCGAAGTACAAGTAGACCACGCAGCTTATTTGCATCTGGAATAGGACCACCAGCAGACATTCGCACCGGCCCGCCCCGGCAAGAAGAACTTGTTCCCCATCATGCCGCCCCATCCAAAACAACAGGCAGCCAGGTCGACGTCGTCCGCGAAAATGAATGCGCACCAGGCAGCACACACGCGCGCGCCCAACGCCCAGCAGGCCCTCGGGAACCATCATACTCAAGGGACTCCATCCGGCACTGTGAAATCCGAGATGCAACTACTGCGGCCTCGGCAAGCGAGCGCTGTGTCAACATCTTCAGGGTCCTCTAGTACTGGGCTGAACGTGAAGCAAAAGGTGGCGCAGCAGCACCCTTTCTCGTCCTCTGCCGCACCGGGTTGCAGTTCTAGCACAACTGGCGGCTCGACGAATTATAGTTCATCAAATTCGTTGTCCGAGCATGCGCAGCGGCTCAAGCAGAGCTACGGCATATTACAATGAAAAATGCCCCCACCCCCGAACTTGGGAGCATTTGTATTGCAAACCTTTCCAAATGAAACATTCGCCCTCTTGCATCTATCAGCATCACAGATTTCCGATCAAAAATAGGAAAAATTTGCATTGCAAAAGATCCCAGCAAGAGCGGCGCTTGTCACGCAAGCGATGCGACACACACCTAGACTCTGCATCAGAAAGGTTCATACTCCTTTCATGCATGACAAAAAGTTTTCATTTGGAGACTTTGCATCACAACTTTGGGGGCGGGGGCAATTTTCCTCGCGATACGGCACCGCGTCTTCTGCGGTTTATTTCCGTCCGCAGTCGCGCGGGGCGACCGCGACGACGTCTTCCGGGCACCAGCTGCACGGCGCAGCAGGAGGAGGTGGCGCGGGGCCCAGATACCAAATGTAAAAATGTCTGGGTCTGGAAACTTGTGATGCTGGGTGGCGTCTCATGATGAGGCTACAGATGCTGGCTCAGCATGACAAGTTTCTGAGCTCCTAGGTGTTGCCTATTCTGCATGACAAACTGCGCTTCTGCATCACAGAAAAACGGAGCTCTTGGGTATTGTGCATGACAGATTCAAGAGTCATGCCAGACAAGCATGACAAACATGAATTCTTCCAGACCCAGACATTTTTACAGTTGATGCCAGAAGTACAAGTACAATAAAAAATCCAGCTACGTCCTCCGGCCCGCCGAAGGGCAGCACAAAAGCAGCGGCCAGGGGCGGCCGCGGCGGCGCACCTCCTGGCCGCAGTGCTGGAGGAGCGAGTTCATCTTCCCGTTCGGCATCCACGATTATACACGGCGCGGCCTCTCCACCATCGTCCACCGTGGGGGCAGAACTACAAGCGTCGAGTAGTCAACATCTTCCAGGAGCGTTACAGCAACCTGCTTTCGGCATCAGTACTAGTAGCAGCAGCACCTCTTCTACTTCCAAGAAACCGGCACCGCTGGTGTTCAAAACCCGGATGAACAGCCAGCAACTGAGCTTAAACAGTGCCGGGCCACGCACCACCAGCGGCTCGGGTTTGTTCTCGTCTGGTACTTCTTCGTCCGCAAATGCAGCTAAAGCAGGGACTTCTGCATCATCGAGCAGTAGATCAGCGGTTCTCGCTGGCACCACAACAGGTCGCGCAAAGATCAGCGCCGGGACCGGCAGCAGCACAGCTGCCGGCGCGGGAGGAGAGGACTTAGTTGACGTAGTTCCTGTGCCAATTGGGATGTTCAAAACAACAACAAACACAGCGAAGAAGAATAAAACCAGCGCGAGTGCGGCCGGTGGGGGTGCAGCTCACCCTTTGTCGTCATCGTCGTCGTCAGGAAAGGTGAACAAAAGTTCTGCCAGTTGTAACGGAATTTTGAAAACCTCCAAAGCGTACTCAGTTCACGTGCCGTCGACTGCAGGAGCTGGAGCTCCTGTCGGGGGTCTTAAGAGCAGTGCTTCAACATCCAGCAGCGGAGATGTTGCGGGATCTCCTTCGCCTCCTTTAGCGCCGTCTGGCTCGTCTGAAGCAACGGGCCACAAATATGAACTGCAAATATGTCTGGGTCTGGGAGATTGCGAGATTTGTCATGCTAGTCTGGCATGACTCTAAACTCTGTACTGCGTGCCAACGAAGAGGTCCCGCCCTTGTCTGTCATGCAAAAACGCAGTTTCTCATTCGGAGTACGTAACTCCTAACCATGGAAAAACTTGTCATGCCGGGGAGCGCATTGCAGCGTGCTCAATATAATTTCCTTCCTTGCAACATCACAAGTTTTCAAACATCCAGGGATATTTGCAATGCATAAAAACAAAACTTCGAGTACAATTTCCTCCACATACGGGACGGCGAGCAGCACAAAATTCAAACTGAAAAATGCCAGTTCATCAGCTCTCTCCTCCACAACACAAGCAGCAGCAGCTGCTGCAGTTTCCAAATCCCAACATGGTGTCACCAGCGGTGCAACTGTTTCGTCGGCGACGAGCATAGCTTCGAAAGCCTCCGAGGAAGCTAATCGTATGGCGGACCAATTTCGCAAGCAGGTGCAGAGCATTCTGGCGAACGGGCTGAGTGACTTAACGCTGCAGGAGACAAGCAAGCAAGGTGTGGATGCCGGAGAAACCACGACCAATGCGGGTGGCACGACTTCCGACGACGCAAACAGCTGCTTTGGAGGAACCACGAGGGGCGGGAGCAGGCACGGCACGAAACACGCCACTTCCCTGTCTTCGAAGATACAGGCACAGGCAGCTAGTGCTTTGGTCGTGGGGGAGCAGATGATGAACGCGAGAACAGCAGCCTCCGCTCCTGAGCAACTACTTCTGCTCGAAAAAATAACCTCAGCAGGTGGTGCTCCTGAAGCATCATCCTCCGCAAACTTTGAAAAGAAAATAGAAGATACTGGCCCTGCTACGACGCTGTTCAAATTTGAGCATTTTTCGGCGCAGAATGCCCCTGGTCAACAGCAAATGCAAGAAAAGTTCACGTTTTCCGGGCGACAAAGAGAAAGAACCTCCTCGGATGTTGACGAGAACAAAATTTATTTTCCGACTGAATTCGACGCGGCTCGTCCTGCTGTCACAGGTGAAATAGAAAACCAGAAGCACCATCATGCTGCTCCAGGTAACCAAACCACAGGATCGACCCCGTCGAACCTTCTTGCGGGGTTACTGGGCAACGTTCGTGACAGCTATAAGTTTGCGACATCTACTACTTCGGGCGGACTAGGGGTGGAGCGGGCTGCTCTTGTCGGAGCTGGTACAACTAACGTCAATGACCGCAATGCTGCGTCTTCATTCTTGTCTGATGATCAGCTGATGAACAACTCAAATTCGTCTTTCACCAACGCACGGCTGGTCGGAATCGATTCTATCGGGTTTTCGAAATCTATCTCCACCAGCACCCAGCAGAAAGTAGAGGTGACAGACGTCGAACAAGAAGAACCAGAAGCACATTTGGCGAACCTCTCGTCTGAAGTCCTGAACGGCAGCACAGTCGTCATCAACGGTGTCGATTTGAGCACGGGGCGCATCGCACCGCCACCCGAGCCGGTTGCTCTTTCAACAAATGATATATTTGCAGGAGGGAAGAAGCAGAATTTTTATGCGGAAAGTTGTACTGGGGCAGGCGTTCTTCTTAGCGAAGAACTACAGGTGGGAGACACGACGACCACAAGTAAAGGTGGAGCCAACATGTTTACTAGTGCACCACCGGGGGATGCCGCCGCCGCGGGAGCGGGACCTTCGCATAATAATAATCTCAGCAACAATGTTGACAAGAGCATCCGGGTTTCTATTGACGATATCTCCTCCATTCGCGGCATGAAAACCTCGCTGTTGTCTCACAGCCTAGATTATGAACTGCAAATATGTCTGGGTCTGGAAGCTGCATGGAAGTTTGTCATTGCCATGCTCGGCTGGCATGACAGACTTCAACTTCTCACTCTGCGATGCATGAACAGAAAAAAAGGCCCATTGCCTGTCACGGAAAAGCGCCGCGGTTTGTAATGCGCAAAACGAAACACAAAGACAAAGCCCAGCTCAAAAACTTGTCATGCTTGGCTGCGTATTGCAGTGCTGCGCCCACCATTCACGTATTTGCATCACACCCAGACAGATTTGCAATGCAGTTAGATTTGGAGCGAAAAAACAGCAGTTCCTTCATCTCCCCACCGGTTTTCCGACCTCCCAGCAGGAATGGAAGTGTGAATCAGGGATACAAGAATTTGAATTCCTCCAATTCCAACTCTAGGGCGACCAAGCCGGGCTTCGCCTCTGTCGGGGCGAGACCGAGGGCGGGAGGCGGACCAGGGCCGTTAGGGACCACGTCGGCCACGGGGTCGAGTAGTAATAGCGCAGGAGGCGGTGCAAATACTCGGACGACTACGCCGGTTTTGTCTTCCTCTAGCTCCTATGCATTGCAAAAGTAACGTACTAGTATGAATTGCATTACAAATTTTCGCAAGAAGAAAAGGTGCATTTGTAATGCTGTTTTAGCTTTGGAGGAAGATTTGTCATGCATTTTTGCAATACGAGTACGATACTTTTGCACAGCATGGCTCCACTTCGAAACTACGCATTCGCCAGCCCCGAGTCGGAGGGGTTCCGATTGTAAGTCGGCAGGGGAGATCTTCTGGTGCGGCGACTAGTATTACACATGCCCCCGCAACATATTCATCTCAGCATTCTTCTTCTTCCAGAAATCTGCATCTGCCAGTGCGCATGGGGCGAACAAGCGGCGGGAGCAGTAGTACCATCCCAAGCAGCTCCGCACAGAAACTTCACTTAGCGGCGCCTGGTGCAGCACAAGCTGTTTCTACTTCCTCAGCCGATCACAACTCCAAAGCGGAGATGAGTTCGGCTAGTAAAGGTGTATCCGCTACGACCACGCCCTCGACAAAAGAGCCCACAGTGGGCAGCGGGCTGAGGGCAACTACACCAGGTGGATCCTCATCCTCTACCATGATGACAAGTGGGTTGCTGCTTGGTCTATCCACAGTACTATCGAATTTCCCGTACTCGACAACGTCTACAAGAAATTCCTGCGTTTCTGCATGGCACATAGACCTTTCTCTAATCTTGATCTATCCTATTCTAGATCGTATTCAGCACGTTTTTAACAAGCGGTGCGTGTGACTGTGAGATTCGGGATCATGTTCATGAAGAATTATTCAAATTGTGATATTGTATGTGGACGGTAAATTTGCGTTGCATATTGTGCAGGCAAGAAAAAATCAGAGAAGAACCTGATCACAACATCGTCTCTCGATTTCGGAAAACTCGCGACAGGTACGACGACCAGCTCTATTGAAATAGAAGAATCCTGGCGGGTTATTTCTGCCAGTTTGGATACTGGTGATATGATCAGGAACAACCGGTATGGAGCTCTGAATATTGCGAGTGGAACTACAATGCCAGGCAGTGCTGCGGCCTTCCACAATTATGCCGGCGTGAAGAAATCTTCCGCGACCTCGACCTCCGATTTGCTGCAGCAGTCTGTCATTTCCCATTCACAAGACCGCGGGGGCTGCAGGTCCCCCCTGGACAGGTCGGGTTTTCAGCCGTCCTTTATCCCCATGGCACAGAGGAACATTCAAGCGATATCCTGTGAAAAAACATTCCCAAGAATATCCCATAGAAGTTGCCATGCCTGTTTGCAATTGCAGGAGCATTTGTAATGCGCATCCCCATGACGAGACGCACTTGCGAGCGTGTTTTGGAACTTGTGATGCTGTAGAAAGGATAAGAAGATCGATTTGCTATGCGGCTTCCGCCTTGCTAAACTGCGTTGTGTATATTACAGCCTGCAACCTGTCATGCATGACTCCCAAAGCTCCCAGCTTTGTGTTGCGAAATCCCCATTGGCAACTCTGGGGTGGGGACTTTTCTACATAGCATAAGCGAAAGTCGACACGGGCCTGAGCAATTCATCTAATATGTCGAATAGCAACACACCAACCCAAATCTTCAACACAAACAACAATCCGAGTAGAGCCACTGCCGCTGCATTTGTGTTCGGTGGAGCCGGGATAAAAATGAGCGGCGTTGGTGGTGCAAGTGGAAGTGCAACTGCAGGCCTCTCTGCACGAACGACTCTGAATATTAAACCTAAATCCACCAAACTACTGCTGGGGGGCGACCCCAGTGCAAAAATAGGTGCAAAAACTTCAGCAATCGGGAACTGCTCTACTGGGCAGCAGCTCCCGCCAGGTGTTGTTTGTTCAACAAGCCTTCCGGAGGAGCCGTCTGGTGGCGGAGGGACCACGACGACTGTGAGGGCAACGACCTCTTCCGCGTCCGCCCCGGGAGCTCTTGCTAGTGACTTGATAGGCGCTGGTGGAGGCACTAGTACCAGTACAGGCACCCGAGCAGGAACTACTACGCCACATCAAGTGCAAGTCGCGGTCCCCGCTCCTATACACGTGAACCGGCCAGTCAGCCGCCGCGCTACCGCCAGCACGGCCTCGACCTCCGCCGCGCAGAGCCGCCGGTCGACTTCTACAACGAATCTCCGGGGAGGAGGCGGGGGAAGTGGTACTACAGCCACGGGGGGCTCTGTTGCCAACCTGCGCGCAGGAGGTGATCTTCTGGGAGCCTATGGATTGCAAAAATGTACGGGTCTGGAAGATTGCAACTTGTAATGCTGTCTTTGGATTCCAAAAAAATCTGTATTGCATGAAGACCAGCAACAGGACTACAGTTTGTGTTACGCGGAGAGGGCATTTGTCATGCGGAATAGGCATTAGGAAGCCCTCTAAAAATCCGTGTTGCTAGATCATGCATTAGAGGCATCAATCATCATACAAAATACGCATGACAAGTCTGCATTCTTCCAGACCCAGACATTTTTGCACTTGATAGAGCAGGTGCTAGGCCAAACTCTTCCCGACCCAATAAAGCAGGCAGCAGTGCGAGCAGCGTCAACCTCTTACGTGGTGGTGGGGGCCACAATTTTACACCGTCCCACCCTTACCTGTCCACACAAGTTTACAAAGCGCGGAACAATACTACTAGCGGCACGACGCCCACGACGAGCTCGTCTTTGACGCCGAATTTGAAAAATAGACCCCAATCACAACGCACACTGCAGATGATGCAAGGTAGAGACCAACATCATCAGCAGAAAAAATTTCGCCCGACGTTCTCGGATAGGAGAAAGCCAAGTAGTGGCAGGGTCGTTGCATCTGGTACATCGACTTCTTCGCAACAAGCGAGGGGATTTTCACTCGATCGGGGAAACAACTTCAAAGGAAGCAATGGCGGTGCGCAGCTGAGAACTGGGGCGGGTGGTATAGGGAATTATAACTATGGCGCGATCAAGGGCGGAAACGTTGGACACGCGGCGCAGAGCAGAAATATTAATTTTCACAACAACTCTTCCACTACGCAACAAGATCAATATCTTCATCTCCAAGGAGCACAGACAAGCATGAGTGCTGAGATTTCGGCGAGTACGCGAAAGGTTCACCAGAACTTGTTTGAGGAAATAATCCGGCGGAACGCGACCTACGGGCAACTGCTGCAAAAAATCAAGCAAGCCTACGAGCAGGAACTGGACCGGAAGATGGCGATAGTATATGCATTGCAAAAATGTCTGGGTCTGGAAGAATGGAAGCTTGTGATGCGCATTTCAGAACACAGAAAAAATCTCTCATGCATAGACAGCATAAGTTGCCCACTTTCGGTCACCAAAATGAGGGATTTGTCATGCGGATTCGGCATTGCGGAAGCTTTTCGAAGTCTGTGATGCTAGAGCTTCCATGCCAGACCTTCTGTGTCATGCAAAAACAACATGACTCTCCCAGACCCAGACATATTTGCGTTTGATAGAGTACCTGCTGGAGGAACTGGGGGCAAGGGTGGCGGGAAAGGTACTTCCTACGTATGTCGGAAGAACAAGCACAGATTGTTTTTATTTGGTCTGTGTATAGCAAAGTCAGTCACGTAGAACTAGGAGTATGGATGGTAACTAACTAACATCATGTTGAACATGAAGTCAAGATGTAGGTTCACAACAACGGAATAAAACTTCGTCCAAAAAAATAATAACCCACAGCTCTTCACGACCAACACTTTCACCACCAGGACAGCACCCTGACCCGCGACTATCTTCTCGCGGAGCGGCGCAACGAGAACGCGAAACTAGAATTAGAGAAGCTCACGAATGACTTGAGGCAGGAAAGCGATAAGCTACAGAAATCGCAGAAGCTTTTCGAGTACACCCTCGACCAACTGCAGAGACGATCGCCGGCCCAGCGGTCGGAAAAATCCTTAGCGTTGCTCTCTTCCATCGAACCCAGCGGCATGAACGAACTAGACACCGAGGACGGCCAGACCCCAGGTGGGCACATTCTTTTTTCCGAAAGCAACTATTTAAACAGCAAAATGGACAAGACCAACTCGGTCAACATGCTCTTCGACGCGTTAAACGGGATGGACAACAGCTTCTACTCTGCCGGAAATATCACGGGAACTTCGATTACGCGTTGCAAATATAATGATGATTTCTGGACGTCTGGAGAGTTGTGAAGATGCTCCTGATGTGTGGAAGTTGTAGATGAACTTGAAGAACTATTGAAAGAAAAAACTGTGTTAGTGTAGGTGTTGGAAAAATCACTACTTTTTTTGATATGCAAAACTAAAAAATTCTCAAGCTGCGGCGCAATCAACGACCTGGTATGTGTTGACGTTTATAAGGTGAATTTATATAGTCAAAACTAGCTACGGCTGCTGCGGTATATGTGAATAGTTAAGGAGGCAGGACTCCAAAAGTCCGAACGCGGAAAGTATAAGGAGGCCGAAAGTTCCAGAACCCGCGCGCGAACGGCGTTGACTGCAATTCGGGCAGGGAAAACAGAAAAGTGAAAGTGTAGGCCACATTCCGGAAAAGGGAAAATGACGAGTGTAGCAGAGAAACTCTTCTCCTTGGGGGGGTCGAAAGGACGTCCAGAAATCGCACTACACTCGTTCGGATCTCTTTTCCAAGATGGCCATTTACAGTGATTCTTTTTTCTTTTTATAGGTGGGGATTAGGAAAGAGAAAATTGCCAGTGTAGCATTTTCATTATCGCGCTGGGGGGGTGGTCGGGGGGGGTCGAGAAAGTGCCTCGATTTCAACGCGACCTGAAGAGTTGGCTTTGCGCTTACAATCATAAAATTATCTTTTCCGCCTCCAATTCTTCGGACTTTTCTCTTCTCAAAATGAAAACGCAACAAGGGCCGGCATGGAGGAGTACTACGACGATGCCCAGCGGGTTTCGAAGCAGAAACATAAGCCCTGCCTCCTTAACTAGCTAAAGACAATTATTACCGAGGCAGCCGCTAGCTACTTGTATTCCAAGCACCACAACACAGGCAGCATTAAGAAAACCGGACTTGCCTGCTCTTGAAAAAATCTTGAGCCTCCGCTATTAAAAAATATCGCACTTTCTGAAATACCTACACTAACACAGTTTTTTCTTTCAATAAGAACACAGCACTTCCGAACTACGCACGGAAGCATGACACGCTTGCAGAATGCCTTCTATTACGCAGTTCTTGTCCGCATCATGAGCTCCTGCGCACAGAAAAATAAATGTAAGGCCAGCAACGTATTTACACAATTACAAGTTCCAACTTTATCCCAGAACCAGGCATAGAAATTTGCACTCCTGGATATCGATGCTCGGGACGAACAACACGATCAACACAAACAACACCACGCTGCACAACATCAACTCGAAGTTGGAAGTGCAGAAGGTGAAGGGCTCGAAGATAAAGCTGTCGACTAACACTAGCATCAGCAACAACGACAACTCAAGCAATAACTTAATGCTGGCCGAGCCGACTCCGGCGATGCTCGATGAGAAACAGAAGGAGCTGTATGACAGTGCACAACTCCCCCTCCCCCTCATTTGTTTGTCATGAGCAGCAATGCAAACACCAGCACACGTGGAGCCTCGGCATGACTGATGTAGTACTGTTTGGGCTTCAGAATCTGCCATGCAATAAACAGTGCCACGAGGCAGCGACTGGGTTTGGTGTTTTGCATGACAAATGAGGGGGAAGGGGAGTTGTACAAATTCATTAGCTGATGAAACAGCCAAGAAACGAGTTGGATGGGGGTCGTGTGGAAAATTTTGTCGGTGACAGGTAAAGATAAGTACTCATATTGCTTTTACTGCCGATGCAATGCTGGTCTAGCGCACTGTATGTCTATGGCAACGCAGACTGACTGCAGTATATCCTTGCGGGTGATATTTTGCCGCATGGTGTCATGGGCTAATTTTTCTAAGCTGCGAATAGCATGCAGGAAAATGTTATGCAACATGGTATGATAGACGACGTAAAATAGTGGTTTCAATACAAATGATCATGATTTCGCAGGAACGTTATAACGTTGTATGAAAAATCAATATAAACGACAAATACACAGGGTCACGGCCCAAGTCATTCACGGTTCTCCGGAATTCAACATGCCGACTGTGCACCAAATAAACCACGACGGGGGAGCCTCTATGCATTGCAAAAGTATCGTACTCGTACTAAAACTAATCGCGTTCCTGCATTACAAATTTCTTGCTCACGTTAAGTCCGCATTACAAATTTCATTTCTCATGCCGAGGAAATTTGTGATGCGCTTCGTGCTGGTAAGATAATTTTGCAGTGCATAGCCTCCATTTCGCAGCAAAACAGCGCAACGAAGAACAACAACAGGATGAATGTTCTCGCGAGTCCGAATTCGCAAGAGTCTTGCGAACTGCTGAACCAAGCGATACTGAGCTCGCCGGTTTCCGATTTGAGCTCAATCACGGGTGGGTGTGGTGCTGGTGCAGGTGGTGTCTCAGGACTGACGAACAACACACTGATATTAAACAACGGAGGAGGTGTAGGTGGTACTAGTGGGGCACAACTTTTATCCTCCTCGTCGGGAGTAATAAACAACAGCGGGAACAACAGCAGCTCGAGTCTTTTGATCCCAACGCTTTCAGAAGGTGGAGGGAATGGGATCCCACCTCCGCGAGAGCCGAACTCTACCATCGGAACGAATCAACAGCTGAATCGGACAAGCTCTTTGACGGCATTGCAGGGCAGCTTCATGCAGGAGGGACAAATTCCGATTGGTTTTGGTAGCCGGCCACAGGAGCAGCTGCAGGGAGCAGAAATAAACGTGTCTAGGGCGGGAGCAGACAGTATCCACAGTAAATTTCCCGTACACGTAGAAATGCGGTCTCTGCATGACAAAACTTGGCTTCGATCCTAGTTTAGCATGACAAGTTTTACGCTCCAAAATGGTGAAATTTGTGATGCATCTTGTACATATACGGGAGATTTGTATTCCATAGACAGCAACACAAATTCCGCGACTTTGAACTCGAATTTTAGTACGACGCCAAACATGTTGAACCTAACGCTGACGCCGAACATGCTGCGAAACGAAATCGGCAGGGGCAGTGCGGGAGTTGTTGGCACGACACTGTCGAACGGCATGACAGATACCTGCTACGGGGAAATGGACCAGATGATGGAAGTACCCTGTGCAAAAGTATCGTACTCGTATTGCAATCATGCATGACAAATCCACCTTTTGTTAAGGTAAATCCGCATTACAAATTTAATTTCTCATGCTGAGAAAATTATTTGTAATGCATTTAGGCGAGTGCGATACTTTTGCAGTTCATAGGAAGCGTCGCACTACAAAAACCAGGGCACTAGGCCCTCTTCCTCGGTTCCTGCAGAGGAGCTTGTTCACAACGGTACTTCTACGAGGCACAACAAACTTGGAGCTGCCAAGAGGCTGCAGTCAACTCAACAACAAAGCGCCTCTACTTCCTCTGCGGTTGCAAGCGGACCGCCTGCTGCAATACCAATACAAATTCAGCAACAGCAGAATATTGCGACGCAGCAAGTTTTTTCGTCTGCAGGCGTAACAATAAATCCTCGTGGTCCACCAGCACCGCCCGACATCGACAGTTCGCTGCGTACGTTGTCACCCTTGGAAACGCCGGAGAAAGTTTTGAGCTTGAATGCCAAGGCGCGAATGAAACTCGGTGTGGAAAACAAAGTGGATCGCTACGTCCAGGAACTGGAGATGGAGGACGAGGAAGCATCTTCGGAAAGCTGTGGTCCTCACCACGGTGCTGGACGAGGACCTGCTGCGGTGTTAACAATCCCGAAGATCCAGGAGCCGCCCGAGGAGGCAGCAACTACTTCCGGGGCCAATCCCAATGCCAACTGCGAGGATATGCATGGCAAAAGCATCGCACTAGTAGAAACCACATCACAAGTTTTTTCATTCGAGTACTAGAACAGAAATGCAATTTGTCATGCTAGTTCAGGTGGTAGAATCATGCATAACTACAAGTAGTACGAGAGCGATACTTTTGCAATGCATAGAGGAGCTGCGAGAGCAATACCACTACGCCTCGGGCTCGCCGTCGTTTCGCGAAGGTGCGACGGCACCGGTTTCCCGTACAATTTTTGAGATACTTGATTTATTTCCTGAAATTGTCAACATGCAGGACACGCAGCATGATGATGATCGTCTTTGTTGTTGATTTTTCGCGCATTACAAAGTACTACTTAAGGTGCCAAAAGCCTTAAAAACTTACTCTGAAAAGCCTCCGAAGCCGATTCTTCTGTTGAGGGTGGTCCGCGCTTCGAGCAGCGCGTCTTCCATCCAAAAATCAAGAGGCCGGACTTCATTCCAGTTCTTGATTTGAACAACCTTTCTGCCGAGGAGTCGAGTTACGAGAGCGACGAGGAGGAGGAGGAGGATCCAGAGGACCACGGCGATATGCATTGCAAAGGAACTCTCGTATTGCTAAGTAGAAATTGCATTACAGATTTTCTCAGCATGAAAAATTGAATTTGTCATGCTGTTTTGCCTTCTTGTAAAGGAGATCATGTATATCTGCAATTTGTACTTCTAGTACGAGTGTGGTACAACTTTTGCGCAGGATAGTCGATGCTGAGGGGGAACTCGACGACCAAAATCTCAGCGAGGCAACCATGGACAACGCGCCTATGTATCCACAGAAATAACGAAAAGTACGGGCATTCCCATCTTCCGTATAGTTTGCATGATCAATACAGACTCAGGCCCGGCTTCGTGGCCGCGTTTTGCATAGCAAATAGGAAGATCAACTGGCGGATAAGAAAAGTTTTCTTGTGGATACGAAGGAAGAGGACGAGGATGACCTGGAAGAACTGGATCAAGGTGCTGGAACATCAAGCCTCTCACGTATGAGAGTGAACAGCCCCCCTTTTCCCGCCGTCCTCCCTCGTTTGTAAATGCAAAATACCAAATTCATAAACTATATCCTGCCTGTAAACACTGTCAGCATGACGAATTTTGGAACCTCGTCCTCGAACAGTTGCACTCCAATCCTCCCGGCTCGGCAGCTTTATTGTGATTGTCACGCTTCATCAGCAATTGCCTGTGTTACTCCTGTGTGTGCCCTACATGATCACGACATGAGAGGGACCACGTCGAGAGGGAGCTGCAGCTGTTGTGCACTTTCATATCACGACCAGCGCCTCCAGTTGTGGAGCTCGATCTCGGATCTAGCAGCGGCGACGCAGATAGTGGGCGTAATTATGACTACCAAGAAAACGAAAACCACGGACACTACGCGAGCGAAGGCGAGATCGAAGAAGAAATTGAGGAGGACATTGAAGCGGAAGTAGAAGACGAATAAAAAACCAAGTAAGTAGTAGATGATAAGTTGTCACGACCTCCAGATGTTGAGCTAGGTTTTTTGTGAAATTGCCAAAGTAGGAAAATAAACCCCTCGTAGTAGACAGATCTGTCAGCAAAAAGTCAATAGAAATAGTATTAAAACCCCACTATTATTTTTTTCGAATGAGTTTTTTTTTCTCTGTGTGTGAAGAGGAAGTCGGTGGAGACGAGAAAATAGATGGTAATGCTGATCTACTTCCATGATTTTACTTGTATTTTCTACAGCCCGCGAGCTTCTACTTCAACTTCTGTGAAAACATGGCACCAGCATTATTCCTATTTCATCTTCATCAAAGTTTAGGCAGGTGCAAAACGAACTTCTACTCTAAGCAGTCGATGGCCAAAGCTTGCCCTGCTGCATAACGGTTTTCTTTTTCCACTTCCAAAAAAATGTTTCTGAAGAATAATTTGTTTTTGTGTGTGTAGTGTAACAAGCAGGATATTTTTATTGAAGTTGGCAAAAGTGCTTTTATCAACAACGGCCTTACTTGTAGACCACGAGAAGGCGATATATTTCCTTCGTTAGAGATGAGTTCACAGAAAGGGACATGCTATTCCAAATATCGATAACCATAACCGATCAAAGTGTCGGGGTGATAAAAATGAAACCATGATTACGTAAGATTTTGGTAGAATTCATTGGTCGAATTGAAGCCGATCTCGCTACTATTGAATAGTAATGGAGGCACAAAATCGATTTTCTGCTATTTTCTAGGAAGCTTTATTTTCCGGAAGTCGGAAAATCCGGACCGCAGCGATCTCCCGAGATCTTTCCGGAAGTCCAGATCTCTCCGGAAAATCGAATGTCCGGCAAGGTGCCGACGTTGTCCATAGGGTTGAGGGGCTGCAGAATCGATTTTGTGGCCGGTAGGGCTCGTTGCCCGTACCTCATAGGGCGCGCGCTGGGACGGGGGTAGGTTGGTAAGGCATTGGCGTGGGAGACTGCATCCGCGAAGAAAGGGCGGACGCACAAAATCGATTTTGTGGGAGATCCGCTAAAGCGCATAGCTGGATGGAAGCTCTCCCCCCTTGTCCGTCGGCCCGGCGGATTGCGTGGCGCACCGCCTCGATATTGAGCCACGCAGCCGCTCGATTCGGTCGGACCTGGGAAGCTGCGAAATCGATTTTGTGTGGTCGGGCGATTGTGTGGCCTTCAACAGCGATTGCGCGACCCACAACGGCGAACCTGTGGCCAGCACAAAGCCGACCTTTTGGACGGCGCTGCGTTCTGGGGGAATGGAAAATCGATTTTGTGCAATCTGCGGGATTGCGCGTCTGGAGGAGGGGTTTTGTGCAATCCGCGCCTGCGGGATTCGATTTTGACTTTGAGTGATTTTGTGTTCTGCCCTTTGTACATGACCAGTAGACAGAGCAAAGGCAAGACTCTCGAGAAATATTAACCACGCGACACATAGCGGAAAGCATCCGAGTTGGGTCGCGAATCTAAGGAACAACTTTACAACCAGAAGGAAGCTGACAACTAGAAGAGAAACAAAAAAAAAAAAAAAGAAGAAGACGGAAGTGGCGGGCAGGGGCAAACGTGGAGGCCTGGCACAGGAGGAAGGCTGTATCGGAGGGGTAGAAGAAGAAGAGAAAAGCACTATGTGTATGACTTGAAAGGTTTTTGCTACGAATAAAGTTGCCACGCCGAGGAGTTTTCTGGATGACAGTGTACCTAGGGCGACTGTGGTTCAAAAAATGTAAATCTCGATCTGGGGCACACTTTAGGGGAATGCTTTCAACAAGACACACAAATCTGTAATGCAGACGTCAAATAAACTTGCACTCAAAAAACAAAACTGCGCTGCTCTTTTCCAGATCTTAGACGAAAATACTACTACAACAAATCGGCTGGGTCAAGGCAGAAGGAAAAGCGTCGACCTCTCGTACTACGACATCGATCGCACAAAGAAAATTTGCTACAGTTCTGCAAGGGCCGTTTTTCGATAGTTTAAAAAGTGTTTTCGAATATTTAGCTCGTGGAAATTGTCACACAAACTGCCAGGCGGGGTCATAGCGTGCGCTTAAAGAATTCACGGTAGGCACGGGTAGAATAGATACCACTCGAACCCGTTAGTTGACAGCTCTCGAGTACATGACCCAAAAGCTATGAGGTGCAAGATGGCAGTGATGATGATTTAGAGATTTGGAAAAAAGAAAAAAAAAAAAGCAACAAAACACACCACACGGCAGGAAGATTTTGACTTTGAGTGATTTTGTGTTCTGCCCTTTGTACATGACCAGTAGACAGAGCAAAGGCAAGACTCTCGAGAAATAATGCGCAATGCAAAATCGATTTTGTGGAATGCAAAATCGATTTTGCGGCATTCGGTTTTGTGCAATGCAAAACCGTGATGTGGTTTTGTGCAATGCAAAATCGATTTTGTGCAATGCAAAATCGATTTTGCGGGATTCGGTTTTGTGCAATGCAAAATTGATTTTGTGCAATCCGCGTCTGAGGGAATGCAAAATCTATTTTGTGCAATGCAAAATCGGGACTCGGTTTTGTGCAATGCAAAATCGATCTTGTGCAATGCAAAATCGATTTTGTGCAATGCAAGATCGATTTTGCGGCATTCGGTTTTGTGCAATGCAAAATCGATTTTGTGCAATGCAAAATCGGGCTTCGGTTTTGTGCAACGCAAAATCGATTTTTTGCAATGCAAAATCGATTTTGTGCAATGCAAAATCGGGCTTCGGTTTTGTGCAACGCAAAATCGATTTTGTGCAATGCAAAATCGATTTTGCGGGATTCGGTTTCGTGCAATGCAAAATCGATTTTATGCAATCCGCGTCTGCGGGAATGCAAAATCGATTTTGAGCAATGCAAAATTCGGGAATCGGGAATCGCCCCCCTTAGGTTGGTTGGCTCTGGCCTCTACAGTTTCGCCGCGCCACCGGATTTTTTTTCGATTTTCTTGGCCGATAAAAAGTTGGTCCAAATCACTACCAATGCATACGCAGTCGCGAATACGATTTTCATCGCCAGGGTGGTTGCTGAAAACAAGGTTTTTGAGTCGTTTGAAAATCGGCGCCTTGATGAAAGAGAAATACTCCTGTCATAGTCATTCCGTCATAACTGTCGACGCATCAGAGTAGAAGTTGGTGGAGGTGGCAAGGTCACTATTGCTCGTCGTGGTCTGTGGTAATATTCTTGCAAAAATCGCGCGCGTCGTTTGTTGATACAGATATCGCTTCTCGTCGACTACTTCGGTTTCGATGTTTTGGTAAAACTGCAAAAAATCGCCTTCAATTTTCTTACAAATCTTTTTCGTTTCTCTTCACTACTCGACGTTGTGAGCAGGAGGTTTATTCTAGACTACTTTGTCAAGATGAGCAGTTTCATCGACTATTAGAAGAAGCAACTACTCAGGTTGATACTACGGAAGATTTTTTGAACGAGATTCTTTAAGTGAGTAAGTATGTGGTGAAGCTACGTCGACCAGCACCTCGTCAGAAAAAGAACGACCGAAAGGCTCGACATCAGGCCGGCTTGGTGTGATGAACACAACATCTTTATACGTGACAAACTAAGCGCAAAAATAAACAAGCCATGCTCGTGAATAGAGGCTTGGAGCAGTATCCGCCACCAGGAGGACCGGGGTCGACGTCCTATCAACTGCAAATATGCCTGGGTCTGGAAGGATCCAACTTGTGATGCTGTCTTTGGATTCTGATTACAAGACTAATAATGATCATTAGCGCTATTCTGGGCCTCAGGCCCCCCCTCAGGCCCCCCCTTAGGCCCCCCCTCAGGCCCCCCCTCGACCCCTAAGGCCCCCCCTGAGGCCCCCCCTCAGGCCCCCCATGAGGCCAAAAAAGGCCCCCCCTAAGGCCCCCCCTGAGGCCCCCCCTGGGGCCCCCCCTTTTGCCCAAAGGGGGGGGGTTAGGCCCCCCCTTAGGCCCCCCCTTTTTTTCGTGTTCGCAGACGCCCAGAGCCAAAAAAGGCCCCCCCTAAGGCCCCCCCTGAGGCCCCCCCTAAGGCCCCCCCTGATGCCCAAGGGGGGTGGGTTGGGTCCCCCCCTTAGGCCCCCTCTTTTTTTCGCGAGCGTTCGCAGACGTCTGGCACAGAACATAAAGCCAGGCAGATCATCGCCGACCATTTCTTTGACGCAGGCAGCGACCGAACAATCCCGGGCGGCGCCACGCGCTGTCTACCTTGGCTGGTCCGCCGGTTCTCATTCTGATTGCGGGCGGGGCCGCTTTGGTTTTGGACACAATAAACAAAGTCACGAAGTGAGTCCTTGGCTTTGGCTTCATATTTTGGCTACCGCCCCGGCTTTGTCCTTTGATTTTAATTACTGGCGGGGCCGCTTCGGAATGCATGACACGCATGCCCTGTAGCCCTCCTGGACAATGCTATGCGCTGCGCAGTCGAAGGCGCCGGCAAGGCTCTTCGGAATGCTTTTCGTTTTCTACCGAAAAGCCGAACGGGATACGAGGCCCTTCCTGAGGCCCCTCTAAGACCCCCCCTTTGGCCAGTCCGGAAGGGCCCTCGCTCCCTCGGGCGTTCTGCCCTGACGGTTTGCTTGCTTTGCTTGGAGGCCCGCTAAGCGAGCCCCGGCGCCGGCAAATGCCCGAGCCTGAGGCCCCCCGGAAGGCCCCCCCGCTGGAACAGGAGCCCTGAGGCCCCCCGGAGGCCGCCCCGGAGGCCCCCCCCGGCAGAGGCCCCCCCGGAGGCCCCCCCTTTGGTCAGCCCGGAGGGGCCCTCCTGTCTTCTGCCCTGAAGCTTTGCTTGCTTTGCGTGAAGGCCCGCCGGGCGAGCCCCGGCGCCGGCCAATGCCCGAGCCTGTGGCCCTATTCATTGACAGCCCTGAGGCATCCCTGCGGCCCCCCCTACGGCCCCCCCCAATGGCCCCCCCTAAGGCCCCCCCTTTGGCCAGCCCGGAAGGGCCCTCGCTCCCTTGGGCCTTCTGCCCTGAAGTTTTGCTTGCTTTGCTTGAAGGCCTGCCAAGCGAGCCCCGGCGCCGGCACTCACATGCCCGAGCCGGAGGCCCCCCGCAAAGCCCCCCCGAACAGAAGCCCTGGGCCCCCCCCATGGCCGCCCCGGGGGCCCCCCCCCGAAGGCCCCCCCTGTGGTCAGCCCGGGAGGGCCCTCGTGTCTTCTGCCCGGAAGCTTTGTGTGCTTTGCGTGAAGGCCCGGCCCGCCAAGCGAGCCCCGGCGCGCGCCGGCAAATGCCCGAGCCTGCGGCCCTATTGATGACAGCCGTGAGGCCTCCCGCATGGGCCCCCCCCCCAAGGCCCCCCCTGAGGCCCCCCCTTTGGCCCCCCCTTTGGCCCTCGCTCCCTCGGGCCTTCTGCCCTGAGGCTTTGCTTGCTTTGCTTGAAGGGCTGCCAAGCGAGCCCCGGCGCCGGCACATGCCCGAGCCTGGGGCCCCCCGCAAAGCCCCCCCGAACAGAAGCCCTGCGGCCCCCCGGAGGCCGCCCCGGAGGCCCCCCCTCGCCCTGCCCAGGCCCCCCCTTTGGCCAGCCCGGAAGGGCCCTCGTGTTTTCTGCCCTGAAGCTTTGCTTGCTTTGCGGGAAGGCCCGCCAAGCGAGCCCCGGCGCCGGCCAATGCCCGAGCCTGTGGCCCTATTGACAGCCCTGAGGCCCCCCCTAAGGCCCCCCCTGAGGCCCCCCCTAAGGCCCCCCCTAAGGCCCCCCCTAAGGCCCCCCCTGAGGCCCCCCCTGAGGCCCCCCCTTTGGGCAGCCCGGCAGGGCCCTCACCCCCTCGGGCCTTCTGCCCTGGTGCTTTGCTCGCTTTGCTTGAAGGCCTGCCAGGCGAGCCCCGGCGCCGCCACATTCCCGAGCCAGCCCGAGGCCCCCCGCCCGCAAAGCCCCCCCGAGCCGAAGCCTTGAGGCCGCCCCGGAGGCCCCCCCTAAAGCCCCCCCCTTTGGCCAACCCGGAAGGGCCCTCGTGTCTTCTGCCCTGAAGCTTTGTTCGCTTTGCGTGAAGGCCCGCCAAGCGGGCCCCGGCGCCGGAAAATGCCCGAGCGGGCGGCCCTATTGACAGCCCGGGGGCCCCGCCAAAGGCCCCCCTAGGGCCCCCCTTGAGGCCCCCCCTTTGGCCAGCCCGGAACCCCTCGCGCCCTCGGGCCTTCTGCCCTGAAGCTTCCCTCTGCTTGAAGGCCTGCCAAGCGAGCCCCGGCGCCGGCTCAATCATGCTTGAGCCGGAGGCCCCCCGCAAAACCCCCCCGATGGAACAGAAGCCCTGCGGCCCCCCTGCGGCCGCCCCGAAGGCCCCCCCCCGCCCGGCCGAGGCCCCCCCCTCTGGCCAGCCCGGAAGGGCCCTCCCTGTCTCGCTCCCTCGGGCCTTCTGCCCTGGAACTTTGCTTGCTTTGCTTGAGGGCCCGCCAAGCGAGCCCCGGCGCCGGCAAACGCCCGAGCCTGAGGCCCTCATGACAGCCCGGAGACCCCCCCTAAGGCCCCCCCGAAGGCCCCCCCGGAGGCCCCCCCCGAGGTCCCCCCCGGAGGCCCCCCTAAGGCCCGCCCGGAAGGGCCCTCGCTCACTCGGGCCTTCTGCCCTGACGCTTTGCTTGCTTTGCTTGAAGGCCCGCAGAGCGAGCCCCGGCGCCGGCAGATGCCCGGGCCTGAGGCCCCCCGCGAGGCCCGCCCGAACAGAAGCCCCGGGGGCCCCCCCGACCGAGGCCCCCCCCATTGGCCGGGCCGGGCGGGCCCTCGCTCCCTCTCCCGGGCTTTCTGCCCTGAGCCTTTGCTTGCTTTGCGTGAAGGCCCGCCAAGCAAGCCCCTGCGCCGGCCAATGCCCGAGCCTGAGGCCCTACCGGCAGCCCTGCGGCCCCCGGGGGGAAGGCCGCCCCGGAGGCCCCCTCTAAGGCCCCCCCTTTGGCTAGCCCGGAAGGGACCTCGCTCCCCCGGGCCTTCTGCCCTGGAGCTTTGCCTGCTTTGCTTGAAGGCCCGCCAAGCGAGCCCCGGCGCCGGCTTCTTTTGCGTAGTTGCTGGGCGGAGGGGCGCCAAAAGATATTTCTGCTTTTCTTTTGAGTTGGCACACGGCCAGAACGAAGCCCAACCACTTCGGCCCGCCCGTCCCTTGCCTTGGTGCGTTTTTACTCGGCCGCCGCCCCTCCATCGCCCGGCCCCCCCCATCGATCGTCATCCCGCGGCTGACGCCTTCGATAGATTAGCGCGCGCATGATCGGGCGCAGCAACTGAAGTCCCCACGCCCCGGAGGTGTTCTGGGTGTAGAAATAGGGCCGGGCCACCACAGTACGAACGCAAAAGCCCGGCGAATGTCTGCACCACGACACTCACTTGCCCCATCGCCGGGGCCGCATGATCAGCGGGGCCGCTTCGCAGTGTTGTTAGGTAGTTTATCACGCACCGGAGACGGCGCCTCGACTTGCCTGAGCCTTTGGGTCGCCACATTTCCGCTCCGCTTCCGCTGTGCAGGTGTCAGAAGGCCTGTCGGCTTCTTACTTCAGAGCTGGCAGGCAGCTGCTCTGTGTGTACCCGAGGCGCCTTTCTGCTTTCTGTCTACAGCTGCTGCCCCTACAACTTTATGTAGCGCGCGCACTGATCTCCTGTCGCGCTACTCTTCCTGAGCGCTACCCCTGCCCCGCCCTTCCTCCTTCCCAGGAAGCCCAGCCCAACAATCCTAATGATCATGCTTATGCAAAAAAATCAAGTTCAAGAAAGGGTCGCCCTTCAGGGCGACCCGTTTTCTTGTAAAATTAAAATCTGTATTGCATGACTAGCAAGAGGAGTCCAGTTTATGCCATGTGGAGAACGGAGAGGGCATTTCCATTTCTCATGCGGAATAGGCATCGGGAAGCCCTTCTGTGACGGTAGGCCATGAATTACAGGCGTCATGGGTCATGATGCAGAGTATGCATTACAAACCTGGCAGCCTTCCAGACCCAGACATATTTGCAATGCATACGTCCTCTCCGACCGGCGCGATGGAACAGACTACGACCATTTCCCCCACCCGGACGGCCGCCTACGGGATTAAACGCGACGTAAAGCGTGTGAACCCGGTTGCGCACGAGCATGTGGAGGAGATCGAGAAGCTACTGTTAACGGTGTCGAGGGAATTCCCAACGATCGGCTACACGCAGGGAATGCACGAGGTACTGATGTTCAGTTCTTCTGCAACTTCCACCAGATGAGAAGATGCTTTTCTTCATCTTTTCTTCCATCGTTGAGATTTTCCATAGTTCTCGTCCCAGGCGGTTGTCCGGACCACTGGAGAGTCATGCATTTGATGTTCCATTCAGAGATGTACGTAGATTGGCGTAGTCTTGTCATGCAAAAGAACCTGCTGCATCATTCCCGAACAAAACACAACAAGGTCGCCGCCGTTCTGGTCTACCGCCATTCTTCCATGCACGCTCTCCCCGGTTTATGTATCAAAAACGTAGTTCTTGTGTTGTGTACGTAGGACAAATAGCATAAACTTCGCTCGGAAGTAACTCAACTTCTTATGCTGACCAAGGTACAGAAAAGACAGTTGTCACGCGTGACGGCAATTATGAAAGAATAGTACTGACGAACAAGATACTTTGCGATGCATAAACCTCCCCCTTGGACGACTTCCGAACGCTGCTGAGTAACTGCGGCGATATATCCTGAGTAAAAACGTACCCACACCAGAGTTGCAATGCAGATTTGCAAAGACAGGAAGACTTGTAACGCGCATCCCCATGAGAGCCATTTCTAATCGTGTTTTGGAATTTGTGATGCTGTGAACAGGATGAGCAGGCGCATCTGTGATGCGGCTGCACTTGCTAACCTGCACTACACTGCATAGTGCAACTTGTCATGCGTGACTCACAAAAATCCTAGGTTTGTGTTGCAAAATCCCCATCTTGACTCTGGTGCGGGTACGTTTTTACTCAGGATACGATATGTGGCGGGACGGCATGCCGAAAATTCACGAGGCGGTGCTGATTGTGAATAACCTGCTCCACAAGCACTTACCCAGACTCCACCATCACTGGTTCACGTCCTGTCAGCCAAAGGTGGACACGCTGTCTATGGCGTTCTCAAACGTTACATTTTCAACTGTTACATGAATTTGTGATGCAAGAATGGGAAAAGTGAAAGGGGGAAGGCGGCACCTGTAGCATTACAAATTTCGCACAGATTTAGGTGCGGTCTAGCCCTTCGCAAATTTGTCATGCGAAGCAGCTTAATCATGAGGATGATGATGGTGCTTTTGCATGACAAATTCATGTAACAGTTGAGAGTGTAACGCTTGAGAACCCCATACTGTCAATCCTGCCGAACGGGTTGTTTTATGCATAATTGTGAAAGTAGTACTATCGCACTTCTTGCATTACAAAATTGCTCTGCATGAAAAAAGAAAATCTGGAGTTCTTTGTCATGCTACTTCACCTTGGGAAGCAGATTTATCATGCAGTACAACTAGTACGAGTGCGATACTTAACTTTTGCAATGCATACACCAACCCTTTTCGTCCACTGGTTTGGGTTTGACAACGCCTGTCACCACGTGGTGTCCTTTCTCGTGAAGGAGAAGTACCCGGCTTTCCTCGCGGTTGTGCTATGAAGGCCTCAGAAGGGAAATCCTCAAAGTGAAAATAGTTTGTAATGCAAAAAAACACTCCAGTTGAAGCGCCACTTCTAGGGGGCGCATGACAAATTTCCCGGGCACTCAAAGCATGTCTGTCATGCAGGTTAAGGCAAAGGGGTGCCCTTCTCTCGTGCTAATCAACACTCCAATTCTTAACCCGTAGGAAGACAATAGCCGGCCTCCATTGCGTCCTCTGCAATACAGTCTTTTTTGCGTCGCATTTCATGCATCACAAATTTGAGGATTTCCATTCTGAGGCTGTCATATGTGCTAGGCACGTTTGAGTACTTGGCGAACTCCGCCGGGATTTTGGAGCGAGATTTCGAAGAGTCCTATCCAAGAAAAAAACGTTGTTAGTGTAAATTTGTGATGCGCAACATGCAAGATGATTGCGTCTGTCATGCTTGGCATGCATCGTAGGGTCCATTGAAGGGCATTTTCGCATACTATCTGCGCATGACAGGTTTTTGCTGTCATGCCAGACAAATTTGTAATGCTGTTCCTCCAAAAAAGTTACACCTACAATGTTTTTTTCTTGGATAAGTCCATGATTTACTTCAGTAAGGAGATGCTGATCCGGTTCCAGGTGTCACGTATCCCTTGCAGAATCATCTTCGCTCGCACTGCATCGAAATTTGCAACGGCTAAACTGCACGATATTGTGAACAAATGCACATGCTCGTCATCATAGTACTTATCCGCATTTACAAATTTCGTGCGCGTGCGCGCGCAGGTGGTTTACTTTTGCAGCAGGATACTCCGGCAAGAAGACGTGAACAGCTACAACAAGATGCAGAGAGTGTATCACAGGAAAAAGTGTTAACGTCAACGAAACTTGTGATGCAGCAATGCATGATCACTAAACGAATAAACGTGCCAAATAAATTTGTCATGCATAGCATGCGTATTGGGCTACATTTGTGATGCATGGCTGCAATCTGTGAATAAAACCTTTAAAAACGTTAACACTTTTTCTTGGGATAGATTGCTGCAGGAAATCATGGACCTGGCGCGGGGGAAGTACTTGGCGATTGCAAAAGAGGAGTTAAAATACAGTGTGGAACCCAACCGCGAAATTTCGCCGGCGCCGAGTGTCGCCCAGTACTCGGTGAATTCAAATTCGTTCGGAACAAGAGGAGGTGTAGGTCCTGGAGCCATGGCAAATGTGATCCCCCTTACGGAGCAAAATTTGTCCCAGCTACCGCTGAAGTCCAGCGTAGACACGACGCAGCCGGCTGCAGGTGCGCAATATGGATTGCAAATGTGTCTGGGTCTGGAAACTTGTGATGCTGGGCTGTGAACAGACAATGCCCTGTAATGCACAGCAGAACATAATGAGAAATATGTGCTCGGCTATAGTGCTGCGCTTTCTGCGTGACAAGCTGCGTTTTCGCATGACAAGGACAAGGGTCTCTTGTTGGACACACATCACAAGTGTTTCTGTCATGCCAGACAAGCATGATAAGGATAACCTTGTTGTATCCTTCCAGACCCAGACATATTTGCAGTTGATACGCAAGGAAGTGGCGCTAATCCACGAACCACCGGACCAGGTAGTGTTCCAGGACCAGGCTCTGCAGTACCATTAGAGCAGTCTTACCTCATCTCTCCCCAGCAACAGCGGGAGCAGCAACGAGAGCGGGACTTGCAGCAGACCCTGCAGCAACAGCGACAACTGCAGGAACTGCAGCACCGACAAGCCGAGTTGAGTTACCAGCAAAACCGCCAGGTGCAGATTTCCAACGAACGGCCGGAGGAACTGAGCCCGTTTTTGCAGATCGGCGGAGCCAGGTCGAGTTCCAGCTTTCAGCATATGCACCGCAAATATGTCTGGGTCTGGAAAACTGCAACGTTTGTCATGCACATTTTTTTTACATGGCCGATGACATGATCCAGGGATCATTATATTTGCAACGCATACAGCAGGATCTACCAGCACGGTTGCCGCAGCAGCCGGCCTCGAAGGGTGGAATGACAATGCCGGGGACGAGTGTGAACCTAGGTATATTTAAAAAGACGTACCTAATTTAAGTATTTTGATACTTCTGTGGTCAGCTGACAGTGCATTGCTCACTGCTCGCCTTCCATATTGTCATCAATGCTGCAGCACGACAAGAAAAGCAAAGCAAACTCCTTCAGGTGGAGCTCCACCCCAGCAACACCCCCATCCGTCCTCCAACAGCGTCGCTGAGACCGGTAGTGTATGACAATGCACAACTCCCCCTCCCCCTCATTTGTATAGCATGAACGGCAATACAAGCATCCGCAAGAATGTCGGTTTTGCATGACAAATTTGCACTGGATTGTAGTGCTCTTTGGGCTTCCAGGATTTGTCATGCAAACAGTGCTACAAGGCAGCAGCTGGATTTGGGATTTTGCATTACAAAGGAGTGGGAAGGGGGGTTGTGCACTTTCATATAGTGCGAAAGGAAGCTACTTGATCAAACCGAAAAACTCCACGGCCTCCCGGCCCCAAGCGGACCGGCAGTACTTGGAACAACAGGTTTACGGCACCAGAGGGACGACACCACAGTCCGTACACAACAATAACCCCACAACCTCTACTCCGAACCGCAATCCGTATGGCGCGTCTAATTCCTACGCCGACGAATTTAGTCAGGAGCAGTTACTGAACCAACGGTCGCCGTCTATCGCAGCGGGATATTCCGTTACCAGCAACCCAGGCGTGGGCGTTAATATTTCTGCAACATCAATAAACAATCCGTCACATGGAGGCGCTGGCGGTCCTGCCACACCCTCGCAGCAGCTGCATCAAATGAACCTCATAAACACTGCCGCAAGCAACAGCCGGAACACCAATAATTATCCGTTTCACGCGGACGATAGGAGATCGGACTACAATTTTGATACCAGGACGAACAAATCCGAAAATAACCACCCTGGGTCGCAGATTCAATCGCAATTGGAAACGCAGTTGCAGCGGGTGAGTGACGACAACAATGAGAAGAGCCGGAAGATCGCGGACTTGCAAGAACAACTGGCCCAAATGAGGCAGCAGAAGGAATCCGAAGTCGTGCAGCGGCTCCGGAAGGAGAGCGAACTGGCGACGAACGAGAAGGAAACGGCAGACGCGGTGAAAAGTAATGCAGAAATGGCCCGCGTCATTGAGGATCTGAACATGAGGGAGAAGGCACTGAAGCAAAAAATATCTACTTATCAAACTATAAAAATGTTAGCGGTAACGGAATTTGTGATGCAGTAACGCATCAGAAATAAACGGCCCAAATTTGTATTGCGTAGCATGTATGGAAAGCAAAATTTGTAATGAGTGACTGCCATCAGGGAAAACCGTTAAGGTTGACACTTTTTTGCTTGATGCTACTATGGAAAAGGACATAGAGCAACACCACCAGAACATGGCCGCTGTTGCAGAGGGCAGAGCTTTATCGAATGCAAAAATGTCTCGGTCTGGAATAGTGTAACTTGTCACGCTACATGTGGATCGTGGAAGCATTTGCGTTGCATGATTACCAAAAGAGGCCCGCTTTTGAACAAGTTTAGAGGCAGTTTCTCATGCAGGAGCGGCATGATAGGGATCTCACAGAACCTGTCATACCAGGCCGTGCATGGCAGACCGCGTGTGTCATGGAAAACCTGCATGACAAACCTACCAATCTTCCAGTCCCAAACATTTTTGCATTTGATAAGTTTCCCAGGCTAAAGGACCGGATATATCGGACTACGCAGGGGAAACGGAGACACTTATGCATTGCAAAAGTATCGTACTCGTATTGCAATCATGCATTACAAATCTTTCTCTTAAGGTAAATCAGCATTACAAATTTTATCTCTCATGCTGAGGAAATTTGTAATGCATTTATACGAGTACGATACTTTTTCCCTGGATAACACTGGAAATGGTACGATACTCAATAAGTGGTTGTTTTCGAATATTGTGAATGTAACAGTAAGTCTTTGAGATTCGGATGATTTCCGGATGAGAATAAGAATAACTAAAGCGGTACAAGTTGTAATGCAAAAAAGCAAATATTAACGCAGGTGGAGCAATTCCTTCGTGAGTACGACGCCGGCTGCAAGGCGGACGAAAAAAGCACCGCAAAACTTCTCCCCGACAGGAGAAGTGTCCCGTATGCCATGCAGGTCGTAAAATGGACGACGGAACAGAAGCAATTCCATAGCAATGGCGTGTATGCATCGCAAAAGTATCGTACTCGTCATGAAAATCGCATAGAATACTAAACACTTGTTTTTTCAAAAGGACAAGCGGAACTTGTAATGCGGAATCAAGTAAGGAAAAAGCAATCGACATACGAATGCGATACCTTTGCAGACTTGATAGCGTAAGCAGGTTTCACCGGCACCTGCTGAGTTTAGCACAGGAACGGATTATGGAGCTTTTGCCCTTCGAGGAGCAGGTAGAGGTGCGCACGGTCGAAATCGCGGAAACCAACAGCAAACTGGCCCAAAGCTTTGAGAAAATCCGGTTCCTGACGAACAAACTGGAGGAAAAGAAGATGGAATACAGCGGGGCGAGCAACGTCACGACGCTACCGAGGGAAGGTACCAGTAGTTACAACAATAGCTGTGTTTCATTTGTGATGCGCTTTTCCGCTTACTGACGAGTTGTGTGATGCAAAAACCGCATATCATGTGCCGTCGGATCAAAAGAACGTGAACGAGGACTACGACACCAAAAAAAAACAGATGCCGTCCGTCTCACGGAGGAAAATCAGAATCTTCAAAACCGTATAGCGTCCCTACAAGAGGAAAACGCGAGGCTCGCAGATGTGGAAGTGGAGAACGTGCAGTTACAACAGGAATATGAATTGCAAAAGTATCGCACTCGTATAAATGCATTACAAATTTTCTCAGCATGAGATAGAAATGTAATGCGGATTCACCGTAACAAAAAAGATTTGTAATGCATGATTGCAATACGAGTACGATGCTTTTGCACAGGATAAGGAACTCCTCCGGTTTAAGCCCTACCCCGGGGCGGTTGGCGGGAGCACCACCAGCGCCAGTGGGGCGACCGCGGGTAACTACACGAATAACGCCGCGAACAGCTCCCCCACTACTTACACCACTTACCACGCCACGCCGTCTGTGGCGTATCACCTCATTACCGGCGGGGGCGGGTCGGTCTACCTGTCGGCGGGCCCGCGGGGGTGAAAAATCTTGTTGTGCTGGCCCTGGCAAGAGTCTCGCCAATAAGAAATTGAATACTTTTTTCAAACAAATTCAAATGCCTTTTAACGTGACACGACTCACGATGATGTATCAGAAATACCTACTTACTTTTTACGCTTGAGTTGTGCCTAAAGAAGCCAGCACGACATGCATGAATTATCATCGCGCAGACAAATGCTTCGCATGCCAGATCTAGACAATGACAACCATAAGTGCCACTGACGCTTAACCTTTAGGCATAAAATTAAAAATAAATAGAATGCAGGCAATAAAGCCAATCATAGCAATTTTCGTTTCAACTAATAGCATCACCAGCGCTAGCGCAGAAAAATGTCAAAATAGCAAAGAAAGTATGAACTACTTTACCAATTACGATTCAAACGTTTCCTTAGAAGCCACGAGGTGGGCAGCAACTCAAGCATCCTCGCGCACGACAGCAGCGGAATTTTATGTACAATTAGCGTGCTGCGATGATTATCCACCGATGTGCTTGATCTAACACTTCTAACAGATTTTTCAGATTTTTTGATGTACACAATGTTTGTATAGGCACGAAGAAAATAAGTACAGCAGACTACAGCACCATGCGGCAGTAGACACTGCGAATCTACTTCACTGCTTCTGGCATCGGCGTCGTGCTGGTTCTTCCGAGTAATATGATCTGCTTCTCGACGAAAAGCGTTTATCTTTTTTTTTCTTTGGGCTGCTCGACAGCGACACCGGTACAGAAGCGCTGGATCAACAAGCCCACGCGGCTCACAGTCACCACGGCCGGAACAAAAATTTACGTCTGTCGTGCTCCTTCTAAAGTTACCTTTATATACTTCTTCTACCGCTTGCGCATAGATCGTTTTTGGCCAGCACAAACATTACACCTTGTAGGACCGTTTGGTTCTGTCTCGCTCTTTACACTTCAAAATGGATGCCCCACCAGGCCAAGAACTTCCAGACACTTTGGTGCCCCCAGCACCTCCTGCTCCACCGTCTTCCCCAGGAGGCTACCGTGGTCTCCTCGGCGTGGGCGCGACCTTGCTAAAAAGGTTGAAATTCCTTGCCAAAGTGAAGGCGCTCCTGCTTTCTAACAAGGAGATGATTGCGAACAAAGCAGGATCTTTGGCAGCATTGCCGTTTTTGCAACCGCATCAAGGGCGACAACTTTTGGGAGACCGCTCTAGTAGAACAAGCACTTGCGAATCAACATCATCTTCTTGTTCTGGAAGCAGCAGTCTCGGAGCGGCGGCTCGCCAGTCCTTGCCCAGACCTCAGACCCCTTGCGATCGACTCCTGCCCGACTCCGAGGCCGCTCGTGAAACAAAATTGCCAACTTGCTGCACAGCTTCAACGTGCCCACTCTGTGGCGCAGCGTGGTACTACAACTCTTCTGCAGATAAAGATCTTGCTGGGGGTAAGTCATCTTGCTCAATGTTGAGCACTACTTCTACACCAGCAGCAGAACAGCCGAACCCCGACGTGCCGCCCTGGGTTTGGGAGCACATTCACTCAGACTTTTTCCTGCGCTGCCCGCCCAGGGAAAGTGACGAGGAGAGAGGGGATTCTTTCGCCAGTAACTCGCATTCTCTCATCCTGCCGAGGAAGAGAAGCAACCCGAATCTCGGCAGTGGAGGTTCCGAAAGTACAACTACTAGTCGTGACACAACAACTAGTATCTCCCCTCCTTACGCGAGAGTGAACCCAAATCCTCCCAGAACCGCCACAGACCCCGATCAGGATGAAGATTTTGACAAACATGTCGCGAGGAAGCTGATCGACTTTCTGAACCACGAGCTAGCCCTTGACGCGGTTTCGCAGCAAATGAACGACCTAGCTTACGAAACGAAAAAGCAGAGAAACTTGATGACGTGGCTACACGAGCAGATTGACAATGTTTGGGAAGAGAGGGGATTGGTCTTTCAGAACCTGCGCGAGAACTTCATGCACAGCGGTACTGTTGACCCCGACAGCGAGACGGCGCTGACGGTAAGGATATCTAAAGGAAAAATCCCCCCTCCCCATACTGAAAAGGTGTATTTTTGGAAATTTGTGATGCTGATTTGTGGTCACAAATCGTGTCTTCTGCAAGAAGGCAAACGCAGAAGGCCGCAAGCATTATCCCGGCGGTTTGTAATGCTGCTGGACCTACGTCATGGACTTTTGTCATTCTGAGCGCGTAGGCCAAAACCTCCCCACTCCGGTTTGATATAGGCCTGCAGTCCTCTACAGCAAGACAAGGCTGATTTGTGTACGCAAATCCAGCAACAGAAATTTCGTTTTGATATGGGGTGGGAGGGATTTTTCCCTTTGATACAGGACCGACTTGGCTTTGTCGCGGGACAAGGTGAAGCGGATACAAGCCGGATTGGACCCGTCGTATATCCAGAACGCAATCCGGAAATTTTTGTTTATCAAAAGGAAAAATCCCCCCTCCCCATATCGAAAACGAAATTTGTGATGCTGGATTTGAGCACATATCAGATTTGCCTTGCTGAAGAGGACTGCAGGCCCACATCAAGCCTGAGTAGATGTAGAGAGGTTTTGGCCTAGGCGCTTAGCATGAGAAACGTCTGCGCTGTAGGCCAAACAGCATCTGCATCACAAACCGCCTGCATAATGCGGCGGAGCCTGTGGAGTTGCCTTCTTGCAAGACAGAGATCATTTGTGGTCGCAAATCAGCATTGCAAATTTTCTGAAGCGTACCTTTTCGATATGGGGAGGGGGGATTTTTCCCCGGGATATTGTTCCGGGAGAAATTTCTGAAACGGCGGGGAAGTAGTAGTAGCTTCAGAAATAGGCATCGGATGGTCGACGTCAGCACGGGAGGTGGACGGGGCAGCAGCAGTCGTGCAGCGTCTCTTGATTTGGCGAAATTTAACTCCAACTCTTTCGCCAATCAGGTCTCTAACAGAAACGACGGTGGCTTGCAATTACTGACAACTTCCAGACTTTTCAAGCAAAACCGAGACAAAGTGCAGGAACGGTTAATCAGAGACCAACCGCGGCCCGTCCCGGTTGTTTTGAAAAAGGGAGTTTACCAGTGCGGGCATGATTACGGGTACATGAGTGTATGCAATACAAATTTCCCGTACATGTACAAGATGCATCACAAATTTCGCCAATTTGGAGCGTCAAACTTGTCATGCTAAACTAGGATCGAGGCCAAGTTTTGTCATGCAGAGACCGCATGTGTACGTGTACAGGAAATTTACTGTGGATAGAGCAACGAGCAAGTTTACGAACTGATGTCCTACAAGTACGAGGGTGCCGTCCATTCCGAATTGCGAAGCGCTCCGAAGAACACCCACCACCAGTGGCTCAGCCCGGTGGTGCATGAGACGGACGTTTTGCCCTACCAGCTGTTTGGATATGGGAGTGCACAACCCCCCTCCCACTCATATGTAATGCGAAACACCCAATCCACCTCTTGCTTTCAGGCTCTGTTTGCATGACAAATTTTGGAACCTAAAACAGTACTACAATCTGTGTGCAGATTTGTCATGCGAAAGGCCCATTTGTCCCGTTTCTTGTGTTGCTACGCATTCACCTCAAATGAGGGGGAGAGGGAGTTGTGCACTTTTATATTGGAAACAAGGCTCGGAAGTGGATGCTGCTGCGAAAGGATTGGACCTTGGAAGATATTCAAATGCCAGACGCAGATGAAGTTGTAGACGAGAGAATTATAGCGGCGGATGTTGGTGAACGTGAAGAGGACGCCTTGTTCGCCGGCGAAACTAGGGAAGAAGAGGAAACAGTACACCACGAGACCGGCGCGAAAGTGGATCAGAATCCCGCAGATCCTCGTGCTGGGCGAACCAACAGGCATAAAGCCGCCTACCACTTTACCTACCCAATAGCTTTTCGCAACGAAGAGGAACGACAAACAGCTGTGATGCACAACCGAAGGACCACATCAATAAGGCAAAGCCGTGTCACATCAACACCAACATCATCTTCACCAAGCGCCGCAGTGTCAACTCGAGATGATTCGTCCCGTGGTGGTAGTGCCACCAGTGGCACATCATCAACGACAAACTCAAGTTCAACTTCTAACCTCCGCGAAGATGATTACAGTACAACTCCCGTCGGTGACCACGCAGAGGAACAGCCAGCAGCGATGTTTGAATCTCTCATGGAGGTTCACGTCGACGCCGGTGGTATTTTCGCCGAGAGTATCAAATGTAAAAACGTCTGGGTCTGGAAGAGTGCATGTATGTCATGCTGGTCTGGCATGAATCTTAAATCTGTCATGCACGTTGCCCAAGAGCCGCACTTCTCTGTCATGCGGAGACGCAATTTGTCATGCAGAATAGGCAACACCTACAAGCTCAGAAATTTCTCATGCTGAGCCAGCACTTCTGGCCTCCTCATGCTGCGCCACTCAGCATCACAAGTTTCCAGACCCAGACACTTTTGCATTTGATAGAGAGACTCGAAAACATGCTGGACCTGCGGGAGCGGTTTTTCGACCGAATGGTCCGGACAAACAACGCAGATCACTGGACGCTATGCATTGCAAAAGTTAAAGTATCGTACTAATGGAAAAAATCGCATGACAAATGTCCTCAGCATGAGAGGACACGGAATTTGTAGTGCGGATTTGCCTTGAAGACCAGATTTGTAATGCGGAATTGCAATTAGTGCGATCTTTTGCACAGGATAGACGCCCTTTTTTCGCACCTGGAGGATGAGCTTTCCGTTTGAACACCGACTGTCCTCGTTTTCCAAAAAGCCAGTGGTGGATTTCGATTCGGTAGAGGATTTCGCGAGGGAGAATGGGCTGCTTGTTTATTCCGAAGGTCCTCGTGAAGGTCGTCGATCATCTTCTCAACAAGACCACCGAAACAAAAATCATGCGGGACAGAATCAGAAACAACAAAGAGCAACTCCAGGCGGAACAAGAAAATTTTCACCAGAACAAGAGCAACACCAGCTTCTATCAGACTCGCAAAAGGCCTTCCTCGAGGATAAGATCGACACCACGACCCGCGGGCAGCACCACGCCGGGAGTTTAGACTATGCATTGCAAAAGTATCGTACTAGTATAAATCGCATGACAAATTTCCTCGGAATGGAAAATGGAATTTGTCATGCTGATTTACCTTGCGAACCAGATTTGTCATGCATATCTGCGATTAGTACGAGTGCGATGCTTTTGCATTTGATACAGACGACAAGGACGTAATCCGGAACGGGAGAAATATGGAATACTTGGTCGCCGAATCCAAAACCGTCTTCACGATCATCACTTGCCAGGTCCAGAACGAACCGGCGCGGCTCCAGAACCTGGAAAGAGCGAACTTTTTCCGGTTGGGCGGACAGTTTTTTGAGCGGGAACGGGATGCGGCGGTAGAGAACAACTACTGGGGCTGTGGGTACAATGTTTGCACCCGGATGAAAAACGACGTGAACGACGGGAGTGTCAAAACGTTGAACCCAAACAATGGTGTGACGAAGCGCAAGTTGGGGCTGGGGCTGAACGGGGGGATGATGGAACAAGTAGAGGTGGATATTTGAAGACGATCATGAAGATACGGGTTTCTTTGTCTTCTTGTTCTTTGCCTTTCCACTTTATTTTTGTGCGAGAACGAGTAGTTGGACGCGGGCGTGGGCTGAGGTATTTCGCGTAGAAGATTCTCTGACAACTTCAACTTGCTCATCTATGTCTGTTTCAAATAAACTTTGTCGTGTCAGTGCCAGCTACTAGGCGATTAGTTTGCTTACTTACTCGCCGGTGGCGAGGTTTTAGTTTTTGGATTTTTCCTGCTGTATGCTGTAACTCATCTTCTCAGACGAACCGAAATAGTCCGGCAAAGTCGTTCGCGTGCGTGTGGCTGTCTGATGATTTCACCTGTTGGCGTCATTGTCTGAGAAAGGTACTTTGATGACGGCTGCGGACCTTTGACGCAACTTTGGGAATACAGAATCACACTGAAATTAATCTTTTTAGATTACGCCATAATCATGATCGAGGCTCGTTTTATTTATCGTTTGTGTTCCCGTATTAAGTTCCGTCAAAAGCTTAAGACTCTTCTGTAGCAACATGCCGGGCGTCTTCGTGTCTTTAGCTTTATGGGTTCTCTAACAAAAATATATTGAGTGGCGGCACCGGGGGGAGGAATTCGCGGCCGAATTCACCAAGTGGATCCGCAAAAAGATCGCCAAAACCGGCAAGGTCGGGGATGACTTCACGAATTTGCCGACGGCGGGGCAGGTGGATCACAAGGCGAAGAGCGGGAAAACGCGCCAGATACTGGGGGGCGGGCCCCAAGCGAATGAGCCCGGAGAGAGCCGGCGGGCGGTTTTGTTTTCGCAGCAAACTACTGCCGCGCGGCCGGGCTGCTCGGATCGATGTACCGCCGACGGCCTCCGGCTTGGCGGGCGCTTTCACCGCCCTGCCCCGAAACCGCTGCGAAGGCCGCGGGGCCGCTACCTAGGCATCCGGTAGGCGCCCCGATGGGCCGCGGCCGAGCAAACAGCCCCGCGGCCGGGGGTTCGGCTAGTCTGTCTGTCCGGCCCGCGCACGCTGCCCCCCGGCCTACAGGGGGCGGCGCCCCATTGCCCCCGCGCCCCGCGGCGCATTGTGTGCTTGCCCCGTGGACGAAATCCGGGGGGGCCGCCTGGGCGTACGCAGCTGGCGCGCCCCCCCGCCTTTGCGCCTTGCCTGGCTGCCTCGCTCAATTAAAGGCGCGGGCCACCGCCTGCAGCCGAGTCGCGAGCGTGGCGCGCGGTGCGTGCCGGCCAAGATCGGCGGAAGCGAAGGGCCTGCGGGGCGGTCGGCGGGCGCGCCCCGGCCGGCGGGCCTTCGCGCTTGCCTTTGGGGCGCTTGTTGTGCGTGGCCGGAGGGCTGGGCTTTGTGGGCGATTGTAGTACTGCGGCCGTCGAGAGTAATGTCGCCGATTTTATGGCGATGCATGCCCTCCCGGCTACCTTTAGCGGAGGCGGCGAGCGTCTGCATCGGTTCGCGCGATGTACGACCTAAAGCCGACTAATACCTTCCCGGAACCTTTCGCCTCGCTTACCCAGGCCGATGCGAATTACCGGACTACGACGGGAGGGCGCACCCTTGCAGACCGCAGCCCCTCCAACAAGATTGCGGCGCAGTATCCGCAGCGGGCCGCCCTTCCATGAATCGCCCGCGCAGAGCGGGGCCGGGGCGGCTTCCGCCGCGAACTTGCCCCAGTAGAATGGGAGCAACTGCAACAAGGCGCGGCGCAAATGGCGGGGCGGTTGATAACCCTCGGCGCCCGGCCTGCGGACTACCAGCGCCCCGCATTGCGGCGCCCCGTGCCGTGTGTGGCGCTGCCTGTTGGGCCGCTGTGCCTGCCTGTTTCCCGGCAATGGCCCGGGCCGGGCGGGCCGATAAAGCGCGCACGGTGGCGCAGCCCGCCATCGCGTATCTGCGTGCGTGGGCGCCCGCCGCTTGGGAGGGTAGGCAGGTTCCTGCCCCCGTAAGCAATCGGCCCACTGCTTAGGCATGCGTGGCCCGTGTCAGGAGTGCCGACTCCTTCGGCCAGCCTGGCACGCATCATCGAGCCGCCCGGCCGCCCCTCGCTCCCCGTACCTAGCTGGCGCGCGTCGCTTGGCGGGGTAGTGTCGCCGCAGGGGCAGGCCATGCATGCGCCGATCGATGCTTGGGTGTCTGTGTGTTGTGGCGATTCATTGGCCTGGCCGCGCGCGGCACCCCACCGGCCCGCCGCGCTTTCATTTTCATGCGTGTGCCAACCTTTGCACACCTGCCAAGTAAGATGCTTGGCCCCTGCTGGGCAAATAGGCTGCTAGCTGACAACGGCTGCCCGGTTGCCATTGCCCGTGCAGATGCGTCATTATGTCGACCGCTACCGGAAGATGTTCTGTTTGATGCGAATGCATGTTGTGGCTTCGCTTTCAGGGTTAATTAAAGGGTTTGCTTAGGGCTCCTAGCTTGATTCTCAGTACTTATTTTCTCTCCACCTTCGCGCCCGAATGGCAAGACCGGGAAAGCATTCACCTCCTAACTTCCGAAACAAATGGAGATGACGAAGCTGGAGTCCTGAAACAGGTCGAGGCTCAAGTACTTTGAGCTTTTTGTAAATGTGGTCCGCCGACTCTCGTTTCTCTGTCCTTTAGGAAACTATAACCTTTTTGAAGTACTGAATATTTACGCAAGAAGCACTTCGCGCACAAAGATGAGGCTGCGACAAGCACAAAAGACGGAAGGTCGTCTTTACTCCCAAGCTCCATTACCCCCGTTTATTCCTGGGTCTCGGAAGATATTTTGCTCTTCTGCAGCGCCCGTCTTTTTTGTTCTCGCGCTTTCAGCTGCCCTTTTCGATGGCATTCATGATTTCGAAAGCGGGAGCAGGTTCGAGACCGGAAAAAATCGCACCAATGGGATCGCAAAGAACACGCCAAAAATTATCTTCACACACGGCATTCAACTGCAACTGCGAAAAAAAAGAACAGGTCGGCGCGGAGGATTATTGCCGCAAGGGTTAGCAAGTTCTTCTCGTGATACTAGAAGTAAAACGGGAGCGACTATAGGTACGTCCTCTCCTGGCGGAGTTGGTGCATCCTCCTCCTCGTCCTCTTCCTCTTCATCCTCCGGCCTGAATGTCTACCCGTACAAGTACAGCTCCGGCCCGGGACCCCCGCCAACTGCGAGGACAAATACGTCTTTATCCCAGAGCGACTTTGTTCAACAGTCGTACCAGTACGGTGGTTCAAGTAGCAGTAGCAGTTATAGCCCGGCATCAAACCACCTCCAGTCTCAAACGACGCTTAGTGGAGTGGAAACCGAAACCACGCCGAGTAGCAGTTCAACGTCGAAGGGCAGTTGTGGCACTTCTAGTTCTAGCGCCCAGAAGGATAAGGCTAATATGGATTTTTACCAGGACCACCCTCTATCTTCTAACCCTGGAGGTTCTCTTCATCTGGATGACCATCGTCGTCAATGTCAACAAGGAGCAAAGAGTCCTCGAAAAAGTCCAGCGGCGGGCCGGATGCCGCTGAGCAACCCGGTTTTCGTGAATCCGCCCCCGGGCGGTGAAAAGGTTGATCTGAATCTGTCTCGCCGCACTTCATCTTCGCGGGCAGAAGAGGTAGAACGGGCTCCATCGTCAGTAGTTGACGTTCACCGACCGAGTCCTCGACCCGGCAGTTTATTTCGGCAGTCGCTTTCACAACATTCGAGTCAAGCGGAAAGTTTTTCTCCACAGACGCAGGCGGGAAAACTGCCCAACAAGCCTGCGACTGCTAGTAGAACAATAAAGCATCCTTTCGTCGTGTTCTCGAAAGGCCTTCGCTTCATCGCAGTCCAACACATTCTGCAGGACAACCCGCGGGCCAGTTGTGAGTTGAAAACTGTTGATGGGTTTGAGGGGAAAATGACACCTTTACTGTACTTGCTGATGATGTATCGGAGATACAAGAACGACCTGCTCAGTGAATCTTTTCTGGAGGAAAGCGAAAGCAATGCGGGGAACAGGAAAAATCGTTTTGCAACTACATCATCAGCTTCGGAACCAGCAGTCCCGCGGTCGTGGTGCTCTCCTTCGGCGAATGGTGTTGCAGCGGGAGATGACCGCAACATGGGTGAGGATGGCCACGGGGCGGCCAATAGCAGAGCTCGAGCAGCGGGGAATGCTAATGTTGTCCCCGAAGTTAAAAAAAGGCTTCCTCAGTTGCTTTCAAGGGTTGCGCGTCAGCAGCTGTCGCGCATCAGCTGCGTTTTCTCCTGCAACCTGGCATGACCAAGAACCACCTGTCGAAGTGGATGCCACTGGTCGTTCTCGTTGTACCCGTCCGCAGCTAGAACAGGTTAAAGGGAAGTGCTATTTTCCGAGCCATAACGTGGCTCGGCGTGCTCGTGGTCGTTGTGAAGATGAAGATCCCCAGCAAGATGAACTACATCGCGACCACCCGATAATTTTTGGCACTAGCGCGCCATCTGGTGCTGGTCGTGGGCTTTCCGCCGGTGGACTGTCTTCTTCACAGCCTCTTTTCACGCCCATCAGCGACGAGTTTACCACTGAAGACGAAGTTCTCGCGATTGCTTCTCTCCTCCTGCAGTACTGCAGCTCGCGGCGCATGCGGATCAGTTCCATTTTCAGTGCGGCGCCCACTCCGTATTCTGATTCATCATCCGCCCGGGAGCGGGGTGCGAATGTTGGTGAGTTGCTCAGAGTTGTAGGTCCTTCGTCGTCGCCGTCGTCGTCCAGTGCTAAGGTCGCAGAGAAGTCGTGTTCTCCACGACCGTCTTCCAGCATCAGTCAGGCCGACATGGAGATGGCTTGGCTGAAGACGCTGGTCAATTTGTTGAACAAAAGTGACCGGTTTGTGTATCCAAACCCACGCGCTTCTGGTGTTTTGCATGACAAATTTGGATGGCGACCGATCGGGAGCGTTCTGATCGGGAATCTGGATAGAGGGTAGAACTAGAGTCGGCCCTCATAGATTTTAGGCTATCGGGATCCCTTCTGATGGCCCTCATAGATTAGCTATCGGGATCCCTTCTTAGGCTATCCGTGTCGGGCCTCCATGTCCGTGTCGGGAATTACTGCAATCAGGAACAAATTGTGCTGAAAAATCAGGAAGGTGAATCAGGTGGTCAATTTGTTGAACAAAAGTGACCGGTTTGTGGAAGACTATGTGACTCCCGAGGCAAACTCCCGACTATTCCCGCCTCGCCGAGCCCCTCGGAGTTAGATTTGGACAGCAATTTGAGCAGCGCGCCGAACAGTCGCGAGCAGTCCATGATGTCGGTGTTGAGTGGAGGAGGTGGCTATTACACCTGCATTACCCACTGTCGTGTGGTTTGCACCAGTGTGCAGCCCGGGCTCTTGCATCGCCGTGTTGAACAACACCGACGTATGTGTAGACCTCGCAGGTTTTCCAGCGGCAACGGCTTGTCCACCAGTAGCTTCATGATTGATCAAGAGGAAGACCGCTTTCATTTTGCACTCAGAAAACTCTAGCCCTGCTATCGTAGATGTTGTAAGTGGGACGTGGATCTCCTGATGAATGTCTTCACGAAGACCTGCTGCTTCGCGTTGATGCACGGGGTACGTCATGATCATGCTACATATACTGTATGCGCTGTCGTGGATCGAGATCAGCAGCTAGATCATGCTCCTCCCTCGAGGTGGGCACTCAGCACTTCTCACGGATGATTGATGGTGTGCGTCTTCTTGCTCTCACAGCAGCAACATAACAACGTACTCGTAGTCAAGAACAAACCTACTTGCTTTTTCGAAAAGCACCGCTACTTCGGCTCTCGTTGTTTCGAAGTAAGACCTCAAGATCTTCATACTCACATCAAGAATACAAAGAATAACAATATCACGTAAGTAAAATACTAAGTAACATAACAAGTAGAAGCATCATCTCGTCCTACGGCTAGTATATTACCTTAGCACTTCTCATTTTGTTGAACAAAAGTGACCGGTTTGTGGAAGAAATTGTGAACAAAGTGAAATGTGAACTTCGAAGTTGAGGCCGCTAATGACATGGACGAAGACGATGGCGCGGCGCACCAGGAAGAAGAGGATTGTCGTGAAAAGCAGCAGCGAAGCAGGCAAAACAATGGTGGGGAAGTGGAAATCACACCACGCAGCCCTCTTCAACACAGCTCTGCTATCTCCTACGCCTGGTCGAGTCCGAAGCTCGCCGCGTTGTTGCTGGCGTATGGAGCGGATTTTATCAGGGTCGTTCAACTTCAAGCACCCTGCTCCGACGATTTTGCTGCAGTTTCGAAAGACTGCAGCACAGCTGTATCGGGGGAGCAGGAGCAGGACAAGACTTGCGATCATGCGGATCTACTTGGAAGAGCAGAGCAGCCTCATTCCGTCACGACAACTGCTGAGCAACCACGTTCCAGCGTGGACGCCCTTCAAATTTTGCGATTCGTGCAGCACCACAGGACGACTGCAATCGAGTTACTGAATGAGCTGCAGAAGATCTTCACTCCGATTGCCGCATCAGATGGAGCCGAAGATGGAATTAAGAGCCAGCTGGAAAACTACAAAACCGAAAAGCAGCAAATTTTAGAAACCAAAAAGCCAGAAAACATTGTCACCCAAGCGATCCTCCTCGGCACGAAAATATTAGCCGTCAACGAGAGTCAGGACAAGGAATTCCGGAAATCCAGACCATACGAGGGCCGCTTAGTCCCCGACACCCTCTCCTCGGAAATGGCCCGGGTGCGGAGAATGGAAGCAGCGTCCGATAGAGCGGCGAGGAAGCGGGAGAAGAGTTTGTTTGACGATAGTAGCAGCAGTGAAGAACAAAGTGAGGACTCGGAGCTTGACGAGTTTTCAAACTTCTGCAGTGCAATGCCTGCAGTCGTGTCTACTGGAAGAACACTGAGGGACATCAAGGCTAATCGACGGGCTGCCGCTGCGCGGTTCAATCGTGGAAAGTACTGGTCTCCGGTAGAGGCTGAAGCTGAACCCGATGCGCTGCATCATCAAACCGGCAGTGTTGAAGGAGGACCTTCTGTTGTAAATAACTTGATGGCGTCGTGCACCACAGGAACTACCGCCGTTGCGCACTACAACTACATCACGTGGGGAGAAGATGAAGACGAAGAAAAATTGAGCAGGAATTACACAAGATATAATCGCTCGACCGAGGTCGGTGGCCAAGACCGGCTCTTGGAGGCACCCGCCGCTGCTACACAAGTAGATGCTGATCCACTGCAGGCACCCCCACCACCGGCATCGTATCTGAGCAAGATTGGCAAGCGAGGCCGTGCTGCCCAGCACCAGCAGCCACATAGTACCCCTCGCGCACGACCAGTCAGGCTGAACATCATCTCCCCCTCCACGTGTGGGATGTGTGGCTGTCAGGTGGGCGGATGCGGAGGTGCCAAGCCGGGAGATGACAGCGATCCAACAAGCGGCGCCAATAAAGTTCTTGCCAAAGACGAGCAGCAAGCCTGTTCCACGGGGAAGAACGAAAACAATAAACACTACTTCATCAATGCGAATTACTTGAACTTTGTGAAGAAAATGCGGGAAATGCACGGGGCAAATTGGAAGCCGGTTTTGACAGAACAAGAGGCGCTGCAGCAAGGCTTGCTACACGCGATTCCCGCAGCTGCCGCAGCGAGAATCACCACCTATTTCGATCAGGAAGTTGTTGCACACTCACAGCAGGGTGGATTTTCGAACGGGCGGACGTCTGACAGTACCTGTGGTTCCTACCTTGCGTCGGCGTCGAAAACATCAATCCCGTCTCCGAGCCCGAAAACCATGCAGGTTTTGATTATCCCGCCGCCACCGGAGCAGGTGTTCCAAAGTAGAGAAAATTCTGGCGAGGAGGCGGAGTGGTCGTCGCCTGGTGTGGAGGTTCAGAAGGACTTTTCACATTTCGGCGACGCATCTTCACATTCAGTCTCTAGTTCAAGACTACACAAAGACGGTGAGCTCGAGCAGCAGAAAGCAGAACCATGGTCCTGCAGGCCCACTTCGGGCGACCTGGATTTGTTCGAGGCTGCTCCAACAGCAGCAGATAACTGCGCGCTGCGGTCTTCTTCACATTTGCAAGTTGATACGACCAGCAGCTACCCCTATGATCTCTACTCCCCGCTCCTCTCCCGAGGCAAACTGCCGACGATTCCCGCCTCGCCCAGCCCCTCGGAGTTAGATTTGGACAGCAATTCGAGCAGCGCGCCGAACAGTCGTGAGCAGTCCATGATGTCGGTGTTGAGTGGGCGGGGAGGCGGCTATTACACCTGCATTGATAGTGCCAGAGGTGGTGGTGGCACAACCGAGGCTAGTGGTGTTGCCGGTGCGGCTGAATTATCGCCTTCTGCGTTGGAAATCGATTTGTTTGAGGAGCCACTCTTCACGCCTCTCGAGGAGGATGCCAGTGCTCGTGCTGCGCAGCAGGGTTGTGTGGAGGAACAAGATGAACTACTAGGGTCCTCGACGGTAGATCAACATCAAGTCGAAAGCCGGTCGAACTCGCACGAGAGCACGGTGCCGAGCCTTCCTGACCTTCTCACCAGAACTTCTACCAGTCGACAACCTTGCACTCGAGAGGGATCTTCGCCGGAGCAGCAAGAAACTTCCGCTCCAGCAGCCACACAGCCAACGACGAGTGGTCTTCTGCTAGAAGACAATGACGATTTCTGGACATCAACGACGGCATCCAGCTCCTCGAACACCGCGGCCTCATCTTCCCTCACCGAGCAGCAGAAGCAGGACCTGTTCGCGAAGCTGACCGGCGCGAACCAGAAAGTCCTCAGCGGTGTGATCAGTACGAACTTGTTCGAAGATATCCAGGAAAAAACACACATACCCATCCACTTTTTGCATGACAAACGCCGCAACTCATGCATGTTTTGCATGACAAATTGGATGGGGATGGGTGCGGGTGTTTTTTCCTGGATAGAAGATGACAGCGAGGACGACCAGGAGCATGTCTCCGTGTCGAAACAAGCCTCTGCGGCAAGCGTGTACGGGAGCGGAGCTGCACCAGACGAACGGCAGAAAATAAACCAGGGTGGTTCCAGTGCCGAGATGACTTTGAAGGAACTTATCGAGCGAGAGTACAGCACCGGTCGCACAACTAGTGGTAAAACATCGACCAAGAAACTCCTCGATCCCGCACAGCTCTGTCCGTCCAACGGCAGCGCAAAAACCGACACAACGTACACCAGCACTGCGATTGGATATCAGACATCGGATTGCAGTGCGTCAGCTATTTCTACTCATTCTGTTTCTGCATCACAAGACCCAAGTGGCCGTCGCGAAAAATTTTTGTCCGGTGCTAGTCTGTTCACCGACCATTCTGGCGATGACGACCGCCAGTTGATGTTGGGTACTTCGTTCTGCTCCGAAGGGGGCGCGTCAGCGTCGGGAAGTGGTGGAAATTTGTTTTCCTCGGAAGGGAGTCTCGTTGCCGCTGGTGGAACAACAGCTGTAGTAACTTCTCCCATGCAGAACAGCAACACAATCTCTGCAAACCAACAGGAGATGCAACAGGAGCAGCAGCAGCTTTGTGATAGCACCTCTAGTTGCGGACTACTTGATATCCAATCTTCCTCCTGGGCGAGAACCATCACGCCTGCTAGTACGGCTGCAAAGAGTTGTAGTTCCGCGGAGGAGCTACCGGAATTTTCAGGCGGAACGAGTACTGACGAGGTTGTGAAACAGCAGGAGAAAGAACCAAAGGAGGTTGGGGACTAAATGGAAATCGATCATGTTGGGCAGATCATGCCAGACCCGGAACAACGCCAGCGCCCCCACCATGGGGGCACTCGAATGCTGCCGGGGAAGCTTGGCGCACCGGAATTATCCGAGAGGAAATTCGCAGGATTGGCCAGTCTGCTACTAAAAGACTTTCCTTTATTCCCGGCGGCCCGAGGCGGTCGCAGTAGAAGCAAGGCGGTTGTTTGCCCTGCGGGTGGGAATTCGGCAGAGAGACTGCTCCTGCAGCGACGCAGTGGTGGTGTTTCGCTTCATCGTCGAGAACTACTACAACGAGATGAGCGCGCTTTGCAGCTGCAAGAAACTGCTGCATCTTCATCATCTGACTCCAACTACCTCACGAAACAACTACCCAGGAAACGTACGTCGGTCCCAAGCTGTTTCGCATTTCTACACGGGAAAATTCGGAAGAAGAACGACACAAGCTGCAATTCTAAGCAAGGCGAAGGTCCTTCTTGTCCGCTTCCTCTCTTCTTGTCCTGCGAGAAACGTGGGATGAAACAGCCGGTCAGTTGTGACCACGAAAATCAGAAATCTTCTCTTCTCGGCCTCTGTGCTGCAGACGGTGAGGACGCAAGAACTGCTGATGGTGGCACCAAAGCTGACGAGTTGTGCGAGCAGATGTTGATGAAATGCAAGGGTGTTCTTGTACAACATCAAGCGCACCATGGGGTGACGCAAGCGCAGTGCCGCTCGCTGCAGTCTGTCATGCGAGATCTGCTCCACCACGACGATCAAGACCAACTTCAACAAGACCTGCAGATTGCCATGGATCTCATGACAGCGGTGCGCGACGTGCGAACCTGGTCTGCGGAAAGGCGGCGGGGTGGAGGTGCTGGGAGTGCATGAGACAGACGGTCTTGGTGTCTACTGTCGTGTCTGCCTTCTACTTCTTCACGTGATCATCTTCCGCAAGACACAGCGCCGCTTCTACTGATTCAAGCAACACAAGTCGCTTGTGGCACGGTACTACTTTGCCTGTAGTGTTCGGCCTTTTACTGTGTCTTCGTTTCATCTATCAATCACTTTATGAATCAATGTATCATGCGCTACAAAAACAGAATTGCATTGACTCAGGCCAGCCCTTTTCTTCGGGGGAGTACGAGTTGTATGCAAAGCTTTTCTAGTCTGCCCAAATAAAAATTGATGAAGTTTTGCCGACAAATGTTTGCGCAGAATACCTACCGTTGCAGCTACTCTTGCTTCGACTTTCGACATCAAAATGAACGTGTCAGTTCCGCGCTGCACGACTTATGATTTCAATTTTTTGCATCAATGGTTTGTCAATTGACAATTTTGAATAAAGAAATCACTCATCATATGATCTGTTCACAAATAAGTATAGCAAGTTTTCGAACGAAAATCAACATCGCGGCGCAGTTTCATTTCTATTTCGTGTATGAGTATGAACCTTCACGACTAGAACAAGAATACAGTATGCAATGTAGTTCTTTCTAGAAGTAAGAAATGCAAATCAAATACAAGACCCGCCACTCTGCAGCTCCTTTGGACGGAACAATTGCATGTTATATTTCCTCTTGCCGGGACATTGTTGCTTCCCGCAAGACTTGTTCCGCAAGCAGACATTCCTTGAAGTTCAATCCGCATGACCAGAATGATTGAGCGTCAGCATGTTCCAAATCATGAGAAAAATGCATGTAAATTATGGCCGCGAGTGTGATCAGTATCTGTATCAGATGTGATCGCCGCGAGATCAATCGTGACCGCTCTACAACTTCCGTGAAATCAGATGTGATCGCCACAAGATCGTCGACAAAGCGGGCGGGAACGGGATCACGATCCTGTTGCTCGCTGTTGCACCACCTCGGGCTCGGTGACTGGAAAATGATGAAGCAAATAATTCGGTTGCCAAGAAGGTGGTGGTCACCATCTATCATGTTTCGACGCGCTCAACACGTCAGTTGTTTGATGTTGATGAAGCCGTTTACTGTTCCATTCGGTCGTGGCTTGTTCCGGATAATTCGGTGAGAAGTAGATCTTCGCGCAGGTTCATCAGTCGGTGTCGGATCATCCTAATCAATCCAGCTGATCCTCTTCCTCCTGCAATTAGTAGATCCAAGTGTCGCCACAACCGGCACGGTAGAGGTAATACCATTCCAGGTGTGGAAGTGGAACCAGTCCTCGCCGCAGCAGCGGCAACACCTGGAGAAACGGTTTTGTGGATGCTGATGCATTCAACTCTGCCAAGGTACTTGTAGTACGGCCCAAGCACGAGTACAGCGCTTCAGGAACTATTCACTTCGGGAGTCACCTCGACGATGTTCATCAGGCCATTATACAGTTGCAGTGCAGTTGTACTAGTGGTGTCTACGTACATCTTCGCCGCAACTACCTCCTGACACCAGGGGACCAGGAGCTTCTACTCAGAACCAGCCGCACACCAGGAAAGTACTGACTCAGGAACAGCAGCACACCAGGCGGATTGTAATTGCAGCTGCGAAGGACATCAATCCGCGGTGTGGTCCTCGTAACGCTAAAGTTGTACACCCTTGCTGGTCCTCGGCAGGAATACCACACGCCAGGAATACCACACGGAGAAGTGCCTGTAGATCATTCAGGAATGCGTCGGAAGGAAGATTCAGGAAGTGTCGAGAATCCTCCATGTCCGTGTCGGAAATCACTACAATCAGGAATGAATTGTGCTGAAAAATCAGGAAAGTGAACCAGGAACTACTGCGCATCCGGCAGATGATCAGGAACTTCGCATTTGTGGTCGACTTCAGGAATCTGTCTCTCGATCAGAAAGTTCTAGTTTTTTGTGTCAGCGAAGATGACGCTGTCAAGTGTCAGTCTGATTAGCAATGCAGGAACTTCTACAACAAGGACATCTTCAGCCGCATCCTCCTCTGCTCGTGTGAGAGAACTACCCCGCCCGCTTTCAGGAACTACATGTCTTCCCTTCGAGCTCGAGCCGATCATCTTGATACAGGAAACTTCTGCCAAGCGTGCGCGCACCAGTCGATCAAGCCTAGCAGAGATGCAGCAATCCTCAGGACCACGTGTGGAACGTGGAAATAACGGAGACAGGTCTTCTACATCTACCGAGCTGCTGCACCGCGATTGTGGATGTGTGCCAATTGTACATCGGTAAAGCATAGTTGTGAACGTGCGCCGCCCGGACGTGCGCAGTGGAGTGACCTGCTCTGGAACGTTGTTTACCTCCGTGGAACGATTCGTATTCGACTGTCGGAAGCTCTTCGGTCCTCACATGTTCACGACGTTCTGCGAAAACCGAGCGCTGCGCTCGGTGAGCAGATGAAGGATGTTGTGCGTCGGAGTTATCAATGTACTGTCTCTGTCAAGTCATGTTGTATGAGCGTCCGAGCCCGTGGGGATGAACGTTTGCAGCAGGAGCGGTTGATCAAATAACATCAAGTTCGTTCCGCACAGCGACGGAGTCTGTTTTAGTTTATATTCGTCGTCGCGCAAGAACTAGCTGCACTACTCGCAGCCGCAAAACTACCCGAACGACGCGGCCCAAGTCCGGTGTTGCAGTGTGCAGGAGCTCGAGCTCTTGCATAGACGTGTTGATGAACCACACCGACGTATGTGTAGATCTCGCGTTGCTCCAGCGGCAAGAACAGCTTGTCCACCAGTAACTTCACGATTGATTCAGAGGAAGATCATGTACTCAGAGGACTCTACTGATGTACTTAGTACAACTAGATGGGGCGTGGATCTCCTGATGTCTTTACGAAGACCTGCTGCATCGCGTTGACGCACAGGGTACGTCATGAACATGATACGTATGCTGTATACGCTGTCGTGGATCGAGATCAGCAACAAGATCTTCTAGATCATGCTCGTCCTACTTCGAGGGCACTCAGCACTCCTCATGGATGATTGATGTTGTGCTTCACTTTCGTGCTCTCACAGCAATATAACCACGTACTCTTAGTCAAGAACAAGAACCCTACTAGCTTTTTCCAAAAGCCCCGCTACTTCGGCTCTTGTCGTTTCGAAGTAAGACCTCAAGCTCACTCTCACTCTCACACTCACAAGAATACAAAGAGTAACAATATCACGTAAGTAAAGTACTAAGTAACAAGTAGAAGCATCATCTCGTCCTACGGCTAGTATATTACCTTAGCACTTCTCATTCACCTCGAAAATGAACGCTCGTCGGTCCTCTGCTGGGTCCTTGTTCTCCGGCGGAACAGCTACGGCTACACTCCTGTTACTGGGCACGACTACAGTCCTCCTCGGCCACCAGGTGCACGCCGCTACGCCGGTCCATGGAGGTGTAGTTGGCGTTCCTAGTCCGGATGTTGGATCTGAGCATGACGGTGACATGCATATTGGCAACTACATGAGTACCACAGGAGTAGACCAGGAGCGCAAAGACGAACAGCATGCGGAGATCAACATGTCGGTCGAGCCTGGTCGTGAACAAGAGCAAGACAAAGAGCACCATTCTCCTATCGGTGCCAACGTGCTTCGGTCCGCATCGACTGTGATTTCCAATACTATCGGAAACTTGGCAAACCGCGGACCGAGTGCGGTTTCCAACACCATTGGGAACTTGGCAAACCGCTTTCGCCGCAAGAGGAAGGCGGGAGAAGCTGGGCTAGTTTTCGGTGGACCAGATGTCGTTGATGGCCAACAAGAGCAGAAAGTTGCTGAAAATTCTGCATCAGCAACTGGTGAGCCACGCAGCTCCTCGACCACGTCCGCCCCCACCTCTCCTGACAGAGAGAGCCAGAGCGCGCCTTCCCCTGTCGCAGATCCTGAATATCATCCCCGCGTGGTTGGAGATCTTCTAGATGATGATCTTCCTGATGCTGATCAGGAGAAGTCGATGATGAAGGACCAGGATGCTGACGTAGTTCTTGACGCTGCCGACGTTGTTCTTCATGCTGGAGACGTTCTTGAGGGGCCACTGGCCGATCATCGCCCCGATAGTCAAGAAGAAGCTCCCGTTGTAGCAGCAAGAACGCCCACCCATTCGCCGGTCGAAGATGAGCAGATGACCGAACAAACGTCGCCCCTGGACGACGACGAGGTAGAGCGCAGGGTGAAGCGGCAGCGAACGGACGAGGGCGTTTTCGCTACAACAGCTTCCGCCGCACCTGCTAGCCCTTCGCCTTCGTCCTCCTCTTCCGCTTCCGGTCCGCCTGCTGCGGCCTTCAGCACGGAAGAGGAGAAAAAGGTGGATGAGGCGGTGCGCATATTGGTTGAGAAGAACTTCTCGCCCGCCCAGATTGCTAAGCTCATTGTTCACAAGGCCGTGCTAATGGCTGACAATATTGCCACTGCCAGTGATGTTGAAATTGAAGTAAATAGTCTAACATCCGCAGCTGCAGGCCCTCACGTGGTCGACGCGGATGTGCCCGTCGTCGAGCATGGTGAACAGCTGCCGGCCACTGAAATTATTCCTGAAGTAGAACAAGACACGCCGTTGGTGACCACCTCCCCCGCTGGTGAAGTGCAAGACGCTCCTCCCGCAGCGACCCACGGGACCACGACTGAGGAAAGCATGGAAGTAGAAATGGTGGACCGAGAGGAGCATCAAGAGCCGGCGCATCTGGAACAGGTCGACATGGAGGGAAAACAAAATGCACAAGACCAAGCGACGTTGGAACAGGCCGAGGTGGTGGAAAAAACTACCGTGCCCGGCACCAGTCTTGTTCCAGATGAGCATCAAGAAGTTGCGGCGGCAGCTAGCTCCGGTTCGACGGGACAAGTTTCTAGTGAAGAAGTTGAACAACAAACTGGTGGCTCCTTCTTTGCGCCGGTGAGAAGTTCTACGCAGCGGGCGGGAAAGAGGTGGGGACCCTTTTCCTCCTGGTTCTAGAGAAGAGATGACGGACGAAGGGAAGAAAAAAGAGAAGCACGTCGTGGCCGTGCGCCAAGCGACTTGACTCAATTAGGAGGCCTGGTGGTCCATGTTGTATGATTGTTCTGTACACATGATAGTACTTACCGAATCCAATACTAGTTAGTAGCACAGCAAGTACCACAACCACCAGAACGCAGTCACTCAGAAGTGTTGGTGTAGTTGCCGTCATCTTTTGGCGCAGAGATGCTGACATGGTCATAGTACAAAGCTGCTACAGAAGTAAAGTTAGAGAAGTTTACTCACTCGAGCATACGAGCAGTTTCAAGTGCATAAGGGTTTATGCCTTTCAAGTCTGAAACTGTAACAAGCAAGGTGAATTTATTCCTGTATGATAATTATCATGAAGATTGTGGTAGGAGCGAGCAAGAAACTATACTTACACCTTCGATGCTCCTTGGTGGAAAATGTGAATGTAAGTATCGAATTGCGATTTTCGTGCTGCAGAAACGCTGGAAGATGACCTATTTGCTGTTCACTCCTCTTGCAACATGTTCTCCGTGTCAGAGGAAGATCCAGTGACGTCGCGATCTTTCATCGACATCATCCAGATCCAAACCCATCCCCTCGCCTTCTTCACCTGTATTTTCGACGTTGTTCGTGATTTGATGTGATCCATTTTTCTTCTTGATGAAGAAATTTGTCAACATACCGGTACGATATAATTTTTGCAATGCATAGAAGAAGACATGCTGCAATTCATTGACATCTTCAGAAGACCTGTTGCATCGCGTTGATGCACGGGTTTGATGTACTTCTACTTGGACGTCGTGCTACTGCTACGTATACTGTATACGTTGCCGTGCGTCGTGGATCGAGATCAATCGACAAGATCTATTTCGTGCGCTCCCGGCGCCGACCGGGGCGCAGCACAACTCATGGATGATTGATGATGTGCCCCCTCGTCGTAAAATTGTCGCAGTCAACAATAAACCTCTTCTAGACAACTACAACTTGCTTTTTCGAAAAGCACCGCTACTTCGGCTCCACTTAATCGTTGTTTCGAAGTAAGACCAAGATCTTCTTGTTCAATCCTCACATTGTTCACACTTAAGTATAAGTACATCAACTACAACTACACGCGGCACAAACAATATTTATCTATATATAAGTAGTAAAGTGAGTATCAGTAGAAGCACCATCTGTGCTAGTTCTAGTATATCTTCATTTCTCATCCGCCTCGAAAATGAACTGTCGTCGGTCCACCTCTGTTGGGTCTTTGTTCTATTCCGGAACCGCCACGGCGACACTCCTGTTACTGGGTACAACGACTACTGTCCTCCTCGGCCACCAGGTGCACGCCGCTACGCCGGTCCAAGGAGGTGTTGGCGTTCCTAGTAGTCCGGATGTCGATGTTGGTGTTGGATCTGAGCCTGACGCTGACATGCATGTTGGCAACTACATGAGTACCACAGGAGTAGACCAGGAGCGCAGTGAAGAACAAGAGCATGCGGAGATCACCACGCCGGTCGTTCCTGGTGAACACGAGGAAGACAAAGAGCATCACTCTCATACGGCCAACGTGTTTCGGTCCGCACCGACTGCGTTTTATTCCAACATCATTGGGAACATGGCAAACCGCGGACCGAGTGCGATTTCCAACACCATCGGAAACTTGGCAAACCGCTTTCGCCGCAAGAGGAAGGCGGGAGAAGCTGGGCTAATTCATCTCCGTGGAACAGAGGCCAGCACCTCTTCGACGTCGCCCGCCCCCACCTCTCCTGACAGAGAGAGCCAGAGCGCGCCTTCCCCTGTCGCAGTTCCTGAATATCATCCCACCGTGGTTGGAGATCTTCTAGATGATGATCTTCCTGATGCTGAGGAGGAGAAGTCGATGATGAAGGACCAGGATGCTGACATAGTTCTTGACGCTGCTGACGTTGTTCTTCGTGCTGGAGACGTTCTTGAGGGACCACTGGCAGATGATCGCCACGATGATCAAGGAGAAGGTCCTGATGTAGCAGCAAGAACGTCCATCGCCGTCCCAACGCCAGTTGAAAATGAGGAGACCGAAAGAATGTCGCCCCTGGACGACGACGAGTTAGAGCGCAGGGTGAAGCGGCAGCGAACGGATACGGAGGGTGTTTTCATCGCTACAACAACTTCCGCCGCACCTGCTAGCCCTTCGCCTTCCTCCTCCTCTTCCTCTTCCTCTTCCGGTCCGCCTACCGCTCATCTTACCACGGAAGAAACGGAAAAGCTGGATGAGGTGGTGCGCATGTTGGTTGAGAAGAACTTCTCGCCCGACCAGATTGTGCAGCTCATGGTTCACAGGGCCGTTCTGATGGTTAACAGGGCTGCCACTGCCAGTGATATTGAAGTAAACAGTCCTAGAACATCAGCAGCAGGCCCTGCTCATGTCCACGCAGAAGATGTGCCCGTCGTCGAGCATGGAGAACATCAGCCGGTCACCGAAATTGTTCCTGAAGTAGAACAAGACACGCCGTTGGTGACCTCCACCGCTGGTGAAATGCAAGATGCTCCTGCCGCAGCGACCCACGGGACCACGACTGAGGAAAGCATGGAAGTGGAAATGGTGGCGCCGCGAGAAGAGCATCAAGAGCCGGACCATCTGGAAAAGGTCGGTATGGAGGCACAGCATGCACAAGAGCAGTTGGAGCACCAGTTCGAGTTGGAACAAACTACAACCGTGCCCGGCACCAGTCTTGATGTTCCAGATGAACATCAAGAAGTGGCGGCGGCAGCTAGCTCCAGTTCGACGGGACAAGTTTCTAGTGAAGATGGCGAACAACAACAAACTGGTGGCTCCGTCTTTGCGCCGGTGAGAACTTCTACGCAGCGGGCGGGAAATAAAGTCCGGGGGTTCTTTTCCTGGTTCCAGAAGTAAGCTGGCGCATCGTTCTGCTCTTTGCCAAGGAAAGCTGTCAATGCGCATACAAATTGTACGAGTACTTACCGGAGGTGGGCAGGCAAAGCTAGAAGGGAAGACGAGGGAAGAAGACAAGAACGCGAGATGAAGCTGCCACGATGAAACGCTACTTGAAATTTTTGGTTAGGAAGTCTGGTGTCCATGTTGTATGATCGTTCTGTACGCATGATAGTACTTACATACCAAATCCAATACTAGTACCATAAGCAGTACCACCAGAACGCATTTTTCGATGGTGTGGCTACCGTCATCTTATTTTTGGGGGCCCAGAGATGCTGGTAACGCACTTTTGTGCTGTGAGCAGCAGTTGTGTGGATGAATCAGCAAAACAAAATGTTTGCGATGGCCACAGTTTCAGACTACAGCAGTATTAAACTAAGAGTAGTTCCAGTTTCACGGGAGCTGCGTACGAGCAAGTTCAAGTGCATAAGTGCATAAGGGTTTATGCCTTTCACATCTGAAGAACAGAGTAACCAAATGGTTGTTGTGTATGATATATGATCAGAATCATCTTGGTACTTCCGGCGAGCAGCAGTCTGTAGAAATATCTTCGATGCATCTTCTTGATGGTCGTGGACAATGTAATAAATGCTTGCGATTATCATGCCGTAGAATGCAGATAAACTAAATTAAATGCTACGATGTTCATATTTCTGTTGTTCACCAGCTGGCTCCTGTTGCATGTTCTTCATGCCACAGGAAAATGATCCAATGCCTGTGTCTTTCACTCGCAGAAGGTGGTCTAAGAAGGTCGCAGAAGTTGAAGTGCAATAGCTTCGGATCGGGACGAGATCTTTGTAAATTCCAACCTACGACCACCACGGTTCGCATCGGATCCGATTGGTGATTCAATTTCGGCAGTGGTGAAGATGAAGGTGCTCATGCTGCAGTTGTATCGAGTGTCTGCTTCTCATCTCCAACGTCTTGCTTTTTTTTTGTCGAATCCTCACAGTCGGCGTCAAGGAGCGCGAGGTTCTTGCTCTTGACTGATGTATGAGTATAATCAAATCCTGTTCAATTTGCGCAGGAGGAGTTTCTCACTAGTTGTACATTGCCTTCCCATGGACCACGACGACACCTAGTGGCCTCTGATAATGTATTCATCTTGTGCTTGTTTGTGTTTCTATGCCTATTCGCTGAAAATTTCAAGTACTTTAATATCATGGCCCACCAAACGTTTATTTTGCATTTTCTTTGCCTTGAACTCGAACAAAACATTAAGCCCCAGCATTCGTAGTACCCGAAAAAGATGTTCGGCAGCTGCCCGCTTCGTAGTTTATTTAGCTGCCACCTGCTTCTTCGTTGTTTGCGCACTTCATCTTCTGCTCCACGTTAACGTTAACCTTGTCAAAGGATCTTCGAGTGCAGCTGAAGATGTGGTCGTGGATAAAAACGTATCACCGGGACGAGGTCGTGGCAACCTTCAGATCATCGCGAACTATTTTCGCAACCCAGATTTGTTCCGTTCCACGGATGCGAATGTGCACGACGAGGTCTTGACGGCGCTGAGTGGTGAGATTTTATTTGCGTCTACTCGATTTTCATCTGTAAAAACAGGAGCAACGAACAGCACCTCCACTGACCTCCACCACCTTCTGCTTCTCGCCGCTCGATTAGCCGGGGACAGCACGTCGAAAAATCCGAAGTACTACCGGGAACTCGACCGCCGGTTTCGGCAGTGGCGACAGAATGAGTTTGCGACGTTTGGGAAATATTGGACATGTGGACCGCTGAACGTCCGACGGAGCGATGAGTTTTTCGCAAGTGCGATAATTTCTGATGCGAAGACACGAAGTAGAAACGGAGACGAAGTAAAAGCCGCAGGCTCGGCTGGCGCAAGATCAAACAAGAACGATTCACCAAGAATTTTCCCCGCCTCCAATCTCATCAACCCGCTTCCAGTCGTCTGGTCCGAAGCGGATCTGATCCCCTTCCCCTTTCTCGAGCAGTTTCTGGAGCTGAAAGAAACGCAGAAGCGGTTCAAACGGGATATTGCGGACGGTGGGGAAAAATTGGAAGAGTTGTTTGCCGCTGTACTGGGCAGGGAGGCTCAGCACGCGCAGGACTTGGGAATCGCACAACTAGACGAAGAGTTGTTGGCCACTTCTAGTTTGGAATCTGAATCAGAATCTTCAAGCTTGAATAACGCCGGCCGGCTGTTTCAGAAACTGCTCGAATCCGTCGTCACAGAGGGCAACGCCATCTCGTCTGTGACGTTGCTGCGGCATGACAAAGACGCAGCACAACTCCTGAACAAGCAAAACCCCCAAGACCACCGGGTAAACCAAGCCGCCTGTCAAGTAGTGCCCCGGATCTGCACAGAGCTACTCGACCGACCGGAAATCAAGCGCTGCGACGAGGCGTCGGCCTCGCTGTTGCGATTTTCATCTTCTGGGGAAGACGACGAGCACCTCCAAGCGCAGACTCAAATAAAAATTTTTGATGCAGACAGGAACGGATTGCAGCAACAGTCAGAAGCAGACAGCACGACCGAGGCAGTCACTTCCACCGCAAGTACTAGACCACTTCTCCTTTCCCGTCCGGTGCTAACAGTGGTGGTTCTGTTGCACGCCAAAAACCTCATCGCAAATAACGCGACACTTTCCCTCACCGTTGGTGATGGTACAACTCATCAAGAAGCTGGTCAGGCTGTATCACCTCCCAAGAACTCTTTGCCGCTGAAACTCGGAAAGCCGGTCGTTTTTGACAGCACCGTCCCGCACTTCTACAGCATAGAAAAACCAAGTGCCTCAAGAAGAAGTAGAACAATGGGCACCAAGAAGATGAACAAACCCGCCGCCGCCCTCACCGCAGTCGCCCTTCGCGTCGATCTATCAAATGCAAATGTGTCTGGGTCTGGAAGGTTGCAACTTGTCATGCTAAATCTGATTCATGCAAAGAGTCTGTGTTGCGTGATTACTTACCAACAGCCGTCCTTTTTTACCAAGCTGAGAGGGTATTTCTCAGGCAGGATAGGCATGATAGAGATCTCACAGAATTTGTCATGCTAGGTGCTGCATTCCAGACCTCATGAGTCATAGAGCACCTGCATGACAAACGTGAGAATCTTCCAGACCCAGACATATGTGCAGTTGATACGATCTTTGCGGACCCTGCGCCGCGTCCGCGGTGAAAAATCGGCTGTACAAGTCAATTATGGATAGCAAATATATCTGGGTCTGGAAGAAGACAAACCTGTGATGCGCATTTCAGAACATAGAAAAATCTCTCATGCATAAGTAGCAAAAGCTGCCCACTTTCTGTCACCAAAATGGGGGACTTGTCATGCGGATTCGGCATTGCGGAAGCTCCTCGAGACCTGTGATGCTAGAGCTTCCATGCCAGCCCTTCTGTGTCATGCAAAAACAGCATGACTCTTCCAGACCCAGACACTTTTACACTTGATATCAATCGGAAATCCTCTTTTCTCGGTTTGCACCGCCACTGCGGCAACTGCCGGCGTTTTTTCTGAACATGCTGCGGTTGTTGATGGTCAGCAAGCACCGATAATACCTATCAACTGCAAAAATGTCTGGGTCTGGAAGAGTGCCAGACTTGTCATGCAGGTTTTCCAAGACCCATTAGGTCTGGTATGTAGGAAATAGCACGACAGATTCTGTGAGAGTTCTATCATGCCTATCCTGCATGAGAAACTGCTTCTCGATTAGGTCAAAAGTGGACAGCTTTTGGCAATCATGCAACACAGATTTTTACATAATTTTAATTCAGGTTTAGCATGACAAGTTGCTTCGTTCCAGACCCAGACATTTTTGCACTTGATGATACCGACGCTCGAACAAATCCAAGAGGAAGATAGACAAGTAGGACAGCATATCCTGTCGTGCAAAAGTATCGTACTCGTATTGCAGTCATGCATTACAAATCCTTTTGTTAAGGTAAATCCGCATTACATTCTCATGCTGAGGAAATTTGTAATGCATTTATACGAGTACGATACTTCTGCAGTTCATACAGCACTTAGGCTTGGCGCCAGGGGATGCGAACAGATATCCTTTCGACAAAGCCACTGAGATAAATTTCGACGGAAGTAGAGCCGCAGCTGCAGCTCCAACAATTGTCCAGGCTTCAGTATCATCATCATCAGGCCCACCCAAAATCCTAAGTTCCAACCAGTCCCCCTGCGCGCCCTTCCAGGCCAACCCGCAGCTGGTGGATATCGGCACGGACTGCTATGCGGAACTCTGGCAACAGGCCGGCTGCACCCAGCCCCCACCGGAATACACGAGTTGGCACGCGGCGCAGTCGTTATCGGGGTTGCAGTACCAAGTGCAAAAATGTCTGGGTCTGGAAGAATGCATGTTTGTCATGCTTGTGTTGCATGACTCTTAAATCTGTCATGCACGTTACCCAAGGCCAAGAGCTCCATTTTTCTGTGATGCAGAAACGCAGTTTGACGTCATGCAGAATAGGCAACACCTAGCAGCTCAGAAACTTGTCATGCTGAGCCAGCACTTGTGGCCTCGTCATGAGACGCCACCCAGCGTCACAAGTTTCCAGACCCAGACATATTTGCAGTTGATATGCAGGAAGACGCGCGACAGTGGGCAAGTCTAGTCACGGAGAAGCATCGGCTAGGGTGCTATGGGAGAGTGGAAGTGAGTACGGATGACAGAAGTCCGTCGGCTGGAAGTAGAAGCTCTGTCGGAGGTGAACAAAGAGACTCAGCTTCTAATGCACAACTACCCGCGTCGCCTACAACTGGCAACAAACCCGCGTCAACGCGGATGGAAAAGATCAAATCCTTGATCCTATCCTGTGCAAAAGTATCGTACTCGTATAAATGCATTACAAATTTCCTCAGCATGAGAAAGAAAATTTGTAATGCTGATTTACCTTAAGAAGAAGATGCATGAATGCAATTACTACGAGTACGATACTTTTGCACAGGATAGATCCCTATGATCGACAAGTTCCGAGAAAAAATTTTCGCGGACTACTTCAAAAACCTCGAGGAAAAGCAGAACCAGCCGAAAGCAGGTTACTTCAACTTGGAGAGAAAACCGAGGTTTTTTGTCGACGACGAAATAGTGGAAGATGATGTTGTATCCAGAGCAAATATGTCTGGGTCTGGCAAGAATGGGATTTGTGATGCTAACTGTCGACGATAGAAAAATCTGTATTGCATGAGAAACAAAAGGTGCTTGAATTTTTGTCACCCGGAGAGGGCATCTCTCATGCAGAATAGGCATTAGCAAGGCTTTACGAGAACTGTGATGCTATCGCATGCATCACAGGCATCTTGGGGCATGTACAATTGTGCATGACAAACTCCCCGAATCTTCCAGACCCAGACATACTTGCATTTGATATGTTGGTCAAGAGCAGAAGAGGAAAAAGAACGTCAACGGCAGGCTGTTCCGAAAAGATCCACCACCTTGGTCGGATTCCTCCGTGTATTACCAGTTGCAGCAGCATCAGATGCAAAATTTCATCAATGCGGTTCCTGGGCAAGCTGCTCAAGCTGCAACACAAATTTATCTTCCAATCTCCAGTGAAAATCAGCAATACCTGCAACTACTCCGACAAGAGTCCCCCTTCGGTCTGGGTAACGAAGCCAACACGAACATCGTCCCCGCGATCCCCCCAAACTACTTCGGCAACGGGCTACCTGCAACCTTTCTCCCCGGCGCCGGGCCGGAAAAAGCGCCGTTTCTGTTCGGCCGGATCCCGCGGACCTACGGTTTCTTCGGGAACGATGGGAAGGTGCAGAGACAGCAACTCGCGAACAACTTAATGATGCTGGAACAGCAGGGAGTCCTCCAGGGCGCGGGCGCTGCGGCTGCGCAGCTCGTGAATCTCTACGCCTTTCAAAAAGACGACGAACACTATTTGGTCCCGGCGCTGCAAACTGCGTTGTGGCTAACCGAGAGAAAATTGGCGTTGACGCCATGTTTGGAGCTGGAAAAGTGCCCGTTTTTGGATGCGAAGTCCGAACAACTAGTCGCGCAGAAATCCGAGGGAACTAGCTTATCTTCCTGCAGCCCGTTCCGTTGTATCCGGACGTACAACTTATCAACTGTAAAAGTGTCTGGGTCTGGAAGGATCCGAACTTGTGATGCGAGTTGCGGATCATACAAAGATCTGTGTTGCGTGACTGCTGGCAAAAGGTGCTCACTTCTGGCCATGCTGAGAGGGTATTTCTCATGCAGAATAGGCATCACGAAGGGGCTGCAGAACCTGTCACGCTAGGCCCCGCATTTCAGACTTGACAGAGCCTGGAAAAAGTGCATGACAAATTTCGGAATCTTCCAGACCCGGACATTTTTACAATGCACACAACTACCTGTTGAACAATTGCCGAGTGGTTTTCCAGGGTCTCGGTCAACCCGTGCCCAACGTGATTTTAGACGTGTTGGACCAGGTTGACGCTTTCTTAGAAAACCGCAACCCGCCGGAGATGTATCTGGAACTCGCGCCCGCGTTGGAAGATCTTTGGCGGCAGGTGAGACCGATTCTTGGGTTGACCAGTCCGGCCGCGGTGAGGAATGAAACTTTGTGTGAGCAGGAGGAAATGTTGCTGAGGCACAAGAGTGGGGCTGGCGCCAAGTCTGCAAAAACTTTATCTGCTAGACCATCGTCTTCAACACCCTCTTCAGCCCCAGTTCTGCCGCTAGTAGGCCTGGAAATCGACAACGAATCTGCGATGCTGAGCGCAGGAGGAGCAACTGCTGGTGCACGAACAACACCTGGAGGTACTACTAACTACGAACAGCAAATCATAGATCTCATCACGATCGCGGTAAAAGACCACGGATACAGGAGGTTGGACGTCAAGCCGGGTATGGAGAAGATTGTCGCGGCGGCGTTTCGAGAAGATAATTTTTATCGCCAACAAGATTCAACAAACTATCCAGCGTTAGGAAAGTTCTACAACGCCGTCGACCTGGTTTTTCAATTCACCGGATCCGGGTCCTCTGAGCAATTCCAGAATTTCGAACAGAAGCAAATTGCTTGCTTGCTGGTGAACTTTCAAGACTTTGTCCCAGTGGAACAGCTGGCGCAACTACTGCTCTTAACTAACGATAAACAGGAGACCGCTGCTGTGCAGCAGCAACAGAACAACAATCTGAAACAGGAGCTGCTAACCGTGTTGTTGCAAGTGTGGCAAGCCGCGGAACAGCTGGTAGACGCGAACAGGGTGAAGTATTTGGGAATTCAGTATCCCACGGGAATCACGAATAGTGGGGAGTTGGGGAGGAGAATAGTGAAAGAGTTTTTCAACAGCGAATTATTAAAAACCCAAATCCGACACCAACCGCGAGTGGTCAAAACGGACAGCATATGAACCGCAAAAGTATCCTACTCGTATAAATGCATATACAAAATTCCTCACCATGAGAAATAAAATTTGTAATGTGGATTTGCCTTAAGAAAAAGATTTGTAATGCAAGACTGGCAGTTATACGAATGCGATACTTTTGCACAGGATACAGCACCAACGGACTTCACGTTTACAGCGATGCACGAGGTGGAGGTGGAGGGACGAGCAGTAGACCACCTTCGGGGCCGCAGGTGGAACAGCTCCTTGGTGACCACGTGCAAGCAGGCGTCGAACTCCCTAGAATACAAACCATCGCCTCGAAGTTAACCTCCACGTCCTTGACTTTGCTCAGTCCGGAGTACGATCCGCACGTTGTAAAAATTTCCCAGTACAACGGACGAACCACGGCTTTCATTCTCCACCGGTGGGCGTTACAGCATGATTTGTCCGTATCCGTTGGGATGGACTTGGCGTTGAGACAGTTGACCGACAGGATTATTTCTGAAGGACATACTTCTAGTGGTGCTGGTGGTATTGGTGGCCATAATTTTGTCCATGTCGACCTAGTTCCCAGAATGCTAACCGCCGACTTAGGCACCACTACAGTTGTTCCTGCTGCAACAGCAGAGGAAGATGTAGCATCAACCACTCCGACAGCAGAAGTTCAAGATCTCTCGTCAGAATTCGAAGACGAGCAGGGCCGGAGCATCGCCTGCAGCACACCACCGAAGGTAAAAGAGAACATCGACGACGTGGGGGGAAGGTCTGGGTTTGGAGCTGCTTCTACTAACACCTCTTCTACTCAACAATCTGATCGTACAACTGGGAAAACGCCGATAAATAAACGGAGAAAAACCACAGCAAAGAACAACACAAATCGCATATCGACCCGGCAGATGATGATGCTGGATAGTTTGTCGACTTTGGTCAGTTCTATCAAATGCAAATATGTTTCGGTCTGGACGCGTCTGAGTTTGTCATGCTAGATCTGATCGACGCAAAATTCTCTATTGCATGACAAGCAAAAGCCCCCACTTTTGGCTACCCAAAGGCAGCATTTCTGATGCGGAATAAGCATCGAGGAACCTTTTCAAAACTTCTTGTGATGCTAGAGCACGCATTCCAAACATTCTGGGTCATGCGCAACCTGCATGACAAACCTTGCGGCTTCCAGACCCAGACATATTTGCAACGCATAAGTTCCAGTGGAACGCAAATCCGGAACTACGTGCACGGAGCAAGTTCGACGTCAAGCGATACTAGCGATCTCTTGACCACAGGTGGCATTGGCAAAGATGAAAACGAAGACCAAAAAACCGATTATGACTTCGACCTATGAACTGCAAAAGTATCGTATTCGTAGTATTGCAATACAAATTAGCTCAGCATGACAAATGGAATTTCTCATGCTGATTTAGCTTGAAAAAGAAATTTGTCTTGCATGACTGCGATTAGTACGAGTACGATACTTTTGCACAGCATACGACCTGTTCCAACTGAAAAAAGCCGCGACGGAGCGCAGCAACGCGGCGAACTATGGAAGTGTCAGGATTGAAATTATCGACAAAGTTAAGTAACTTGTAATGCATAGAATCGATACCACTTTTCCCCACAGTTTCTAGTCAGTGCATGACAAATTTTGTCCGTACCACAAGCCAGTTTGTCGCGCTGTTTAGGGCGATGGGGCTCCCCTCTGTCATGCTAATCAGCAGCCCAATGCCCGACCCTTACCAGCACTACAATCTGCCTCCCTCGCGTCCTCTGCAATAGAGGCAGTCTCTGCGTTGCCTTTTGTGCATGACAAACTATTTCAACTTTGAGGATTGCAATCCTGACGCTTCCATACGAGCGAGGTGGAAATCATCGAGGGCTGTAAGGAAGTTCCTCCGACTATCGTAAGGAAGAATCGCCCCTCCCCATATTGAAAACGCATCCGTCTGAAAATTTGTGATGCAGATTTGTGGCCACAAATCGCGTCTGTCTTGCAAGAAAGCAGGTCCAGTCTGTCCGCCACGTTTGCAGGCGATTTGTAATGCTGTAATGCCTAGAGGGCAGCGCAGCCGTCTACCATGCTAGGCACCTACACCAAGAGGCCCCTACTGAGGCTTGCGATCTGCGTGCAGTCCTCTACTGCAGCACAAATTTGATCTGTGTATCCAAATCTGGCATCAGAAATTTCGTTTTGATATGGAGAGGTGGGATTTTTCCGCTTGATACCGACCGGGCCGCAAATGCAGCGATTGGGGATAGAGCAGATGAAAGTGCAGCAGCAGATAGACACTAAACCAATCCCGGTCACTCCCTATACGAGGAATGTCGGGAGAGACTGCTGGGCGAAGCTCTGGGTCCATGTGGGTTGCTTGGAAGCGACGGTGCCAAATTACACGGATTGGCACGCGGAGCAGAGCTACCTGGCGCTGCTGCAGGACGCGGGGAATTGGGCAACGCTGGAGGATGAGACGCATCGGAAGACCTGTTATGGGAAAGCGATGGGGAGGTAGAAGTTGACCGTCGTAGGCTCTGGCAGCAGTGGTGAGAGTAATACAACAGTTGTTCCCGCTCTTGCTCTAGTAGTTTGGTCCTCAACTTTTTCAGAATCTTCTTCTACACGACCGGAGAGGGAGACGATCTTACAAAATTAACAATCTACTGCGCACGCATAATTCTTGATATTAGTCACACCAGTCTGTAGCGAAATAAAAGCGACATGCTCAAATGAACAATCCGGTCGCTGTTCTTGTTGGTCTAGCGTTTCTAGAGTCAAACGAAGATGATGACCACGCTGGTGCTGTCTTTAAACTTGTGAGAGCGATATTTGAAGACGCAGCGTCCCTAGCGGAACAGCTTCAGGTATGAGGAAAAGCGATGCTGTTGCGTAATGTTTTTGTAGTGCGTGTGCGAGGCTAGGCCACGGTGTTGATCTCTGCATAGATGTTGAGTGAACGTTTTTACGACCACCACGAGCGCAGTTGAGATTTATATACTCTGAGTTAGAATCAACTTGACCTTGACGTTATTCATTGCACCTTTACAAGAAGAACCCTAAACCATAAACCCTTTCGTTAGCATAAGTGATGGATCACATCGCGTCCGTTTCTGTTGCAGCCGTTTTTTAAATTCAATCTCACAACAAGATGATTCTCGAGCTTGTGGTTTTTCGTTTTCCCCTTCTCCTCCTCTCGATTTGGACGGGAAGGTGCTTGGCAGCCGCAGCGGCCGACAGTAAGAAGCCCGATGAACATGAAAGCACTACGGCTGCTGGGTCAACAACATCCTCCAATTCGTGGTGGCCCTTCGAACGGCCGCAGTTCGTGCAAAAGGCGATGGAGCGGTACCCTCATGTTGCCCCGATGCGCAACATCATCGGCAGCGATCCCGATCCGTTTCAGTGCCCCGGCACCGCGTGGAGGGCCCGGGCCTTTCACGCGAAATGTCGACTGAGCATCACAATCTCTCCGGCCGACTTCTCGGAGGCCAAGCTCGGAGGGTGCAGGGCGGTTGCGGAGGAGATCCTGAGTCGCGTGCATCCGGCGACTGATCAGGACCGAGCATGGAAGGATCCGCACAACCTCGGCAAGTACGAGTTTGCAGACGACGAAGCGAAAACGGAATTCATCGGTACCTTCAACGATCCTGCCGACCAGAAGTTGCAGCCCTTGACGGCAAAACCGTGGGTGATGCGGTTGAAGCGAACGACAAATTTGCACGATAAAACCGGCGGGAGGCTTGCGGATGCCAAGCAGTACACAGACAAGATCAATCTTGTCTTTGTCAGCCATGGCGTTGGTACGGATTACTGCACAATCTCGGGCTGCTCCGAATCCCAAGTATTTTCCATCCTAGATCAGTCAACGAACTACTGCAACCTGCGAAATCTGGTCTGTTACGCATGTTTGCAAAAGTACCGCGAAAGCTCGTAGGGAAGTGATGGTGCTGGTTTTACTGACAGTAAGGCAGAAGGCAACTACAACAATGAACCTGACATCAGGCTTTGACGTAATTATAAGCAACGAATGATGTATACTAAAATGGAAACGATGCTGTTGATGCGCAAAACTGGCATGCTGCACCTCCTGTGTAGTTGGGCTACTACGTAAGATTGTATGCAGTACAGAAATTGGAATAATTGAAAAAATACATACGACTACGGTACTTTTTTGAATGATATCTGTGGCGAAAAGGACAAGTGTCCTTATGTGAAGCATTCCTTCAGCAACATCGATTGGGGATTGGACGAGGAGGGCAAAGAAAGCTGCACGCAACACGATGCGACGATGTGCATTTCAGGTAGAACAACCGATGCATAGTGTGATGTGGAAACTCTAATTTAATCGGAGATAGAAGTTTTTTTTTTTCCGGATACCTACAGAAGATCTTGAGATGAGAAGTCTGAAAAATGTTCGTTTGTGTTATGCTTATGTAAATTGCAAAAAAAATGCATCTTCAGGCAAGTATTTGGAGGAGCTGGAGGGGGATCATCATCATTCAAACTCAAAGACGTATCCTGTGCAAAAGTATCGTACTCGTAGGAAAAATTGCAGTCATGCATTACAAATGCAAATCTTTTCCTCAAAGCAAATCCGCATTACAAATTTTATTTCTCATGCTAAGGAAATAATTTGTAATGCATTTATACGACGAGTGCGATACTTCTGCAATTTATAAGGAGGCCGACGCAGCAAGATCACTGGAGGAACAGGTGATAGGGGAGGGCACACACGACGACGACGAGGTGGACCAACACCAAGTTGCGGCGAAGCAGGAAGATGAAAAAGAAGCCCGCGATGAAGAACCAGCAGGCGATGATCATGATGGAAATACACAACATCAACATGCACCAGCGCCAACCGATGATGGAGACAAGGGAGTAGATCCGGATCAGGAGCAGGAGGCCCAAGCGGAATCAAAGTCGGAAAGGAAGAGAAGGAAAAAGGCGGAAAAAAAGGCCGCGGCGGGGAAAAGCCAGCACTCGAAGAGTCGCAGAAGCAAGCACCGAAAGCACAAGAAAGAGAACAAGCAGGATGACAAGCAACAAGGAGAACCCGAGACCACCACCTCTTCCAGTACCCTCGAGCTGCTTGACGACGGTTCCTCGCACTACATCCCAGATGGAGCCGCCGATGAGGAGGTACAACCACATGAAAACGAGCAAGACCCAACTCCCCTGTCGGACGAGCCACCAGCAGCCTTCAAGCAAGTGAGGAGCGGGGAGAAAGACGAGGAGGAGGACGGCGGGAAGGACTCGGATTTGGAGTTTCTCGAGTGAGGAACGGCATGTGACTCGCAAGCGAAGGGCTTTGCAACTGAATTTGAATTTGTGCTCCACCGGCTTCTGTTGTTATCATGGAGTTTGCTTCGAAAGCGAAACGCACACTCGTGTTTTTTTCAAATTCAACTTGAAAAAGTAATTACTCCCCGGAGAGATCCCTTTTTTTCGTAATTGATTGTGTTGGCACGAGTGCACCGTGTTCATCTTCAAGAATTCGTAATAATGCTTGTAGTTAGAAGTGTCTCCCTAGAAGCTTACTGAGCAACGTGCACCACTGGTGTCACGGAAAACACCAAACTATCCTGTGGTGGAGCTTTTGCTTTTATCCTGGTATTAGAATTCCGCCACACTCACTTCGAAACACAACAAGTTGAGAGACGGAGAGATGAATTATGTATGAGCGCGACTTGTTTGAGTTTCTGACTCTGACAGTGATGTTGGTTGCACGCCGTAGTTCGTACTACTATGGGCCTGATGATTCATTTTTAATTTTTTATTGAAGTCAGTGTGGTCGAGACTGATTTTTCCTCCGAAATTTTTTTATATGATGTTGAGCTTGGACCATCTCCTTCTGCCTCGACGTATGTCGGCAGCTGTCTCTCCGTCGGCATCGGCATTTCGATGGAAATGGTGTTGTCGCCAGCTTTTCCTGCTCTCGTTCTTGACAACGAGATTTTGCCATGCGGTTGAGGGAAGCGAGGAGTCCCCCGAGCCGGTCGGAGAAACCGCGAAGAGCAGCCACGATGCCAATGCCGCCCCCGCGAACCCCCCGTCGACTACCAATATTAAACAGCAACCGAAATCCCTTTCCCAAAAATTCACCGCAAAACTCAACTACATTACCGAGCGCTACCCCCACGTCGCGCCATTTTCCAGTGCGAAGGAGCAGTGGCTGCGGGGCGATCCTGCGCCTTTTCGGTGCCCCGGCGTTCCGAAAGCGGCGACGTTCAAAGCGAAGTATTTGTTGGAAAAGCATCGCACTGCTAGGATAAGTTGCAGTTGTCATGCATGACAGATCCGCATGCGCATGCTTGCTTGAATCAGAATCCGCATGAGAGACTCCATTTTCCTTTCTTTTTTAGCGTATAAGTTGTCTTGCAACTACTTTTAAGTACTAGTAGGATGCTTTTCCAATGCATACCAGGCTGCTGCATGCGAAATGTCGGCTGACGATGGACATTGAGGTCGATGGCGAATCAGAGGCAGAACAGCCTAGCGCAGGCGAGGAAGTATGCATTGCAAAAGAACAAGAAGTATCGTACGTACTAGAAGAAATCGCGTGGCAACATATTTCACGAAGATGACAACTGGGGTTTGTCATGCATCGCCAGGTAAGATAGAAGGCGAATCTGTCACGCATGACTGCGATTTTACGAGCGCGATACATTTCCATTTGCAATGCATAGGAAGAAGGACCTGACAAGAGAAGTGCCGGAGGCAGTAGTTGCGCAAAAGTGGCCCAGGAGATCATCGCGCGGGTACGCGGCGAAAAGAATAAAGAAAAAAAGAAATGGCAGGATCCGCACAACGGCGGGAAATACGCGGTGGCGGACGAGGAAGTATGAATTGCAAAGCTACGTATCGTGCTTGTAGTCTTACATTTACCATTTTTCTTAGCTGCATGACGCATGGATGATGAATTGGGCACGCTGATTTATCTTGGCAAGTAGATTTGTCATTGGCATGGTGCATGATTGTGATTGCAACTACGAGCGAGATTTTGCTTTTCCGATGCATAGACACTACCAATTGTGAACGTGTTCGACCTCGGGAGCAAGAGCAAGAAGGTGCTAAAGAAACTGGGAGCAAAACCCCCACCGACGAAGGACAAACCTTGGATCATACGGGTGCAACGGATGACAAACATGAAAGACCCAGCCGGAGAGCCACTGCCGGCGGAAAAGCAGTACACGGACAAAGTGAGCCTGGTTCTGGTCGACGGGGGATCATCCCCTGGCAAGTGTAAAGTGTTCGGCTGCTCTATGGAACTGTCAGGATCGAAATCGGCAAAGTTGAGATGATTTATCATGCATAAAATGGATGCCGGTTGTAACCCAGTTTCCAAGTGACGCGTGACAAATCTGGGTAGAGCCGAAATCCTGTCTGTCATGCTGTTTGGGTAAGGAAGACGCCATTTTTCATGCTACTTTAGCAGCTCCATTTCTGCCCCTCAACAGGCTTACAATCTGTCTCACTTGCCTACTCTGCAAGACAGGCACTTTGTGGGTTGTGTTTTATGCGTGACGACCTTTTTCAACTTTGACGATTTCGATCCTGACAGTTCCATATGCTCCGAATCCCAAGTTTTCTCCATGTTGGACGGGTCGACCAACTACTGCAACCTGCGGAATCTGGTATGCTATTCGATGGTGCAAAAGTTGGAGAGATATCGCATATTTTGCTTGTGGTTGGATGAAGGTGGAGTAGAACTGCAAGAAGAGCCTAACTTGCAGTGCGCAAGAAGTAGATTTCTTTGCAGATACCAGCGGCACTACGATGTATGCAAACACGGTTTTGACCACTACACTCATCGATATCATCAACTTTTGCAAACCGCCTGTATAACTCCGGCGCAGCGGACGGCTGTCCGTTTGTGCACCATTCCTTCGCGAAGGTCACCTCGAACCCCGACGGTAAGGACCAGCGCTGCACACAACACGATAACGCTATGTGCAACACGGGACCAGCCGCTCTACAACTTCCTAAGGCACCGGCGGAGGAGGAGGCAGTAGAAGCAAAGGACAGTGGCGGCGAGAAGGCGGAGGAGGATGTAGATGCTAACGCAGACCACGGCGATGTTCAAGATGAGCAGGGGCGGGACGGTACAAAAACAGAAGAGAATGCAGATGCAGACGAGCCCCAACCTGAAGTGCAAGATGAACAGGATGAAAAAGTGGACGAAGCGGAAGCGCCAGGGGCTCCTTCTGGTGAAACAGCTGCAGAAGATGCTGATGAAGCAATGGACTCGGTGGCGAAAGAAGTAGATGCGGGTAAGCCAGAGAAGAAATCGTCGAAAAAGGAAAAAGACAAAGCGAAGGACAAGGACAAGGACAAAACGAAAGACAAGGACAACGAAATTAAAGTGAAAGAGAAGGACACAGCGAAAGACAAGGACAAGGACAACAAAGCGAAAGACAAGGACAAAGACATCAAAGCGAAAGACAAGGATAAATCGAAGGACAGCAGGAAATCTTCAAAATCAAAAAAGCCGATGTCCTCCAGGACCACTACCATCGAAGGCAAAAAACCTGCGGAAGATGCAGATGCGGGCGCAGACGAGCCCGCGCCTGAAGTGAAAGAACAAAAGGAGGACGAAGCGCAAGCTGTAGCTGCTTCTGGTGAACAAGGAGCAGAAGATGCTACTGACGCAAAGGACTCGGCGGCGAAAGACGATGTAGGTAACACGGCGGCGAAAGACGATGTAGGTAACACGGCGGCGAAAGAAGATGCGGGTAAGCCAGAGAAGAAGTCGAAAAAGGACAAGGACAGAGCGAAAGTAGACAAGGACAAGAACGACAAAGAGAAAGACAGTGACATCAAAGCGAAAGACAATGACATCAAAGCGAAAGAGAAGGACAAAGCGAAGGACAGGAAATCTTCAAAGCCAAAAAAGCCGACGTCCTCCAGCACCCTCGAGGTCTTCGACGACGGGTCCTCCTCGCACTTCTACCCTCCGGAACCAGATGGACTGGCGGATGAGGAAGTGGAGACGCATGACAACGGGGAAACCTCCGCTCGTCAGCCACCAGAGGCCGTGAGACTAAAGGGAAAAGATCGAGAGGAAGATGGAAACTTGGAATTTCTCGATAAGAGGTGATCATGGGTTCCTTTCACCGTCCTGTCTAGTGAGGCTGACTACTTAAGTTGAGGCTGACCTCCACAACCTAGTTCCATTTCTCGAGCAGCGCACTCGGTAGGTTCAAAATCCTCACAAGATGCGTACCTTGGATGAAGAGGTACGGTTAGTTTTCTTGAAATCAACGACAACGTCTGAAGAAGTTTAAAATTGAATGCGCATAATTGATGCAAAACTCCCTACGAGGAGGGTAAGATTGGGAAACACCTCGCGTTTACTTCTGTTGCAGGTACCTGTAACGAGTTATCATGTGGATCAGACAGATTCATCCCGTCAGATACGACGAACATGCACCTAGCTGGTCCTCCAGAGCCACTCCCAGGTATAGATTTAGTCAGATGATGACGCCACCAGAGACGGATCTTCTACTAAACTTCTCTTTTGATTTGTTGTGATGGAAGATCAAGATCCTAAGCTCCTTTCGTGAGTCAGCAACGCCTCGCTCCTGGTCTTGGCGAGGGTGAAAGTACGATCTTCTGCCTTTGTTTCCTTCCCTTTCGCTTTCACGTAGTAGAGGCACAGTACAAGACCTTCTAGACCAATGAGGCGGACGAACAGGCGGACTCGCTCTAGTAGCGCGCTGATCCACCGGCACCCTTGGAAAGAAAGAGGAATAGCAGTTTTACCAGAGAAGAGACCTGACTTTATTAGCTCGCGAACAACTAAAGCACATCGTGTAAACGAAAGAAAGTCGTCTTTTTTATAGAGGAAGATGGAAACTTGGAATTTCTCGATAAGAGGTGATCATGCTGGGGTGTTTTCATCGTCCTGTTTGGGGCCGTTGACTAAGTTATCTTGGACCACTACTATGTATACTGACTTTATTCCACTTTCATTTCTCGAGCAACGCACTTGGTATGTTCAAAATCCTGCGCATAATTATTGAACACCGCGTCTACTTCTGTTGCGGGTGCCTGTACCGAGTTACCATGTGGATCAGGCAGATTCATCCTATCAGACACGATGCACCTGCAACTAGGTCGCGGTCGTCCAGAGCCACTACCAGGTCTACATTTAGTCAGATGATGAGGTCGCCACCAGATCTAATTCTCTTTTGTGCTGATGGAAGATCAAGATCCTAAGCTCCTTACGTGAGTCAGAAACGCCTCGCTCCTGTTCTTGGCGAGGGTGCAAGTACGATCTTCTGGTTTTGTTTCCTTATCCTTCCCTTTAACGTAGACCTTCTAGACCAACAATGTGGAGGAGCAGGCGGACTAGCTCCAGTGGCGTGTTGATTGATCCATCGGCACCCTCAGACAGAAAGGGAAATACCACGTATCGAAGAAGAGACCTGATTTGATTAGCTACTGAACAAGAACAAAAAGAATATGTTATAGGCACGAAACGAAAGAAAGAAGTTGTCTTTTTTATCCTCGCGTATAACTCATCATTCATGTTGGAGATACGAAAAATGTCAATCTGAACTTCCCTCTCCCTTCGTTCGTTTCTCATTGTCAAGATTTTTGAATAACAACATCAACTTGAAAAACAAAATGTCCACCTTGTTAATTACAAATCTGCACGATGATACCCCGCTGACCCTTGGGTCGCGGGAAAAAACAAGCTCTTCCAAAAGTAAAGTTTCGGCGCTTCCGACGTTCCGAGAGTGTGAAGAAGATGAAGAAGAGGATTTTTTTGAACCGACGCCCGCCCCTCCGGATTTCGACGGCTTGAAAGCACGCTCTGCCGCCGTTGCCACAGCAGTAGCCGCGAAGGGTGCCAACCCGAGTGACAGATGGCATGTAATTTTCGTTATCGACACCTCCGGAAGCATGGGCAAAGCAGATATTAAACACGATTCGGATGGCGCGTCTGCGACAAAGAACACAAAAACCAAAACCCGGCTAAGAGCGGTTCTGGAAGTGCTGGAGGACTTTGCGGAACACCAGCGCGACACGGACAGAGCCGCGTCTGGCGACCTTTACTCCGCCGTTGGCTTCAGTGATGAGAGTACGGTTTGGTTTCAGAGCGTCAAGTCCGGCGACGAGTTGTGTGATAGTTTGCGGATCGCCCAAAGCAGTGGCCGTGCCCGCGCCCGGAACGGAACCTCTTACACAAGTGGGCTCTATGGAGCAATGCAGTTACACAAAAGCAGACCGGATCTGAAAAACCGGAAAGTGCGGATTATTTTTTTGTCAGATGGGCGTCCGCAGACCTGGGATCGGTATGATGCGCAGTGGTACCAGGAAACCTGTGTCCCTTCGTTTCCCAAAGGAGTCCAGCTGCACTGCGTTGGCATCGGGAAAAACACCCACGCCTTTGCGTGTCTTCAGCACATGGCCGTTCTAGGTGGCGGCCGATTCTATTTCTCTCAGCTGGCGGCAGCCGATCTTCGCCGGACCTTCACCACCATTTCCCGCACCCTCACCTCGACGCGCGAGTCCGGAGGCTCGAGCTCAACCAAAGATTCTTCGGCCAAGCCACGGGCGTTTACTTTTCTACCGCCGCCTAAGGAAGTCCTACTGTACAATACGAAAATGACGGAACCGAATATGGGCTACCCAGCTGGAAATGTTGATGTTTTTCATTGTTCCCGCGACCAGTACGCTTTTGACCTCGAGTTTGGTATGGTCCATACGGACCACACCCCGCTAACGTGGCTGCAGCGAGCAACGCTGCCTTTCACAAAAGGGAATATGCGATTTGTTTTTGCCATGAAGGGAGATGATGATTTCCATGCGAACGAAGGCAATCGGAAGAATTTTGGCAAGTTGCTTGTTGGAAAGGAAACCTTTGCAGCGACTTCAACCTACGAGACGCAGATGACCTTCGTGCGCAACACCTGCGTCGCTCAGTATTTCGCCAGAGGATTTTGCGATCGTATCGGCGTGCCTGAGTACCTGAGGTTTCTCCCAGTTTTTCTCTACTCTCGACCACCGCCTGTTTCCTCGAAGAAGAACAAAAAGAAGCAGAAAAATAAGGACCCGACGGATGAGAAGCAAGTGCAGTTCTTCTGCGGGGAGGAGTATTTGCCCGGCATCTTTGAAAAGGTGACTAACAATGCTGATTACGTCAAGGAGTGTGCAGCTGGCGACGCAAACCGCATTCATACCGAGGCGCTGGAATGCTTCTCGCATTTCACTTACGAGGAGTCCGGTGGGTCTCTCATGGTCACGGATCTGCAGGGCGTTGCGTCGCAAGGAAGAGACTTGTGCTGGACGTTAACCGACCCGCAAGTCTTATCTCAAGAGCCCGGGCGAGAGCTGTACGGACGCGCCGATCGGGGGCCGCAAGGCATGACGGAGTTCTTCTCGCGGCACAAGTGTAACGAGATGTGCCGGCGCCTCGACCTGCCGTCCCGCGAAGAGGAATTTCGCACCCTGGCTGCTTCGGGTCTGGCTGTAGTTACAAAAGCAAAAAATAGGCGCGAGGAGATGGAGCGCAAAATGAACGAAACTGAGGAGTCAGGCAAGCGGGCCACGTTAGCTGCATCTTCAGTATCTTCGTCTGTCAATGAGCCTTCTCGTCCGAAGAAGAAAACACGAAGCACTTTACCAGGCGAGCGCGAGAATATCCTGAGTTTGATTTTCGGCAAGAAACTCCATCTCTTTGGGGAATGTGACTGCAGCTTCACTTTGGCGGCCGCAAAGCTGTGCGCGTCGCATGCGAGGAATAGAGGCAATTTTGGCAATGCGAATGCTCTTGGTGAGATGAACGACGATGGAACTACACAGCCCATGCTCACAAACGGTTGGGTCGCATCGGATCTGGCTTTTCCAGTCGGCACGGCGTCGTTCGAAGAAAATTCGAAAATTCTGAAAAATCACTACGGCGTCACAGTCGTGTCCCACAAAAGCGTCGACGCGTCCAAGCCCATCCTCTCAGCCAAGCACCTCCAGTACTCGGTCAAAGTTGCCGACATTGCCCTCTGGGCAATGCCTTTTTTGGACCGATTTTCCCCCGCGCTCGATTCTCGTGGCGACCAGCAAAAGATGAAGAAGGAGATGCAGGACAGGATTTTTGGCTTCGTCCGCGCGCAGGGAGACTTTTTCGACCAGGTTGCAGTGGTGCTGCTTTCGAAGCAGCACTTGGACTGGGAATTGAGGAAAGCGCTAGAGACTGTCGGGCTGAAACAAAAATTATACCCAATTGTGAAGGTGGTGAGCTTACAGCCCTTGTTGGACCATGGCTACCAGCCGCATTTTGGGGACAAAAGAGACACTGGTGGAAAAAAAGCGAAGTATCACAAGCTGTGTGAGTGCGTCGTCGTATCGTGGAGTGCGTCGAACCCCAAGAATTGCTGTGAGCAAGAACACGATGGAGAAGCGGATCACCGTGGTGGCGCAGTCGGTGGAAAGAAGGACCGGTCGATACGAGACGAACAAGATTGTTCACCCGCAGAGGTGAGAACAACGAGCTTACCTTGCAAGAAAACTACGTCTGGCATTTCCGATACGAAGCTGGTCCGACGGCGAAAATCTGTTTCGACGGGAGTGGGAAAGAAGTGACAAAGGTTAGTACAACACAAAAACGGTTCCACCTGTCATGTGTAAAGCGAAAATAGACAAAGCAAACTCTCGCCTTCTACAGTATCCGAGAAAACGAAATTGACTAGTACCGCCTTGGCGTCTCAAATGAAAATATTTTTACAATATCACTATCATGTCGATACGCATCATGTCTGTGACTGTGACTTTCCGCAGCACTTTATCACGTTGGTTTATGATTTTTAACTGTACTACTACACAAGCGCATTTCGTTTCCAAATAGGACGGCCAAGAGCTGTAGATGTCCCTCATTCACTTTGGAAGACGTTTCACGACCTACTCGTCACGCCACCTCATTCAGAACACGCCCTGAACATAAAACCAAAGTTGCTTTTCAACTCTGGCGGTCGATCTTTTGATTCAAGAGGCTGCCCGACGTGTATCATTTTTTCTTGTACAGAAATACCAACAGGGGGTGTAATGCTCTCCGTACTTCTACTACTTGACGAGGCATGCGCTACACCTTGCACTCGCTTGGCAAGTCGTCTTGAGTCGTTTTCCTTACCAGCAGCGGCATTCTTGCGGTGACATTCTTCAGGCCTCGTGTATCGTTTCTTATCGTGATTAGTTCCATTTTCCTCTTGGTGGAGAGACAGTTGATTCGAGGAAGCAGTCGCGTCTTTTGTCGCTTTTGTGATGAGCTTCTTGTTCGTAGCTTGTTCGTGGCCCTCAGAAATATCTTCGTTCGGATTTTCTGCTTCTTTTTTCGCCCTGAGTAGCAGTTACTCGTCCTAGTAATCGGGTGCTATTGGAACAAGAAGTCACTGATTTTTGCAACTGATAGTAGATTGCTCAACTATACCCGCTTCGCGGTCCGTCGCTTCACACCAAGATGCCAGAGCAGCCGAGAATTTCCACCTCTCAAGGTGGAGCAACGAACCTTGGCGAAAATAATAGCGACCTGCACGAAAAAAACCAGAAGGCGGCTGTAGATGGACCAGCTCCTCCTCTCACCTCCACTCTTGACCACCTTCTCGCAAAACTGGATTATTCCATCCACAACATGCACAGTCTCCACAAGACGATGATGGCCGAGGCATCGAGGGTTTTGGACACTCCGGACGGGGAGATCATTGACGTGAGGATGGAAGGACAAGGAACTACAGGGACAGCAACGGGGACCACTGGTGGCGCATCTTCAAACGAGGACGGCGCAGATGCAAACAAGTTCGAAGATGTCACCGACGATCTCAATCTGGTGCAGGTCTCCATCGGAAAGGATTGTAATGGAAAGGGCGTTTTGACCCTCGGGAAGCCGAAGAGTCACCCTGTTGGCGGTGGTGGAAGATCAAGTCGTGCCTCTTCGTCTGCGTCGACAAGTGCAGAGGAACGCTCTGCTGAGTCTTCCGAGGTAGACGAAAGCAGCATCCCGTTTCTCTCTACGGGCGAGGAGCACGACCAGTTGGCGGCGATTTTGCCCTGGGCATCAGCATCACATCAAGTAGGCGACGAAGCCTCTGACGCTGTTGCTGTTGAAAATAAAGGCATCAATTCCAATTGCGATGATTCATCTTCTGATCCGGAACAATACGAGGAACTGCAGTATGTAGACGAGAAGGAGCGCTACGCCGATAGACATCACGACCAGAACCAGATATCTATCGCGAAGAAAGACCGCCTTCTTTTCGACGCCTGCGCGCGGAACATCCTGCTGGAATGCAGAAAAAGGCAGCTTGTCGTGCGACCATCTCACATATTAGCAGGATGCTTTTCTGGTGAAATGACTACGCAAGAAAATAACTTGAATTGCAGCAGAGCTTCGTCGTCCTACTCCCCCTCCTCCTCTACCACTGTCAGTTGTAGCACTGCTGCGATAGCCACATCATCTGCCGGCTGCGGTGTTTTCACAGAACGGGAAATCAAGAAAGGCGAAGTGGTGTTTTCCTATCGCGGTAGAATTCTTTGTCGAAAGTTGCCGGAGATGAAAAACGCTGATGGAGGGCCGAAAGCAACAATTTTCGACACCATCCGACAAGCTCGGGAAAGCTGCATGACAAAGAACATCACAACAAGAGAGAACCACCTGCTCCAGCAACTCGTCTTCAACGAATCGGACCTCGGGCCGCGCACGGATCGTGCTTTTCGGTACCGAATGCAGCTCGACCGCTATCACGACATGGACGGGGGGACGGGAGGACCAGCACCCTTCGCCGCCTGTCTGGCGGCGTATTGCAACAGCAGTCGCGGAGTTTCAGTTTGTCATGCAGATACAGAAGAGAAACAAAACCAAATCGAAAACCTCATCCCGGTTTTGGACCACACGAAGGGATTGAGCAGCAAAGCCGTGCAGTTTGTCGCGAGAAGGGACATTGCTGTTGGGGAGGAATTGTTGTGGGACTATGATTTTCACATGGAGAATAAAAATGCTGAAAAAACAGGAGACACGACATCAGAAGTAGTGCAGAATCAAGAAAATGAACCAAAAAACAAGATGAACAATCATGATCCGGTCTATGAGCGGATGCTGTTTCATATGAACCGAGGTGAATCGGACAACGCACACGCATTTTAAACATCGAGTGGCCCGGCTGGCTTTATTAGCTTTTTAACGTTACTACACTCACACGCGCTTCCTGGTGTTCTTTCCTGGTGTACTGGCGTTTCCGCAAGAGATCATTTTTTGCAACCTTATTCCCTCAGAGCAGATTCAGAGAAGAAGACCAAGACTCCTCGATCAGGTGGTCCAAGAGCGCGGAAAAAGACACCGCTTGAAGACGGTTCAAGAAGATCGACTCACGTTTTTCTTTTTGCTTTCGGAGATCATATGTCGAAAAGGCTGTCTTGTCGAGATCAGCTTAGCATTGTGGATCTGGCTGGAACAGCCGTTTTGGTTTTTGTGGATCGTTTTGATGGCCGTGTTAAGTTTACTTTTTTGTTTCTGTTCTTTTCGTCCTCCATCTTTCACGATCACGAACTAACGCAATTACTGAAAAAAATACCAAATACAAATCCAACCTAACCACCTCCAATTAGTCATATTCTACTTCTTGTTTGCAATTTTCGCAATCGCGAGGACAACTGCAGGCCTCTGCCACTTTCTCATCCGAAAAATACATCTTGTCACAGACACATCAGTAACTGCTTGTACTCGCTACAGGGCAACGCCAAACCGAAAATAAAGCTCAATGTTGCTTTCGCACAACACGGCCGAAAACCTTCCCAGCCCCCAGAAGAAAAGCGCCGCAGCCACGAAAAACATGGTCGCCATGAATCTCTCCCAGGCGGAAAAAACCGCTCTCGACGAGGTGAAGCATACCTACAAATATCACAGGAAAAAGTGTTAACATTTACTAGGGAATTTGTGATGCGGCAATGCATCACAAAACGTGCCCAAATTTGTCATGCATAGCAGGCATACTAGGCTAATTTTGTGATGCATAGCTGCAATCTGTGAAATAAACCGTAAACGTTAACAGTTTTTCTTGTGATAACAAACAGGACCAGTTGATGGTCGCGGGAGAACTTTTGAAGGAAACGTTTGGAAAAAATGAGAAGAAACTCCTCGAAGTGACGGAAAAAGACGAGGAGATCCACGACGTCTCGCAGCGGTTCCAGATGATGCAAGACGTCCAAAAGACTTTGCAAAAGATCGACGAAGCGCGGGCTAATGACGGAAAGGCCGCTTCGGACGCGGAAAGTGGCAGTCTCATGGATGAGGAAGAACTGAAAAAGCAGCAGGAGAAGGCAAACAAAACTTCCTCGAAAGATGCCGACGACGAGTATGGCGTTCTCAAATGTTACATTCTCAACTGTTACAGGAATTTGTAATGCAAGAACGGCAAAAATGAATGGGGGAAGCTTGTGCCTTTTGCATTACAGATTTGGCGCAGATGTTGATGTACATGCTGTTTAGCCCCTTCGAAGATTTGTCATGCGAAGGAGCTTAATGGTGGTGATCTTGGTGGCAAGTTTGCATGACAAATCATGTAACAGTTGAGAATGTAACGTTTGAGAGTCCCATAACGAGAAAAATCAAGAAGTGGATCCGAAAGCCCCTCTGTGTATCAAGATCACGAATCCGGCCATTTTTGGAGGGGATAAAAATGCTACTTCCAACACGACCAATTCATCCAACATCGGCAACTGGCAGCTGCTCCGCGAGTACGACGGGATTAAGACCACTATGCGGACCGATGAGTTGTACGAGGACAATAACAACAAAACCACCCGGATCTACAGCTTCACCGTCGAAGGGTCGGCCAACATCGAGTTCTTCCCGTTGTTATCCATCCTAAACGAAGCGGATCTGTATGTGAAGTGGATTCCGTCGGTGTTGGGTTTAGGGTTAGTCCGTGCCGACATCATCGAACGGAAGAACCGGTGCGATTTTACGTCGCGGATTTTGATCAAGCTCCCCTTCCCGTTTTCCAACCGCCGCATCACGTTTAACATCCGGGGCTACGACTGCATGACGGAAAAGGATTTGGTGAAACAGGTTTTGGTGCAATTAAGCTCCGCGGAAACCGTCTCTGTGGACCAAGACGGTGACGAAAACGATATCGCGAAGGAATACGAGGGATCCAAGCCCGCTGTCCTCGACAAATCCGCGATCGTTCTCACGCCGGAGGGCAAACACTCCACCTACGCACAGATCCTGGTGATATGGCTCTCTCAAACGTTGCATTCTCAACTGTTACATGCATAATTTTCCATGCAAGAATAGCAAAAGCACAAGGGGAGACCTTGCGCGGCGGCGCCGGGAACTTGTCACGTGAACAAGATTGATCGTGTGAAGTGTAATACTAGTGATTCTGCATTACAAACTCATGCAACAGGAGTTGAGCATGTAACGTTCTTTGAGAAGGCCATAGCTGAACGTCGTCCCGTTGATCGCCTTCGCGCCCCAGTGGCTGGTGAATTTGGCGTTTAAGAATCTCGCGTTTTTGATTCTGTTGAAAATCCGCTCGGCGAAGGAAGTGACCGCGTCTCCGGTCTACAAAGACCGCCACATGGACCCGAACAACGAGTTTTACGATTTCATCAAGATATCAACTGCAGATATGCCTGGGTCTGGATGAGTGCAGATGTTTGTCATGCATCTTCTCAATCACACAAAACAAATGGTCTGTCATCCACGTAAAAGCATTGATACAGGTTTCATGCTGGCCTCCTGATGCCTGTCCCGCATGACAAATTCCCTACTTGCGTAGCAAGAACTGGGAAGCTTTTGGCATGTCTATTCAAATATCCGCATGACAAGTTCCAATTGTTCTTCCAGGCCCAGACATATTTGCAATGCATACAAGACCCGTATGCGCGAGTCCATCCCCTACCAGGAGATCCCTGAGGACGTGGTGTTGCCCGAGGAAAACATCTACGGTTTTTGCCTTGGAAAAGCGGTTGGTGACAAAAAGAAATCCACTGCTGCCGCCGAGAACGGCTTGGAGTTATTAGAATCGGTCCGGAAACTGGTGGACTCCGTTCGGGTGAAGGTGTCCGACGCGTCGACCACGAATGGGGATAAGGACAAGGAAAAGGAGCAGAAAAAGAAAGAGGAGAAGAAGAACATATGCACTGCAAAAGTATCGTGTACTAGTATACATCGCATGACAAATTTCCTCAGCACGACGAGAAATGAAATTTGTAATGCGGATTGAACTTGAAAAAAAAAAAATTGCAATGCGTAAATACGATTAGTACGAGTGCGATGCTTTTGCAATGCATAGAACAGTTTGAAGGACACGTTTGTCACGATCAACGAGACCATTTACGACTCCAAGTGGGCGAAGCAGTACCACGCGAACGAGCGTCTATTGTGAGGAAAAATCCCCCCTCCCTGTATTGAAACGGAAATTTGTCTTGCTGGATTTGTGTACACAAAACAGCTCTGTCTTGCAGAGAGACACTGCAGGCAACGCCTAAGCCTGTGTAGGTGGGTTTTGATGTAGGTGCTTAGCATAGCAGAGGCCTGCCATGTAGCCGCAGCAGCAGCACAAATCGCCCGCATAGGCCGGCGGATTCTTTGGATTTGCCCTCTTGCAAGAGAGACAGGATTTGTGGTCACATATCAGCATCGCAAACTTTTAGGAACGTACCTGCTCAATATGGGGAGGGGGGATTTTTCCTCACAATAGCGTCGGGTGACTGTTTTGAACATCCGGAAGGCGATGAAGGTCCGTCCGGTATCCCGTGTAAAAACGTCCCCACCCCAGAATTTTCATGCAATTCTGCATGCCAAAAAAGTTTCTCATGCGGAGCCCTATGAGAAGCCGCGTTCTCCATTCGTGTTTTGGAATTTGTGATGCAAGAATCAGCATGCTACCCAAGATCTGTGATGCTTCTGAACTAGCTCAACAGGATTACACTACGAGGACCACAAACTTACCATACCAAACAACCAAGGCTGGTTGATTTGTCTAGCACAGTTGCCATCTTGACTCTGGTGTGGGGACGCTTTTAATCAGGATATCCGGGCTTGGACTTTTACAAAAACGGGAAAACGGAGGAGGAGCACATGAATGTCGAATACGGCAAGGTGATCGAATTCGATCTGCAAAAATGCACTGCTACGGTGGAATGGACGACCGAAGCTGGCTGGTTTTCCAAGGCGAAGACGCAGACCTTCGACTACAAAATCGGCCCGGTCGGGAAGTTCGAGTTGGCCAAGTGGTCCAAACACGAGCGAGATCAGTACTGATCGATTCTGTCGTACTAGTGGAACGACACCTTTCACCATCAGTAGAGGCGAAATTTACACATCGCAGTGCTGTAGCTGAGCGACATAATATCTGACCGCGACAACTTCAACTACGTAGAAGATCTTCACGAGGTGATGTATATTTATGAGCAGCAGCTGCTGTTAGCTGCTGTTCGTGTAGTTCCTCGACCCTTTGAGCTATTTTTCCTGCTTATTGACTATGTTGACATCGAAGTCAAACCTGATGACGAGTTTTACTTGTGTAAAGAAATTGCAAGTGCAAGACGAAAAGATTAAATAGGACTAGTCTAGTACAACTTCTTTGGTGCATCTGATGATTCAAATCCCAACAGCAAGAGCGAGCCGTTTGGAAAATCACATTTCGAAGAAGAACCGACGATAGAAGGCGAGATAGTCGTCGAACTGTTGTAGGCCGAAGTAGTACTAGCATCTGGTGCAAGAAGAGGAACCGCTGTTGGTAGTACACAATTTTAGGACACAGAGCGACCGTACTGAGGAGAAGGACAAATGATTGATTGCTGCGTATAGACTTGTGCCGCTTGGGCTTGTGGCCTCTCGCTCAGCTAGTTTCAAAAAATTTGCAAAAAAACAAAAAATCGAAAGAGTCAGAAATCGCGGCGCAGTGCAAGTCGGCTCCACCGTTGGAGCGAGCCGGCACGCTATAGCAGCATACTATGCTTCGGTGTTCGCACGATTCTTAGCAGAATTCGTCATTCATATACAGCTTGCAATTCTTGAAATCGTGCTGTCGGGGATATGCTTAGTTGTGGGTCTTCTAAATTATTGGCTCCTCGAAAGAAAAAAGCCGTCGAGAGGGTCGTTGCAAAATTTTCGTCTGCCTGCAAATCGTGTCTCATAGATACCTCAGAAGTGGTGAGCCGTCGTTACTTATTAGTCACCACACAACATCAATCAAAAGGTCCCCATTCAAGATATCTGAAATTGGAACTGTAGTCCCAATCGTGGTTACCAATCGTGAATAACGATATCGATAAGAGTCAAAGCTAGAGTGGCCAATTTGTTACTCGTGATCGTGTCCTCTCATGGTACGACGCTTTTCGAGCAGCAGCTTCAGAGTTTACGGTTTTTGTTGAATTGAAGTTAAGCGCATTGCTACTGCCTTTCTACCAATCTTCTTTTGCAGAAAGAAAAATCAAAGATCAAAAAAATGTCCGGCGGTGGAGGCGAGCAGGCTTTCTACTACCAAGTCGTTCTGCCCGACAAGGAGCAGGCGACCGGGGAGTGGTCACAAATGGACCAAGAAGCGACGGCCGCTGTTGCGGTTTTCGTGATTCTGAAGCCTTACTCCGATATCACGGAGTACAGCGGGAACGCAATTGTCACGTCAACGAACAGCAATCTCGAGGGGATCAAGAACGAGCATCTGTGGCAGAACAAAGGGTACAGTAAAGGCGCCGACGCGGCCCTGCATAAAAAATGCGCGGGACAATCCGGGAACTTGACCAAATTGTCAAAATTGTGCAAAGAAGCCTTGGCGGCGAGGCGCGACGGGGTGAAGAGGAGGGCGAGGGCGAGACGGGATGACGATAGAAGAGCGGGGAACAGTAATGCTGATATCACCCCGCCCGCAAGTGGGAGAAAGTACTCCAATACGATTTCTCCGAGTCCAAGACAGCCGAATTCCCGATCCGTCTCCAAGAGTCCACGGCCGACAAAGCCGGGTGCGAGCACGAGACAACCGGTGTTGCAGGGTTACGCATCCGGTACAACAACTTCGCCCAGGTTTCCCGGAGCGGACGATGCTGAAACCACGTGCGACCTACCTCTCCAACCACCACTCCAAGGGATTCTGAAGCACACGACTAATACGTCAGGTACAGCTAGGGACAACCAGCCGACCCCGGAAGCTACCGATGAGGAAGATGATTACGGCGGGATGACTGGGGCCCAGAATAAACGGATGCGACGGGGAAACACCACGACCAAAATCGCTTACCGCGGCACTGAGACGACCATTCCCTTTTCCCAGCGGGAGGATGTGACGGGGGTCAGGGAGAAGGTGATTGTCGGCAGCCGAAAGCCAACCGCCAGCCCGAGACCAATGAGCCAAGTGGGCGCACCGGTTCCGCACGGGTTGAAGCCGAGCCCGCGACCTCCAGGAGGGAACAATACCAGTCGGAACGTCACGCCTAGGTTGGAACCGGGGTCGGCGCGAAATGCGGGATCGGGGAGTGCCCAGCCAGCTTGGATGAACAGCGGGACGAATAAGCAAATCACGCCAAGATTGAACCAGCGGCAGGGCACGGCGTTTGCGGAGGGGAGTCACCTGTCGCCGGATGTTGACGATCAACGAGAAGGTGATGTCTCTGCGGGAAGCCAGGGCGAGGAGGACGATGATGAAGCGGACTTTTCCATCCCCGACGAGTACAATTATGTTGTTGTGACAGAAGATAACAACTATGTTAACGACGAGGAAGATTGCTCCTGGTCCTGCAGCTACGACTCCTGTGGTGATCAACAAGAACAACAACATCCCTCGCGATCTCACTCCAAAACGTCCTACTCAGCGAATTCCTATTCCTTCCAAACGGCGCTTGGTGAGAGCAAAAGCGTTAGTGCAGCTGAACAGGAGAAGTTGCAGTCCCGGTCCGGTTCCGGCACAGCAAATGACGAAGACCAAGTTGCCTCTATCAACGAGCTCTATCTCGAGGAGGGCGCCCATGCCGCCGTCGACACGGACAACCCGCTGAACAAAAAGCCCAAAGAAGGAAAGAAGGATATGGGGTTCTCAAACGTTACATTCTCAAGCGTTACATGAATTTGTAATGCAAGAATGGCAAAAGGAAAAGAAAAGTGAAAGGGGAAAGCGTGCGCCTTTTGGTTTTGCATTACAGGTTTGGCACGGAGTCCAATGCTATTTAGCGCGTCAAGACCTTGCCATGCGAGGCAGCTTGATGATGTAGATACTGACGAGAATCGAATAGCTTCGCCCGCTCGGCGTGACAACGCAAACTTGCGCTAGAATGGGTAGTAGGGTTAGTGGGGGTGGTGGGTGAGGAAGCAAGGAAGGCGGCTCACTCCTGGGGGGAGGGAGACCGGCCCCAACCTCCCGTCCTGTAGGAACGCGCAGCCGCTTGCGCGAACTTTTTTCGCAGAGGCGCAGTGGTACTCGGTAGGGAACACACGCGAAGCCTTCGTTGGGGGATGGCGCCGCAGTTTCCCGGGCGCGGGGAAGACCGCCGGAAGCCCCCCCCCCTGTTTGCGCGATTCTGTCCCTGCGTACGTATTGAGGGTCCGACTTCTTACTTTTCCTGCGTACACATCAGAACCACCCAGACAGTAGAGGTCGCTTCTGCAGCAATGAAGGAACTAAAGTCGCCCTCTCCTGCTGCCACGAAGAAACTTTTTAGCCCTCTATTGCGCAATACCCCGCGCAGGATAGACGATGGCGATGATGATGATGATGATGATAAGACGATGATAAAAAAGCAAATGATCGATTAGAAAAGAAGATACGCATCCAAGGCTTTTAGAAGTTCAAGTCGCGCGGCCGGCCACGCAGTCATGCTGGCTAGCCGGCATGCGAGATCTGCAGTAGGCCAGGCCCAGGAGCAGGAAACGATGATCAAAAAGCTACGCCGGGCACGTATGCCACAGGCGAGGGCGCGGGCAGGTTGCTTCGTCCTCGCGCTGGCGAATCCGTAGGGGCCTTGCTGCGGTTCATACTTACAATCGCCCCACCCTCTCATATCCACGCTTCATCTCCGAACAGCGACGGTCTAGCTTTTGCTTTTCTTTTTACCACTGCAACCATTTACATTCATTTAGAGAAAGCCTAGCTTTTACCCATTGCTATACTAAGCTCTGTCGTTGTGTTGTTGGCGCCATCGCTCCTTTTAGTAAGTCTCCATCATTGGCGCGCCGTCTTCTCCTGCAAGTGCAGCCGCGCATCTAGTAGAAGAAGCCTTATTTGAAACATTCTCCACTCCGCAACCAATGTCGAAGCCTGATTTCCCAAATCACCCGGATGAGAAGGGGCGGAAGGTGGATTTAATTCGGGGCGCCATGTACCACCGGCGCACGGGTTCGGAGAGAGAGGGGCGCGCCGACGGCGCAAACCGTGCGGAATACATCTGGGTCGGGGACTCGAAGGCCGCTAGCGGCCACGTTGTTTGCTGGTTCTCCACGTCGCAGGAACCAAAGGGACAAAAGGGGCCCGGCAGTGCTATGCTTGCGGGCGAAGATTGGTGGCTGATATCATGGCGCCCGGGGAAGTACATCATGGACCTGGACTGCCGAGCCTCGGAGAATTTTATAGACGTGGCGGATCGCGCTTTCCGCGAGTTGCGGCCTGGCGCGACTCTGCGGCCGAACTATTTCAGAAATATCTAAGGACAGGGCGCCGAGCTAGAGGCTGTAGACGAGAGCGAGTTTTTGGGAAGTCTCCGCGGCTAGGTTGTCACGCTGTTTCTGTGTTTTCAATTTCAAGACCCAAACCCCAACGCTGATTTTCGATTGCAGTACATTTGTCAAGCGGCACGCTAGCAGCCCCGTGCGCGTGGCCCTCTTGCGCATGTTGAGGAAACGCCGCGCGCATCGAAAGAATGTTTTTCCCTGTGCCTGGAGCTCGAGCGTGTGTGGCGCCACTGTTGTGCACGTGGTGTCATTAGAACGAAGTGGACGCGTTGGCGTCTGTAGCCAATGTTGCCTCCTACGTAGGAAGCTGCTTGTCGATGGGTAGTTGAAATGTGGCGCCTCGATCGGTCTACTTTCGTCTTCCGCTCGGCTTCTTCTTTGCGTTAGGGCGCTGCCACGCGCCACTTGTCGGTCCCTCGGTCGTCGCTTGCGCGGAAAAAAGTCAGGCCGTTCGTGTTTTGGAAGCTGAAAAACAAAAATGAAGCACGGCCCCCGCCTCGCCTTTGAGGAAATGGCGCACGGTGCAGCTTGCTCTTCGCCGCTATCTTCTCGGATAGGAATGAAGGCGATGATGATGAAGATGATGACTGAAGAGTCGCGGCTATCTCATGAATGATGACGATGATGGTGATTATTATCCCCGCCCCACGTACATGATGACCATGATGATCAATATGATGACGATGGTGATGAAGTGCGGGGGGCCCTCGCCCCCCGGCCGCGCCCCCCCCGCCCATTCGATATGATGACGGTGATGCGTCGCGATTTTCAGTGCAGAGTATGACTCTAAGACTGCGATGAAGATTTCAAGATTGAAATAGTGACGGTATGAAAGTGTTTATAATTTTTCCATGATGGAGATTATGGATGAGATTGAGACGAAGGCTCTGAGATCGAGATAAGTGCGGGGGGCCCTCGCCCCCCCCCGCACCCCCCCCGCCCATTCGATATGATGATGGTGATGCATTGCGATTTTCAGTGCAGAGCATGACTTTAAGACTGCGACGAAGATAGTGACGGTATGAAAGTGTTTATAATTTTTTCAAGATGGAGATTATGGATGAGATTGAGACGAAGGCTCTGAGATCGAGATAAGTGCGGGGGGCCCTCGCCCCCCCCCCGCACCCCCCCCGCCCATTCGATATGATGATGGTGATGCATTGCGATTTTCAGTGCGAAGTAGGATTTTAAGACTGCGATGAAGATTTTAAGATTGGAATAGTGGTGGTTTGAAAGTGTTTATAATTTTTCCACGATGGAGATTATGAATGAGATGGAGGCGAAGACTCTGCGATCGAGATAAGTGCGGGGGGCCCTCGCCCCCCCCCCCCCCCCCCCCCCCGCCCATTCGATATGATGATGGTGATGCATTGCGATTTTCAGTGCAGAGCATGACTTTAAGACTGCGATGAAGATTTTACGATTGGAATAGTGATGGTATGAGTGTGTGTATAATTTTTCCAAGATGGAGATTATGAATGGGATTTAGATGAAGGCTCTGCGATCGAGATATTGTGTCTGAGATCGAAGATTATGACTTTCGAAAAGGGCTTACGACTTTAAGATCGCGATAAGGATTCGGAGATCGAGATGATGGATTATGATTTTCTAAATGAGATTATGACTTGAAGATCGAGATAGTGGCTCGGTGAGTGAGATGATGATTGTAAGATTGATGATTCTCAGATCAAGATTGAATTTTGTGAACTCTGTGAATTCTGTGAATTTTGTGAACTCTCGCGAACTATGTATGATGTGTGATGAAGAAGAACTCAAAAGGTTTAGTGAACTCAAAAGGTGCACTGAACACAAAAGATGCACTGAACTCAAAAGGTGCACTGAACTCAAAAGGTGCATTGAATTCAAGAGATGCGCTGAACTCTTTTGAATTTTTGTTAAAGTTGTAGATATGACTATCAATGAGAATTTTGCATGGCAAAAAAAAACAAGTTAGTAACAGTTGAGAATGTAACGCTTGAAATTTCCATAAAGGAGAAACCCCCCAACCTCCGGGTGTCCGAAGATGGGAACAAGTTCAAATTCAACGGGGAGAAAACTTTATCCCTAGACGACACCTTCCCCAACCCGACGTTTTTAAAAGTGATGCGCACCCGCAACATTTCGGAAAAGGACCCGCATTCCCGCTTCCCAGGGATGCAGCCGAATTTCTTGCAAAACGCGAGCCGGACGACACAGAAACTGTACCAGAACATGCCTTTGTCCACCGCCCCGCCGGGGAGAAAGCGCTTGACGGTCGAAGACGTCGAGCCGAAGAAGCAGGATGACTCGAAGAAGCTCCCCTCGAACCAAGTCGCGATCAAGCAGTACACAATTCATAGGGGGGGAGGGATGTTAAACGAGGAGGACGACGATGAGCTGAAGACGAAAAACGGCAGCAAAGCCACGCGGATGCAGTTGAAAGGAACGGAGGCGTCTCCGCGTGATCCTTTTGTCGACTACGGAATGCAAAATAAGTCCCGTAGCCGTACACGACGAACAAAATGCATCACAAATTTCGCCAACAGACACTGCAACACTTGTCATGCTGACTAGGAATTGAAGGCGAGTTTTGTCATGCAGCAAGAGCATGCAACCAACATCTTCCACAACTGTTGTACATAACTTCATCGTGTGCGGGAAATTTCCTGTTCATATCGACGGCACGGAAATAACCCCCAGATCCGTCGCGGCAATTGGTGCTGATGACTTCACGAACAACCTGGAGTATTTCGAGAAACTCGCGCCGTTTGAGATTTTGGAGACGAATTTGGTGCCGAAAAAGTTCCCGATGATGAAATGCTTCCGGATTCTCCACATTTCCCTACCGGCTTTTCCGAGGGAAAGCAGGGACGACATCTTCGATAGTAGCAACGATCCGAGTTCCGACAGCAACGAGTCGGACTCCGCGTTGTTAGGCGATTTACGGCAAAGAAGGAACAAAGACAGCCTTCCCGGCGATGACAGGGCGCGGAAAAGGGCGCAGAAGCAGAAAAATAAATCCTCCACCGCGAAAAGGAAGGAAAAGGAGCAGAAATTGCTGACCGAAGTGTCGAAACTACTTTTGGAAGAGGTCGTGGAGACTGAAGCGGAGGCGGAGGAAAGGTTACGAGCGGGGTTTCGGGACACGCTGTGGTACGCTCTGCACTTCTATCACAGGGAAAAGTGTTTTAACGTTAGCGGAATTTGTGATGCAGTATATGCATCACATAAGGTGCCCAAATTTGTCATGCATAGCATGCATATTAGGCAAAAACTGGCACACGTGACTGCATTCTGTGAAAACCGTTAACGTTATCACTTTTTTGCTTGATAACTTCGGACACAGCACGGAAGTGACGTATTACCAAAAACAGATGGCGGAGGAATTGGAGTACGAGAAGAGGAGACAAAACCCAGACGCGGAACAAGACGAAGACGGGCAAACAGATCCATCAAAACAGCACGAAAAGCAAGCGCGCGGCCAGCCCCGGCACATGAAGCTGGCGTATCCAGCGATAGGCTGCGGGTCTCTGAACTACCCGCCGAACCTTGCGGCGGGGCACGCGTTCGGCGGGTGGATGGAAGTGATGCGGATTTTGAAGGGGTCACTGTATCCGACGTTGGTGACCATCGAGATCCGGTTTGGCGGGGATATTCGGACCTTCAACGCGTGGAAAGAAGTGTCGGATGCGTTTTTGAGAAGAAACGTGAAGGACGAGCACGGTCGGAAGGTGAAGCAGATGCAGGCGAAAATTGACGGTCGAATGGAGGAAAACGTGAAGTGTTGCGGGCTGTTTGCGGAAAGGAAGCATTATCGACCATAGGAAGGTGTGGTGATGAAGACGAGAGCACTATCGATGTCCCTGTTGGACCCACTGGTGCCGACCATTGTCATCAGGAACCAAATAGAAAAACGCTATATTAAATAAATGTTGATGTTTCTGTTTCCGGCGTTTCCCAGAAAATGATTGCGATGCGACCAACGACCAAGGTGAACGACTTTGGCACCATAATTTCTAAATTGGTATACGTGAAACTCGAGCTGACTCCTTGCAAGAAAGAAATCAACGTCCTGCTGGTGTTCCGCGCTGCATTGCAATCTAAATCTCTACGCTCATATTTACATAAACTGCTCTTGTAAACGAGGGACCAATCATTCTGTCAGCATCGGTTTTTGCCATCGTCCGGCTTTTGGTCCGACGATGAACATGAAAATAAAGATAAACTCCTCTCTAATTATCTCAGTCGGTTTGTTAGCGCAGAGGACGTCGAAGCCTCCTCGGTCATAATTTCCGTTGCATCAACTACATCGACATCTTCTTCAAAGAAAAGCTATCATGGTCGGTCATCTGTGGATGCTGTTGCTGATAATAGAAATGGCTCCTTCGTGGTTCATTCTCCTATCGGTCAACATCCACCTAGAACGCTCATCGAGCAACTTGGAAAATCGGCATCCACTTTCAATAAACAGAGCTCGCTGGTTGTAAGTAGTTCACGCGATTCTCACACAGCTCGTTCCCGCTTTATTGCGTCTTCTATTTTTTATACTAGATTCTGTTGCTCCTGGTAGCGCTTCCAGCATCCATTTGATACACACATTTATTTTTCTGTTTTGAAAAGAGAAGTCGATCAGTACAACTTGATACAAGTTCGTCCAATATTTTTCCAAAATGCACCGCAACATCAACCACCACCACCGCACTTCCAAAAACGCGGAAGAGGCGAAAAAACAGCCCACCGGTGAAGGCGAGTCGATGGAAGAGCGGCTCCAGTTCACGGATAAGAATGGTAACACGAAATACGTCGGCCACGAGGCTCGCACCGCGAAACCGAAGATCTTAGCGGACCCGTACGGCTTCGCGGGCATCGCGATCGGTAAGCCGCCCCCGGGGGGCAAGGGGTTTACCGGGTACGGAGGCTCGGGCGGCGGGTATTTCGGGAGCGGAAAGAAGATGCAGAAAATTGTTATCGGAGTGGTTGTAGGGTGCGCTCTGGTATACTCCTACACGTCTTACTGCGGGTCCTTCGGCTGGTGGGGAAAACCGTGGTATTGTGATCTGGTGTAAGTAGGATCAGATGATGGAGTAGACGCAAATCTTGTGTTTTTCTGAGTTTTTTTTAGTTTTACAGCATTACCATTCTCTCCTTGCACAGTTCGCTGTCATCTTATTCATATTCTCGAGGACTAGTATTCTATTTCGAAAAGTATAGCTGCAGCGCCAGACGTTCGCGTCTAAGTTGTCGTTATCGCTTTACTTACCCACAGATCTTCGTGACTAAATTTTGTCATCATGGACGCACATCCACGGCGTCGTCGTCGAACTACCATGAACGCAAATTTATTTACTGGCAAAAACTAAAATAAAACAGCCTGATGCCATTTTCCTACACTCTGGTAGTACCTACAAAGATAAAGAAACGGTTATCTTCCTATTGTGGCGCTTTGGTGCCATTGTTCTTGGTTTGGGGAAGGTGATGCTTGCTCGACGTCGAAGAAGAAGATGCAGTCTTATTAGGTTGCTCGACAACACTCAAGGGGCTGTCGTCTTTAGGGGGAGTTTGTTCATCCTTCTTCGTCATTTGAGTGAAGTATTTGAGTAGATGAAGAAGGACGAAAAATTTATTGTCTTTCGTTGAACAAGTCCTTCACCTTCATTTTTCTGTTTGTCGTCATCGCAACTAGTACTGGGCCTTGTAGAGTACTGCGTAACGTCGGGGCTCGATCTTTCTTCAAGTCGTAGCTCGATTTCGGTCTAGTACATCGATAGCGAAAGATCCAGCAAGACGACGATCTCGGGCTCGTTCGTGATCGCTGTCGTGATCAACATCGTGGGAATGAACAACTTCGATTCATCGTGTGATGGCGTGATGTAGTCCCTCGTCGTACAGGTGGTTTTATTTCGCTTGCTTCCGCCTCGTCGATGATCATAAGGCTTCAGAGCATTTATTTTCATTGATAGGATAGTTATTTTGTAAAAGCAGTAGCTCCTGGTGAGCTGCCCCATGAGGAGCGCCATGCCTCGTAGAAGACAGAAAATCCTGTTGCGTAGATGAAGCCAAATCTCCTGTTGTAAGTACCTCCTTTGCAGCAGCAGCACCACTGAGACAGGAAAGAACCACAAAATGGCCTTCAATAACGCCCCCACACCCGCGGTTTTCCCATGGATGCCAGAGCGGTATCACAAGAAAAAGTGTTAACGTTAACGGAATTTGTTATGCTGTGATGCATCAGAAATGGTGCGCAAATTTGTATTGCGTAGCATGCATGGAAGACGAAATTTGTAGTGCATGACTGCAATCTATGAAAACCGTTAATGTTAACGCTTTTTTGTTTGATAAGCGGGGCAAGGTCTCCATGATCGCCACACCGATAATGTACGCACTGCAAATATGTCTGGGTCTGGAAGGTTGCAACTTGTGATGCTATCTCTGGATTCTGAAAAAAATTTGTATTGCATGACCAGCAAGACGAGGAGTCCTCGGAGTCCAGTTTGCTCTACGCGGAGAGGCCATTTCTCATGCGGAGTAGGCATCAGGAAACCGTCTAAAAATCTGTGAAGATGCTACGTCATGCATTACAGGCGTTATGGGTCATGGAAAATCTGCATGACAAGTCCAGACCCCGACATGTTTGCATTTGATACTATGACCGCGGGGACGAAACGAAACCCAAGTAAGAAATGGTGGAAGAGAAATCCAAAAATGATCCGGCAATCCATCTTCCTCCTGGACCCGCTACGACGGCCGAACTTCGAGGAGGTCCACGCGTTTCAGTGGATCGGAATGAAACCGAATGAGAATTTGCCGATAGGGATGAGGAATTACTTCGCGCGGCCACGGGTGCAAACCCCGGGAGACAGGCCGAAGCAGATACGATCATTCGGAATTTGGGGAGGGTTTGGGAAGGACTTCAGGTAAGGTAGGATGATTCGTTTGGTAGGGTTGCATTTTGGTTTTCTGTTTATGGAGACCGTAAAATGAAGGTTTTTTTTGCATCAGCACCAAGTAATATGAAGAAGTTGTCACTCGGCAAGAAAAGTTGCTGGTGACACAACATCCAAACTCTTGCCGCAAGAAAGAAGGAGCGGCAGCAGCTCCCGCTGACAATATGAACTTCCTCAGGAGAAAACAACAATGTACATCGGTCAGCCGAGTTTTGCTGGATTTCAATCCGCAAATAAAGTAAGGAGGATCTTCAGGACAGATAGAAGGAATCCTCGTAAAATAGAAGCCCGTCTACTTCTCCGTCGTGTTGATCATCTGCAGGACCCCTTGCCCTACCTGAATGACAATGAGGAACTTCTATATCATGAGAAGTTTGACCCTTGAAGAATAAACATCAACTCATCGGACTTAGAATTCTCTCCTCCTCCACAAAACAGCGAAGTGAAACCGGAAACACCACTCTCCCCACGGCTCCTCGTATCCAAGGAAGAAAGTGTTACAGTTACACATTTGATGTTGGAATTTCAGCATCACAAATTTGCTCTGCATGGCGAAGAAAACATGTAATGCGCAGACTACAAGGGAAAACACGAGTGGAATGAGGCTGGCACGCGTTTCTTGCATGACAGAGGTTGTCTGTCTTGCTTGTCTTGCATGAGAGTGTGTAACTGAAGCACTTTTTTCTCACGATACCTCGAGCGCGAAGCGAACTGGGACGTACGGCACCACGCGGTCGTGAAGAACGAGGGATTTCTATCCTTTGTAAAAACATTCCCAACGCATAGTAAAGTTACTAGTTGGTAAATCTGCAAGACAAATCTCTAAGCTAAGGGAGTTGCGCATGACAAGTTTCCGTCTGCAGTGTAGTGCTGGTTAACAAAGGCAGCGGCATAAGAAAGCCACTTTCTGATCCTATTTAGCGCAATACAAATGTTGCCAAAACACGATCATTGGAAATGCCTGTCATCATGATGCAGAGGCGCATTACAAACGTTGCTGTCATTGCGCATTTGCATGACAACTCTGGGTTGGGCACGTTTTTGCTCAGGATAATTTCACCAGTTCGAACGCAGTTACTTCGGTCGAATCCGGGACTTTGACCATGGCTTCGACCCCGATGAACCAGTATCGACGCTCTTGCAGGATGAAATGCGATACGACCTGGACCAAGCCTTGCTCGCTCTCGAAAACCGAGCGGACAACCGGCTGAACAGAGGCACGGGGAATTCTCGGTCGATGAACCAACTCGCTTTGGCAGATCAGGAACATCAAAATAACTCTGCGACAGTGGACGATAGTGCGAAAGAAGCTGTGGAGAAGATTTTGTTGGTAAACAACGCAGAAAACAACGAGATGAACAAGTCCTCCAGTTCTTCTCTAGCAAAAAACATCAAAACCCTCCAGCAAGAGAAGGAGGAACTCGATCGGCAAGAGTCGGAGGCGCGGCAGGAACGGCTGAAGAAGGATTTTAAGATGCCCGTGAAGGAGAGGAGAAAGTTGGAAGCGATGGAAAAGGACTACCAGAAGCAGCTGCTGAAAACGAATTTAGCGAAGATCAAAGTCGGGTTTGAGAAGGAAAAGCGAAACTGGAAACCGCCGAAGGGGGGATTGGATTTACACTTGGAGCTGTTGGAAAAACACGGATATCCTGTGCAAAAGTATCGTACTCGTACAAAGACAAATGCAAGTCTTGCATTACATACAAATCTTATTATTTCCAAGGCAAATCTGCATTACAAATTTTATTTCTCATGCTGAGGACGAAATTTGTAATGCATTTATACGAATACGATACTTTTGCAATGCATAACGGAGGCGCGATGCTTGGCGGCACCAGGTACGGTGGCAGGGGCGGGAAGGGATCCAACCTCCACTTCATGCTGGATGTATCCGGTGCAAAAGTATCGTACTCGTATTGCAATCATGCATTACAAATTTTTTTCTCAAGGCAAAACAGCATTACAAATTTTATTTCTCATGCTGAGGGAATTTGTCATGCATTTATACGAATACGATACTTTTGCAGTTCATAGGATGACCCGTTAGGCGATACGACGAGTCTCGACATGGGAGCCAACGCGAAGAGGGCGATGCTTGCGAAAAACAACGGGTTGAGTACGACAAAACGTAGGAGCGGATCGCTCAGTGGAACGAGGAACAAGCGGTATATCTCGCGTTTTGTCATGCAGATTAGGCATAATGAGATTGTGATTATCATGTCAACATTGCAAAATGTTTCTTGTTTTAGCCTGTAATCATGTTGTGTTTATTTTAACCACTCTACATCTACAGAGCCATCCTTTCCCCGCGCAGCGCAAACGGCGCGCCACAGCTCCAGAATGTGCCGGCGGTGGCAAGACTGTCCTACCAGCGCCAACCGTCCTCTCCACGGACTATCCAGAGATTGGAGGACCGGCCCGGCTGGGACAACAATTTCCAAGTATGCATTGCAAATATGTCTGGGTCCGGAAGATCCCAAGACTTGTAATGCTGAACGCGGTATACTCGTGAATCCTGTAATGCATGGCGCGGAATAGCACTGCGTCCCTCTGATGCAACACGCACTACAGGAGCGCTAAAATTAAAACTTGTCATGCGTGGCTTCGTATGTGCATTCAGTTTGTCATTCATGTATTAGCATGAGAAGTTTCCAGACCAACCAGACATGTTTGCATTTGATACCAAGTGCTGCTCGACAACGAGAAAGCTGCGGCTGGGAACCGAAACTACTTCGATCGGAAAGTGGAGAAAAAATCCAACTACGTGGAGAGCAGATACGCATTGCAAAAGGATCGCCACTGTAGTAGAAATTGCATGACAAGTTTGAGTGGCAAGAAGAAAAATAGGATTTGTGATGCTGATTCATGTTGCCAAAGAGGTTTCTCATGCGTGATTGCAATGAACAATTCCTACAACTGCGATCCTTTTGCAGATGATAGCAGGAATTTCGCGCGGATTTCCGATCGACCGGTCGTCACAGGAGTGCTCGGCGTCAGTGTGGATTTGGACATATGAAGAAGATGATGACTTCTCGCTCTTCACCGTGGAGGTCATGACCTGTTCTTGTACAACTGCAAGATTTGTTACCTGTAGACCTTCTTTCGATATCACTGTACAATTTTTCGACAACTCTTATCACTACACATCAAACCGAAACAAATAGCACAAAGGCGAACGCTATCAAACTGATCACCTACTTGAAAGAAACATACGTGCTGACTTTGATTTTTGCACTCGTTTTCTACTTCGAATTTCCTGTACAGGGCTTGAAAATTGCATATTTTTCGCCGTATTCTTGTACAAAATTGAAATTGATGTGTGATGCAGCAGCTACAACCATCCCTAAGTACCCTTTTTACACTTCTGCCCTGTACATATATCAACCACCTTCTTCGCCGCACGGTAAAGAACCCTTGCCGTACTCGCCTCTGAATTTTCACTGTACATTGGTCTCTGTATGTTTTGCGTTGCCCTTGACCTAGCGGAGTTGTAGTACAACCACGTAACGTAAACTCACCTGAATCTGCTCACATCACTGGTGTTGGAGAACAAAATGTAGTATACCTACATGTATAAAATGTTTCAAGATCCTTATACGTGCTCAGAATAAGCGCTAGTGTGCGTGTGGGCATCACGTTTATTTTCGGGAGAGATTCAGTAGATCGTCGTCTCTTACGCGGCTCACTTCTACCTTGCTTAATCGTCTTCGAGCTCGATCTTCGTATGAAAATATCGCGAAAATGTTGACTATTACTCGAGCTTGTGGGTTAGTCAAGATCCAATTCACCCTGCGTGGGTACCGGGGAAGTCCTTAAAATGAAAGTCGCATGGCACTACATCAAAAACTTCATGGAGGTCGTCCTTTGCTTGTACTCGTTATCGTGATCATGGGGTAAAATTTGCTTATCGTGCTGCAGTCTCTATTCTAGATCTAGAAAAAGTTCAAGTTGTCGCATCAACTACGAAGTCTTTTAAGAGTACCTGTTGCTCCAAAAGAAAAAATTAAGAACTTCATCTCCCGGTAAAGATTTCTCGTATGTGGGGGGACCACCTGGTGTTGAATCCACTACAATTTCTTTTTGGAAATCATTCTCCGGAACAAAGCTGCAGTTTTTTATTTCAAGGGGAGACAGAAGGACACCAGCGAGTGCGACGGGGGGTGTCCGTTTTCCTGGCACGAAGCAAAGGACCACTGTGCCTGTTCTACCTGCAAGTTAATACTCCTGCCGCGGTATTTCCTTTTGAAGACGTAAGTCAAAGAATTAGAATCTTAATTTGCAAAATCTAAATCACCCAGCACAAAAAAAATGTCGACCTTTGACTACTATGCCCGCATGAATGGGCCGGCAACCCGGAACATGATATGGGTATTACAATGAAAAATGCCCCCACCCCGGAAGTTGCACGAGTTTCCCATGCAAAGTTTCCAAGTGAATGCTTTTTGTCTTGCATGAAAGGACTGCGAGCCACCTTTCTGATGCAGTATTAAGGTGCGCAAGGTACGTTCTGCAAAACAGATCCGGCTGTTGTTGGGCTCCTTTGCAACACAGACTTGAGCTATTCAGCATGGAAGATTTGTGATGCCGATATATACAAGACGGGGAATGTTTTTATTGGAAAGGTTGGCAATACAAATGTTGCCAAATCTTGGTGTGGGGACAGTTTTCTTTGTAATAATGGGCCGAGGTAGTACACATGGAGACGAAGGACCACCTATGCACTCTGCAAAAGTATCTTACTCATATTCAGTTACTAAAATCGCTGTCATGCATCTTCACAGATTTGCTTTGCTTTCTTCATTACTTACTTGGCTATGCATGACAAACTCGAAATGCGAAGATTTCTACGCGTAAACGAAATTCGTCATGCGAATATTTCTACGCGTACGACTACGATGCTTTTGCAATTGCATACCACCTGTACCACTGCAACAACTCGAAACTGGATATGGCACTCTCAACTGTTACATTCTCAACTGTTACACGAATTTGTGATGCAAGAATGGCAATAGTCAAAGGGGCAAGCTTGCTGCTTTCGCATCACAGATGTGGCTCAGATTTAGATGGTGTTTAGCCTCTCGGAGATTTGTCATGCGAAGCAGCTTGACCATCTGGCGTTTTAAAGTAGTCTTGCATGACAAATTCATGTAACAGCTGAGAATGTAACGTTTGAGAGCTCCATATTGGATGACTTTCAATCGATCGAGGGCTGCGAAGTAGGCGTGAAGGATTTCTACAAGCCGACCCTAGCGTGGATAAAAAACAAGTACTTGATCTTACATCTTTCTACCACTAACTCACGTCGAACTGCATATTACTGTACGTTGTTCCGCATGAAGATCATGAGTGCGACGTTCTACACGCGACACGACCCTGCTCGTCGCCTAATTAGCAATATGCTGTAGCTGTTTCTTCATTGCAATAATAATACACAAAATGAAACTATCCAAAGGTATTACCAGGCTGCGGGCCAACCAACCGAGATGGTGAAGATGGCGAGGGTGAACAGTTACGATGGAAAGGACCGAGTTTTGTTTGTCATGCATTTTCATCATCATCTCAAAGCCAAAGCCTCCATACATTTGCCATGCCCTGGCAGCTGCACCATCGTGGCCTGAACAGTGCCAAAGCTCCCGATCATGCAGGAGCAGCAGCAAGAGAAAATATGCACACAACAAACCTCCTTTTCATCTTGTCCATAAAAAAATAAATCCCTTCAAGCAACTCGCAGAGGCGCAATCATCTCAAGCAAGAACGGCAGCACAGGCACCTGGTGCGATGAAGCACAGCAGCAGTGCAGTGAACCTGTATAGTCCTTCTATGCTGATATTGTTTGTATTTGTGATCTTGATGATCTTGTTCTGCATGATTGAGACCCGATTTTTGTCTTGTAAATGATAAAGTCAGTCTGATGTTGTCCATGACAAACAGAATTCACTATGACCACAAAAAGAATTCGCTACAAATACAATCAAGAAAAACATCAAAAAACAGCGGTACGCCGATGCCATCTGCGAGAAGTGCCAGAAGTAACGCCTATCCTACGTAAAATCATCACACCAAAAAAACGCAACGTGTCGCTGTCGACACGGTCATGCGCATAGGAGTAAGCCAAAGTCTGCTCCATTCTTTGTACGGTAATGGATGCTGTGTGTACTTACTTAACTTCTACAGAGCAAGCGCGAAAATAAATCAACGGTGTTGGTGGTTTTCCATAGGATACCGCCTCAAGAAGCGCGAGAAGCGGTGCTAGTAGCGCACGGATTATGGCGCGAACAGAGTCGGTGCCGACCCTGAAAATGCCGATCAAGGGAAAGTGAGAGTGACGATGGAATAGTAAACTGGTTTGACTGTGTATGTACAAAATTTCTCCAGATCTTACTTTACGTGTGCTGGACAACAATATCGCCAAATTGTGAGGAAGATGAACTTCACCAACAAACTCAAAAAATGATTTCGATCACGATTTCATTCGCCCATTTACATTTCCACTTTTACAAAATTTCAAACGCACGTAATCTTTGAACTACTAAAACTGTCAATTACACTTGCGCATCAAAAGTACTGTCTGAGGCAGTAACTCTAGTGCTATGATTCACCTTACACTTACAACATCACGCGCCTGCTTCTACAGCCCTGTAATGGAGGGCGGGTTGTGCTAGTTGTTGACAAGAAGAACTAAACACTTTCCACTGCATGCAAATGTTGGACTTGATGGTACAAATGCGGTTGAAGTTGATGCCCTCTCCTCTTGTAAACTAAGGCATCAGCATGATTGATCTAAAAACAAAAAAAATTGTCCCTGACGGTAGTGGTTCGCCTTTGTAGGATTGGCAGAAATGCGATGAGACGAAGATCATGATGATCAAAGTGGTTCATGCTGGCTGTCGCGAATACTACAAATTGTCTTGATCATTCGCCTATCGGATTCGAAAAGTCGGCGCAACATCAAGAAAGCCGAAATCAATACAGTCGGAAACATCAAACCTCTTGAAAATAGTTCTCGACGATTTGTCACAAGCTGTACTATCTATTCGTTGTTGAAACAAATGACCAAAAACCTCACTCCAGCCGCGCGAGTGACAAGTTGTTACTGCGAAGCATCATCTTCAATGTATAATCACGCGAAACAAATTTGTAACGAAAAACCTCACTCCAGCCGCGCGAGTGACAAGTTGTTACTGCGAAGCATCATCTTCAATGTATAATCACGCGAAACAAATTTGTAACGCTATACAAATTCAACGACTCCGAAAGTAGAGGCAAATGTAAGAAAAAAAAACTGCAAGTCACCAAGTGCAAGTAGTATTAAATTCAAAAACAAACCGCCTTGTTGTGTTTTCTTACTGTTATCAGTTCACAATAAGTCGTGTAGGATAGGAAACAGTGCATTCGAGTACAGCTACAGATTTGTAATTTCTATTTGAGAGTATTTGTTTTTGTGTTTTACTGCGTTTTTTCCTATTCCAAAATGGTGCAGCAACATCTCGCTCTGCGTGGACTCCGCGCTTTCGCGTATGCAACAGCGTTGCTGTTTGGTAATGTCAATGTGATGTTTTTCCGGGTGGATAATTATGGGGATCACCTTCATCACGCTGGGTTTCTTGTACGCGCAGCTCCTGCGTCGTCTGGAGGACTTCTCACTCGGCTTTTCGGAAATGGATCTCGTCGTCCCAGTCTTTTCAGCCGGCGTGGGGGCCACGACGTCAATGCTCGTCATTTTTCAGGAAGAGCAGCTACCACTGCTGCAAGAACTTCTAGTTCAGCAGGCGTCGTGGCTACACGGGGACCAGCGCCACTAGCCAACGACGGCACTGGAACTTCTACCGAAGCTGTTGGACGAGGACCAGCTGGATCTTCTTCTACTCCTGCTCCTTCTCCACCACCGCAGCCGGGCCGGTCGGAGAGGAGGACCGCTTCTCCCGCCGGTGACCAAGACATCGTTCTGGACTTTGATCACCTCGCCCGACGAGCTAAGGAACAACAGGAAGAAGACCGCGTCAGCTCGTTTCGCCCACCGGAGCAGGGAAAAGAACATGGACAAGGAGGTGTTCATTATGATGCGGCATCTGTAACCCCACAAGACAAACGCACACACCGGCTGGCTATCCATAGTGATGAACAAAATCCTGCCGTCACCTCCACCGGGTACCTCAGTTACCTGGAAACGCTCGGACACGTTCTTCTGCCCAGGGCCACCGCCTTTCTGCAACGGGAACTTGCGAAGTACGCCGGTTCTTGTACAGGAACTAGCGGGACGAGGACGAACAACTTGACGAGAAGCGAGCCGGTGTCTTGCGTGGAGCGGCTGCAAATCCCGGGCCAGTGCAGCCAGGCTTGCGGAACTCTTTGCAGAGACGGTGACCGTCGCGACGAGCGTGGGCGGGCCACGAGCACCAGCTGCACGACTCGTGTGTGCCGGGAATGTTGGGGAGACTACATTGCAGACCGGACAGCCTTGCTAGCATACGCGCTAAACATAAGCGAAGCGCTGCGGGTTAGACTCGGAGGGCTGGATGAGATTTACGAAGGGATTACAAAACCGGATGAAAAATATAAGACTGTCAGACTCGAGAAGAAGTTGAACGAAAAGAAGACCACTGACCCACCTAGCGGATCAACTTCGACAGCCTCCGCACCAAGAACCGAAAAAAGTCCCGTCGAAATTTATGGAATCATCAGGATCGAAAGTAGCGCACCAGTTGAAAGAATTTACTGTGCATAAAAAAATGCAAGGTCTGAAGTGCCTGTCTTGCAGGAATGGCAAGTGAGGCTGATTGTGAGCCTAATATTTCAGGTTCGCGATGCAGCTGCTAAAGTGCTTAGCATGACAGAAGCAGTCCTCCTCCTCTGCTCGTCCCAAAAACAGCATAACAGATTCGGTGTCATTGCTGCCAAAATTTGTCGTGCGCCACTTAGATGAAACTGGCGTCCGACTGATATCCATTGTTCCATGCATGGTAGAGTTTTATTTCAACTTGGTCCATTTCGCTTCTGACGCTTCCATAGAAAGCAAAAGCTGCAGGAAATAATGCAAAACTTCCTGGTTACCCAGCAGCCGCGGATCGATTATGTCATGGCGCACATCATATGGATCTGTCAGGATTGAAATCGTCAAAGTTGAAATGATTTGCCATGCATAAAATGCAAGGCATGAATTGCCTGTCTTGCCGGGTTGGCAAGTGAGGCAGATTGTGAGCCTATTTAGGGTTTGGGATAGAGCTGCTAAAGCTGCATGACAAAAGCAGTCTTCTGTGCCCAAACAGCATGACAAATTGGATTCCGGTGCTCCGAAAATTTGTCATGCGCCGCTTGGAAATTGGTCTTCCAACTGGTATCCATTTTATGCATGACAAATCATTTCAACTTTGTCGATTTCAAACCTGACGCTTCCATACATCATTCAGGCACTCTACATTCTGAGCCTAGTGCCGTTGTATCCAATACAAATCGAATATGCCTGGACCATTTCTGGAAGTAGAAATGAAGTGCCCCTATCGTTATGCATCGTTTAGTCCTCACACAAATCCAATCACGTGGAATTATGCGAATACACCAAGCTACAAAGCTGAGCTTTGTGTGGTCTTCCGGAAGTTGTAGATGAACTTAGCATGATCACAGGTTCGCATTTTTCGTCCACTTCTTCCACCAGGCCCAGACATTTAATTTGCAATGCATATGTTGAATGGCAGAAGACCAAGAACCTCTACGAGATCTGCCATAATTCGTGCGGTCCGTCCGGTACCGACGCTGGAAGAGCATATGCACTAGAAAAGCATCGTACTCGTATTGCAATAAAGCAGTACAAATCTTTTTCTTAAGGTAAACCAGCATTACAAATTTTATTTCTCATGCTGAGGAAATGCATTTATACGAGTGCGATACTTTTGCAATGCATAGAGCAACAAGAAGAGCTGTTTCAATCTCTCAACCGTCGGGCCGCGCCGGAAGGCCTTAGGCTCGCCTGGGAACTCTTCACGGATTTGGACGAGATTCCGTATGCCGCTGCTTATTTCTACGACCGGGACTACAGCACAAACAATAGTTCTCCCCCCGGGCAGCTCTCTTCTGGCTCGCTTCGGGGGCCAAGCTTTCAGGCTCATTTGCTGAAACATCAGCATATCAAAAGCGCTGTTTTCGCCTCACGCGGTGCCGGTGTAGCTCCTGGGCAAGAAGAAGGAACAAGCCGGGCACGAAAAATTGCCCAGCTGGTCAATGCCAGGAAGGGCCGGTTGTTCACGCAAGAATCGTTGGAGAAGGCGATTGAAGACGGCGTGGCGGAGGTGGTGAGAAAGGTCAAGAACCTCTTGTAAAAAAAAGAAGTAGTGGTAATACTGTATTACCATTACGAGACCTCCGAGAAGTAGGAGGACGGGTAGCAGTACGAAAGTAAGTAGTGGACTGTTGCTGTATGATAATTTTTCTGCAGAAGAACGAAAGGCAAATGAAAGCTATGCAAATGTAAATGAAAGTGCAGTAGTGAAAGGGCAAAGAACGCGCGTCCCTGCCCTGTTGAACGATATCATTGTATGCCATGCTCCTGGCAACCAGGCAGCAGCATGATCCGCTACAGGGCAGGATGCGCGATGTGAAGCTGCAGTCAGCTCTCAGCCCAAGCTGCAGTCAGCACTCCGCTGAAGCTGCTTCGTATCCAAACACCGTTGTAAGATCAAGCAGCGCGACGCTTGCAGCGAGAAACGCATCGGTATTGCCATCTTCAGGAACAAGGAACAGAGATTGCCGGAGCGACGTTTCACCGCCCCGCCCAAGGGGTCGCACAGGCTCCTCCCGGCTCCAACTTTCACCTCTTGAGATGTTCGTATGGTCCGGCACAGATCAAGGAGACCGAGGGTCGCGCTGCACTCTCGCTCGTTCGTCTCCAATCGATGTTTGAGTGGATGTGGATCAGATGAGAAAAGCCATCAAATAAACTATTCTCGGTGTCTGTGTTTTTTTGGCCGTCAGTTCTTTCAGGAGTATTTTTTTTCGTGTGAAAATGAAACTGCTCCTCCTGCTGCAAGTCTGTAGTTGTCATTTCTTCAAACCTTTGAAAGCAGCCCGTCATGGATCCTGCGTCATTGTGATCATGATGGTGATGCGCTTCTACAACTACTAGCATCATTCATCTACTACTGTTTTTCGAGTTCAGTCTGTCACTATCGAAGCCTCCTTCCAGTAAAAAGAGAAGACTCGGTCTGGCGGTCCTGTTTTTATTGACTTCAACAGTTCTCCTTCGTTCCCTTCGATGTTGGGTCGGTCCAGGGACTGACGGAACTGTATCGGTAGAAGTCGGAGGCTCAGAAACATACTGCTACTAGTTGTCTCAGCATGCTGCAAATTATCCGACGGTGGACTCGCTTTATGAAAAATCTTTCTGACAAGGGGCAATGTTATGGTACGATTGCCTTATCTCGGAATGAATTGTCGCAGTGTCATCAGTCCCCATTGAAGCTCGTTGACAGCACTGCTCCTACGAAGTAAGCGTTCTCATCGTATTTTTAAATAAATGAGACGACCTGTTTGCGATTCTGTAAATTTATTTTGATTTTCGACTTGAAATGCCACCCATGGTCGACGAAACAATCTTCGAGAAAGTGATCGTGATTGACCTGGGTTATGCATTGCAAAAGTATCGTACCTCGTATAAATGCATTACAAATCTTTATCTTCTCAGCATGAGAAATAGAATTTGTAATGCAGGTTTATCGTAAGAAAAGGATTTGTAAATGCATGATTGCAATTACTACGAGTGCGATACTTTTGCACAGGATATGGGTTCGCGGGTAACCAAGGTCGGCCTCGCGGGCGACGACCAACCTTTGTATGTACTTCCGACGGCCGTGGCGCTGAAGCTCGATATTGTTAACTCAGGACAGGAAACCACTGATGCTGATCATGTCGTAGAGCCTGGCCGCGAGGGAGAAAGAAAGGAGGAACCCGACAAAGACACGGCGACTCAAGGTCAAGAAAATGGGAGCGACGAGAGCCCCGAGAGCACGACCACATCAGCTCCGACCTACGAGGCTTTAGCTTTACACCTCTGTAATTCATCCACCGGCCGCGGTGGGTCGTTTTTGGACGTCAATCCATTTGAGTATGATGTGAGCAGTATGAACTGCAAAAGTATCGTACCTACTAGTAGTAATTGCAATACAAATTAGCTCAGCATGACCAATGGAATTTGTCATGCTGTTTGACCTTAGTATCGAGATTTGTAATGCATGACTGCGATTACTGCGAGTACGATATTTTTGCAGTGCATAAACAGTCTGGTCTTTCCGATCGACCCGAAAACCGGCTTAGTTTCGGATACCATAAGGAAAAGTGTATAACGTTGACGGTTTTCACAGATTGCAGTCATGCATCACAAATGGAGCCCAATACGCATGCTATGCATTACAAATTTTGGCATGTTTTGCGATGCATTGCTGCATCACAAATTCCGTTAACGTTAACACTCTTTGCTGTGATATCGGATTGGGAGAAACTAGAGATAATTTTACGAAAAATTCTCTCCAACAGCTGCTGCCCCGAATTCCAGCCCCTGGAGGACTGTGCAGTGCTACTTTTGCAGCCGCCAGTAGAAGGACAAGCAGAGGACGAGACTAGCTGCGCCGAGGAGAACGGATTACCGTCAACACGACCTCCCTTGGAGGATGAAAAGGAAAACGATGGGCGGCAAACAGATGCATCAGCACACGAGAACACCGGCGTTCATCAACACAAGATAACCCGCCTCGTCAGCAGCAAACTTGCCTCTCTGCTCTTCGAAAAGTTCAGCGTCCCTGCTTGTCACGTTGTTCCAACCGCGCCGGCTCTCTCGGCGCTGCCAGCCGGTCGAGGATCCACTGCGCTTGTGGTGAGCAGCGGCTTATGGAAGCGTCAGGACCGAAATCGACAAAGTTGAAACAATTTGTGATGCATAAAAGGGATAACAGTTGGCGCACAGTTTTCAAGTGGCGCATGACAAACTTGGGAAGAACCTAAATCCAGTTTGTCATGCAGTTTGGGTAAGGAAGACACCGTTTGTCATGCTGCTTTAGCAGCTCTATTTGTATTTCTACACCTCAACAGGCTTACAACCTGCCTCCCTTGGCTACTCTGCAAGACAGGCACTTTTTGGGTTGCATTTTATGCATCACAAACTATTTCAACTTTCACGATTTCAATCCTGACGCTTCCATATGGCTTTTCGAAAACCTACGTGGTTCCAGTGATCGACGGGGCTCCGGTGTTGTCCGCGGTCTGTTCTTCTGAAATGGGCGGGAAGGATCTGTCATTGTACCTGGCGAGATTGTTGGAGAAGAACAGACTTGGGATGCTGGCGGACAAGATAGAAAATGTTGACGGCTCCACCGGACCCGGAGGAGCCGGCTCTATGTCTGCTTTCAACGTAAATGTTCATGTTGTTGATGCTGTGGGCGCCGGCGACTCGCCGATGATAAATCCGTGGCACATCGACGTTATCGACGATATTAAGGAAAATTACTGCTTCGTTAGCCCCCACTACGACACATCGGTTTGGCTTACAGGCAGTACGGAAGAGGATCTTTACGAAATGCGGAGAGGAGCGAGTGCTGGTTTGTACAAGAACCAAAATGGAGATGAAATCCTCAGCGGGGAAGTAGGTAGGGCCGATACTGACAACCACAATGCTGAGATGAGTGAGCGTCAAGTTCAAAACAGCAGCCAAATGCCAATGTCTAGCGACGGCTCATTTCTCAGCATCTTGGAGAGAACCCGCTTCCAAGTGCCGGAAGTTTTGTTTAAGCCAGAACTGATAGGAGGAGATAGAAAAGACTCGCTACCGGAACTGATTCTGCGGTCGTTGGACAGTGTAGATGTTCAAAAAGTAGCCACCAAAGAGGGGCTCGAAGAAGAAGAAGGACAAGGAGAAAATCAAGACCAAGACGTCCGCCCCCTGCAGCTGCTGGAACTAATCGAAATGAAACAAAAACTCCTTCGCAACATTGTCCTGTCTGGGGGGAATTTGAAATTTCCGAATCTTGAAAGTCGATTGAAGGACGAAGTAGTGTCTTTGTTGTACAAATCAGGCAGGGTGTATACCCTCTTTCCAGACGATGACGAGCAGCAGGAGGTCTACAACTCGATGAAAAGCCCGACCGATCCGGTAGACGTGGATGAAAGTAGTAGAAGTTTTGCTTTTTCAGCACGACACGACGTGCAAATCGTGGAACATCATCAAAGCCGGGCGGTGAGAAACAATCTCGATTGGGCTGGCGGATCGATTCTGGCAAGTTTGGACGAGGCAATTATCAAAGAAGAAGAAGGTTTTCACAAATTACAGCCCCCGTGCTGGGTTACGAAAGAAGAATGGGAAGAAGTGGCTTCCGAGGGGGCGTTTGCGGATTATGAGTACTTCGAAGCGTTGCGGAGGAAACAGCAAGTAGAGGAAGTTTCGATAATTCCTTCGGAGGTGGACGTCGAGGAGGATGCTGTAGAGGAGCCTGAGTCAGAATAGGTAGGGCTCGAGCAAGTCCAGGTATGCAAGAACAAATCTGCCACTCACCGTGACGACCACTTCTTGAGCCGTGGGCTGATGAGTATCAATGAGGACCACTGCAGCCAAAAAATTTCTGTCCCGCAACAAGCAACTGTTTTCTATTTTTTTTCGTGTGGTGAAAGGTGGCTTTGTGATCATGCATAGACACGACCGGCGAATGAAACTCTGTGTACTACGGAGGACTATATCTTCTTCTTTTTCCAAAGATAACAAATTTTTCGGTGACACAACAGTCGACAGGCAACCTCCAGAGAAACACACAATGCGAAGCACAAGCAGGTGTGTTGACGCCTATTGTTCGCTCTTCTTTGTTGGTACCATTTATTTCTACGCGAATGTAGAGCCTTTGTTTTCTTTTTTGGTTTTTGATCTGGTCGCGGCCCAGCGACGAAGGAGAAGCTGTCGTGCTCTTTCTCTCCGTCCGGACGGGGTACTACACAGTAGAGCTGTAAGTGTTGATGTAGTGATGAACTTCGTGCTTGTTTGGCTTTCTATGTGATAGATCATCCCTTCCGAACTAGGAAGTAGCGGTGCCTTTCTAAAAGGATGAGGAAAATAAATCGGGAGCCTCCTCGTCCCAAGTCCGTGTTCCAAAATGTTGTCGCGTTTCATCTCGTATCTACAGCTACTACATCCCTTGTTTTCCATGCCATCACGTCGAGCCTTGTCAACATCGTTGTCGACGACAGTGGACGAGCTCCTGGTGCGACTACCTCGGTCCTGGCATTGAATTTGAATACACGAAGCGCCAGCTCATCCTCATCTACCTCGAGAGCAGCAGCTCCGTCTGTAGAAGGATCATCTTCATCTGCGCAGCAACGGCCAGCCCGAGCCCCACCGGCCGCTAGGAATAAACAAAACTTTCGGCCGAAGCTGGGTGCAGATCAGTTTGCAAGGGACGATAGGGAACATCAGGCAGTGGTTGGAGGAGTAACTTTAACTGCCCGGCCGAGCGCTTCGGATCTACCGCATGGAGACTCCTCTTCGTCTTCTGAATCTGAAGCGGAACAAGATCAGGATGACGAAGCGACCGTTCGCGCGCAGCAGAAAACGCAAGATCACGTTCGTGACAAGAATGACTCCAGCTCATCAAACTCGACCTCGTCCGACCCAGAAAGTAACAGCGCCAGCGAGGACGAAGAGGATGATACAAAATCTCTCGACTCTGTGGACTTGCGATTAAAATCCGCGAAGGAGATTGCGTTGACGCAGTCGAGTAGAAGTGTGAACTCGCCCGCGGATTCGACCAAGAGTTTGAAAAAAAGCATCAAGTGGGCAAATTTGCCGCTGGACGATGAGAAGGAGCAGTCGGAACAAGAATGGAAAACGACGAAGCAAGTGTTCGAACACGAGAGGACTGGACCAGCTGTGGACAAGCACCCCTGGAAAAGCGCGGATTTGGCTTTCGCGACCTCGGGCGGAGGCACGATCGGGAGGAACAAAAATGTACTACAGCCTGGGTCTGGACCTGGTTCTGGTTCACAGGGTGCTAGGCGTAGGGTCGAAGCTTCTGCAGACGCGTCACCTGTGGGTCTGGACGATGATGATGAAGTTTCTAGCAGAGAAGTGGGTGCCGCTGTCGCAGCTTCCTCGACTAAAGATGGCGAGTCTACTGACAAGCACGCAGGGACAAACAGGAACAATGCACCACGACCCGCAAGAACGTCCTGTCTGCGCATCGACAGTCCACAAAGCGGTCTTCTTGGAACAAGTTCGTCCGCGGCCGATGCTACAGCTGCTCTGAGTAGTGGTTTTCTCTGTGCGAACGATGGCCACGTAACTCTCGCGGGAGGTGCAAGGGCCAGTCCAGGTTCCAGTACTGCTGGTAGGATTGCGCAGTCAGCGCATGATGGTGATAAGAAGTCACCAGGAACTACCTCTTCTACTAAAGAAGCTCAGTCTCCGACTCGGCAAAAAGCTGTCTTGCAATTCTCGGAAGATGAGGCGGGTCCTGGCCGGGACCGAGAGGAAGTGTTGCGACAGAATGTTCAGAGACCCACGGCAGCATCATCTTCTTCGTCACACCTACCCGCTGTGGTCACTTCCGGGGTTTGGTCCCCCGTAGTGGTGGGAGATCAGCTTCCTCTTGATAGTGCACCAGCAGGAGGAGGTCCTTCCTCTTCCCCCAAACGTCGCTACAGCTCGCCCCCGCCAGCACATACTGCATCGAGCCGGTTCAATAAAGGAACTGCAACAAGCAGCTCAAGTTCTTCCTTTTCCCCTGCGGCCGCAGCAGCTCTCGCATCGTCTTCCTCCTCCGCCTCCTCGACCTCCCGGTCGCGCCGCTCAGGTGGGAGGAGGGGAACTGCCGGCTCATCGGCGGCTGCGCTTGGACTGTCCGCGGGCATCGTGGAGCGGATCGACGCGACCGCGGCCTTTGAAGACTTGAATCTGGAGAATAGCAACGAAAGGCCAGAAGGAGCGTCTGCATCTATTTCTCGTACTCCTGTGACAAGAACTACTGCAAGTAGACAACCTCTGCGACTCCTCGACCACAGCAAAAACGCGGGCGACCAGAACACAGACGCCACGAGGGACGCGTATTTTTCCCAAGATGGAGGTGCCACTGCCAGCCCAGTTGCATCACAACTTGCACAAGAACTGCTTCCAAAAAGCCCTCCCGATCTAGAGCACTATCCTTTCCAGGACGACACGCCGCCTTCCGGCGATCATAGCAGTGTAGCGGCGAGTCCGGCAGTTGATGCCGCTAGCGCTACTGGCTCTTCCTATTACAATTTCGATTCCGGGAATTACTACCCTGACCCAACCGTGGAAGTCGAAGTTAATCTGTCCAACGCGGCTTCTTCTACTTTTTCTGCTACTGCTTCTCTGCCTTCGCGAGAACCGACCAGCAGTATGAAAGTTCGATCTAGCAACGACGGAGAACTATTAGCTGAGTCGCTGGCGAAGCTGAGCATTGCGTCTTCCGCGGAAGTAGATCATGTGATGCGTCGGAAAAGCAGGACGACGACCACCACACGACCGGATGATCAAGCTGCAACTGACACTCCTGGTCGTCCTACCGCAACGTCGATCCTGCCGAAGGTCGTGCGGTCAGGCAACAGAAACAAAAAGAAGAAAAAACAACCGGGAGAAAAAATTAACACCTTCGGTGTTGTAGCAGCAGCACCTTCTGGCTCGTCTCCAGTTGCAGTTGTAGCAGCCTCTTCCACCTCACCATCAAGAAAGGCCGCTCCGACCTTCAATTCCGCGAACACGTTCGAAAGTGGCAGTGTCAAGGCGAAAGTTTCAAATTTGTCGAAGAAAAAAATTTCGCAGCTGGCACTGGAAGATAGTGGGCCGTCTTCAACATCGGATACTTCTTCTTCGGACACCAGTTCTGACTCCGCTTCTGAAGTCTATTCCGATGTTGAAAACATCACTACGAGTCTTTCTCACTTCGTTTCGAAAGGTAGGAAGAAAGATAGGCGACCAACCGACACCTCCAGCACACCGACGACAGTGACCTTTGCAAGTATCAACGACAGGGTGTTGGAGGATATTGACCTGGGTGTAGCTTCGCCGTCGGTGGATGGGAGAGACGGTCACGGAGAAGAGGAGCACGAGCATGAATATTACGATGACATCGATGTGGAAATAACTCGAGCACTGTTGGCAGGGACAAGTTTGGATGAGTCCGCTGGTAACTACGACCCGGGCAACGAGCGTGGATCGTCTTACGCCGCACAGGTGCCTGCTCTATCTGCTCCTGGCACCAAAATTGACACTCCGCAAAACGTCCAGGCACTTCTCGAAGCTAGCTTCCAGAGTGCAGTATCTGCCTCCTCGGTCGGCGCCGGCGCGGCGCCACAGCACCCGTCTAAGAGGAGTGGGAGGAAGAACCGCAAAAACAAAGGGAATGGAGGCGCTGGCACTACTTCATCCGCTACTGCACCAGGGGCAGCATTTTCCGGTGCTCCAGCTTCGTCAAGCGCCGTCGCCTCATCTCCTGCGAAGTCTGCTTTCCCGTCGGGAACTACAATGGTAAAGGGTCCTGGTCCACCTGAGCATCCAGCTCAGCCTTCTAGTGCTAGCTCCGGCGGGGGTGCTACAGCGTCTTCAGCAGCAGCCCAACCAGGAGTGCCGACAACGCTCCTCGGCAACAGAAGTAATAGGCAAGGACTGCCCGCGGCTGGCGCAGCAGGTGGTACTAATGCAGCTGCAACTTTCGTCGTAGACAAACCTACTTCTGGCAGCTGCACCACCAGCAGCTTCCAACTACAAACGCTTTTAAAGCGCAACCAGAATTCCGATGACGATCTCGCTTTTCTTCGTCGCGCGGCCGAGGAAAACGATCCCAGAAAGTTGCTAAAAAAGCAGCTGTGGGAAAGAAGTAAGCGATTTCTGTGTCAAGTGCAGGACTTCACAGAAGGGGCAAAGGAAGGCTGTCGCAGCACGCCGCAGTTTGCACGAAATTTTTTTCAAAGGCGGTTAGAGGCGTGGAAAAAAACGCCGGCAAGTAGTTGTGATAAATCGGGGTCGTCTACTTCGAATTATCAGCGGGGGAACAGGAACAGGTCTAGGAACAAATCTGGCTGCGGATCTGCACTCTGCTGCGCGTGCCGCAACAAAATCGACGGGGCGGGAAGTAGAGTACTAGAACTGCTGGGTTCATCTTCTAGACGTCCCAGTAGAGCAGCAGGCTCTGCTCCCTCCTGCTGCAGTAGAAGGCTCCTCCGCGCGAAGAATCTCTCGGTGGAAAAGCTCACTTTCGCGTTAAACCGCTTTGCGAAAAAAGCGAAAATTTCCTGCCAGAAAAACAAAAAGTACATTCCGATTGGTGTGATGACACTGCTGTACATGCAAGGTATCAACTACCTGGCCTCCGAATGTCTGCGGAACGACTGCCCGCGTTTGAAAAAATACGAGTGTCTTTCGATGGACTTGCACCAGATGGGGTTTAGTGACCCTTTTGGCCTCCTCATCAACCAGCAGGACATCTGTGGCCACTGGGTCCCGAACCACCTCGGGGCGATGCAGGTGGGGAGGGGGTTCGCGTTGGAAAATGGCGGCGACGCTGGCAGTCGTGTGGAAGAACGAGTGGAGAATCAAAATCAACCGACTGCAGCCGGTGGTGATTTCTATCTGGTGATGTGGGAAAAGGGCGAGGAGTGCAGTGCAACTGCAACTGAAGCTGGTGGTGCAGATCTTCGTGACGAGAAAGGGAATGCTAATGCAAAAGATTCTACCCGGAGCAGATTGGTCCTAGTTCACGAAGATGAAGATCAACATTCGCCGGAACTGCAGCAAGCTGGTGATCAGTCGCGATCGTCCTCTACTAGCGCATCAGCATCAGAAATTCAAATTTCAACATCATCACAAAGCCGCATCGAGCAGGACAAAGCGAAAGAAGGTTTCTCCGACGAGGAAGCAAAATTTCGGGAGCAAACGCGCCTGCAGATGCTGGGTAAGGAGGGACTGGAGTTACTTACAGAAGCCAAAGAGCTGATGTTCGGGGAAAAATCTCTGTCCGCAATCATGGTGCAACAGGAGCTCCGGAGTCGGGGGCTGTCGCTGCGACAGGTTGGTGTGTCGGCAGGAGGTCATGATTCGCAGATGACAGAAGCATCTACTTCAAGAGCAGCGCCGACGAGTATCGAAGGAGAACAGGAGCCTAGTTCTTTATTAAAACTCGAGGGTACAACGAACACGAAACTTCGCATCTTCCGACTCTCGGATGACAGTTGCGAGGAGGTGTTTTTTCCGTTTTCAGACGATGGCAAGGCGTTGACGCATGACAAAAACACACCAAAATTCGACTTCCGCATCGCAGACCTCGTGACGACTTTCGTCCAAAAACAACTCTGCCACCCCTCCGAGGTCGGGTTGTTTCTCACCTACGCTGCGCCGGAGGAGGAGTTGGCCACGCGTGCTTTAGGAGTGTACGGGAAGACGCAATCGGAGCTGGATCATAGGGATAGAGGGGCAGGACAACACAGCGGCGGTGGCTCATCCTCTTCGTCTACTTCATCTATCCACAGTGAATAATTTGCCGTACACGTTGTACAAATGCGGTCTCTTCATGGCAAAACGCAGCTTCGGTCCTAGTTTAGCATGACAAGTGCGGCACCTCAAGTTGGCGAAATTTGTGATGCATCCTGTACATGTACGGGAAATTTGTATTGCATATCATCCAGCACTACAAAATACCGGCACGAGAAGAGACAGGACGACCAGGAGAGTACTAGTACCACCAGCGGCGAAAAAGAAAATTCTCTGGTCCCGATCCCCTACTTCAGCTTTCCGGTGCGGAATGAGAGGAACGGCACTATGCATTGCAAAAATATCATACTAGTAAAAATCGCATGGCAAATTCCCTCAGCATGAAAAATTGAATTTGTAATGCGGATTTGGGTTCAGTTTCAGAGGGAGCTTTGTAATGCATGAAGATTGCGATTACTACGAGTGCGATACTTTTGCACAGGATAGGCACGCTATCCGTCCAAATCCCCTGGGACGAGCAGCCGTGGAACACGGACATCAGGCCGTACTTATCAAATGTAAAAGTGTCTGGGTCTGGAAGGTTGGAACTTGTGATGCTAACTTTGAACTCTATAAAAAATCTGTATTGCATGAACAGCAAAAGAGGTGTAATCCGTGCTACGCGGAGAGGGCATTTTTCATGCGGTATGAGCATCAGAAAGCCCTCGCAAAATCTCTGATGCTAGGGCATGCATGATCACAGACCTCATGGGTCATACAAAATCTGCATGACAAACTCCCGCAATCTTCCAGACCCAGACATTTTTGCATTTGATAGTACTTGACGAGAGACCATGTAACCGGGAGATGGGGTAGCTCTCGTGTTGGCGCCCCCGGGGGCCCCGAGATACAACAGCCGACGAACGATGCACTTCTCAGTGAGAAGTTGTCACGAGCCCCCGCTGTAAATGTTGACACCACGCCGGAAAATGCCGGCCATCTTCACGCTGCTGGCGCCTACAAATTTGAAGAAAAAACCGAGCAGTTGAAGAAGGAACTGGCGAAAACGAAAAGGGAGTTGGACTTCGCGACCTTCAAAAGCCGAGTTTTGGAATTGGTGAATTCGCGGTACAAGCACGTTTCGAGACTGGCGAATGACGTAATCCCCTTGGCGAGTTCGGGGCAGGTAGATAGCGGGAGTGGAGCGCAGAGTACTAGCGGTGGTGGTCCGTTTGGCGGGAAGTACGAGCTTCAGTGTTACGATTCGGATACTATCGAAGAACAATCTCGAGAGTCTTCAGGTGGGCAAAATGAAATTCGGGAAATCATGCAAAGTTTGAACCAAGACTTGGCGGAGGAGGACAACATGCGGCGACAGAAAAAGAACAAAGCGCAACAAAGAACGCATCAACTTCCCCCGGCGATTTTCACCGCGGGAGAATATGCGTTAACGACGAAATCCAACGGGGAAGTCCGGATGCTGCAGCGTGTGCCCGGAGATGGTGAATCCGGAACTACCGAAAATACCTTATGGATTGCAAAAGTGTCTGGGTCTGGAAGATTGCAACTTGTCATGCTAAATCCGAATCATGCAAAAATCTGTGTTGCATGATTACCAAAAGAGGTCCACTTTTGAACAAGTTTAGAGGCAGTTTCTCATGCAGAATAGGCATGAAAGAGACCTCACAGACTCTGTCATGCTAGGTCCCGCATTCCAGGCCTCAAGGGCCATGGAAAACCTGCATGACAAGTTCACACTCTTCCAGACCCAGACATTTTTACATTTGATATACCTTCAGCCCGATCAATAAGCTGCAGTACGACCCGGCGACCGCTTTGATTCTCCATGTGAACCGGATTTTGCAACAAACCTGGATGACAAAATCCCGGGGGTCTTTTTCCATTCTCATCGCGGAAGATTTGAAGGATGACGTCGACGTTTTTGACGACATTAACGATAGCGAAGTTGTGGAGTTGAATAAGGAATTGCGAGGACATCACGGAGCAACACCAGCTGGTGCAGACAATTCCCACACCATGAACGCGATCAAAATTCTTTCCACCATGCCCAAAGACCAGGACATCGTCATCGTTTCCGATATTTCCCAGCGACGCGTTGTCATCTTCCGTGCGAGGCATCTCGTGGAGCAAACGTTGAAGCACCAGACAGGGCTCGCGATCACGAACCAGCAGGACAAACTAGCGGCACCAGAAGAATTTCCGGAGGAATTGAAACAGGAGATCGAGAAGTTGTACAAAATGCAGTCCATGATGCCCTCGAATGTAGTCGAAGAAAACGAGGCGACTATTCGGCAGCTACTAGAGAGGATCAACGCGAAGGCGTTTTTGGGGGAAAAGGTGAAGATCCACGTGCTGACGAAGGTAGGCGAAAATCCCCGCACATATCAACTGCAAAAATGTCTGGGTCTGGAAACTTGTAATGCTGGGTGGCGTATCATGAGGAGGCCACAAGTGCTGGCTCAGCATGACAAGTTTCTGAGCTTCTAGATGTTGCCCGTTCTGCATGACAAACTGCGTCTCTGCATGACAGAGAAATAGGGCTCTTGGGTAATGTGCATGACAGATTGCAGAGCCATGCGAGACAAGCATGACAACCTTGCAACCTTCCAGACCCAGACATATTTGCAATGCATAGCACAGAAGTAGACGAAATACAGCAGCCGTGGCGGCTGAAGCGCTGGCGCGCCGAGGAGGAGAGGTATTTGAAAAGCGGCGATAAAGACAAATTTCTCCAAAATCGACCGATTTTCACAGGGAGGGTGAGGGTGAGAAATATCAATAAAAACAGCGGGATCAGTGGCGCGACTACAGATGAAAGCGGTAGAAGTCCAGGAAGTGGAGCATTGAAAACTGAGGCACAGGAAGAGAGGTCTGTTGAACGGCGAAACGATGGAGATGACAGTGCAAAACTCCAAGAGCAGATGGAGATGCAGAATATGGTAGATGACGCGGCAGCACGCGCAGAGAACCTTCGAGACAACCATCCTGTTGACGCTGATGAAACTGTGAAGCAGAAGTTAGAAGCTCGCGCGGCAAAAATGGAATTTGGGTCAGCAGCTCATGCAGGACAAGATAAGACTCATATTCCTCTTCGCGGAGAAGATTCATTCGCCGAAGATGACGACGACATTGACGCAGCTGACGACGATGTTGATGAAGTTGACGGTCGCTTAGCTGCCTTAGCAAAAGGATTGAACCGGCTCTACCCAGACAAAGACCGTTATAACTACACGGAAAGACAAAGAACTTCTTCTGCCAAAGAGCACGCGGCATTTGCTAGAATAAGCCACTGGATGTCAGCGTCGCCTAAGGAGACCACGCTGGACAAAACTCTTTTCTGGAAGAAGAGCGGTGGGAATCCTCGGGAAAATAAAAGACCACCGGGCGGGGGTGACGTGAGTGAGCCATTTGGAGTAGGACAAGAAGTTCCAACAGACGTAAACACTCAGGGGCCCACTGACCGCGATGTAGCCGCAGCTAGAGCCGACGGTGCGAGTCGACGTTCTGGCACAGAAAAAGCGTCGCTCCACGACCGAGACACATCTTATGCGAAACAACGCGGCCCATCTTCCCCTTCTTCGATCAGTCAGATGGAGAAAGCCAAGCAGAACAAAAAGGCGAATAAACCAGCAAAAGACCAACAAGAATCCGCCTTACCAACAAGCCAAATCAACGGTCCGGCGGAAGACCCGTACTCCTGCGTTTCCTTCGAGAAGCTCTGCCCTTTGAAAAAGCCGAGACCGAAAACGGGACAAGAATCCGACCTCAAAACTTGGGCGAAGGAGAACCAACGGGAGCTACTGGCCTGCTCGGAAAACTTCATCCACATCCTAGCGGCCATACCCCCGGAATTCCGCATGCACCCGGAGTTCTTCCAAAAGTTGGGTTCTGATTTTGTGCAATATTTCAAGAAAATCCGGCAAACGAGGCGCGGAGTGGTCGAGAAAAACGACGTTCTTGTCGAGGAAAAGCAACTACCGAGTCAGGTTGATCCTCAACACCAGGAACAAGAAAGCAAGGTAGACGAAAGCGACAACACCTTTACCTACACAGCGTTCTCTTCTTCAACAGCACAACGACATCCGGAAAGTACTAGAACCACAAAAAGCCAAAACAACAACAAGCAGATTCAATATCTGAAGACCCTTGCAGGAAAAAACGTCGCCTTCGGCACTGGCGCGATCGGGTTGTCCCTCCAGCCGGACGAGCGGTTTAAACTGGTCAGACATTTGGAGCACACAAGACGAGTCTTACGGAACGTGTTCCGGGCGGACAATTACCTTGTGGTTGGGAAAATCTACGAGCACATATTGAAAACTGGTGTAGTCGTTGGGGATGCGAAATCTATGAAATTCTCCTCCAATCGGTGCATTAATTTGATTCCGTTCCGAACCATTTTCCGTGGGCTAGTGGAAAGATGCGACGCCCGGGGGGTACACGCGGTGCCGTTTGCGGACTGGTTTTTGGAGAAAAAGATCGGAAAGGACTTGGAATTGGACTTGATCATGACAGAGAAATCAAATCAGGACAAAATAAAAATCGCGAAGATAACGAAAGATTTGAACGCGAAAGAACGAGGTTTGTATGAAAACAACCAGGATGAACTGCAACACGGCGCAGTCTACCTCCCGCCGATGCCGGAAGAAGAGGTGGAAGGGGAGTTGCGGAAATATTTGGAAGATTTGGAATCCTCACCCTTTTTACCGGAAGAAGAAGTTGTTCTACCTAGTGGCACAACTTCTCCTGGGCAACATCAACAACAGCCAAGAACGACGCAAAAAATCAACATTGCCACGAACATCGACCGTGTTGCGGTGATCAAACAGGGAGCAGGTGGAAATTCAGGCGGGTCTGCTCACCCGAAGGATTTTTTCTCAACTTTACCACTACCCGTCGTGAACGAATTCGCGAGGTTGAAGCAGTTCCAAACCGTCGAACAGTCGTTTTTAAAATTCGCCTTCCCGCTTTATTTGGTTGAGGAATCGCAGACGAGTGGGAGGTGTTTAAGAGAAGGCTCTTGCTCCATTCTGACCGCGCCTGATCCGGCTAATGGCGGGAGTTTCTCCATTGCGCACCCGATGTTTTTGCACCGGGACGAAGTTGTAGGGGGAGGTGACGAAATACTAACCAGTGCTGAGCAGCAGCATCCCCATCCGAGGAACATCAAGGGCAGCACGAAAATAAACACTTCTATAAAACGAGATGTTGACTTCATCGGCATTGCGACCGAGAATGCCTGGATGCAACTGTTAGACGGGAAATCTCCGTTCGAAAGACAATACCTTTTGAAGCAAGCGCAGGGCATCGTCGGGCCGGAAACGGATGCGGTGCTGCTGTTGCACATGAGTAGGTACTTGAAAAAGGCAAGGAAGGTTCTTGTGGAGGTAACTACAACAAGCGGAAATAAAGACCATGATGCTGGTAATGTGCAGATCGAGGACGCCGAAAGCGACCAAAAACTCCAGCTGCCTCTTTCGTTCGCGCAACACGTCCTGAAGCACGACCATTTCTTTGTCCACATTGAAAGGGACTTGTACACGCCGGCGAGGTTGGCGTCGGACTTGATCATGGCCATGGATATCACGAAAGAGATTGTGGACCAGCAGACCATCAATTCACCCTCATCTTCACAAAAGCGCAATACAAATCCGGCCCGCGCGAAACAAGCACAACAGGAAAGGAACCAGCAGACCGCTCGTGTGTCTGTTCAGGAGAAGAGGCAGAAGGGGTCGATCCATTTCGCCAGCAGGTTGTTTTTAGACTTGATGCGGAAGCAAAGGGCCGATCAAGTCGCGGAGAGTCTGACACTGAGTAGGGAGCAGAGAAACAAGCTGAAGCCGTCGGGGAGCAGTAGTAGAAAAGGCACGGGCGATGAGGTACTAGATGAGCAGGACAACATGCAAGAGCTAGAGCCTTCTCTTGCTTCCGAACTTTTCCGTGAAGTGCAGGACCACACTTTTTACACCGGGCCAGCACCGTCGAGTAGTACCTTTGCAGGTGCTGAGACCACAGGCACTGATATGGAAATCGAAGAGGACCCAGTGGACGAGGAGCTGCGCCACAGGGAGCACCCCCGGGGGGATGATGTTCTTGACGCAACTTCTCATACCAAGCAGGCGGCCGTCCGTGACAAGGGCGCCTTGTCTGGATCTTCAGATTCATCGTCGACAAAGAACCTCGAGCAGCAACCACCGACCTGCGACGGTGGAGTAAAGCCCGCCGATGGAAGAAGTACAACTGGTAGTAGCTCCCCTGCGTCGACTTCTGGCAACTACGAAGCCCGATCTTCACCTCAGCCCTGCGCGTTGGCAAAACTCGCAGACGAGGAGGATCAACTTTTTCAGCAAATCAAGGAAAGCGAGTTATCTTGTGTAAAAACGTTCCCACCCCAGAGTCAAGATCACTGGGATTTTGCAACACAAAACCAGAAGTTTTGGGAGATGCGCATGACAAGTTTCTACCTGTAGCATAGTGCAGGGTAGCTACTGCGGCCGCATGAGAAATCCATCCCCTCATTCTGAAAACAGCATGACAACCTGCAAAACACCATGTTTAAACGCTTCTCATGTTATTGCTGCGCATGAGAAACGTTTCTGGCATGCAAACTTGCATTACAACTCCGGGGAGTTGGGGACGTTTTTACACAGGATACGAGTCGCCTGACTTTTACGAGCAAGACTTTGACGAGGAGATGTTGAAGGAGCAAGATTTGAATTTCCTGGAGAAAAACCGAGATTCGGATATGGATTTTGCACCACCAACACCTGTCGGCGCAACAGAAGATCTAGTAGTACCTACGGGAGCTGCTTCTTCAAAAGCTTCTGCAACAAACGCAAACGATGCATCTCAGTCAAGTACGTCGTCGGCTTCGTCCCCAACCAGCTTGGCAAAATACCTCCGCCACCTCTTCTTGCCGACAAACCCGCCAAAAACCGACGGCGATAGCACTGATGGCGCATCTTCTGCATCACAAGAAATATTAAACGCAAGGACGAACTCCGTCTCAACTACGACCTGTGGCCGCAACAAGCAGCAAGACACCGACTCAATCGACGCGGCGAAAGAGGCTTATGGGGCTCTCAACTGTTACATTCTCAACTGTTACATGATTTGTCATGCAAAATGACCATGAGCCACCACAGGATCAAGCTGCTTCGCATGACAAATTGTCGGAGGTCTAAATTAATAGCACTAGAATCCGCACCAAATCTGTAATGCAAGACGCGCAATGTTCTCCACCTCACCTGTGCTATTCTTGCATTACAAATTCATGTAACAGTTCAGAGTGTAACGTTTGAGAACGCCATAAGGCTAGTTTGGCCGTTTTGAAGCTTGGCATGGTTCACCGACCGGAGTTGGTGGGGGAAATGTGGAATTTGCTGCAGCAAACCGCGGTGGTGATGACGCCAAATACGCAGAGTCCCTGTGTCGCTGGAATCACAGAACTGGATGAGGATCATTCCTCGTCAACAACATCCTCAAGCAAGACCACTGGCCCGGAGTTTTTGGAGAAAGTGCGGAGACTGGCGAGAAGGCTACCTTTACAAGAGGCGATGAGAATCATCGAAGAAGGGGTGGAATTAGAGAAAGAACTTTTACCAACTGCATTTTGCTCCAGCTTAACCTGCCAAAGCCCTCTGGGGAAAACGGCAGAAGAGGCTTTGCGGAGGGAAAAGAATTGGAAAAGTGAAAAAATCGCTCTTCCCGGGGGAAAGACGATTTTTGACCGCCGGGCGGACCCTAGCAGAGGAGCGTCAGCGGGTACCGCAAGGCGGGTAGAGGTGAAAACAACTACAACGACTACTTCTTCTACCTCATCTGAGCAGATCCCCGCTGTTGAGGCAACTACCCCAGTAAAAAACGCGCCCGAGCAGACAGAGATCCTACCGTTACTCGAAAACCACATTTGCCGGGCGGCGCAGCAGGTGCAAGGGTTGAAAAGACAACAGCTCTCGGTGCCGAAAAGAATCCGGTACGCCATGAGAACGCTGTTTCTAGTGGCGGACATTACCTGGCTGGAATATTTGTTAACCAGGATGGACAGTGTAGATTTGTTTTCCGGCGGGGGAACAGGAACAGCGTCTGCAGCAATGGATGATCATCCACAGAACGAGGGGCCAGGTCGTGCAGCCTCAATGCACCCTGTGCACGGAGCGTCAAATCTGTACTCCGCACAAAACACAGGGTCATCTCGTGCTGCTGACGGGAAACAGCCGACGACGTCGCCAGCCTTTTTCTTCCCGAGGGAGTTTTTCAATCGTCAAACTGTATTGTTGCCCCTGGTTCAGCAGTGGCAGACGGCTAGGAAGTTGCTGCCGACACAAGTAAATGCTGGTGGTGGAGCTGCAAGTAGAAACAGCCACCCGCAACAAGACGACGCTGGCACAGCCACCAGCAGCTCTTCGCCCGGAACTAACACCGAATTCAATTACGAGGGCAACGCCTGGCGCATGACACCGCAACAACGACGGGACTACGCGGATGCGATTAAAACCATTCAGGAATTGTTATGGCGCTCTCAACTGTTACATTCTCAACTGTTACATGAATTTGTCATGGAGAACTACCATCAAGATTCACACGGGAAAGCTGCTTCGCATGACAAATTTGCGAAGGGCTAGACAGCGCCTGAATCTGTGCAAAACTTGTAATGCTAGAACCTCTCCCCTTTCACTTTTGCAATTCTTGCATCGCAAATCCATGTAACAGTTGAGAATGTAACAGTTGAGAGCGCCATAATTGTTCGCGTCAATCCTATCCTGGGCAATTAAGAACAACCAGGTGGAGCGGAAATTAGCGGAGATCGGCGCTACGAACATGTTCCCAGGGAATAAAAGACCGCAGTTGTTAAATTCCTTGAAAATGGACCAGCTCGCCGGGGAACTCCGCGACGGGAGCAATAGGGAGCAGGCGGAGAAGCATTTACCTTGGCACAATTGGCGGACTGATTTGTCGACAGAGATTTTGTTTGTTCAGCAAGACCAGCTCCCATTAACAGTAACTTCTATGAACTTTGTTTCCGCCGCATTGAACATCGGCACGAAAGTATCCATTAGATGAAAAACTGTGTAAGTGTAACTCTGTGTTGCAGACGATGCAAGACACTTACAACCGTCATGCTGGACATGCGTCAGAGGCTCTTTTCGTGCGTGTTTTCACGTACTAGCTACGCATGACAGGTTTTTTCTGTCATGCAGCGCAAACTTCTGATGCTGTTCCCCCAAGAAAGTTACACTTACGCAGTTTTTTTCTTGCATAGAAAGTCGCGAGATTAAGACGGTTTCTGAAGAAGCACAGCAAGGACGCGCGGCCGGAAGTGTATTACGATAATGTCGAGCAGTTCCGGCAGATCAGGGAAGAAAATCACTTGTACGACAAAAATTTCGACGAAATGGAAAAGAAACAGCAGAACCGGGTAGCGCGAACCGTTTTGTCGATCGCGGAGGAAGATATCCCAGACTTGAGGTGCAGAATTTCGACAGGCACGTCGACTCCTGCTGGTGTTCATCAAGGTGGTGCATCAACCTCCTCTGCGGATCACAACATCCATACGGCTTCAAGAACATCATCCTCGCAAGTGGAAAATCACTTTTCCTGCCCTTTACAAGATTTAGAAGACTCGGTCCGGACTATGGTCCACACCTGCGCCTATCCGGTAGACGACAGTTCCCAAGTTTTGCAGCTCGTCCAAGCCACTCTGTCGCTGACTTTCCACGCAAACAACGCTTTGACTGTAGGGATTCGAGACGCACACGGGCCATGGGGAAAACAAAGCGAGCGGGTAAGACAAAGGATGGAGGAGAGAAAGGATCTGTACAAAAAATCCTTCTTCGCCTGGATGCGGAAGATGCTGTGGCTCATGATCCACGACGGATTACGGACCGGCGCGAAGGTGAAACTGAAAAGAACCTGCAACAACGATAAACTTTTTCCAACAACCGTTGCTCTTTCCATGTACCCGCCGATTAAGATGCCAGCAAATAAAGAGTCCGCTGCAGGTCTACATCTCCCGAAACGCCTTTCCTGCTCGGAAAAAGCACAGCACAGTGAAGTGGCGCGGTTGAGAAGAACAGGAGAGTACGTCACGGTGAAAGTCCTCCACTCGAACAATGCGGATTTTGACTTGACCGTGCAAACCGAGCCGGATCCGAGTGCAACGAGTTCTTCTTCTTCTTCTTGGGGTCGTTTCAGTCGCCAGCCGGCAGTGTCGATTATACCGCTGAAGATCACCGATTTGGACTTGCAGAGCATCATCCCCTCCAAGGCAATGCGGGACGAATGGTTCAAGCTCGGGGCGAGGAAATGCATGTCCGAGGATTTTATGTTTGCACAGGACTGGGCAACGAATTTGTTGCAGGCGGTGAGTAAAGAAGTGGTGTTGGAGCAGAGAATAAATGCGGATGAGTCGATGATTTTGGAAGCGGCGATGATGCAAGAGGTGGCGGACAGCATGTCCCATGCGACTGGTAGTGGCGGTTCTGCTGGAGGTGTAAGAAATGTCAAGGGCGATGGGATCGCGGACGGTTGAAATGTACACTATTTCCAACGGTAGGTTAGTCCGCCTAGCTGTATTTCGGTCTATGAATCAACAGCATCAGGCCTTGAAATCAATGTAGATTTATTATTCTGGTTTGAATTTGTACGGCTATAGCTAGCGACTTGTTTCAGGTCGGTTTCAAGTTTCAGAGAATTTAGTCAAGGCGTTATTTTGAATCATTTTCATCACACATTTTAGTTTTTGCAACGTTAAGATCAAAAAACAAATTGCGATAGTATAACTGCTTTACGTTTTTCAAGAACATGAGTGCCCTTGCTTCTGCGGGTCGTGGCACAATAAGAAATCACTTCTGCAAAACGTCTTTCGATGGTTAAGTTGAGTTTGCATCAAACAAGAGAAATACCCTGTATGTCTGTTTGAATAAAACTACTCTTTGATGTACACGTTGTTTCTTCAGCTCTCTTCAATAGATTGTCTCCATCTTTGCTTTCGAAAAATGAACTGCGAAAAGAAAAAATCAAACGAACGAACTGTGCTTCTTTTCATGCGAAAGGAAATTTCGGCTTTATCAATCTTTCAGTTGAGAACACAGATTTTGTCTAAGTATGCGCAGAACTGATGCCATTTGTTTTGAATTTTGCGTGTTGGAAAAAACTCAACAAGAAATGAAGTGTGCCAGTGCTTGCTGGTAAGCGGAAAAAATAACGCACCCACGGCTTTTTTGCTCACGGCCGACTTCTCTCTAGATGAAGGACTAGTGGAGAAATAACGGCAGCTGAATGTGTCGGTGTTGCAAGTCAGCAGCACTTACAGTTGCTTGAAGTAAGGAATAGAAAGTAGAACAAGCGTGCCATCGGTGCTAGAGGTTTTGCTGTGAGGACCTCGAGAGCGTCTCGTCTGTCTCGTGAGATAAATAAGTGGCCAACGGATTCTTCGACATTGTGGCTCGACTTTGTAATTATATCTATCGGCTTTTTTGACTTTTTTTCCGCACGGAGCCGAGCATGTGTCTCCTTCGACTGGTAGAGACGAGAAGATGAAAGAGAGTTTTTTCGTCTTATCGATTCGGGTCATCTCGTTCGGTCCAAATTCGATCGGTTTTTATTCCGATCGGTTGGGAAACGATAACGAAAACGAGCCCAGAAGTGTCGACAGTCGAGCTCTCGAAGGCATATACTCATTTCTTTCGTTGCTGTTGTGTCGCCAAAATTCTTCACACCACACAGGCTTTTGTAGTTGTGCCCCCCACTTAACAATCCCTACCCCTTCGTCCCCGCGAAGAAAGAAATCTATCCCCCGACCCAACACCGCCCTCCAATATACTAACTTAGCTCCTTAAAATCGCCGCTAATGTGGCACTATTTCTCCCATGAAGAACTTTCTTTGAGCCTCTTCTTACTTGGAAAATATCACGAGCCACGTCTGTAGTACAGTCGTTTTCTGTTTTTTTCCGCAATGACGGGGACGAGTTTCTAGAAAGTCAAGTATCAGTACAACTTTTGTTTCTGTGTTATGTCAACTTTTACAAATTTTCAACCCAAAGTCAAAATCTAAAGACAAAAATATAATTATATCAAAAAATGCACGCGGACCTTGCAAGCACAAAGACGTTTCGCGCGTCGTTATCTTCATCAACAAACACCAACGCCTTCGTCTCCCCGCGACCGACTGTAGCTGCAATGACGCCAGCAATTGTGCCTGCCAGTGTCAGCATGACAAATCTCGGGCAAGAAACGAGCGACATCATGCTTTTAACCAACAATCAGAAGCGAAGCCAGACATGGCACCAGCATCCGGTTTGGTCCAGACTGATGTTTCTCCTCTTCTACGCGACGTTATTCTATTCATCCGGTGGTCCGTTCTTCTTTCTGTCGCTGTTGCAGCAGACCAACGTGATTTCTTCTTTCGTGAAGACGCAGTGTGTGAAAACGACGACAAGTTCACCAGTGGAAGAGATCGTAGAAATCTGCGAGAAGCCGGAATTCCCGATATGCAAATTTTGCAAAAGTATCGTACTGTAGTGCAAATTGCATTATACAAGTTTTTTGCTCAGCATGACAAATGGAGCTTGTCATGCTGCTGTACCTTAGGAACAGCGCATTTGTCATGCATATTTGCAATCAGTATGATACTTTTGCAGAGGATACCCGAACAGTTACGAGAATTTCTTTTGGCGAGTCGGGTTTCCGTTAGTGTCTGACCCGTTCGCGGTGTTTTTTCCGACGTTTGAAGAGAAACATTTTGAGAAACTAGAGCAGCTGGGAAGCAGTAGTACGACGCAGCTCCTTTTCGTGGAGCAACTGCAACAGACAGCGACAGCAACTCCGCCAGCGGAAGCTGCTACACCACGACAACCCTCGAACTACGAGATCGACCAAAGTACGGACAGCTACCTCTTTCCCGAAGCCGCCGTTGTGATCGCGGCGAAGGAAACGGCGGTAAGGGAGAAGGAAATTGCGGAAGGGAAAGATGTGAAAAAGCACACCCCGCCGATCCAGTATAAGAGCAAGGAGGAATTGGAGAAAGAACAGCAGAAAAATCAACCGAAAGTCATCCACGCGGTAAGTGATGATGACGCGCTGTTTCCGAAGGGAGGGAGTAGTAGTAGTCACGGGGATGATCATACTAGCGCAGCAGCATCAGCACCCGGAGCAGGTGTTGAAACATCTTCACAGTCAAACAGCATAGTAGATGAAGACAAAAACACGAAAACCTACTTCCACCTGATGTCCCTAATGGGGCAAAATTACTTTGCGTTTTCCCTGCCCTACTACGTTGCGGCGTTTTTATTGGAGAACTACATCATCTACTTCGTAATGACGAATATGCAATACAAATTTCCCTTACATGTACAATATGCATCACAAATAATCTTCCAGATTTCGCATTTGAGTGTAAAACTTGTCATGCTAAACTAGGATCGAAGCCAAGTTTTGCCGTGCAGGGATCGCATTTGTACGTGTACGGGAAATTTACTGTGGATAACAAAGGAGCTCCGGCACCAACCCTCGTTACCCGGCTCCATCGCGAACCTCGGGCAGGGGGTTCTCATGTTTCTCTGCAGCCAGATGCTGTTTCTAAACTACAAGGACCCGGTTTATTCGTTTATTTGGCGGCATTTTCGGGTGACAGACAACTACGTCGCAATGGACGATGTGTCGAGCTACTACGCAATAGAAACAACGGGAGTTTCATCTTCAAGTGGCTTACCAGGCGTTACCAAAACTCTCGTCCCAAATCCGAATTTAGCGCAGACGAATTTCCAATACAACCGCTGGCAGCACGAGTACCCAGCGTTGTTTCAGATCTTCAGCTTCTACCTCTGTTTACTGTTGCTCGATTTCTTCTACTACGCCTGGCACCGCGCGTCTCACCGGATTAGCTGGCTCTGGGCGGCGCACTGGGTGCACCACAGCACGGAAGAATACAACATTTCCGTCACCTTCCGCGAACCCGTCTGGTGGAGCGAAATGCTAATCCCGTTGCAATTCGCCATCATGCGACTGCCATTGGCGATTTTAGGATTTCCAGTCGTCTACATGAACACAATTTCGCTGAACGACACACTCTACATGAACATGCTCCACACGGAGTTGATCGATCCTCTCCCCACGGTGGAATTGCTCTTGATGACGCCATCGCTGCACCGAGTGCACCACGCGCGGAACCTCCGGGCGTTAGCGAAGAACTTCGGCTCTTTATTCAGCATCTGGGACCGGCTGTGCGGAACGTACGAGCCGGAGATCTTACCAGTGGTCATCGACGGGAAGAAAAAATCAGAAAACGAAGTTCTCACCGTGAAACACCCGACGCAGTTTGTCAGCGAGAAGGTCGTCGCGCCAATAGTGTCCGCGGAGAGTGGCTGTGTGGTGAAGGAGGAGACGACCGAGGAATCGGTGATGCAGGACGTGGAAAAAAGCAACAAGGAAAGTCTTGCTACTTCCGGTTCCGCATCACAAGTTGTCGAAGATGATCCGACAGCGGCGACTGGCGGCTTGAAAAAGCGGATCGGGCAGTTTCTTTCCTGGACAGGTACAACTACGAATATTTCCGGCCCACAGCTGCAACAGCCACTCGTAGTGCAGGAACAGCATGACAAAAAGGAATCACTACCGAAAACACCATCACAAAAACCACCGCCCGAGAACACTAAGACCAGATCCTTCTTTGCGAATAGATTCACCGAAACCCTCTACCTCTTGACGAAATTCTACCGAGTCAGGCGAGACACGAGGAAGTGCAAAGACGACAGAGAACCGCTGCGGTACGGCGTCATCCCGCAATTTCACTCCTACGACATTCTCCAGCAGAACTGCACCCACTGGTTCTACATGTTTCTGGAACAGCCACGGTTTAGAGGGCACGGAATTTTAGCCCCTTTTCTCCACTGGACGAAGCCAGGCTCGAAATGTCCGCCATTATCCGAACGGTCGAAAGTCAACGGCTACAAGAAGTACAAAGCGGACGCTTTACACATCGGCTGGTCGTTGTACGTGATTTTCGAGTTCTTGATTTTCTTCGCCTCCGCGCTCGGTTTCGTCGCGACGAACTATGTTTTGAGCAAAAACCTAGCGAAGACGTTTTACGGTGCCTTTATCGCAAGAAAAAACTGTTTCACTGTAAACTTGTGATGCATAAAAATGAAACACGGAAGTATTTGTCTTGCTACACATGCAAGAATAAGAAAGTGGATTTTTCGCTGTGTTTTCCCTTAGCCTTAGGAAGCTTGCATGGCAAATTTTCTTTGTCATGTAGAACGAACTTGTCATGCAAAACCTGCAAAGTCCTTACAGTGAAGCACTTTTTTCGTACGATAGCCTGCGACACCCCTCTAATGGACCCGATTTCCTGCACCGCCGGCCCGCTAGCCGAGTACTTTATCCTGTGCAAAAGCATCGTACTCGTAGTAATTGCGTTTATGCATTACAAATTTCTTTCTCAAGGCAAATCAGCATTACAAATTCACTTTGTAATGCTGAGGAAATTTGTAATGCGATTTCTACTAGTACGATATCCATATACTTTTGCAATCCATATACTTCGGGCCGCAGCAATTAACCAGTGCCGTGTTGCAGGTGTTAGCTTTTCTCCTGGGGTTTTGGACCATGCACAACTTGGGATGCATTTTGATGGGAACGGAGAACGCGCCGGTGTTAGTCGGCGTGGAGGAAGGGTTTGTGGTGAAAGATAGCTTCGCGAACGCAAACAACTACTCCTTACTGGAAGAAACCGAAACTGTCTCTGCTTCAGCCATGAGCTACAACAATAGCAAACAACTGGTTTCGGCGAAACAAATGGAGAAGAGCATGTGCATGCAGGCAGGTACTGATGTTCGTCTGCAGCAACATCAATCCTCGCAAGGCGCAGCAGGCGGTGTATCTTCAACAGCAGTTCTTCTCCCGACGTCTGCTTCCGCAACGTGGTCGGGCGTTTCTTCCGTGGTTGCAGAGGAACAGCACAACCAGACGAATACGCATTGCAAAACTATCGCACCCGTGGTAATTGCAATCATGCGTGACAAGTCTCCTCTTCCAGGTAAACCAGCATGACAAATTCCATTTCTCATGCTGCGCTAATTTGTAATGCAGTTACAACTACGTAGTTGTGCGATACCTTTGCAATTCATAACGAACAAGCTGCAACAAGTTCCCTCTTCCGCTGACTCCACCACCGCGGCGAGCTACGCGTCGACCTATTTTCCGATGTTAAACGCCGGTGCTACGCCGAACATCATGACTTCTACTTCCGGTTTTGTTCAGCTTCAGCAGCAGCCATCCGGAGGTGTGAGAAGAAATCGGTCGAGTAATCTCGCGCCAACCATTGAGAACAACTCAAATTTATCAAGTGGCGCAGCGAGCGTAGCTTCGCGAGAAGGAGGAGATAATACCAGGTTTGAGCACCTACAACACGACACGCAGCACAACAATCCGGCGCTGGAAACATCGGATTTGCTGTTACAGTCAACCGCGACCTACAATTCCATGATGAACATCACGGGCGGACCCGGAGCTGCTCCTGCGATCTCGCGGCAGACAACTGTGAACGCCGAAGTAAACCAGCAGAACTTTATTTACCACGACCCGAAGGTCGTGCAACTGGTTGAGAGCAATAAAAATGTGAGTTGTCAACAAGATGAACTAGATCGCCACAAGATGAATCACAAGTCCTCTTCGCAACAAGAAAACAAGATCTACTCTTGGCAGGCTCACGTGCTGGAGACCAATAGCCAGAACCTGATTTTTGACCCGATACCGGAAAACAACAACTTCTACAACGATCTAACGAACCCGGTCCCGTTTCTCACCCCCGGGGAGAAGGTGTACGAGCGGAACTGTGTCTATGGATGTGTCAGGTTTGAAATCGTCAAAGTTGAAATAGTTTGTCATGCATAAAACGGATACTAGTTAGACCTACAGTTTGTAGTCGGCGCATGGCAAATTTTCCCGGTCCTGGAAGCGAGTCTGTCATGCGGTTTAGGGCAAAAGAGCTGCCTTCTGACATGCTAGTTAGCAGTCCAACTTTTGACCCTTACCAGGACTATAATCTGCCTCCCTTGGGTCCTCTGCAATAGAGTCACTTTTTGCATCGCATTTTATGCATTACAAATTATTTCAACTCTGACGATTTCAAACCTGACGCTTCCATAGTGTCTACAAGGAGATGTTGCGGCACTGGTTTATCATCTTTATGCATTTTTGCAAAAGCATCGTACTAGTAGAAATAGCAAGACAAATAATGCCAAGAAGAAAACTTAAAGTAGAATTTGTAATGCTGATTTGCCTAAGATTGGAGATTTGTCATGCGTCACTGCAATTCCTACGAGTGCGATACTTTTGCAATTCATAATCTTCACGGCGTTGCAATTCGGGGATGCGATGTACAACGACGCCAGTCTATGCAATGTAAATCTCCCGTACATGTACAAAATGCATGACAAATTTCGCTAACTTACAGTGTCCAACTTGTCATGCTAGACTAGGACTCAAGGCAAGTTTTGTCATGCAGAGACTGCATTTGTACGTGTACGGGAAATTTACTGTGGATACAGTCCGGAATCCGCGGCGACGGTGAGTCGGATGTGCACCTACGTGACTTTATTGTACACGGTCGTCCACTGCGTTCTGTTGCCGGGATTGGTGTTTTTTAGTGACACGAAGATCGCGAGGGAAAGCGCCGCACGGAGGAGGTACAGGGGGTGAGGAAGATAAGTGCAGGATAAAAGCATCATAGGAAAAGAACTGAACACTTTTACAGAATGTGAGAACTAAGCGCAGCTGCCACTTGCCCTGTAGTGGTACTTAAGAATTGAAGCAAGAAGATGAAGAAGCATAAAGTGTAAGTGTGTTTTTGTCGTATGAAAACGTCGATCAACGGGCCGGTGGATAAAATCCGCCTCAACATAATTCATGACTGTGTAGGAGCTGTGTGCTGTCACAAGGACCACCATGTGGCCTCATTTATATATGTGTAACGATACACTTTTGATTTTCTAGCAACATGCAGGCCGAGCTACTTATTTGAAACAAAAGCATCACACCACCCTGGTACATCAACATTTTCCTGAAGTTTTGACAATACGACTTGCCGATCAGTTTTTTACTACGACACGCAAAAGTCCGCTCCTGTACGCTTTGTCATTAAGAAACAACTGAATATGAATTTAAAATGCCTGTAAATACAAACCTAGAGACAAAACTAAACGAGCGGAACTGTGTCTACAAGGAGATGTTGCGGCACTGGTTTATCATCTTTATGCACTGCAAAGGTATCGCTATCGTACTAGTAGAAATAGCATCACAAATTCGGTCAGCATGGCAAATGGCATTTGTCATGCTGTTTTACCTTGGCATTGCGATTTGTAATGCATGACTTTGATTACTACCAGTACGATGCTTTTACACTGGATAATCTTCACCGCGTTGCAATTCGGCGACGCCATGTACAACGACGCGAGCCCGGAATCCGCGGCGACGGTCAGCCGGATGTGCACTATCGCAAGAAAAAAGTGTTACAGTTACGCACTGTGTTCTTGCAGGAGCCGCAAGGCAGCCAACCTTTGTCATGCAGGAAATGCTTGCGAGCCTCGTTTACTACGTGTTTTCCCTTATGATCTTTGCATTACTCTGCCACATAGAGAAAATTTGTGATACAGAAACTCCAACAATGAGTGTAACTGTAACAGCACTTTTTTCGTGCGATATGCACCTACGTGACTCTATTGTACACGGTCGTCCACTGCATTTTGTTGCCAGGTTTGGTGTTTTTCAGTGACACGAAGATCGCGAGGGAAAGCGCTGCGCGGAGGAGGTACAGGGGGTGAAGAAGGTTTCGAGTACTTGTACTTCACATTTTAGCAGGACATGAGAACTATTCAAAAGCGAATGAATTGCTGCTTTCGATTCCTTGTAGTAGTCGTAATTCAAGGAAGACAAAAGTGTGTTTTTGTCGTGTGAAAAGAGACATGCGCCATCAACCGGCGCTGGATAAAGATAAAATCCCCCTCAACATAATTCATGACTGTGTAGGAGCTGTGTGCTTTCACAAGGACCACCATGTGGCCTCATTTGATATGAATGTGTAACGATACACTTTTGATGTTTTAGCACCAACATGTAGGCCGAGCTACTTATTTGAAAAGCATCACACCAGCCTGGTAAATTTTCCTGAAATTTTGACAATACGAATTGCCGATCAATTTTTTACTACGACACGCAAAAGTCCGCTCCTGTACGCTTACTTTGTCATTATTTTCAGTGGAAGAAAAAATTGACTATGAATTAGAATACCTGTAAGTACAAACCTAGAGACAAAACTAAAAAAAAAAACTAGAAGCTAGCTGATCACCGGGAAGACGAAGAACTCATTTTCACACGGCAAAAAGATTCACACATAGGGGAAATTGAAATTGAAAATTTTAATTTATCGTATTTTTCATGATAGATATGGAGTCTGCTTATGGGCAACGACCTATTTCCATTGTTGCCCTGCAAATATCCATGCGTGAGAAGACATCAGGATGAAGGGAGCATTGCGAGAATCCAAATGAAGCAACTTTGTGAATTGGAATTCTATGGCACCAAGAAAAAATATATTTCTGCAACCCCGGTGCATGCATCGAAATAGTAGTTAATGGTCTACCATAACATTTGTTGAACCTCTTTGATTTGATATCTGTATATCGATTCTTATCCATCGATCATCTTCATCATCTCGATGAAATGTCCATCGATACAGAAGATATTTGATTTCTCATCAATTTCTCCAGATATTTCGAAAAATCATCAATTCAATCCATTTTCAATTCTTTCTTGATATCAAATAAATCATTTGAAAAAAAAGTGAGTCATCTCCTCATCTGTCTTTTTTCAATCTCATCTGGATCTGTCTTTTTTCATCCTCATCTGTCTTTTTTTTTCAATGATTTTCAAAACAATGAGGATTTGGCTTGAAATAATGTTAAGAGAAAAGGATATGTAAATGTGTTTCCATCTTCACACATGAACAAAAAAATGGATTGTTTCTCTATTGATCCTCTATTTTTCTGTTTGTCTTCTGTCAATCTATTATTTCTCTGATTAATATCATATCATCAGATATATCATCCGATGAATGAAATATTGAAAAAATCATCTTTATCTTAGATTTATGTATCTGCCTCGAATATTTTGGAAGAAATATCCGAAATCTCTTTATGAGATCGAAAATATTACAATTTTATATTTTTCAATATTATTTTTGGAGGCGAGGAGGGCAGTATTTTCGATGTGGAAAACTTTTTTGGAATTTTTCGTCGAGCCTTTCAAACATAGTGGCCCTGGGTATTCCAGGTGGGAGAGGGTTGATTGGCCGCCCGGTATTTCTCGATGGCGATGGTCGTCGTTGTTGTCGTCCCGGTGATGTGGGTCGGAGATCGGCTGAAAAATTTTCCTTGATTTTTCGGAATTCATGGGGTGGCCCATGAAATGCAAACCGGGGCGGAATGCAGAGCCATGGGAGCAAGTCGGCTGGGGTTTTTTTTTCTGCGTCCCTTTCCGGTTTCTAAAGAAAAAACGCAAAAAAAGTTCAAAAAAACTTTCAAAAAATTTTTCAAAAACTTTGAATCACGAGCGGACTCCAACTTTTTCCGAAACAGTGGGAAAGTTTTTGAAAAGTTTTCGGAAAGTTTTTGAAAAGTTTTTTGCGATTTTTTATGTTGAAAATCGATTTCCCACATTTTTTGGGGTCGCCTGATTTCGTTTCAACAAATGGCCATCATACCATGGGGATTTGTCTTCCCAGTCACATTCTTTTTCTTCTGGATATCGTTTCCCATTTTGAAAAGTTTCGAAAATCAAAAGAAAGTTGCCGCCCATTGTGATTTTTGGTAGGATGGTGAAGAGGATGGGAGGATCATCGTCGGTAGGTTTGGAGATGGCTCGACGAAAAATTCCGAAAAAGTTTGGGACCTCGGTATTAATCCAAGCCCTCCACTCCAATTATTTTATTATTTCTTCATCAATTTATCTTCTGAGAGAATGATGAGAAGATGAGAATGAAGAAAGACAATCTCGGATCGGGCCTATGAGACAATTTGAGTCATACCCAGACATGACAAGAAAGAAAGAAATCCGAAATCTCATCATGAAAAAAAATTCGAAAATATTTTTATTCCGATATTAATCCGGATCCTGAATTACAAGATATCCATGAAGAAAATGAGAATAATAGGTTAAATCATCCGGGGCGCCGATAATGGGAAGGGAGGATACCACGAGCGGGCTGCCGAGCATTGGACAACACACACGCGGGGGCGACCCGGGCCGTCTACACAACTGCACCGAGGACCTAGGGGCGACCCGGAACACAGGAAGGCTACTCTCTGCGCTAGCAAAAACGCAGCGCCTGGACGTCCCCCGCCCACCCCGCGCACCCATACCACCCAACCACCGGATTGGTGGCGGGGGCGTCCGGCCCGGTATTTTTCTAATACTATGCTGCTACTTGTGTTATCTATCGATGGGGATGCGAAGTGGATATTTACATTAATCATCATTATCCAGCATCACTCCTGCTCGTCGTCTTTTCCCTCCTGTACTAAACAGAGCCACACCCTACCCCCAACGACCGGGGAGAACGGACGACAAGATGATTGGAAAACACGACAACACTCTGGCGCGGGAAATCCGAAAAAGAAGATGATGATGATGTGTGGCATCCATGAACATATCGATGCTGATCCGACACCGGGACCCACAATCCGATGGAAACTACCCAAAAGTCTGGACACGGGAGGAATCACACAACGAGGAAAGCTAGCGAAGGAATTTTGGAATAGAAAAACAAAAAACAGAGACATTGGATTTTTTATTGACAAATAGAAATCTCAAAGCAGATTTACTATTTTTATTCGCTTCTTTGATTTCAAAAGATCTGAATTTTTCTCGACGGGAACAACTTGCTTTTATTTTCTGAAATTTCGATACGAAGAACTTGACAATTATTTTCTTAGATGGATATCAAACTCAATTACGATTTCATTTTCTATTCGAATTATCTTCACAACAATATTTGAGTTTTATCCTTACAATCCTTATCTTATTTTTGAGAAGAGAACGAATTGATGATGAAAAGACAGAGGACAATCTCGGACCGGGCCTTCGACATATTTGAGTCATGCCCAGACATGACCAGAAAGAAAGAAAGAAGGTTAAATCACATTGGATTTCATATCGAAAAAATTCATTTGTATATTTTCCTTTGAAGAAATATTCTAATCATTTCAATAGATACCATCCATCATCTTACAAATTCATCCCAATAAATTAATTACGAAATTTCTTAATAATTGCAATTTTCCAGATTCATTTTATGTGAAAATATTCCCAAATTTTCGAATCCAATTCCATCATATCTCCATGTAGGAAGAGATTATGAAGATATTTTGGAAGATGTGTTATAATTCAAAAAATATTTCTCAATATGGTGAATCCATCACGCAAATTTGTGCGACCATCACACAAATGAATCCGATTTGTTTCTGATTGATCCGCATCTCATCCATCCTTATGTAATCAATCTCACGCTGACAGATTTCGGAAAAGTAAGAGTGGGGGTATTCCTTCGATATGGTTGCCGAAAAACAAGCGAGAAACTGACAGAGTCAATGTGGGGATTGCTCTCCTACCTAGTCTAGCCCAACGGCAACGAAGGAGCGCGGCGCGTCCTATGGAAATGGATTAACATCGCGCCACCTTTCTTTCTTTTCAGGCTCATTAGTATGGGGCGCAGAGATCGACCGACACTCACATCGGATCGGTCCGTCGCGCAGGTATGACGGGCGCGGCCGGCGTCTGAAACAAAAGCCCCGCGCCCAGTCGCGCGATCATGAAAGAGCCGGCCAACATTCATAATCATACATCAGGACCGAAGAGCCTGGCGGACGGCAGGGCGCGCCTGCCTTTTTGCCTTCATCCCTCTCGCCCGACGGTCGGGCAATCCACCAAGCACGGGGGGGGGGGGCGGGCCCGAAACGCCAACGGCCCGGGGGGCGTATTAAATAATTGGCCCGCAAGCGGCCGGCCACAACAAGCGGGCTCCCCGCCGCGGCGCGGGGGACGGGTTAGCTGCGACCGGCTTCGGGCGTTTCAGGGGGCTCGCTTCGCTTCTCTCGCGGGTCCTCACTATATATGGGAAGAAGTGCGTGGGCCGGTTCCCTTATATTATAAGGGAACCGGTCCACGCACTTCTTCCCCCCCGCTCCGTCGGCTCCTTCTGCGCCAGGTCATGCAGGAATTTAGCGCGTTTCTTGCGTTCGACAGAGATCACAGCTGGCGCGCCACATTCGTGCGAATTCTCTGCGCCATACGCAGGAACTAGCTCCCCAACACTCCGACGCCATAGCTTCCGCCGGAGTCACGGCCTTGGGGCCCCTTTCGGCAAGCGACGGCGCCGGAGACGCTTCCCGGCGCTTCTTTGTTGCGGGCTGCCGCTTCCTTGGTTTCTGTCTTTTCATTCTGGAGGTAGCCATTAAGGCCCGGACGGCTTCGCCCAGGTTTGAATAACAACCCGGGGAAACTTAGTCCCGAGGTATGCAGTGGCCAGCACACCACACCGGCGGGCGGGAATCACGGAAAGACGAAGACGAGAAAACCGGCCGCGCCTGAAGATACGCCAGCGCCCGCTCGCCGCAGGGCGCGCCCGGTTTTCCGCCGCGCCTTGGCTTACAATTTGGGGCGGAGATTTCCTCGGGCACGCGGGCACCGCGCCCCAATGCCGGCCGAGCCGCGCCGCTCGCGTGGGTTGGGTTCTGGCTGCCTGCGGCAGCTGCCGGCGGCCGGCGGGTCCGCTCCCTCTGCAGTCAATCAACCTCTATGCCGCCGGCCATATCTCCGAACCAGCTGAGCGACCAAGGGCCCCACGCCGCCCCTTTGGCAGGCCTCCCCTGTGGACTTGGGCGCCTCAAGTAGTTCGGCGGTGTTTCTCCCTCCCGAAGGCAAAGAAAGGGCTGGGCCTCGTCGCGGTTCATTTGGTTCGTTCGCTAGGTGCGGCGGCCATAGCTCCGGAGTCTTGGGCCCCATGCGAAGAACTTGCCACATGCCCACCGACCGTGAAGCCTTCGCCGGCTTTGTGGCTTCTCCGCTCCTCCGGACACTCCTGGTCTATTGGTTCAGCTGCCCCAACGTTCGGTTCCCCAGGCTACCCCGGCGCAGTGCATGACCTCGACAAGCGCACGGCAGAACGACCGCAGTGGGGCGACTGCCGACGGGGCCGCCCGCGACCGACTCCGGCCAAGCGACTCGGCCGGCCAATACTAAGCCAACGGGGCTGGGGCGCCAAGGTATCTAGAGCGTAAGGAAATGCGCGAAACGCGACGTCCCGAGGCTTCACAATTCACAGAAAAAAACGAAGCACGGGCCCACAAGGCCCACACAACGGGAACACACTTTAGAATGGTCCCACAGAAACCGCTTTAGAGGGGGACAAAGAGCCGGTCGCTGCGTTGCCAGGCTCTCTATCGATCGGCGGGTCGTAGAGCTGCTTTCGTCTACAACTGGAGTAAATGAAAGACGGGCAACATACAGCATTTTTGAAACTGCGTGAAATCTACATTTTGAAAGCTGCCGGAGTTCAGCAGGCACGGTCTTGCTTACGTCAACGTCTGTCGTGCCGGTCGAGTCTCGGCATCCTCGCAAAAGGCGGGCAATTGACTTAGGCCCGAAGTGTTTCTTTTCGAAACGGAATCGGAACCTGCAAGCATCAACATCGCAAAAATCTTTGCCGCGATGTGAACGGTGCTACCAAATCATGTCTAGGTACTGCGAAACGCGAAGAAATCATAGAGAAAAGCCACACACTAAGCAAACTTCTGGAAAAGAAAAAAGTGCGATTTTGTACCATAGATACTAAGCAGTGCTCGCATTTTTGTTGCATGCAAATAGATACTGAAAAAGGAAATAAAATTGGCACTGTAACGATTTGATAGTCTTTTCTGATTTGTCGCTTCCACAACCCTCGCCTCTGCATCCAGCAAGGGCGATCGGGATCGATGCTTGCCTTGTCCCGTTCAAGCTACCTAAAAAAGTCAATCGTAATAACACTAAATACATGGAATCGGATATCTCGAGCTCTACCAGCCCGTTCTTCTAGGTCGTCACGACACCAATCGGACATCAACATGCCAAGCTATTTTTCTTGAAAAAAAAAGACATACCGATGGAGCCATGCGAAGCATTTCCGTTTTGTGACATAGACAAAAAATTAAACTATAAATGGAATTGCAATTGTAAGCATAAGTGAGATGGTGAAGAATCTGTGAGAGTCATATTAATTGATCTTCGTCTTTCTACTTTGCGTCGACGCAAATTTCTTCGGCAGTGCTTCTGGAAAATTATCGCTAATTTTGGGTTTATTTTTTTGTTCAACGTCGGTAAAAGTAAAACGAAAGCTAAAATTTTTGCTTCGGAAATTTATAAAACATTCTACAGAACGAGATGAAGCGAAAACGGATGGAAAAAAATACTATGATAGCTCTGTTTCTCAACCGCGTCGAGAGCATTAAAGTTGACCATGAGCTGAGTTAGTTGACACATCTATCTGAGTCTAAAAGTGATTTTCTCCTACCATTCTGTGTAGTAGTTGCTTGTAACTTTTTCAGGGTTTTTGGAATTGCGATAATGATAAAAAAAATCGACAACCAGCCTTGCCTGCACACCCTTGTTCCGACGGATAGGCCGTGAAGACCGCATCTGAACTACCTGTAGCCTGCTCGAAGGCCTTACATGTCCAACAATTCGTCTTCCCTGTTCGCAAACTCGCTTTGGTGTGGATTGAACAGAGACTGAATGTCCGAGATAAAAGTCCCCGGCTTTACAACAGGCACGATCAGTTTCCGTCGTCTTATCTTTTTCGGCGTCCGTGCGGTTTTCGAGGTAGTACCACTTGATCTGCTCTGATCGCTGGCCCCTATCAAGAAGAAAAATCCCTCCTCCCCATATTAAAGCGGAAGGCTATGATGCAGATTTGTGGCCACAAGTCAGCTTTGTCATGCTAGAAGGCAAAAATACGGACTGTAGTGCTGGGTGGCGTGGGACAGCCTTGCATCTTCAGCATGACAGGGGGCAGCTGGAAGCGGGAAACAGCATGACAAATTGCCTGCAAATGAGGCCACAACTGCGGCTCTTGGCCTTGTAGCAATACAAGTCGATTTGTGTACTCAAATACAGCATAACAAATTTCGTTTTCGATATGGAGAGGGGGAATTTTTCCTTGCAATAGTCCCGCCGGTCTCTTTATTACTCTTGCCGCCCGTTGTTCCTGATTTACTGTTTTCCGTCCCTTCGCCTTTTGCCCCGCGCAAGCTGCTGGTCGCCGCTGCGCGGGATTGTGCCTCCGCCACGACACGGTCGACAATCTTTTCCGGAATGTGCTTCAGCCCGTCACTGGTGTCAGGCTCCGTGGAAATTTCTTCGACCGTCGACACCAGATTTCTGCATTCCTGTTCTCGCTCCTTCTCGTAAAACATAGACTCGGCCCACAGCTTCTCGCCGGGCGATGGCCGTGACGGGTTTTGCGGCACGAAGAAGGGGGAATTTTCGTTGAACTCGTGATTCCTTCGCATGACGTAGTACCGGTTCTTCTGTAAAAGCTTTTCCTGATACATCGGCAGTGCTTGGTAGGCAATTACGTGCCAAAGCTGTCGATCATGCGCTTCCCCATTGTTATCATTGAAGGCATCACTGTAGGAAGCAGCTCCGCTGTGGTCATAAGCCGAGGCATATCAAACGCAAAAATGACTGGGTCTGGAACAGTGGAACTTGTGATTCGTGTCTTGCATTCCTGGAAAATCTGTGTTGCATGAGCAGCAACAGAGAAACTTACTTTGTCATGCAAGAACGCAATTCGTGATGTGTGGTAGGCATCAGCAGGCGCCTCTAAAACTTGTCATGCCTGGCTGCCATTGCAAGCGCTTCAATCATGCTCAATCCAGCATCACAGATTTCCAGACCCAGACATTTTTGCATTTGATAAGGCAGCTCCTTCGTCCTCGTAGCCGTACCCACCACCTGGACCTCGGGCAGCGCCGGCAGGGGAAGATGGTGAGCCGGCGTGGCTGTAGCTCTGATCGTACGGATGTTGCGCCCCCTCTGCAGCAGCTGCGAAAGGGTTCGCAGGACTCGTATGCAGTGCAAAAGTATCGTACTCACAGTAATTGCATTTGTGCATAATTGCCAAGGTAAATCAGCATTTACAAATTGAATTCGTAAGGCTGCGCTAATTTTTAATGCAATTTAAATTTATACGTAGTACGATGCTTTTGCATTGCATAATTCGGGACGAAGGGCGAGAAACCGTATGGACCTCCTGCTCCTTCGCTGTGGTACAACGGGTTATTAAAAGTGCCGTGTCCGCCGGGAGGTGGAGCACCAAAGGGCCCTCGCCCCGGCGCGTAAAGATCCCCCTGCCGGTCGTATGGCTTGCTCAAACGTTACAATCTCAAACGTTACAATAGAATCTGAGATTTGTCTTGCATGAACAGCATGAGTACCATACAGAGACTTGGGCTTTTTGCAATACAAATTTCGTCAGAATCTCATGGGGTTTGGGGCTCCGAAACTTGTCATGCGCGCTTCTTTGGGAGTAGGCCAGATGTTGGGGATTTTGCAACACAAATTCCAAATTCTATTGTAACGTTTGAGATTGTAACACCTGAGCGGGTTATAGGTCGGTTCCTCCGTTGGAGCTCCAGGTGGTCAGTCCCATTACAGTGAAAAATGCCCCCACCCCCAAAGTTGCAATAATTTGTGATGCGAAGTTTCCAAATGAAAGGTTTTAACGCCAGACCGTCCGTTACCAAAAACAATTTCAAAACAATTTCAAACTGAATTCAAAATGCCAGCGTTTTTGACGTTTTGGAGCGCTTATGTTCCCGCTTGCGCGGATCGTTGAGGGCCGTGCTGTGGCATCTGTGCCCACTTGATAGCGGGTTTTGGGTGCGCCAGCTTCGTGTGGCGCCTGTCTGAGGGATACAGGGGATCTTCGTTGGAGTTGCATTTTCGGAGCTCGCCCAGGTATGACACCAACCCGGCCAAAATGGCTCGGGCGGTAACACGGGGGCGGGCGGCTTCAGAGGGTCAAAGGAGCCCGCTCCGTCTGTTGATGGCACGTTGCAGGCACGCTGCCTGATGCGCCGCCTTGCCTTCTAGGCGGGCCAGATGTTCCCATGGAGCGCACCGGTGACGAGACGCGAAGTCCCCGGCGGCTCCCGGGGCGCGAGCGGGGGGTTGGGGGGGAAATGTGTGCCCGCAACTGCATTTCCACGGCCTTGCTGTTCCGTTCGTTTTTTGTGAGCTGGTGGCAAGTGGCGTTGTGCGGTTGCACATGCTGCGATGCTTAAGATTGGCATGGGCTGCAGAGGGCGGGGCCCAGCCATCAACTGCGTGCCGAGGCAGAGGGCAGAACGCTTTGGGGTTCTCAGGGGATGGCGGCTGGGTCCAGCTTTCGCCACATGTCAAGGCGATGCGCCCTGACATGTAGCACGAGACGGACCCCGCATTCAATTTCAAAGCGAATCCGCGAATTCAAAACGAATCCGCGAATTCAAACTGAATCCGCGAATTCAAACTGAATCCGCGGACTCCTTTTCAATTTCAAACCAAATCCGTTGCTTCCTGGAGGGGCCCCACCAATTTCGAACTGAATCCGAATTGCATCCGAATTCCATCCGATTTCCATCCGAATTCGATTTCCCTAATAAGGAATTGGATTCGGATGAAAAACGGATGGAATTCGGATTCCGTTTGAAATTGGTTGGATCAATTTGGGGTCCAGTCTGATGCCATCTTCTACATTACAACAGAGTCTCTGGGCTAGGTTGTACATTTTTTGGCGCGCGCTGCCGCGCGCGCCAATATCCATGTGTCTTTCAGTGCCCTTCTCTTTCATTCCGTGTCGGCTCGTTGGCGGCGTGGCGAATTGTGTTTCGTGGGGCTGTGTTGCAGCCTCTGAGCAGCAGAGTGGGTTGTCTCAGGTGACGCCGATCGTTTTCGCGCAGCCTTGCTGGTTTGGATTCGATTGAACCTACACCACCTGCGCGCGGCCTCTTGGGCGTTTGGGGCGAGCGAAGTAAAGGCGCGGGCCATGGACGGGCGCCGGTGGGGAGCCGGCGTCCCGCATGGAGCGCTTCTGCTCAGATTGCAAGGCCTTGGCCGTGAAGCACATGGGCCCTGCAAGTGCGCCGCCAACGGAGCTGGGGCTTCGTTCATTCGAAAATCTTCGTCGAATGTGGATGACCAACCCGGAGCAGCTCCCTCTTCCGTGGTCGTGTTGCATCCTAAGTGCGCTTTCTACTTCTATCTTCTTTTCCCGCTTATGCCGCAAAGCCTTGCCGCGCTGTTCATCTTCCTTGCCCAGTCTGTACAGAATGTCGCGCGTCTGTCGAGCTTCTCTTCCTGCCGTGCCCGTGGTGGCATCTGTGGCCATGATGAGAGGGCTTTCGGTCGGAGGCCCTTGCGCAATTGCGTGCGGTTTCTGTGCTTCTGGGTGAGGCACTACAGGCCATGCCCGATGCGTCTCAGCAAGCTTTTCCAACTGTGTCTTTTTGAAAGCTGAGGCATTTTGAATTCAGTTTGAATTCAGTTCGAAATCGAATTACACGACGGCACGGCCAGAGTTAAAAAGGTTTTTGTCATGCATGAAAGGAGTCTGAATCTTTGTGATGCAGAGTCTTCTTGGCGTATATAGCATTGCTTGCATGATAAGCGCCGCTTTTGCTGGGATCTTTTGCAATACAAATTTTCGCTATTGACGATTGGAAATCTGTGATGCTGATAGATGCAAGAGGGCGAGTGTTTCACTTGGAAAGGTTTGCAATGCAAATGCTCCCGAGAAGTTCGGGGGTGGGGGCATTTTTCATTGTAATAAGTCCTCCTGCGTCTTTGAAGGTAGACATCTGGCGGCCCTGGACGGCAATCAGGCGCACGATGTCGTGTTCGTCGAAGCCGATCTGGGAGTGGCGCTTGAACCATCTCTATGCATTGGTTGCAAATGTCATGTCTGAGTGGTCTGGATTTTTTGTGATGCTGGACCTAGTATCAAGGACAACAGCTTCATCTACATGTGATCTGTAGTGCATGTATACGATTATGGCCAGCTTCTTTCTCTTTGTCGTGCTGGATATGGAAGTTTGTTATTTGCTTGTTCTGCATGCGAATGAATCTGCAAGAAATAAAGTGAAGAAGGAAATAACTTCTCATGCTCTTCTGCCGTACAGGCAGCGCAGCCAGTATGTAACGCAAGTATAATCAGCAACACAAGTTTCCAGACATGATCCAGGGATGATAAGTATTTGCAGATCCATAACTTCATGCGGGTTCCCGACTTCTTGTACCTTCTCCTTTTTTTATGGATTGCAAAAATGTCTGGGTCTGGAAGGATGTAACTTGTCATGCTGGTCTTGCATTCCTGTGAAAGCTGTATTGCGTGACCAACAAAAATGGTAGCCTCTCATGTCATACAAAAACGCAGTTTCTCATGCGGAATTCGGATGGGAAAGCGTTCTGCAAACTTGTCATGCTTTTCTGCATAAGGAAGTGTTTTCCTCTTGCACATTTTAGCATTACAAGTTTCCAGACCCAGACATTTTTGCATTTGATATATTTTGGATAATCGGATCCAAACCACACACCCCCTGCGAATTTTTGTTTCGCCCCGCGCCCTATCAAATGCAAAAGTGTCTGCATGTCTGGAAACTTGTGATGCTGGGTTGTGAATAATGAAAGCAACTGTAATGCACAGCCAAGCAACATGAGAAATATCTGCGCTTCTTTGTGTTGCGTTTTTCGCATGAGAAACTGCGTTTTTGCATGACAGGCAAGAAAAGGGTCTCTTCTTGGACACGCATCACAAACTTGTTGCTCATGCCACACAAGCATGACAAGTCTCGCAATCTTCCAGACCCAGACATTTTTGCATTTGATACGCCCACATCAGTTTCGGGTCGGCCCAGGCCACCGGGTCTCCGGACCGAAAGTCGATGTAGGTGATATAACGCGCTCAGCTGTTACAATCTCAAGCGTTACAATAGAATATGGAAATCTGTGATGTAAGAAGTGCATGATGTAGCTTACTCCCACAGGCCTGCGCATGACAAGTTCTAGAGTCCCAAACCGCAAGAGAATCTGGCGAAATTTGTATTGCAGAAAGTGGAATGCTGTCCGTGTCTGTCATGCTGATCATGCAATACAAAATCCAGACTGACTCCATGTCTGTTGTAACGTTTGAGATTTCTGTAACGTTTGAGCAGGTCATAGGTGAGAATCTCGTTTCCGTCACTAGTCACGACGTGCGACGGTTTTTTCGGAATCGACAGAATCAGGTGGTTCGCCAGCGGATGTTATGCATTGGAAATATGTCTGGGTTTGGAAAGGTTGAGCCTGTATTGCGTGTTTTGCATTCCTGAAAAATCTGTGTTGCATCACTAGCAAAAGTGCCACACTTTGGTCAGGCAAGGTCGCAGTTTGTACTGCACACTACGCATGAGAAAGCGCTCGAAATAAAATTTGTCATGATTCGCTGACCTTACAGGCGCACTCAATCATGTTCATGACCATTTCCATTCAGCATCACAGGTTTCCAGACATCAAGGGATATTTGCAATGCATAGGTGTGGTGGCTCCGGAACATGATCCGGCTCTGGTACTGCATTTTTGCCCAGGGGACCTCCACTTGAAGATGTTGCGAAGGGAGAGGGTGTACTGCCACTCTCGAGCAGGGTATTTATTGCTCCGGAAATTCCCTTATGCACTGCAAAAGTATCTTCGTACTCGTATAAAATGCAAATGCATTTACAAATTTCCTCAGCATGAGAAATAAAATTTGTAATGCGGATTTACCTTTAAGAAAAAGATTTGTAATGCATGATTGCAAGACGAGTACGATACTTTTGCAGTGGATATCCCTTCGAAAGGAAGGGGACTTCGTAGTTTGGCTCGAGCAATTTGCGAGGATCTTTGCCCTCGAGCACCTGTTGCATGAGCAAGTGGGCTATGCAATACAAATTTCCCGTACATGCACAAAATGCATGACAAATTTTAATTTCGCTAGCTTGCAGTGTCCTCCCACTTGTCATGCTAGACTAGGATTGAAGGCAAGTTTTGTCGTGCAGAGACTGCATTTGTTTTTGTACGTGTACGGGAAAAAATTTGCTGTGGATAAGGGCAAAGTCGCAATCCAGTGCCGTTAGCGGCTCCCCAGGCGACGGCTGTTCCTCGAGTGGCACATCAGTGTTTTCGAGAATCGTCATTTCTAGCTTTGATTTGGAGTTGATCAAGTCGACTAGCAGCTCGTCTTTGAAAAGGTCTTCCTTTGTCCGCGCCCAGTCGTCAACCAAGTCCCCGGCCACGCTCCCTAGCGCAGGGCTACTACTTTGCGTCTCGCCGTCCCCGCCTCCCCCGAACCAGGAGCTGCCAGAAAACCACCGACCAAAGAAAGAGGGCTGCTCTTCGTCAGCACTTGGTGTAGTGCCAGCATGGACGCCAGGCGCAGTAGTACCACGAGCACTGCTACCACCTCCGTGCGAGTTCTCCAGTGCGAGTTCTTTGTCAATTTGTGCCTTCTGCTCAGCTTCCAGCTCGATATTTTGCTCCTCTGCCGCGAGTTTGCGGATTTCGTCTTGTTCTGTAGTGTCGTATATGCATTGCAAATATTCGTCTCGGTCTGGAAAGGTGCAAGAGGTTTGTCATGCACGTTTTGCATGAAGACCCATGGGCATGATTGATGTCTCGTCTGTGATGCATGCCGTAGCATCACAATTTTTTTGAAAACTTCATCCTGATGCCCATTTCATCCCGCGCGAGAAATATTACCCTTGTCTCGGCGTTGTAGCAACAACTGCAGTCCTCTTGCTCTTCAAGTAATGCAGATCCTTTTAGAATACAAATGCAGCACCCACTTCACAAGCTGCACTCTACGTCCAAACCCAGATGGATATTGTTTGCAATGCATATCGTAACCCAAGGTTCGCGCCACCCAGCTTTTCACCTTCCCATAAGTGCCTTCCTTGAAAGCTTGGCTCCTTTCCTTCATTTGCTGGACCGCCTCTACGCGCTTCTGCCGGCGCTCCATCCGCATGCGCTCGTCGTATCTTCTGCGCTTCAGCAACTGCACGGGAGTGACCAACGGGCGGGCGCTATTCTGAGTAAAAGCGTCCCCACACCCGGGTTGTCATGCAAATCTGCATGCTGAAAATGTTTCTCATGCGTAGTGCCATGAGAGCCATTTTCTGGCTGCGTTTTGGAGTTTGTGATGCTAGAAGTAGCGCGATATGGTAGATCTGTGATGCTGATGAACTATAATCCAAACAGGATTGCACTACGAGAGCAAGCTTGTCATGCGAAACAACCAAAGCTGGTTGATTTGTCTAGCAGATTTCCCATCTTGACTCTGGTGTGGGGACGTTTTTACTCAGGATACGAGCGGTCGTAGCAGATGAAGGGGCTGTTGTTGAAGAAGTCCAGAGCGTATCACATGCAAAAGTGACTGGGTCTGGAAGGTTGGAACTTGTGATGCTAACTTCGGAATCTAAAAAGATCTGTATTGCATGACCAGCACGAGGAGACATCTCGTTTGTGCTACGCATGGGGGGCATTTGTCATGCGGAGTAGGCATCAGGAAGCCCTCTAAAAATCGGTGATGCTAGGTCGTGCATTACAGACATCCTGGGTCGTGCAAAATATGCATAAACAAACCCGGCAACATTCCAGACCCAGACATTTTTGGATTTGATAGAGCGCGGTTTAGCCTGGATTTCGGGTCGATTGCCTGTGCTCCGGTTTGCGGGTCGATCAGCATGTTTACTAACGGGACGTCGAGATACCTTTTCTGGTGCAGGTCTTGCTCGTATGAGAGTGCACAATTGATTCCCCCTGCTGCCCCTCATTTGTCATGTAAAACCCCCAAGCCAATCGCTGCCTCGTCGCACTGTTTGCATGACAAATTCCGGAAGCCCAAACAGTTAACAGTACTACATTAGGCACACAAATTTGCCATGCAGTGCCTCCACATGTGCTGGCATTTGTATAATTGCTGTTCTTGCTATACAAAAACAAATGAGGGGAAGGGGGAGTTGTGCACTCTCGTCATAGCTCGGTTCGGATTTGTTCGACGGCCTCTTTCAAATCGTGCTCTTTCTCGATGCTGGTCCGGGAATCGAAGGGCGCGTTTTCCCGTGCCGATTGGGTCTTAGCCGTCTGCTATGAACTGCAAAAGCAACATACTAGTAGAGATTGCATCACAAATTTGCTCAGCGCGACAAATGGAAATTGTCATGCTGATTTGCCTTGGGAACAAGATTTGTAATGCGAGACTTGCATTTCTACGAGTACGATACTTTTGCAGTGGATATCCGCCCACCTATAGCCTCCTCAAACTGCACCGCTTCCTCTCGGGCGCGAATTCGGTTTTGCTCCACGAGCTGAGCTATCAAGTGTAAAAATGTCTGGGTCTGGAAGAATGCGCGATTTGTCATGCAGCTTTTCCATGACCCATGAGGCCTGGAATGCAGGACCTCGCATGACAGATCCTGTGCGATCTCTCTCATGCCTATCCTGCATGAGAAACTCCCTCCCGACTTGGTTAAAACCAGACACCTTTTGGTAATCATGCAACACAGATTTTTGCATCCTTCAGCTTTAGCATGACAAGTTGCATTCTTCCAGACCCAGACATTTTTACATTTGATATGAGCAATCAGTTTTCGCTCAAAGAGGTCTCTGGGCGCGAGAGCAATCAGAGCAGGGGGTGTTGCTGTGCTGTTGTTCTTGTTGGCCTGGTTCTTGCTGGTGCTGCTGTCTTCTTGTTGGTCTACAGCATGATCCGCACCAGCGTCTTGTCCTGGAGTATTGCTCAAGCTCTCCTCTACTCCGTCTCCCTCCCCTTCTTTCGCCGGCCGCCTTATCACCACGGGAACGTCGTTCTGGATGTCTTCGATTCTTTGCTTGATGGTCTTTTTTATCACAAGAAAAAGTGTTAACGTTAACAGAATGTGTGATGCAGAAATGCATCACAAGACGTGTCAGAATTTGCTATGCATAGCATGCATATTGGGCTACATTTGTGATGCATGACTGCAATCTGTGAAAATCGTTAACATTAACACTTTTTCCTGTGATATTTTTTATCTTTCCGGCGTCGATGAAGTGGCCCGGGCTACTATCCACAGTAAATTTACCGGACACGTACACATGCGGTCTCTGCATGGCAAAACTTGTCTTCTTTTCTAGTTTAGCATGACAAGTTTTACACTCCAAATTGGTGAAATTTGTGATGCATCTTGTACATGTACTGGAAATTTGTATTGCATAGCTACTACCTAATCCGCTGCTGCTGCCCAAAGATCGCTGGGCCGCCTTGCGCTCGATCCACTGCTCCATGTGCTCCGCGCTTCGGTACCGCCCCGTCTCGAGCTCCTGGAGGTCTTGTATGCATTGCAAAAGTTGCTTCGTAGTAGACAGAAATTGCAATACAAGTTAGGTCAGCATGACCACAAATGGACTTTCTTATGCTGATTCAGCGTAGAAAAGAGATTTGTCATGCATAATTGCGATTACTTCTACGAGTACGATACTTTCACAATGCATATCTTGCAGGGTCTGGCTAAACTTGTGCGTTTCGACCAGAGGCACAGTGACGTAAAACTTCAACACCGTGACGCTGTGCGCGTACAACGCCTTGGCAATCCTCATCTTCCAGTATGAAAGCCTCAAAGTGGAAATCCTCAAAATGGAAACAATTTGTGATGCATGAAATGCGACGCAAGAAAGCCTTGTCCTGCTACGGGTTAAGAATTGGAGTGCTGATTAGCACGAGAGAAGGGCACCCCTTTGCCTTAACCTGCATGACAGACATACTTCGAGTGCCCGGGAAATTTGTCATGCGCCGAGTAGAAATGGTGCTTCAACTGGAGTGGTTTTTTGCATTACAAACTATTTTCAAATTGAGGATTTCCAACCTGAGGCTTTCATATCCAGGTCTGCAGTCCAAACTGCTCCTGTTTCCACTTTAACAGCTTTCGGCGAACCATCTTCGGCAGGTGTGGTGAGCAAAACCGTCGTCCCCGCACCAGAGTCAAAATGGAGGGAAACCTGCTAGACAAATCGCCAAACTTTGGCTGTTGCGCATGACAAATTTTGGCTCGCATAATGTAGCCGTTTTTAGCTAGTGAAGCAGAAAATCACAGATCTAGCATAGTACCATGCGGAAGTGAGCATCACAAATCGCAAAATACACCAATAGAAGCTGCTTCTCTTAGGTGGTCTCCGCATGAGAAACTATTTTCAGCATGCAGATTTGCATATACAACCTGGGGCTGGGGAAGGGACCACGTTTTTACAAATGATAGCAGGTTGCGCCACACGTTGGTCATGGTTTGGTTCACGGAGTTCTGGATAGTGATGCCGAAAGTTTTTACCTTGTCTCGGATCCAGTTCCAAGGGTCGGCCTTCTCTACTCTTTTCTGCTTTTGCCTTTTCCGCCACGTCTGGATAGCAGATCTTTTTTTCTTTTGCTCCTCCTTGCTCGTTCGGCGCCCACTGAACACACTCCTGAGGCTATGCCGAAGGTGGTGCTCCCTCGTTTCATCATCTTCCTCCTGCACGATATCGTCATCGGGTTCGGCGTCTCCAAATGCAGCAAGTGCTGCCATTTTACTACGTGAAAGTGGATTTATTTGTTCACCTCCAGTGTCCAAATCTTCTATTGCTTCGTCCAGCTCTTCGGCCTGCCGCTGCGAGAGCATGGAACTCTCTTCCTTTACCATATGCAGCAAGGCGTCTAGATCCGAAATTTTTCCATCCCCGTCCAGGTCCTCGAGCAGACTGTTCTTTCCATTCTGATCCTCTTCCGCGTCGTCAAAATTCTCGGCCATCATCAATCGGCGCAGTCTGGCAACGTCAGCCTCGTCGTTTGCTAGGCGGGCCATGAACGGATCCACGTCCGCGTGAGCTCCGGAAAAGATAGACGCTGCTTGTGCTTTTTTGGAGGGCAAGTTGGAGATTTCGTCCCGCTCTCCAAATCCGAAGTCCACGTGCAGCTCGTGCAGGCTCTGCATATGCAAAGCAAAAGCATCGCGCAACTAGTAGAAATCGCATGACAAATTCCCTCAGCATGAAAAATGAAATTCGTAATGCGGACTTAGGTTAAGAGGGAGACTTGTAATGCATGACTGCGAGGATTACTACGAGTACGATATTTTTGCAGTTCATACTGCATGATGTGGTTCAACTTCTTCCCGGCGTAAAGGTCCTTTCGTGCCACCCGGATCTCGACGCAGATCCGGCTGCCGGGGCGAAACTCGAGGGATTTCGATGTTTGCAGGGGGGAGCCGGTGCCTTTCACCCAGTCCTTGTGAATCGGGGTCAGCTCGCCGCCGTGGGAGCTTGACCACTATCCTGTGCAAAAGTATCTCGTACTCGTAGTACTAATTGCGGTCATGCATTCCAAATTTGTTTCTTAAGGCAAGTCCGCATTACAAATTTTATTTCTCATGCTGAGGAAATTTGTAATGCATTTATACGAGTACGATACTTTTGCGATTTATAACCACATCACAGAGACCATTTCCGGTGGCTTCTGCTTCTCCATTTCCTCCTTCGTCATGCCCGCAACTTGCGCTTTCCAGGCTTCGGGCGTGCTGTGCTGCTCTATCCAAGAAAAAACAGAAACACCCATCCCCATCGAATTTGTCATGGAAAACCTGCATGAGCTGCAGCGTTTGTCATGCAAAAAATGGATGGGATGGGTGTTTTTCCCTGGATCATATGCTTGTTCTCATTTTCCTCCCCGTGACCCACCAACAGCCACAGGGTGGCCAGCACATCCTGCTTGCGCACTTATGAGAGTGCACAACTCTCCGTCGTTCTCATTTCTCATGCAAAACACCAATTCCAGACTGTTCCTCCTGTCACTATTATGCGTGACAAATTCTGGTAGCCTGAATAGCACTATACTCCTGTGTAAATTTGTCATACAAAACCGGCACTCTTGCTCATGCTTTTATTGCCGTGCATGCTATACAAATCAGGGGGAGAGGGAGTTATGCATTGTCATAGTACTAACGCTGCCTGTTGGAGATTTGACGCCCAACGACCGTTCATCATGTTGTACTGCTGGTCTTGAATTTGTTGTTGGGCACCAGCACCTTGTAGACCGGAATTTAGATTATAGGAGTTAGGAGTAGAATGGCCCATGCCCCCACCGGGCGGGTGATCTGGTACACCTGCGCCGCCTGCAGCACCAGAGTAGAAATTAATATTGCTCCTTCTGCCTCCTTCTATGCCTGTGTTGTAGCTGTGGCTGTGCGGATTTATGATTCCGTTTCCGCCCGTCAAAGAGCTACCCGGAGGTCCTCCACCCCCATAATTGGGATTGTCGTCGTACTGGCATCCCATCGGAATCCAATGCTCCGGAATGTTTATGGTCCGGAACAGGGGGGAGAAATCGAGAGGCCTCGAGCAAAAGGGATCGCGGTCGCAGTGGGGGTCATTCTTGATATTGCACTTCGTGCGCACGATATCGCACGAAAAAAGTTTTTCGCTGGAAGAATTTTGCAAGTTTTGCATCACAAGTCTGCTCTACATCACAGGGAAAATTTGCCATGGGAGATGCCTAAGGGAAAACACAGCTAAAAATCTATTGTCTTGCATGTGTATCATCGTCATCACTTGCATGCGTAGCAAGAGAAACACTTCTCAGATGATACATTTTCTGCATTACAAGTTTACAGCGAAACAGTTTTTTCTTGCGATACACGAGCCGGGCGAAGTTTTCGACGTCGATCCAAGTCTGCATCACGTTTATCGCAAGAAAAAAGTGTTACAGTTACACATTGTCATGCAAGACTAGCAACAGAGACGACCTTTCTCATGCAGGAAATGCTTCGGATCCTCGTTTCCTTCGCCTTCCTGTTTTCCCTTATGATCTTCGCATTACAAGTTTTCTCTGCCACACAGAGAAAATTTGTGATGCAGAAACTCCAACAAATGTGTAACTGTAACACTTTTTTCTCGTGATAACGTTCCGCAGTCGAACATAGAAGTCGACTTTTTCCACTGCCTATGAATGGCAAAAGTGTACTATCGTACTCGTCTAAATGCATTACAAATTTCCTCAGCATGAGAAATAAAACTTGTAATGCGGATTTACCTTTAAGAAAAAGGTTTGTAATGCATGAATTATTACGAGTACGATGCTTTTGCAGTTCATACCTCCGCGCCCTTCTTCGAAACGCCGAGAAAGTAGGGGTCGTCCTCGATGTATCGCAAGAAAAAACTGTTACAGTTGCACATTGTGTTGCAAGACCGGCGACACAGACAACCTTTCTCATGCAGAAAATGCTTGCTGGGAGCCTCGTTTCCTTCCTGTTTTCCGTTATGATCTTCGCACTACAAGTTTTCTCTGCCACACAGAGAAAATTTGTGATGCAGAAACTCCAACAAATACAAATGTGTAACTGTAAACACTTTTTTCTCGTGATACGACGCGCGTGTTTTCTGCCTCGTGCTCCCGAATGGTGTACCGCAGCAGATCCAACACCACAAGCTCCACCTTGGACGCCCCCATGCCCAGCCCGAGGGGCAACCCGGCGCTGGCGTCGCACTGCGCTTGGTTCGTGTGAGAGTGGAGAACTCCCCCTCGCACTCATTTGTCATGCAAAACCCCAGAAGATCCAGTTGCTGCCTTGTGGCACTGTTTGCATAACAGATTCTGAGAGCCCAAACAGTACTACATCAGGCACATAAAAAATTTGTCATGCACAGGCTCCACGTGTGCTGGTGTAGGTGTTTGTATTGTTGTTCATGCCATACAAATGAGGGGGAGGAAGGGTTGTGCACTGTCATAGTTGGTGTCGTCGAGCGAGATGCCCTGGTGAAGAAGCGAGTTTGCGTATCCTGAGTAAAAAAGTACCCACAGCAGAGTTGTAATGCAGATTTGCAAAGACAGGAAGACTTGTAATGCGCATCCGCATGAGAGCCATTTCCAGTCGTGTTTTGGAATTTGTGATGCTGTGAACAGGATGAGCAGACGAATCTGTGATGCGGCTACACTTGCTAACCTGCACTACACTGCAGAGTGCAACTTGTCATGCGTGACTCACAAAGCTCCTAGGTTTGTGTTGCAAAATCCCCATCCTGACTCTGGTGTGGGGACGTTTTTACTCAGGATATTGCGTGCAGCGGCTCCAGGGGCCCGTAGGAAATGCAGTTGTGGTATGCAATACAAATTCATTTGCGTACATCAACTACATGTGCAAGAAGATGCATCACAAATTTCACCAATTAGGATCTCAAAAACACTTGTCATGCTAAACCGAGATCGAAGCCAAGTTTTGTCATGCAGAGACCGCATTTGTTTTTGTCCTTACGTCGTGTACGGGAAAAATAAATTTACTATCGATACGTGGGCAAAGTCGTCCATCTGGATTTTGTAGGCCCGCAGCCGCTCGCTGTGTTCCTTGGTGCACACCCGTTGCAGCGATTCGCGTGAGGTCGAGGCCAGTTTGCTGCAATACTTATCTATCAAATGCAAAAGTGTCTGGGCCTGGAAGATTCTGAGACTTGTCATGCATGTTTTGCATGACCCAGGATATTTGTAACGCACGACCTAGCGTCACAGATTTTTTGAGGGCTTCCTGATGCCTACTCCGCATGACAAACGCCCTCCCCGCGTAGCGCATACTCTTGCTGGTCATGCAATGCAGATTTTTTTAGAGTCCAAAGGTAGCATCACAAGTTCCAACCTTCCAGACCCAGACACTTTTGCGTTTGATATTATTCGTTTCCGAGTCGATCATGGCAGCGTGGCGAGAAGTAGTACTTCTGTGCGACGACGAGTTATTATGAGAGTGCACAACTCCCCCTTCCCCTCACTTGTATGACATCATCAGCATTACAAACACCAGTACAGGTGGCCCCTGTGCATGACAAGTGCATGCGCCGAGTGTAGTACTGTTTGGATTTCCGAAATTTGTCATGCACACGGTGCCACAAGGTAGCAACTGGATTTGGGTTTTTGCATGACAAATGAGGGGGAGGGGGAGTTGTGCACTGTCATAGTCATGGTGCGCCGACGCGAACAGCTCGTCGTCGTGCGGATTGTGAGACGAGGAGGAGTTATCAAATGCAAATTATGTGTCAGGGTCTGGGAGGTTGATGCAACTTGTCATGTTAAATCTGAATCAGGCAAAAAACTGCGTTGCATGATTGCCAAAAGTAGTTGTCCACTTCTGCCCTAAAAATCGAGCGCAGTTTCTCATGCGGGATAGGTATTAGAAAGATCTCACAGAATCTGTCATGCTATGTCCTACATACCAGACCTCATGGGTTTATGGAAAACCTGCATGACAAGTCTGGCATTCTTCCAGAGGACCGAAAACATATTTGCATTTGATAGGAGTAGGCAGCATTTGGCCCGGTTCGAGCGTTGTGAAGCCCATGTATGGATGTGTGAGGATCGAAATCGACAAAATCGAAAAATTTGTGATGCGTAAAATGTATGGCACTGGAGGCCTGTATTGGGGAGGAGGCAAATGAGACCGATTGTGAGCCTGTTGAGGGGTATGAAGTGTGCTGCCAAAGTAGCATGACAGAAGCAGTCTTCTTTGCCCAAACAGCATGACAGACTGCGTTTGAGTTCCCCCGAAATTTGTCATGCGCCACTTACAGACTGAGGCTCCAACTGGTATCGATTTTATGCATCACAAATTTTTCGACTTTGTCGATTCCAATCCTGACACTCCCATACCTTGACCGGAGCTAGTATCCGAGAAGGCGCGACTCAAATCTTGCACGTGGAGGCTTGTTATCCTGTGCAAAAGTATCGTACTCGTACTCATTGCTTTTATGCATTACAAATTTTTTTGTTAAGGCAAATCCGCATTACAAATTTAATTTGTAGTGCTGAGCTAATTTGTATTGCAATTACTACGTATTATATTCATGCGAAAAAAGAGGTAGACAGAGGGTAAACAAGAGGTGGCCGAGAGGTCAAAAAGAGGCCAAAAGAGGTAAAAAAGAGGTCGACAGAGGTGGAGAGGTGGCGCGGGACCCCTTTCGAGAGGATCGGCGAAGAGGGTGCGCGAGTATAGCCCGCCGAAGGCCCCACCTTAAGGCGGCGCCTAAGTGCCTCAGAGGGTGCAGAGAGGTCAAAAAGAGGGGGCGCGAGAGGTCGACAGAGGTCGAGAGAGGTGGCGCGAATAAGGGGCGACCTCTCGCGGACCCTCTTGGCCACCTCTCGGCCACCTCTGTCGACCTCTACCCGCGAGCATAGCCGGATTATTAGCGGGGACCCCCAAAAGAGGTAAAAAAGAGGGTCTGCGAGAGGTCTACGAGAGGGTAAAAACACAAAGTGGCGGGCGCGAATCCGCATGGTCATACCCATATTTGGCACTGCAGGCTATTCGCGGACTTGTCTTGTTCGGCGCCTGTCCCCGCCACCCTCTCGCGCCACCCTCTCGCACACCCTCTCGCGCCACCCTCTCGCGCCACCCTCTCGCGCACCCTCTCGCGCCACCCTCTCGCGCAACCCTCTCGCGCCACCCTCTCGCGCTACCCTCTCCCGCCGAGCGCCTTCTGTTCGCCCCCGTTGTTCTTTGCAGCTGCTCCCTGCGCAGAGCGCCCGCAGGCGCGGGAAGCGCGCAAGTGGTCCTGCGGGTTGGCGCGGCGCAAACCAGCGGCACGAATGCAGTAAGTTTCGTTGTACATAGGCCCGTGGGGTTGTGGTCCGATCGGCAAACAGTCATGCCCCGGCCCAACAGCCGTGCGCTCCGGCGGCAGCCGGAGCATGGCTGGTTTATACTAGTGCGATGCTTTTGCAGTTCATACTTGTTGCCCCATGGCGCTGCGTCGCTTTCTTCATGAGAAAGCAACACTGAATTTTCTGCTTCACATATCCCACGAAAAAAGTGCTACAGTTACACATTGATAAAATATGTAATTTCAGCATCACTAAGTTGCGCTGCACGACGAGAAAAACTTGTAATGCGCAGACAATAAGGCAAAAAAGGATGAAATGAGGCTGCCAAGCATTTCCTGCATGACAGAGGTTTTCTGTCTTGCTTGTCTCGCATCAGAATGCTTAACTGTAACACTTTTTTCCCACGATATCACATTCTCGATGTAGTCGAGCATCTCTTGGATGTATCCAGGAAAAACCACCCATCCACATCCAATTTGTCATGCAAAACACGTATAGGATCCTGTGTTTGTCATGCCAAAAAGGAAAAATGGGTGTGGAGGGTTTTTTTTCTGTGGATAGGATGTTTAGCTGACACGACGTGGTGATGGGGTTCCGTTTGTGAATATCCTGTGTAAAAACGTCCCTACCCCGGAGTTGTCATGCAAATGTGCAAAGACAGGACCACTTGGAGTGCGCATTTCCATGAGAGGCATCATTTCCAGTCGTGTTTTGGCATTTGTAATGCTGTAAACAGGATGAGACAATGGCTTTCTCATGCGGCTTCACTTGTTAGCCTGAAAAAATACATTGCAGATGGAATAAACTTGTCAGGCAAAACTCCCAAAAGAACTTGGGGATTTGTGTTGCAGACTTGCCATCTTGACACTATGGTGTGTGGACGTTTTTACATAGGATAGTGGATGCTGTTCCCACCCGTCAAATCGACACTCATCTCGATGTCGCGACCGATGCGGAAGTGTGAACTGCAAAAGTATCCTATCGTACTTGTATAATTGCGTTACAAATTTGCTCAGCATGAGAAAAAAAAATTGTAATGCGGAGTTACCTTAACAAGAAGATTTGTAATGCATGACTGCAATGAGTATGACTACTAGCCTCTTGACGCGGGCGCCCAGGACGCCCGCTGGGCTAGTAGATTTAAACGCTTAGAAGGTCTGGCGTGGAGTCGAATAGGATGTGGCTAGAAGGTTGAAAAGCATAACGCTGCCTGCCGCGAGGAAGATCGTTGCCGCGCCTGCGCTTGCCCTACCGGCCTCGCCGCCTTAACGCCTTTTGCGGTCCGGCGTCCAGGACGCCGGCCCGCCGTCAGCCCTATAGCCGCGTTGCCGCGCCTGCGCTTGCCCTCGCGGCCTCGCCGCTTTAACGCCTTTTGCGGTCCGGCGTCCAGGACGCCGGCCCGCCGTCAGCCCTTTAGCCGCACGCGGCAGGCAAAGCGAAGGAGGCCAGTTGCGAAGCTTATTCTGGGGCGGCTTCGGCGGCCGGCGTAAAGAAAACCCCCGCCCCTGGATGGGGATGGGCCTCACGCTTCCGGGGGCTTGTTTGCGCGGTTTTGCCTCGCGCCCCCCCACCCATGCCATACACCAGAAGCCGAGGGGCAAAAGCGTGCGCGAGAAAAGTGATTGAAGCCGAATAGGAAAAGCGTGCCCGGCCGGAACGAAAGAGGTGGCAAAAAGTGCCTGCCTGGAAGCTCTTGGCCATCACTCTTGCCCGGTTGCCCGACCGGAAAGTGATGGGCAAAAGTGATGGCCATGGAGCACTTGGCCAACACTTTTGCGCGACCAGAAAGTGGTGGCCGCGGAGCTCTTGGCAAACACTTTTGCCCGCGCGGGAAGAAAGTGAGTGACTGATGGCCGAAAGTGAGGGCCTGGGAGCTCTTGGCCATCACTTTTGCCCGACGGACAAGAAAGCGCTGGGCAAAAGCAATAGACAAGGCAGGGGCCCTTGGCCACAACTTTTGCCCGTCCGGAAAGTGGTTGGCAAAAGTGATGGCCAAGGAGCTGTCGCCATCGTTTTTCTTTGCCCGGCCGAAAAGTGATGGCCAGGGAGCTTCTAGCCATCACAACTTTTTCCCGACCGGAAAGCGATTGCAAAAATTGATGGCCGCGGAGTTCTTCGCCATCACTCTTGCCCGAGGGAGCCAGCGACCGGAAAGCGATGGCCAAAATCGCTCTTGCTCGGACGAAAAGCGATGGCCGCGGAGCTCTTGGCCATCACCTTGCTTTGCCCGGCCGCGAAGCGATGGCCACTTTGACGGCCAGGGAGCTCTTGGCCAGCACTTGCGCCCGGCCGAAAGGCGATGCCCAGGGAGCTCTTCGCCATCACTTTTGCCAGCGCTTGCCAAGGGTTTCTTTCATCGAAAAAAACCAGCGCCAAGCTCGTGGCCCCATGTTGTCGCCAGGATACGCTTCGCGACGGACAGTATCCTGACGACGGCAGGAAGATTCGGACTCGAAAAAATGGCATTCCCATTTTTCCAATCCGGGTCCCCCTGCTGTCGTCAGGATACTGCCGCGAAGCCCTTCGCGACAGTATCTATCCTGGCGACAACAGGGGGGCTCGGGGGTGAGAGTGGTGCTCGCACTGACTTGGGCGGCAAGTTGTGAAAACCGCTGCCACGTCCGAGTCCGCCTGTTGTCGTCGGGATACTGTCGCGAAGGGCTTCGCGACAGTATCCTGACGACAACAGGGGGGCTCGGGGCTGGAGATGGTTTCCACGCTTGGGCTGCAAGTTGTGCAAACCGCTTTCAGGTCCGAGCCCCCCTGTTGTCGTCCGGATGCTGTCGCGAGCGCTTTCGTGACAGCATCCCGACAACAGCATGGGGATCCGGACTTGGAATCGGTTTTCGCAATTTGCCCGCCCAAAGTGATAGCCAGGGAGCTCTTGGCCATTATTTCAGCCCGACCGGAAAGCGATGGCCAGCGGGCTCTTGGCGAGGTCTTTTGCCCGAACGGAAGGCGATGGCCATGGAGCTCTCGGCCATCACTCCTGCCCGGCCGGGAAGTGAAGGCTCAGGAGTCCCTGGCCACCACTTTACCCGGCCGGAAAATGATGGCACCAGAGGAGCTCTTGCCCATCATTTTTGCCCGGCCGGACAGTCAAAGTAGTCAGTGACCAAGGGCCCGACCGGAAAATGATGGCCCAGGAGCTCCTGCCCTTGGCCATCACTTTTGCCCGGCGGGCCGGAAAGTGATGGCCAAAATTGATGGCCAGGCGGGAGTTCTTAGCCATCATTTTTGCCCGACCGGAAAGCCATGGCCAAGGGGCTCTCGGCCATGACTTATGTCCGAGCCAGCGGAAAGTGGTGCGTGGCCGACGAGCTCTTGGCCATCTCTTTTGCCCGGCCAGGAAACGATGGGCAGACAGAGAGCCCCGAGCCATCGTTGCCTGACCGGAAAGCGATGGCCACGGAGGAGCTTGCGGCCATCATTTTCGCCCCCCCGACCGGAAAGTGGTGGCCAAAAGTGACGCATGGCCAGGGGGCACTTGGCCATGCGTCCCTTTTGCATGCCCGACCGGAAAGCGATGGCAAAAAGAGATGGCCAGAGAGTTCTGGGCCATCACCTTCGCCCGGCCGGAAAGTGATGGCCAAAAGTGATGGCCCGAAGGGGGCGTCTGGCCATCACGTTTGCCCGATCGGAAAGCAATTGCAAAAACTGATGGGCGACCACGGAGTTCTTGGCCACTGACCCTTTTGCCCCCCCCCGTCCGGAAAGCGATGGGTGGCCAAAAGTGATGACCAGGCAGGGAGCCGCTGGGCGTCACTTTGTTTCGCCCGACCGGAAAGTGACTGACGGCCATCCAAAACTTACTTAAAGCGATGGCCCGGGGGCTCTAGGCCAGCAATTTTGCCCGACCGAAAGGTGGCCGATGGCCAAAAGTGATGGCCCAGGAGCTGTTGGCCATCACTTCTGCCCGACCGGAAAGCGATGGCCAAAAGCGACGGCCAGGGAGTTCTCGGCCATTACTTTTGCCCAGGCGGGCCAACGAAAGCGATGGCCCCGGGGCTCTTGGCCACCACTTTCGCCCGGCCGGAAAGCGATGGCCGAGGAGCTCCTGGCCATCGCTTTTGCGCGCCCCGGCCGGAAAATGATGGCCGAGGAGCTCTCGGCCATCACTTCTGCCCGAGCAAAAGGCGATGGCCGAAAGCGACGGCCAAGGGGCTCGTCGCGGCCGCCACTTTTTCACTTGCCCGAACCGATCGGACGGCGATGCTGATGGCCGAGGAACTTGTGCCCGTCACTTTTGCCCGATCGGAACGAAAATGATAGCCGCCGAAAGTGATGGCCACCCATCCAAGGGGCTCCTGGCCATCACTTTGCCTGGCTGCCCGGCTGTCCGTCCGAGCGAAAAGTGGCGGCCGGGGAGCTATCGGCCATCACTGTTGCCCGTGCAGAGTGATGGCCAAGTGGCTCCAGGCCATCACTTTCGCCCGACGAACCGGAAACACTTTTGCCCGAGCGAAAAGCGACCGACACATGCATGGCCAAGGAGGTCCTGGCCGTGCCGTCGCTTTTGCCCGCCCGGGAAGTGATGGCCAAGGGCCTCTCTGCCATCACTTTCTTTTGCCCGACCGGGAAGTGATGGCCAAAAGCGATGGCCAGGGAGCTCTTCTTGGCCATCACTTTTGCCCGAGCGAAAGTTGGTGGTTGGCCGTGGAATTTTTGGCCATCACTTTTGCCGGCCGGAAAGGGAAGGCCAGGGATCACTCTGCCCGACCGGAAAGTGATGGCCCAGGAGGGGCTTTTGGCCATCAATTTTGCCCGGCCGGTAAGTGATGCTTTTGGCCCCGGAGCTCGCGGCCGCCGCTTTTGCCTGACAGACTGGGCATGCCCCCCTTGGAAAACTTTTGCCCGAGCGAAGGCAAGGGGATGGCCAGGGAGCTCTTGGCCATCATTTTTGCCATGCCGGAAAGTGATGGCCGAGGAGTTGATCCCTGTTTTCGGGCGGGAAAACGGGGGCAATCGGGCTTGTCGACGCTTTCTCTAGCAAAATCACACTGAAGTTGATGCGTGGCTTTGCTCTGCTGCTCGCCAGAGCGTGCAGCGTAACATTTTGCACGACGGTACGGGGTACAGATAACGGGAACGCGTTCAATCTGTTACACGAAGCGTCTAGACGAGACCTTCTAAGCACATTCGTTTAGAATTATTTTTCTAAGTGCCTCCTATAGATTATAGCAAAGGGGGAGGGCAAAGTCGTTTCGCTATTATTATAATTATGAGTACGAGTACGATACTTTTGCACAGGATAGGAAGGCCGGGTTCGGAAACATCCTCTGGTCGTTGTGGTTCGGCATTTCGTTGGTCAACACAGGCCCCCCGCGCACCAGCCAGGCCAGGCCGCGCAGGTACAGCGTAGTCTCCAGCTGGGTGAAGGGTTTCACGTGCTCACGCCGCAAATCGAAGCCCGCATCCTGGGGTGCTGTGGTAGTTCCACCACGCGCCCTCCGCAGAGCCTTGTTTTCTTCTTATCAAATGCAAAAATGTCTGGGTCTCCAGACTTGTAATGCTAAAAGTGAATGGTAGACGCACTGCAATACGCAGCTATGCATGACAAATTTTTTGGCTGCCATGTCTTACGTATTCCGCATGGCAAACTGCGTTTTTGCATGACAGGTAAGAGGGCCTTTTCGTGCCTATGCAACACAGATTCTCGAGTCATGCCAGACAAACATGACAAACTTGCATCCTTCCAGACCCAGACATTTTTGCATTTGATACCTCCACCTGCTGTGCGAAGTTGTCGTTCCCCACGATCCCGCTTGGAAGCTGCAGGGGCGGCAACATAAAAAGCACGTCTTTCTCGCGCTGGTGTACCGAAAGGAAAAATCCCCCCTCCCCATATTAACAAGGTAAGTTTTCGGAAATTTGTGACGCTGATTTGTGACAACAAATCGCGCCTGTCTTGCAAGAAGGCAACTCCACAGGCTCCGCAGCATTAATATGCAGGCGGTTTGTCATGCTGTTGGGCCTACAGCGCGGACGTTTTTCATGCTAAGCGCCTAGGCCAAATCCTCTCTACTCACACTTAGCATGGGCCTGCGGTCCTCTCCAGCAAGACAGCTCGGATTTCTGTACACAAATCCAGCATCAGAAGCTTCGGTTTGATATGGGGAGGGGGGATTTTTCCCTTTGATATGGTGGTGGTGATGCTCTTGTCCTGGCGAATGCTGGTGCTGATGCAAGAGCGCTGTTTTGTGGACGTGGTCCGCCACAATGCGGTAGTTGCAATAGGGTTTGGCATACTGCCGCACACAATCAGGATGCGCCTCACAGAGCACGTGGTCTATCGCACGAAAAAAGTGTATACAGTTACCCATTTGTTGGAGTTTCGGCATCACAAAGTTGCTCGACATGGCAAAGAAAGCCTGTGCCTGTGATGCGCAGACTATAAGTGAAAACACGAATGAAATGAGGCTGGAAAGCATTTCCTGCATGACAGAGGTTATCTGTCTTGCTGTCCTTGCGTCAGGGTATGTAACTGTAACACTTTTTTCTCAGGATATGGCCACCCTTGACCTCATTGATTTCTGGACACGTGAGCAGCTCGACCTATGAAACGCAAATATGTCTGGGTCCTCTGGAAACTTGTTATGCTGAATGGTGATGATTGACTGAGACTGTGCCTATGCCTTTAAGTGTATTGCAGCATGACACATTTATTTTCAAACGCTGTCTCATGCGCAGAACGCATCACAAACTTCGCTTTTGCATGGCGAAAGTGGAAGTGCGGTACCTTATTTGCTGCTATATGCAATACAGATTTTTTAGATATGCGAAACACGCAATACAGGCTCAACCTTTATTCCCGACCCAGACACATTTGCAGGTGATACGACCGCAGCCAGCACGAATTCTCGCTCCGTGTAGTATCCTGTGTAAAAACGTCCCCACACCATAGTCAAGATAGGGAATCGGCTAGACAAATCCACAAGCTTTGGTTGTTTTGCATGACAAATTTGGACTCGTAGTGTAGTGCTGTTTGAGGTAGCTCAGCAGCATTACAGATCTAGTATATCATGCTGATTGGAGCATGACAAATATCAAAACACGACTAAAAGGCGCTTCTCATGGGGTTCCGCATGAGATACATTCTTAGCATGCAGATTTGCATTCCAACTATGGGGTGGGGACGTTTTTAAATACGATATGTAGGTCTCTCCGTTTATCTCAATCTCCCCAGCAGCCATAGGGGTCGGAGTGGGACGAGCAGCTCCTCGTCGTGACCTGGAGTTGGAACTCTTGGGATGTGGATTCACATTCGCATTCCGGTATGCAGTGCAAAAGTATCGCACTCGTACTAATTGCGTTTATGCATTACAAACAAGGTCCGAGCACGGGGACAGAGTCCCCGCGCGGCGACCTTCCGGCATTTGTCTGCGCGGTGGCACTGGGCAGGCAGGTCGCCTGCAGCTAGGCATCTCGGTGCGCCTTGCATTCACTGACCCGCGACGGGCCTGCGGACGCGGCCCCCTTGCTTGCGCGCACTAGATTCATTCACTAGCCTGCCGCGCGCAAAGATAAAAGCAAGAAACGAAGAAACTGGCGCGCGCCCGCCGGGTCAGGAGCCGGCCGCCAGGTCATGACGCGGCGACAGAGTCCCCGCACCGCCCTAGGGCTTTTCTCTGCCCCTTCCATCCTTGGCCGCGCGGTGTGGTGTCCGGGGAGTGTTCCTTCGCAACTAGCCCCTAGGCCATGACGCGGGGACCGGGTCCTCGCGCTGGCCTAGGGCTTTCGCCCTTTGGCCGCACGGTGTCCGCGAAGCGCTCACAGCTGGCCCCTGGGCCATGGCGCGGGGACCGAGTCCCCACGCTGGCCTAGGGCTTTCGCCCCTAACTTCGCCGCACGGTGTCGCCGGGGAGCGCTTGCAGCTAGCTTGCTGGCCCCTAGGCCATGGCGCGGGGACCGAGTCCCCGCGCTGGCCTAGGAAGGGCTTTCGCCCCTTGGCCGCACGGTGCCCGAGAAGCGCTCGCAGCTGGGCCCTAGGCAATGGCGCGGGGACAGAGTCCCCGCGCACGCTGGCCTAGGCGGGCCAGGGGGGGCTTTCACGCTTTGGCCACATGGGGGCACGGGAAGTGTTACAAACTAGCACGTAGGCCATTGCGCGGGGACCGAGTCCCCGCGCTGCCCTAGGGGTCAGCTTCGCCCCGCCCTTGGCCGCGCGGTGTCCGGGACGGAAGCGCGCAGGAACAGCTGGCCCCTAGGCCATGGCGCGGGGACCGAGTCCCCGCGCTGGCCCAGGGCTTTCGCCCCTTGGCCGCACGGTGTCCGGGGAGGAAGCGCTAACAGCTGGCCCCTAGGCCATGCATGACGCGGGGGCCGAGTCCCCGCGCTGGCCTAGGGCTTTCCCCCCTTGGCCACACGGTGTCCGGGAACGGAACGAAGCGCCCAAAGCTGGCCCCTAGGCCATGGCGCGGGGACCGAGTCCCCGCGCTGGCCTAGGGCTTTCGCCCCTTGGCCACACCTTGTCCGGGAAACGCCAACAGCTGGCCCCTAGGCCATGACGCGGGGACCGAGTCCCCGCGCTGGCCCAGGAATTTCGATCGCCCCTTGGCCGCACGGCGTCCGGGAAGCGCTCCCAGCTGGCCCCTAGGCCATGACGCGGGGGCCAAGTCCCCGCGCTGGCCTAGGGCTTTCGCCCCTCGGCCGCACGGTGTCCGGGAAGCGCCGACAGCTGGCCCCTAGGCCATGACGCGGGAGCCGAGTTCCCGCGCTGGCCTATGGCTTTCGCCCCTTCCTTGGCCACGCCGTGTCCGGGAAACGCCTGCCAGCAGCTGGCCCCTAGGCCATGACACGGGGACCGAGTCCCCACGCTGGCCTAGGCCTTTCGCCCCTTGGCCGCACGGTGTCCGGGAAGCGCTCACAGCTGGCCCCTAGGCCATGACGCGGGGACCGAGTCCCCGCGCTGGCCTAGGGCTTTCGCCCCTTGGCCGCACGGTCTCGCGTGACAGACTGGACTTCGGGTCCAAACCTCACATGACAAAGTCCGAAAGTTTGGCCGGGGTGTGTCCGAAAGTCTGCCCGGGGTGTGTCCGAAAGTCTGCCCGGGGTGTGTCCGAAAGTCTGCCCGGGGTGTGTCCGGGGTGTGTCTGGGGTATGTTCGGACTTTTTGCCTGGGGTATGTTCGGGGGTCTGTCTGGGGTATGTCTGGGGTGTGTCTGGGGTGTGTCTGGGGTATGTTTACACCCCACCTGTTGGCTTTTCGGCAAAAAATTGTAGTCCCCCCGTGATTGAGGAGCATTTGCATACCCCTGACACACCCCCGAACACACCCCCGAACATACCCCTCGCATGCATTTTTGACCAGCTGCTGCAGTTTAGATAGTAATCTCTTTGCTAAGGCAAATCTGCATTACAAATTCTAATTTTATTTGTAATGCTATGTCAATTTGTGATGCAATTTATGCTAGTACGATACTTTTGCAGTTCATATCCGGAGCAGATTCGCAATGGTTGCTTCCTGCTGCTTGGCCAGCTATTACAATGAAAAATGCGAATGCCCACACCCCAGAGCTTGGCAGCATTTGTATTGCAAACCTTTCCAATGGAAACATTCCTCGTGCCCGTCCTGCATTTTTCAGCATCACAAATTTGATTTTGATGCCGTGCCGAATAACAAAATTTGTATTGCAAAGGAGCCCAACAGAAGCCGGATCTGTTATGCAAAAGATACCTTGCGTGCCTAAATTCTGCATGAGAAAGGCTCGTCGTCGTCCTTTCATGCAAGACAGAAAGGCTTCACTTGGAAGCTTTGCATGAGAAACTTTTGCAAATTCCGAGGCGGGGGCATTTTTCATTGTAATACCAGCTCTGCTTTTTTTTTCTTGCTCATGTTCCCATCGGTCGCGGTTAGACACATGGCGGGGAGCCCGAGCCTGGCCGCCGTGCTGTGCTGGTGCACAGAGCTGCCAGAGCCGCGGCTGATCCCAGGGAGCAGACTTTGGTAGACCTCTTCCAGCTGCTGCGTGGTGGCCTGCGGGTGGGCTCGGTAGTAGTCCTGCAACCGGAGAAAGCGCTCGCGCTCGTATCAAAAGGAAAAATCCCCCCTCCCCATATCAAAACGGAAATCTGTGACGCAGATTTGTTGGCACAAATCAGCTTTGTCATGCTACACGGGAAAAGATGCGGACTGTAGTGCTGGGTGGCGTGGGGGAGCCTTGCATCTTCAGCATGATAGGAGGCAGCTGAGAGTGGGAAACAGCATGACAAATTGCCTGCAAACGAGACCACGACTGCGGCTCTTGGCCTTCTAGCATTACAAGTCGATTTGTGACCTCAAATCCTGCATCACAGATTTCCATTTCGATATGGGGAGGAGGATTTTTCCGTTTGATAGCTCGCAAATTTTTTTCACTTGCTGCTCGACCTGAGCCGCGCGACTATCGTCATCTTCCCCGGCATATCAAGTTCAAAAGTGTCTGGGTCTGGAAGGATGCGAGCTTGTGATGCGCATTTCACAACGCAGACAAATCACTCATGCATGGGCAGCAAAAGGCGCCCATTTCCTGTCACCAAAATGGGGGATTTGTCATGCGGATTAAGCAATGCGGAAACTTCTCGAAATCTGTGATGCTAGGGCTTCCATGACAGACATTTTGTGTCATGCAAAAACAGCATGACACTTCCAGACCCAGACATTTTTGCATTTGATACTGCGGATTCCATGAAGCAGGGAAGCTGGCCGAAGAACTGGTGCTCCTCTGTTAAGCTGGCTTGTGCTTGATGCATGTTGCTAGTTCGCACTTCGTCAAAATTAAAGTGGGCGGCGTCGCGATGCGCTTGTGAAGCGCTTGCGTCGTTCTCGTCCTCTTCGGCAGTATCTTGCTGCTGTTGGCCCCTGCCCGGGGGCTTTGGCTTTGGTTTTGCCTTTTCGGATTTTCTCCTTTTCTCCTCCTCTTCTGCCTGCCGTTCGGATTGTTATCAATTGCAAAAGTGTCTGGGTCTCGAAGATAATTGCAAGGTTTGTCATGCATATTATACATGCCCCATGATGCATGTAATGCATAGCCTAGCATCACAGATATTTGCAGGGCTTCCTGATCCATATTCCGCATGAGACATGCCCTCTCCGCGTAGCACAAACCACCGAACTCCTCTTGCTGGGCACGCAATACAGATTTTTATAGAATCCGAAGACAGCATCACAAGCTGCAGTAGATATTTGCATTTGATAATTGTGGCGTCGCGTCGATTTCTTCCAGATGGTTCAAGATTTCCCCCTATGCACTGCAAAAGTATCGCACTCGTATAAAATGCATTACAAATTGCCTTAGTGTTACAAATCACAATTTGTAATGCGGATTTACTTTAAGAAAAAGATTTGTAATGCATGACTGCAATTCCTACGAGTAAGATGCTTTTGCAGTTCATACCCCTATGGGAATGGGCTCCTTGCCGCTCTTCTCGAAGACCTTGTCAATCTTTGCCTTCGTGCTTGTCAGGTGCAAGGACAACGGGGACGGCAGCCAGACGAAGTGCACTTTTCCTTGCACGTACTTCTTCCAAAATTCGAAAAAGAAAATGTCCAGCGTTTTGTGAGTGTGCGGCACCCTGTAGTCCTCTTTGTGCACCTGCAGGGACTCGTATCCAAGAAAAAAACTGTGTTAGTGTAAGTCTCTTGGGAAAACAGCATCACAAGTTTGTCTGCAATGACAGGAAAAACTTCTTATGCGCAGATAGGAAGGGAAAACACATAGGAAGCCAGCCGATCATGCATGTCAAGCATGACAAGTGTAACTGTTTTGCATTTTCTGCATCACAGATTTACTCCCGCAGAGGGAGCGAAAGAGCACGGCCCGAGCAATTTAGAAGATCACAAATAGTAAATTTTTAGTCGGTTCAAAAAATGAAGTAGCTTGGTCGGTTTTGAAGTTGAGACACGCAAGCGCTCCCCGGGTAGACCGAGGCGATGGCGTTGGTGACGGCCTAGCGCCCTCGCTGTCATCGTTCTCCTAAAAATCTAAAAAAAAAAAAAAAAAAAAAAAAAAACCCCGGGGGCGTTTGCGCAACTTGATCCCAATAAAGCACAAAAAGAACGAGAAGCAAAATCGGTCGAGCGCGATCAGAGACAAGAAAAAGAAGGCAAGCGAGTCGGTTCCTTCGTTCAGAATTCCAAAGCTCGTGCAAGATTCGGAAAAAATTAACCGCGTGCAATGAAATAGATTGCGAGTCGTTCCAAATTCGTTCGGACTAAATCAACAAAAGCCCCGAGGGGGTAGCGACTTCGGTAACGTTCGAAATTGATCGACTGATGCGATTAACGTTCAAAATTGATTACAGCCTAGGGGGATCGTGTTTGAAAATGTGCAGCAATATGTTGAAAGCAAGCAAACGGGACAGATCTACAGCGGATCGCATTGACCAAATGGATCAGAAATAGGACCGAAAAGATGAGTGCCACCATAGAAGTGAAGTGATTTGAATGATTTAGGAAGAAGACGGCAGGGAATTTGCGACCATTGAAGGAAAAAGTTACGAGGTGTGACAAAATGGGTAAAAGTGATTATCCGCTAGGGTGGCAGCGTAGCGAAGCGCACCGCTATAAATTACCGCACGAGGGATGGAGCAAACAAACTACAAAGCGCAAATATGAGCGCAAGAGTCGAGCAGAAGTAGTGGCGGAGAGAGCAAAGAAAAAGGAAGACGAAGCGCGACGAGAGGAGCGGCGCGCCGCAAGGGCAGAGCATTGGAGGCAGTGGTGGGCGTCATTCAATGTTCCCCGGACGCCAGAGGAAGAGCGACAGCGAGAAAAAGCGCTGGACGCTTCAGAGGCGCAGCATTACGCACAAGTTTTGGAAAAAGCTAGCTGGCAAATTGAGGGAGAATATTGCGGAGAAGGAGGCACCTTCGCCATGTTCACAGGCTGCACCACTCACGGCGACTATGCCGGTGACAAGCTTTTCACCGCGTACCTGAATCGGAGAAAAAGCGCAACGCTGCGCGACAGTTTCTTGGATGGGAAAACGTATCGCATCACACTGAAAAAGCTCAGAGGCGAAAAGAGGAACCGCTGGACTGATTTTTTGTATAAGGCGCGAAAGGTTGAATTGTTGGAAGACGTGCACAAACGTGAACAGGAAAAGGGAGAAAACGAGAGAAATGCACAGTCATAAGCTGCGAACTCGGCAGATTAGTAGTCAGTGAACCGGGCAGATTAGTTCGCAACTTTCACAAATGCGCCGTGAGTGGGTTTTAGAATGAGAGGGCGCTGGTGTTCTGTTCCAATTGATAGACACAGAGAAACTAGAACGAAATCGGAAAGAAAAGCAAAAGATCGAGAAAAAACGAAAAGCACAACAAAGTTCAAAAGCGAAAAAGATCAAACGCCACAAAGCAAAGGGGATCAGAAGCGGCAAAAATTAAGAGAACGGGTCGCGGATTTTGCCTGTTGGCGCGGCAACGAACGTTCAAAATCGCCAAGGTTCGAAATTGGTTGAAATGCGAAACGAGCAAAATCGCAAATGTTCAAGATCGCAAGTCTCCGCCTAAGTATGTGCGTGACGTAGAAGCGCTGCTAAATTGAAGCAGAGGGCTGGTTACGCTGCAAATGATCGAGGTCGAAAATTTGGCACCGGGATCGGAGAGCAGTCCTCTTGTGGAAATCAATGAGCGATATAAGAGAAATTGCCGGAAAGATCAAAGCGAAAAAGCGACGTCGGGACGTGAATGACTTGCAGGATCGACGTAAGGATCCGCCAAAGAGGCAAACGCGTGAGGAAAATGCGGCAGAGGTCCGTAATTCTAAGGGTGCGGCTTTTCTCTATATTTGTGCGGCAACTATTGAGCAGGGGAAAAGTGTTCGCGCTTACGCAAAAAGTAAGTCAACCAACGAAAGCAAAGATGTCTGAGCCGTGGCACACATTCGGGACGGAGCCGCTGCCTCGCGGGGAGCGGGTGACTCTGCGGTGTAAGTATTTTATCACATACAAAAAAGCTGGCGGGGCATATTTGCGCGGTTGGTAAAGAGAACCATAGAAGGACAGAGGTCAGAGCTAAAGACGGAGTGGCATGGTTTTAGGCGCAGAGCATACATAACGAGGAGCGAACTAGAGTGAGCGTGGGCATTGATTCGCGCAAGACAAACGCGCGCTGCCGGCCGCTTTTTTGTGTGATAGAACTTGAGTCGGTGCGCCTTTTCCGTCGAACGCATCAGGAGATCGTGGAGGAGATGGCGACTGAGATAATGGCCTCCTGTAACCCGGCTCGGTCTTACGTGGAGGCGCGTTTACGGGTTGAAGCCATGTTGTGCGCTGCCTTTGCCGCTGATACACCGTCGACGCCAACGGCAAGCGATGCATCGGATGACTATGGTGAAGAGTCGGAGTCTGATTCTGAACTGGCAGAAGCCAATCGCGATGAGTGCCGGCGCCGGTTTAAGGGGATGGAGTGTGTTGATTAGGTACCACATGCGAAAAGAAATGAAGAAAGAGGATCCAACTTTGCGTAAATAGAACACGCTGCGAGACAGTTTGCTGAGTTGACAGAAGTTGCGAGCGCGCGGAAAAAAGTCAGAGAGAGGCTGTCGAGGTTGTTGAAGCGCGCGCTACTTAGTAGATAGTTGCACGCTCAGGGTGTTCGATTGATAAAGAATTTGCGTCGGTGAAATTGTGAAGAGGAACATTATTCGGAGACTAAAAACAGCGCGCGCGTGCGAGAGTTGAGCAATGTCGATGTAAAATTTGCGAGATCGCAAGACGATAAGAACTGCAGGCAGCTGCAGAACATGGGGAATGATCTTGAAAATGAGAGCAACACGAAAAAGAGAGTCGGTTGATGGATTTGACATGTGGCAGACAAGTGAAGTAAAGAAATAACGAACGCGATCAGGAAAAGAGTTTAGGCATGTATGAAGAAGCGAACGAATTGACGGAAATGAGCTCAAGCGACAAGATTGAATCTGTTGGATGATCCGCTGTAGTATGTTTGCTTCGGCATTTGTAAAGGTAGTTGGGTATGGATATAATGAAAGTTATGCTATATATTTTTATGTTGTTTCGCAATTTCAGGTCCCCCAGGTCGTTAGTGTAATACTAGGACCCCCGCTAATTCGTAACATAGTCGCGAACCAACGTTACGCATTTTTTAGAGTTTTGGCATAGTTAGCACACCCATACACACACACACACACACACACACACACACACACACAAAAACAAGCACGCGCACACAGGGACACGGTATGGCTTTAGCGTTTTGCTTTGTTTGGTTCATTCAATTTTGTGACTTTTTCGCTGATTTGTAGAATAGGACCGCTGTGGTTGATGCCATTGAAAATGTATCGTCTTTGTAAATAACAGAACCAACCGGGAAGAAGGACGCAAACACCACCGGCAAGGGTTGTACGCACACACACACACAGGCACGCGCACACAGGGACACGGTATAGCTATTCCTTTTTTTTGTTTGATTTATTTGATGCGGTTGCGGTGATTTTTCAGGTGATTTGCAGAGTTAGGCTGTGTTTGGTTGATGTTGGATTTTCGCGTAGTAGTTGGCTGGTATTGTAAATGTATCCTTTTTCGTAAATAACAGAACCGACCGGGAAAATGGACGCAGACACCACCGGCGAGAGTTGCGCTCACACAAACACAAGCACGCGCACACAGGGACGCGGTATACTTATAGTCTTTTGCTTTGTTTGGTTCATTCGGTTGCGCTGATTGTTGAGGTGATTCGGAGAGTTAAGGCGTGTCGGTCGATTTTGGATTTTTTAAAGTACTAGTTGTGTCCGATTGTAAGCGTTTTCCTTATTGTAAATAACAGAACCGAGAACCGGGAAAATGGACGCAAGCAATACCGACAAGAGTTGCAAGGAGCAACTTCGTAGGAAAGGCGATCTTTTCTGGGTCTAGCAATTAGCTTGAGGCTAAGTCTTTGCAGTGCGGCGCTAGTTTGCGGATCGCTTTGCGTAATGGCATGAAGCGCAGAAGAAATTAACTGCGGCTTGCGTTGTATATTGATGATTTATCGCCGACAAGATGCATGACTATACATTTTCTAGCGCGCTTGCATACATACAGGAAGCAGGCATGCAAAACTTGCACGAAGACTTGAGCAATTTTTAAGACCCAGAATGTTTAGCGGTATAGTTTTCGCCAAGCTACCGCCTGAAACTGTTCCAAGTTCGCCCGCGGGAGCGGTCATGGCGACGCTAATCAAAACGGAGTTCGGGTATGCCATTTTGGAGCGTCACGATTTTGGGCCGATGTTGTTCGATATTCCACAGAAAAAGACCGACAGGTCAAATCTGTAATGCAAAAATAAAGAGACCGGAAAAATTGGCATGGGTGAGGCCATAGCATCTTGTTTAGGGCATGCAGTGCAGATTTATTTGTCTAATTATTCTTGCATTACAGAGATGGCCCGTTGGGTTTTTTCTGGGGGATACTTGATGGCGTGGAGTTTGCGGCGTATTGGGACAGCAAGGAGATCCGATTGTCGTGCTCGGTTGCTGAAGACAAAGGGGTCTACGTCCAAGTTGAGGGGACTTCGTCCGGAAATCGTGGGAAACGTTTAAGCGGCGGGCGTTTTCCCGATAGCATGCGTGTTGCTATAGTGGGCAACTATGTTGGTGATTCGTATGCAAGCTTGCGGGAGTCTGTTGAAAAACTGAGCGAACGTGCGGCGCGATTGTTTGTGGACGATGCTTCTCTTTTGGGAAGCGAGCTAATCTGTCAAACGGGGTACGTATCGCGTTGAAAAAAACCATGACTATCACAAATGGCAACTTTTCCGCGAAGTTTTCAAATCCGGAAAGTCGGACACTTTGGGGAAAAAACACTATCACAGAGCAACGATTTTCGCTAAAAGGTGGCAAATTGTGGTAGTGATAGTCTTTTTCAGCGCGATAGTACGCAGGATCTGGGAAAACATATGAGCAGATCAGATGGATGACGCAAGCCTGTCCGACAAACAGAGTCATTTTTTGTGCTCCGTCGAACTCTTTGTGTAACGAAGTGGCGGCCCGGATTTCTGAAGCCGATGGAACTTTTCGGGTGTGGCGTGTGGTTGGTCGAAGTGAAGCGCTAGCGCAGGCGCGAGCGGTATCAAGAGCAAAAGCGCGTGGGTCTGGAAGATTTTGACACTCGTCAGGCACGTTTTGCATGAGCTCTGAGGTTTTCGATGAATGTTGTAGCATCACAGACCTTGGGAGAGCTTCTTGATGCCCATTCCGCATGACAAATGTTCTCTTCGCGTAGGAAAAATTTTGGTCCTTCTGGTATTCATGCAATACAGATATCTTTGCAATGCAAATGCAGCATTACAGATTGCACTTTTCCAGACTTAGACACTTTTGCAATTGATAAGCGGACACGAAGTCTACCACATACGAAGTTATGCAATTGGGCCGGGACGATCAAGATGGTGACGCATCTGATGACTTCCTTCGGGCGAGCTTTTTCGACTACACCGACACCAAGCAAGCAATTGAATGCGTCCCGGAAGTGTTAGAGTATCCCGGGCCAAATAAACTTTCCCGCGCTAGATCTAAGCGAGAGACTTTGCATCACAAGAGACGAAATGAAACAGGTCGCCTATAGTACGCGTCGCAAGTGGTAGAATGTAATGTAGTGCAGATTCGTTGGGCGAGTTGTCTCAGAAGCAAATCCATTGGCTAAGTCTGGCGACAGCACTGCAAAGAACTTTGAAACACGACCAGGACTGTTGTCGCTGGCGTTGCCATTGTAGTGAGAATGAACCGCGTGACGGTTCTGGTGTGGGAACGTTTTTCCAAAGGATACGAGGCGTTTGTGGGTGAGCGCCGGGCAGCCGGCTTGGGATCACAATGCGACGACGTGTCTAGCGGACGAGTGGTGGCTGCTTGTATCAAATGCAAAGGCGTCGGGGTGTGGAAATAGGTGCGCACTTGTGAAATTTGTCATGCGCGGCTTTTCATGGTTTTCGGTGTTTGTCATGCGTGCGGTGGCGTTGCAGTGTGTACTGGGCATGACGCATATTGAAAAGCGTTGCAGGGTGATACGCGTGGCAAATTTGTGCGAGATCCAGACGCAGCAGCACAAGTCACAAGTGCTGTCGTTGTTTCCAGACCCCGACGGATTTTGGCACTTCATATTTTTCCGTGCGGGACCAGATGCGTATCGTTAGCGTATGCGTGACGTAAGCAGTGCAAAAGTTTCCGCACGAGTACGAATAGCATTACAAATTCGCAAAACGCTAGAAACTGAATGCAAGAATTGGATTTGCTTTGACAAAAGGAAAAAGGAAGCGGAAGGCATGAATGCCATAAGTACTGGCGCGATACTTTTTCACAGGATATCAGCGGCGAAGACCAGAGACCCAAGCTACGTATTCGGAGTTACGTTATCAAGTGCAAAATGTTGGGAGTGGGCAAGATGTTGGGACTTGTCCTGTGTGTTTTGTGGTAGTTGCTATGTTTCTGATGCATGCCATAGCAGTGCGGGTGCCTTGAGGGTTTCGCGATGTTCATAACGCAAGGCACATGCTGAATCTTCGCGCGGAAGCAGTTGGGTTTGTGTCGCTGCTTAGGCATAGCTGTTGCATTTTGGAATCCAAAATCAGTAAAGCAAGTCGCAACCGAGTAACTTCTGACATTTTTACACTTGAAAACCTGCGAACCAGAACAACTACCCGCCGTCGAGAGCATTTCTGGCGTAAGTGATCTATCACTTGCGGTGCGGTTGGAAAAGCTCGGCGCGAGAAAAGGGCCTATCAACTGCAAAAATGTCGGGGCCCGGAAGGTTGTGAGTTTTGTCATGGACGTGGTGAATGAAGCTTGAGGCGTGCGATGCATGGCCTAGCAAGCGCTACAGATTTGATGAAGATCTTTGCAGGCTTCTATCGGATAGTAAGCGCCGTACTAAAAAGGCGCGCCTTCGTTCATGCTCATGCAGTGCAGAGCTTCGCTAGAATCGAAGGGCAGTGGCATAGTTTTAGACTTTTCCAGACCCAGACGCTTTGCAATTCGATAAAATTCAAAGCGGCAGGCTTGAGTCATTTAGCGACGGAGTTCAGGAACATCATGCAGGAAAAACTAAAGGTAGTGCGTCGGTTTGAACAGCAGAACGGTGCAGAGTTGGAAAAGGTTCTGTGGTTTGGCGGCAGAACCAAGCCGAGTTTTATTTACCAAAGTACCGAAAGCAGACCACCTGGCTACACCGGGCCGATTGGTTAAGAGTTTGGTAGTTGTCACGGTCTCAGCTGTTGCGTGAATTTATGACGCAATTGACGAAGAAAATGCATGGGAACGCTTTGCATGCTAAATTTGGCGGCGATTGTTCTTCTGGGAATAAAGCTGCTCAAGGGTTAATTTGTGTGCGAATGAATCAACTTGATGCAGTGGATTGATTTTGAAGGCAATTGCGCAAGACAAATCACGAAACGGCTGAGCGCGTAACGATTGAAAATGGCATATGGTTATGCAGTTAGTGCTCTACACAGATGCCGACTTTGTTCAAGTTCCGCACTTCTGCAGTAATCTTAGTACGCGAGGCAGAGGAAAAGTATCGCGCTCGATGTATTAGACAAAAGGCAGCGGATGGCAACAAACGAGAAGCATTCTGCAACGTTTTTCAGCTGGTCAATAGAGTCTATCTGCATTGCTTGGCTGCGTTAATTATTCCGAGCGCGGTACTTATTTTGGCACAGGATATCCAAGATGGCCATAGCAAATCTGGGATTGACGAAATGGGACGAAAAGGACGCAGCGGCTGCCGTAGCGTGCTGGGTATGAAAGCTTCAAAGTAGAAATCTTTAGAGTGGAAATAATTTGCGAAGCATGAAATACATGGCAAATAAGATGGCGCTGCAAAGAACACAAGAAAGATGGATTATAGTGCCGCCAGGGGCTGAGAAATGATCTGTGTTAGCATCTATAATATGACCGGAGTCGCTTGTTTGCGTTGCGAAGCATTTCCACGCTCAAGATTTATAAGTTGAGGCGTTCATAGTCGACAAAAAATTACAACAAGTGCGGCGCAACGACTATACTAGCGCAGCACGCGTATCAACTGCAGATTTGTCTGGATCTGGAAGACATCACTTGCGTTATGCTTGTCGAGAGTGTTTCCTAAATCTGTCATGCGCATTACCTCAGCGTTTTTCTGTTCTGTGATGCAGCAGCGCGGTTTGTCATGCTTCGCTTTGAAGCAACAGGCAAGCAGAAGCTGAGACTTGTACTGCTTAGCTAGCGCGTGCGGTTTCATTACGAGACGCCGCGCAGCATTACAAATGTCTAAATCCAGACACGTTCGCACTTGATAACGCAGGGCAGTTCACATTAGAATACGACGCGCAGGCTAGTTGTGTCGAGAAATACCGAGCATTTCAAGGACGTACGGGCTTCGGCGGGATAATCACGCCCGTGGTGTTATGAAAGTCACAGGATCGAAATCGACAAAGTTGAGACAAGACGCAAGGCGCAGAATCGACAGGAGTGACCTCGGTGCGTTGTTTTTGCGTGCTTTGCAGAAAGGGCCCTTTGCATTCAAGTGGCCGCAGTTATGCATTAGAGACAGTCGCAACTTTGACGATTTCAATTGTGGCTCATGAATAAGGTTACGATGGCGCTTCTTCGTTTTTGGAGAGGAAGAAGTTGTTGACTTTTTGTAGGCCGCGCGCAATTGTTATAATTTCAAGCGTTGCAATGGAAGCTGTGGCGTATAATGCAAAATAGGAGCTATGTAGTTAATTTCTGTAGGATGGATTTTGCGCGGCAAGGTGTCGGGTTTGAATTGCCGCGATTTCTTTGCGATTTTGTGTATTGCGAGAAGTAGGAGGAGAACGCTGCGCAAGTTTGTCACGCTAGTCATGCCTCAAAGCCACAGCAGTTAGTTCCTTGCAACGCTTGAGATTGCAACGCTTGCGCAAGCTATACGCTTCACCCGGTGGCGCGCGGGATGTGCTATAGTCGCGTCGTTTGGTATGGTGTGCAAAAGTATGGCACTTGTATAAATGCAAGCGCTGCACTACGCAGATTTTTTATAGGTAAGCGAAGTCTACGGGTGGCGCGTTTGTATGTTGAAGAAGAAAAACCGCGGCGCATTTATACAAGTGCAATACTTTTGCCAATTATACTTAAGCGGTTGGAGCGTTTGGGAGTTTCAGGAAGCGCGAGATTTCCACGCACGGAATGGGTTCGATTTCTCCGCTATCAATTGCAAAAAGGTCGAGGTCTGGGAACTTGTGAGGTTAGTACCGCGAAAAAGTTGGGCTCTGTTTGCTGGGTATCGTGCTGGACAAATTTAACTTGCATGCTAGAGAAGCACGACAGGCATGCATAGTGCCAGACGTCGACACTTTTACACTTGATATCTTCGAAGCGCGTTGGACCTGCCTGTCGGGTGGCAGTTTAGTACAAACCGACGTCGACGCGCTGCGTTCGCGGCTACTGACTTCAAGCAAGTAGCGGGAGAGTTGTTGTCTGGAATCGTAAACACTTAAAAAAAGCACTAACATACACGCACTGTGAGTGGTTTGCTGAATTTTTCTCGTAAGCAGCGTTACGGATGTTGTTATTTATGTTCTACCGAACAGACTCGGTAGCGTTGAAGCTGCTGGGTAACTGTAGAGAAAAGATATCTACGATCGTGCAAAATGGGCAAAAGATTTCTAGCTCTATAAACAACGTCGGGCGGACGTTGTGCGTTTTCTAAATTTGATGAAACTATACTACGCAGACGCAGTCTATAAGAGTTGCAAACTTGTTGAATGTGTTGACTCATAAGAAGCACGGCGCGTTTCGCATTGGGCGACAATTAAACAGGCGAAGGATGCAGGTTCTGGGTGTTCGTATGTAGTTGCTCCGCGTAGTGGTTTCATTTAGGATGATCGTGCGCGCGAAATTAAAGCGCTCGAGATTTTCGCCGTAGTCTTTAGAGCTCTTATGCTGGTCAGCGCGCAAATCAATGAAAAACAAGCGATCGACTGAAATTGAAACACGGCGCAGCCGCGAGCTGTACGCATAAAATTTCGGCTGGGTTGATCATACAGCGAACGAATGCGCAACAGATTAAAGGTCATTAAAAACGAATGAGATTGGATCAGCGTGGGTCTGCTAATCTTGTGGGCATTAGCGCGATGGCGCGCTGTGTATGTTCTAACAGAATGAATTACAACGAAGAACAGGCAAATGATTTCAGTAAGTAAATTAATGCAGTAAAGTCGTGGCTATGGCTAATGCAATCCGCCAACGAGTAAAAGGCGCCAGAGTTGGAAAAAGAAGCATTGGAGTCAGGGTAAAGCACTCGAGCAAGAAAATGCCGCGACGTAAATACTTGGTTGCTAGCAAAGTCATTGACTTCGGGCGCTCTTAAAATTTACGGCGTTGCTGTTAGATTTTTGCGAAATTTTCTGTGAATAAATCTGACAGGGTACATCCGCCGCTATGTTGTTAGTGTAGCAATGTTGTAGATTGTTAGGCTAACTAGCGCAGCAGTTGGAGAAAGCGAGCAACTTCGTGAATTACATCGCTGCACATTACTGCGCATTTTGTTGATAGATTTTATTGCTGGCGTTCCGTTGTTGGCAAGTTTAGTCGCAAACTGTTGAGCGTACTTGGTGCCAGCCAAAAAAATGTCCTCGGAAAAGAAAACCATCACAGCGCCGCACAAAGATTGCGCGTGCGAGCAAGATAGTAACTGTGTGCAAATTTGCCGCGCGCGGTATGTGTTTCTGCGTGAAATATGAGAAATACCACAAGACACGCCTCAGCCGTTGGAGCTCTTTAGCAGTGTCATGCATGAGCGTAACCAATGACAGACCAAACGAAGAGCGATGGCGTTTGACGCAAGTTCGTGCATTTACTTGGAGTAGTGTGGGTTGTTGTGCAAAATACTGCAACGGTTGAGCGCGTAGCATTTGCGAAGTGGATAAAGTACGTACTTCATGTTTCAGGACATGACTGGACTGAAGGAAGAGGAAATCGCGGAAATCATCGCAAAACGGTTAAACGAAGCACCGGCCGGAATGTCTAGCGATTCGAAAAAAGGGTCGAAACACGAAAAAGCGAAAAAATCGCCGGGGATTTCGTCGCTAACGACCCCGAGGCGTCTGCGTTATTTTCCCCCGAACCAGACTACCCCGGTGGAAGTGTCGTCCAGTGACGAAAGTGAACAAGCAACGAGCTCGAAAGCGACGCCGTTGTTTAAGAAAATTAAGAAAGAGAGCGGCTCAGACGGTGACGATGACGACGATGATGGCCGTGGTCCGTTTTTTCGTAAGTTGGGACAGACGTCCTAGACTCGGCAGCTGTTAGTTTGCGAACGTCCGGCAGACAACAAAATCGACGCAGTTTGAAAAACACGCCCCGACTGCAGAACGTTTCAAGTCAGCCGCTTTTGCTTCTTTTGCAAAAATGCGCAACGAGATGCAACGAGTTGCAGCCGTGTGGTTTCTGTGTGTTTGCCGTTAACCATATCAATACTACGAAAATAGAACACGCCTCAGGGTGCAGATGTTTAGCGCTTTTAGAAGAGTAGACGACTTCGCATTGCACAGTGAGCGCGTCAGCGTATGGAAACACAAGCAGGAACAGTATTAACGAAGTTGGTTGCTGAATTTTTAAAAAAAAAAAGCGAACGGATGACGCTAGTCGTTTGCGTTTGTCAAGATGAACGAGAACGATTGCGCGACTAGTGTTCTCCTTAATGGAATCAAAAAGGACGCAAATAGTCGCAAACAAGACCGAAAACGAACAGCAGCAGCGAAGATGCATGGAAGCAGAGAGAGACTAAATCAGTTCCATCGATCTGAAGTGACAAAACAAACGCAACACGCGAAAAAATTCAAAAGTTCAGGAAATGTCGACTGTAGTGTGTGCACGCTTATGCCGGAGATCATTGCGAAAATTAAGTCGCAAAATGCTCCGAAAAATGCGCAGCGACGCCTAAGGTGTGAGCTGTACGTAAATACTTCCGTGCTTATTACAATCAGGGACAAGCAGGGCGCGCCGCCTGTTATTGCGCAGGTTAGTACTCACATGGCCAACATTACGTCGGGCACTATGGTAGAACAACAACAAGACGCGGAAAGTGTGCAAATTAGTGATCACGCGATGAATCTGATACGTTCGCGCTTCTGTATTGAAGCACTCGGAGACTCGATAGCGATGCCTGTTTTAGAATCCAAAGACTACGACTCGTGGATTTGCTATGAGGTGCCGCATGTTCCGCTGGATGCGTTTAAAAATTGGCTGCACACTGTCACGGAGATGCCGACACTAATTCCAGGAATCATGCGGTGCGCAGACTGGTGCGGACGTTTCTCGCCATATCCCCAAACTTGTGCACATTGTAATGCTTCTGGATGGTTAACGATTACCAAGAGCGAGCTTATTACTTTAGAAACGGTTCTGGAGCTCTACACTCGACCAGAATGGCCGCCAGCTCTGGACTACTGCCGCGTGAGTACGCACGCGGAAAAGATGCTGGACAGTCGTGAACCAGAGTCGGGCTATGTTGTCCCTTGCGCACACATTTAGAATGAACAAAGAGCGGACGCGTATTGGGTGTACGTTATGCGAAACAGCGCCAAAATTTTTGCGGCATCGACGTACGAGATGGATTGGGGTCGTTGGGCTGAACAAGTATACTTTTTGACGGGGTACCTGAAAGAATACAAGCGCGACGCAGATTCGCAGTCTGCCTTTTATCGGACATGCGAGCAGGCGGCTACGTGTGGGCTGTATGGTCGTCCAATTGCGCCCGGGTCCAACAAAGTTGCCAGAGGGTTGGAACACAAATTCGAAGTAAGCGAGGACGGTCGCGGCGTCGACTTATTTCTGGTGAACAAAGGGATGCAGGCTGGAGTGTGGGTCAAGAAAAATTTCGAGGCGTACGGGCATAGCGTTACTGCTGCGAAGTTTATGTCGAACGCAGCAAGCAGCTGGTCCATGCCGCGGATTGCGTGCGGAAATTGGTGCAACGGGTTTGACGTAGGGCATTGCGTTTGTGTTTTGGCGAATTTGCGAAATGACAAATACCAGTAAAATCATAAAGGCGCGCGGCAGTTGTTTTCGTTCAATGTGCGCGGACGAACACACCCGGCGCAGGCGCTCTCGTATTATTTTCGTGATGTTTGCCATGTGAAGACTATGACCATTGCAATGTCGAGGCGGTTAAGTGACCGAGAGCACGACCAACGTCTGTGCTTTTCGCTCCAAGTAGTGCGCCAATCGGTGGCCCGTGAAAACTGTGCGACGTGTTCTTGGTTAGTTTTCATGTATAGCGATCAAACCGCACGGCTAAAGATCTGCCTGGCTAGAAACAGGAAAGAAAAGCGAGCAGATCGGTAAAAATTGCAAAACGATCAAAAAACTGGCTCCGTTCAACATAGCAGGCGCGGCGAATGGCTTGCCAGTACGTAGCGCGATCAGCATGGCAGTGCCTGACTCAAATAAATAGTCGCGGGCTGTGTTCTTAACCTATGGCAACGCTGCGGCTGCAGCAGTGCCGAGCGCGTGACTTTGGTCAAAGAACGTCGCTCGAGGTATGGCGTTGCGCCTAGTGATGAGAAATCAGCTCACGAATTGTTTTGCTCTGTTTGATTGTTTTATATGAACCATTGACCACAGGGAAACTAGCTTCGCGCGTCTAGTGTGATTAGTTGCTTAGCCTCGTAGCGCGTATCTGTAGCAAATTTGTGAGATTGTAGCGGTTTGGTATTTTTCTAGTTTCGATAGAAAGTATTATAGTGCTGCTGCTTTTTAGGTCTTACACGGAAAACATTCGCAAAAAAAAAAATGCCATCCGGAATCCAATGCGTGGACTGCCAGTCTTGGCTGACAATCTCTCGGGAAGTGAAGGAGGCAGTTCTGGACGACCCGTCGAAGTATTACTGTTACGCATGTGATTTTTCTTTTTGTTTTTGTACTATTCTGCGGCAGTTGCGTTACAATGAAAAGAAAAAAAGGCGAAAGAATGAAAATGAATGCGATGAAATGGCTACTGCAGGTGGAATCTTTTCGATAAAAAGCCCACGAACAGCGACTGGCTGCAGTGCACTTGCTGCCACACGTATCAGAGCAAAAGGTCTACGGTTACGCACAGGCCCGAGAAAATTGCGGAAATTTTTTGCATGAAAAGCGCAGCGTTGCGCATGTGATGCTGAGCGCGGCAGTTGTTGCTTATGTTATCGGGTGGCAGTGCAATAAAAAAAGCGCGCTGTAGTGTTGATCGAGATAAAGAGACCGCGGAGCTCGCCGTACGGCGTGCCTGTAGATCGTTTGCGTTCTGATAGCGCGTGGCTTCAATTTACCGTGACCGGATACATGTATCAAATGCAAAAGGGTCGACGTCAAGAAAGTTGGCAACTGTGTTGGCATACATGCGAAATAAAGGAGCAAGATCGTTATAGTGTGGCGCGACTCGCGCTATTTTTATGAAAGTGCGCATGTTTGGCATTACGAGCGAAGCAGCACGCGCACGACTATGTTGCCAGTTTTCTAGTAGTTGACACGTTTGCACGCGATAATTGGGACGAGTTTACTAAAAAGTTCGTGGATTTGACAAAGAAGCCGCGGGGAAATCGTTGGGCGCGCAAAAGTGAAAACGTCGAAACTAATAGCGGCAGCGTTGGCCAGATTGGGGAAAAATGTGCAGAAGCGGCACCCACGACGTTGCCGAAATCTGGAAAACGGCGCAAACAAACCAAAGAAAAAGAAGTAAACGCAACAGATTCGGCGAACAAAAAAACAGAAGACACGAAGCAGCCAAAATCCGAAAAGAATCTGACTGGTGTAAAATTCGGGCTATAAACCAGCACAGAGCTGCTTTTGTCTTCATTTTTGTTACATTGAAACGATGCGACGCGAGGGCAAGTGACTAAAAAGCAACAGAAAGAGCGCGGATAAAGGTAAGGCACAAACTCGAACGCATTAAGTGCAATGCGCGAACTCTGTATGCCCGCAATTGTGTTCGACGGAGTTTCTCGCTCTAAATTTGCTGCGGAGGCGCGCACGCGTTCGGTGTCGCGAGTGGTGATAAATTTCAGCGAATGGCACAGGAGGAAATAGCAACGCCCACAAAATTGGCAATGATCGGCGTAAAATGGTTGCCGTGTGTAATGTCGAAGGATCAAAAAAAAAATGGCGGCAATGCTAACCAAAGCACCGAGATCGCTAAAATTCGAGCAAATTGAAACGAGATCCCGAGCAACAGAATAAAAAGCGGCGGAAGCGTATAAAAATCGAAGACAATATGCCGACACGTTGGCATAGCAATTTTTTTACTACTGCAATGCTTGTAGTTTAGGCGCCGGGTAATAATTATTCGCGTGATTTGACTACTTCAGGGGATTGATGTTATTAGTCTTTGCGATTATTCCGTTAGACTAATGCTTTGCTTTCGCATACTTTGTAACCATTTTGCTCATTCTTGTTGTCCATTGGTAAGCATTACTCTTTTCTTTTTTCTTGGTTACATAGCATACCGCTTCAGTTTTTCCTGTTTTTTAGCATTCAAAAAATTGACAACGGTTTCGGTGTTTGGTATTTTTCAACTTTCAACGTCTTCGGACTTCCAAAACACGCAAGCAATGGCGCCGGTTCAACCCTTGACCTCGAAACAGAAAAAAAAAGCGCGCAAGCGCGCGGAAAAAACTTCGAATGACGACGACGACCAACCGCATGCCATTGGCGTTGATGTTGTGACTGACGAAAAACCGAAGAAAAAGCACAAAAAACAGCCGACAGCAGTCGTAGAAGAAAGCACGGAAGTGCTGCAGAACAAACACAAGGAAAAGGCGAAGCAGAAATGGTATGACGAACATGCAAAAAAACACAAAAAGCAGACCGAACAGAAAAAGTGCGGCGCTACTGTGTCCGAGGCGGCGGCTGTGCCGAAAAAAGAGGACGGAGATGAGTGCTCGACTGTGGAAGATGATGTGTATGACGATGGTGATGGTTTGCGCAACGCGTGGACGATTCCGGGGCAGAATCCCGCGGGGCACATGGATCAACAGCAAACGAACTTGGTAGAACGGCGCGAAGATTTGCGGCTGCGGATTCTTTGCACAATGCTTACCCGCGACGTCCTCATACCCCGAAAAGCACACGGCAACGCTTCATACGTCGCACCTTACGCGCTTGCTCGCTGCTCCGCTTTTGCGCGATTGTGTTCCGGAATGCTGCGGCAGTGTACTGCTCTAGATTCTTGCTCAGCCGACGACCTTGACAATTTGACAAACCGCGAGACGTTGCTAATTCTCCAGTCCGCTTGTCGTGGTCGCAGCATTGTTTTGAGGTTTTTGATCTGATTTGTGCACCGTTTTGCGCGTGCCGCTACAGAGCCGCTGGCTTCGGTGCCTTTTTGTACCGTTTCGCAAACTGATGGGGCAACTTGCGCGCATTTTGATCCATTTTCACCAATATGCAGCAAATTTGCGCGTTTTCGTGCTTTTTGCATAGCTTTCGCGGTCATTTTGCTGCTTTTGTTATCGAATTAAGCCAAAACAGTGCCACTTTCGCCGTTTGCGATGCTACTGGCTGTATTTGTTGCGTTTTTGATTCGTTTGGAATTGAACAAAGCCAAAACGGTGCCGCTTTTGCCCGTTTGCAATGCTACTGGTTGTATTTGTTGCGTTTTTGACTGTTTTGGAATTGAACTAAGCCAAAACAGTGCCGCTTTTGTTTCTTTGCAATGCTAGGGGCTACATTTGTTGCGTTTTTGAATGATTTGCAGCGTTTTCGATGTCATTTTGCACGATTTCGCATGCTATTGACTTAATTTGCGCGCATTTTGTCCCGTTTGCTTTACAAAAACGCAGGCCCGAACCGCAACAATTTGCGAAATTTCGGCGAATATTCGCGGATTTTTTTTCGTCGCAATTTCCTCGATTTGGAACGTTTTTCGTGGCTTTTGCCATCGTTTTGACGTTTTTGCATCGATTTTTGCACCATTTTGCAAGTTTTGCATCGAGAAAAATTCAGCGATTTTCGGTTCGTGTCTTGCATGTTTCGTAACATAATTTATAACTGTAAACACTTTTTTCTTGCGATATCTACGGAAGTTCCTGAGCAGGCACTTGAATAACGTCGTAGACCGCCGTATGCATTGCAAATATGTCGAGATCTGGAAGCGGCGGAGGTTCAGTTTGTCATGCTAGATCTGGGCCGTGCTCGTGACGCATCAATCTGTATTGCGTGAGCAGCAAAAGCCAGCCTTTTTTGGGCACTCGAAGATGGCAGTTCTCCTGGGGGATGGGCCTTGCGGGACCTCCTCGAAACTTGTAATGCTACAGCTCGTATTCTAATCCAGACCTTAATTCTAGATCTAGGCCATGTGAAACGTGCATGACAACCTTCCAGAAGTTCAGGGCGCCCAATTTTTATGTTGCGCAAGATAATGATAAGCTTAGTTTGACAACCTACTGAATTTTTCATTCTAGTAGTGGACGTATAAACAATAGCATATGTTTATATAATATTCTCTCTCAACTTAAAATCTACAGTGGTTGTCCTTTTTTGCATTTACAAACTTAAGTCGTTCGCTTCCCGGTGCTGTGCCATGGTCTTGCTTCCAGACAAAACACCAGACAACATATTTGCTTTTGATACGCCTCAAACAGGGCCGAGCTGCCTGCGAGCGGGCCGAAGAAAGGAGGAAGGAGCAGGAAAGTAAGTTATCGTTGCTGGAAAAGTCTGTTCGCAGAAAAGAGGCTGAGATAAAAGTTGTAAACGGCAGTGCGAAGCTCGAACTGGAGCCCTATTCCCCGCTGGCGTGGGAGATGGAAGCGGCCCGTCAGAGCTACAATGATCAAGTGCCGCGTACGCCGCCGGCCGAACTAATGGGTTCTTTTCGAAAACAAGCGATAAAAGCTGGGCGTCGACGTCCGTCGCCTCTTGTGGTCCCGGAACTACAACAAGGTGGTAGTTCTCCAAATGTTGACGACCCCATATGGTTCTCGCCTCTTGTGGTCCCGGAACTACAACAAGGTGGTTCTCCAAATGTTGACAAGGACGCGTCTACTTCGGGAAGCCACCAGCACGCAGTTCTCCGACATCAAGGGGGTGGCGTCAATGACAATGCAGCAGCCGAGAGAAAGAGAAAGCGCGAAGCCGTGCGAGCCGGGAACAACGAAGGTGCAGCTAGCACCTCGGATTCGGCTTGCGCGCCAGAATCGGTCGAGCGCCGTAGCCGTTCGCGGTCAGCAGGACGACCACGGCGGTCGGCAGGAGGACGACGAGCCGCTGGGGGCGATACCGATACGAGACGTCCGCAGGGCAGCGAGGAGCGGATGACTGGCACGGATGGACATGGAACTCCTCGTGGTCCCGTCGCTGATGTTTCCACGCGGATTCCGACCACGGGCAGAAGCCGCAGTCGCTCCAGCCGCTCGTCGCGCCCCCGTAGTTTGGTCAGGGGTCGTAGTTGTGCTACCACTAGTACCTCACGCGGTGGCCCCTCCACCCGGGACCATCAAGACCGCCGCCCTGCCAGAGAAGCTGCAGCCACGGACGAGCGGCCCGGAGTTCTTGTTGTAGATCCACGACCAGGAGTGCGAGAAACCAGTGGCCAGGCACATGCTTTATTCCAGCCCGCGTCGGCGGACGCAACCATCGCAGAGAAGCTGTCAAGGGGGTTGTGGCGTGTTTGGTTTCATCTGATGGAGGAACAGCATCAAACCGAGTCCGAATTATCATCCGATGTTTCAGCAGCAAATACTAGTGGCACCACTGCAGTTCATCTTGAGCAGAGAGGACCAGCACGAGAACCAGCTGTAGCAGCCGTCACTGGGCTACATCCAACAGAACTACAAACACCGGCCTCGCCTCGCACCGGTCGTGGTGCACCAGCGGTGCTAGACGAAAGCAATCCCGCTGAGAGGACAAGGACGAGGACCACCGCGAGGTATTCCCATTTCCTTCTGTGGCGGGGGCTGGATTTGATTTCCAGGCTGCGGTTTGTTCGACACAAAGACGCCGAGGAGTTTAGAAGTTCGGACAGCTGCGCAGCCGGCGAGGATCTTAGCGGCACGCCTGTTGCACGACCAGAGGATCGTGGAGAAGGTACTTCTCACCACGCATCAACCGACGTGGTCCTCGAGGAGGACGCAGCACCGGAAAGTAGAACCGAGGATGGCAACAAGAGCCAAACATTGTCGTGGGCTCAGCGCTCGAAGCCTTTGGTCGACCTGATGCGCCCGTATGTGAACTCAGTGTTGCAGCTCGGCTCCATCGCGACCGGAGCAGGCCTGAGAAATCAGCCTTTGGAGCTTATTGAGGTGGGCTTTGGGTAGTGTGGCGGTGACCACGACTTCGTCCAGCACAGGAGAGGTGGAGGTGGACGTATCCATTATATGGCTTCTCCTGTACAGAAGTTGAAGGTATGAAGAGAGGTCATCTTTTGCTGGTGCTCTTGGGAAATAATGAAGACGGGAAAGATAAAATAATTGTATATTCGGAACGCATTGATGGCACGAACAAAGCGGTTTTTAGATAGTAGAATCGTATTCTTTCAAAAAAAGGACGATGGCTGCCTGAGATTGCCGACTACGGAGTGTGGTTGCTCTCTCAGATGTTGAAAGATGTTGACATCTTTTTATTTTGTTGCCGGATGTTGAGCCACTGTAGCTCGGAACTACTGGCATTAGTACACGTTTTTTGTTTTGATTCTATAGCACTTCTAAAGCTCGAGAATCGTTTCCAAAGTTGTGACAATTCTTGTATCAGAAAAGGATGGACGTCAAGAGATGAGTAAAGGTCACAGTATTAGCTACAACTTTCAGATCGTTTGGTAAAAATCATAAAGTGCATTGATTGTAACAGTTGTAAGAATCAGGAAATGCACATGTTACTAGCTCGCTCATCGAAAGTAATTGTATTCAGTGAAAGAACGAAGAAGTACAACATGCTGAGCGGGATCAAAAATCCCAGTCTCTAGTTTGGTGCTCTCGTCCCTGAGCACGACGCATTCTTAGCCATTAAAATGCTCGACCCAGTACCAGTGACGATTTTCATGCAGGTGGAAACTGTTGCCACATAGAAGAAGTAGTACTTTATTTTATTAAGCACACATCACTGTCGGCGGACGGCCGTGTTGTCCATGCTCGAAGATCTGATGTTTCTGCTACATGAGCAGCGGTTGCTATAAAAAATGCAAAAATGTATGATATGATGAGCAAAAAAGAACGTCATGTGCAAGTGGAGAAGGCAGACGGACCCTTTCTTGAAACTTATGATCTGCAAAAGTATCGTACTCGTATAAATGCATTACAAATTTCCTCAGCATGAGAAAGAAAATTTGTAATGCAGATTTGCCTTGGGAACGAGATTTGTAATGCAAGACCTGCATTTATACGAGTACGATGCTTTTGCACAGGATAAAACTGCGTACGAGACGATCCAGATCGTCGAGTGAGGTTGCAGCTTCCTTCTCCGGTTGGGTAATTCGCGAGTTCGAGATGTGGCTGCGTTGAGTTTGCAATGCAGGATTATCCTGGCTCTTGTTCCCCCGACGGCATGACAGATGGGAAGCACTTTTCGTATCGCGCCGCATTCTGTAGAACTCGGTCGTGAAGAGGGTGCTCGGTACTCGTGCCGAAATTTCTCGTGAATGTGCGCCAGTTTGACGGTACACGGTCCTATCGGTCTGACCGCAGAAAGTAGTAACTTAGTATCTTGCTCTTCGTACGTACTACGCTCTCTCTTTATATAAATGTTTATATTTGTTTACTCACGCGACTCTCGTTTACTTGTTGCTCATGACGCGTTGCTATTCATTTTGACACTGGTTTGTGCTGTGGCGAACGTGGGCAGTTTTTCCAGGCAAGGAATCTGTCATGCTGGAAATCAAAAGTCCCTTCACTTTGCGATATAACTCTGATGAACGACGAACCAAGAAGAAGTTTGTGTTGCAAGATGCGAAGCGAAGCGAAAATCTGTAATGCAAAAAATCGAAGGCGGCGATAGTTGTAGTTCTTACATTTACTTCTTCTTCTTTCACGTTTATCATGCATTTCCTTCTATTCACAACACCAAAAACGACATTGATGCGACCCACTTTAGCAATCGAGTCGCATGTATACAGGCTGGAGGCCTCCGGGTCTCTGGTTCAGGCTAGCGCTCAAGGCTCGTAGAAGTGATCACCTCGTGCTCAAATTCTGAAGAAAAAGGAAAAGGAAAACCAAAATGAAAACACGCCGACTGCGCATGGCACATTGCGAATTTCGAGTTCAGCAACTTCGTGCTGCGTCCTTTCCGGTTCAGAAGTCGAGTGGGTTTTCCGGTTCAGAAGGCAGACGGACCCTTTCTTGAAGCTGCGTATGAGACGATCCAGATCGTCGAGTGAGGTTGCAGCTGCACTTGTGTGTAAATGAAAACTAGTTTTGAACGCTATTTCTCATAGATCAAAAGTCAGAAAATGCAGAAAATGAACAGGATGATAAGAAACCGGAAAAGAAACCGATCGAGCAAGAAAACAGAACGAAAACCATGGAAAAGCAAGCAAATTCTTGCTACGATCGAAAGGAAAAGGAAAGGAAAAAGAGAAGAAGAGAAAAGGAAAGGAATTAGGTCTGATTTACGCTGAACGCGCATGACAAACTTGATTTCTTATTACTTTCAAGGAGGTGAGCCATGGCTACGGTCACTACGGGCACGTTAGGAATGTAGAATTAGCATAAGATACTGGAAGAACTAGACTTGGGACTATAGATTTGTAATGCGTATGTGTGATATTTGAAGTGGTTTTAGATGGTGTTCGATTTGCAGTCGGTATGCGTGCGTTTGAAAAAAAAAAAACAACCTCTCCATTTCGAAACAAGATCCCACAATTGGTGGAGAACCTGGGCATAGTCCGACTCAGATGCAATGCCTATCTTTACCGTTTCAGTTAGATTCCCAATCATGACCTCGACGAAACGAAAGAAGAAGAAGTGAGAAGGGCGCGCAGCGGAATAAACTGGCGCCAAGGAAACAGCGCGGACGAAGGAAAAGGCGCTGCAAAGAGACGGCACGCCAGACAAGCGGTTTTAGCTTTTCGCAGCTGCAGATGTTGCACACGGCCACGCAATTTGCGACGATGCGCCTAGCCGCATGTGAAGAACCTGTTCGAGTTTTGAAACCGGGAACAATACAGACTTTTGGACGCGGACGACATTAAGCTTGTGATGGAACAGAAGCGGCCACGACTTTGGACCAAGCGACGCTGCAGAGAAATAGAACGTGAATCGACCAGACCAGTCCCAGAACCGACGAAGATCCGCAATAGACACCTGACAGATCACTGAGAAAAAGACATGTTTATGTATTGACGAGACTCCGACCGCGGTAAAGATTTGTTTATGTAGTACGCGATCGGGGTACGTTCCAGATTTTTTGTTGAGCGGACGACTTACGGTTAAGTGATGGCAGTGAAGATTTTCGATTTGTTTACGGACCAGCAGAACCTGACTCGCAAGTTTGTGGGCGCGAATAGTTCCAGCATCAGTTTCGCGCGATTGGCAGCCAGAAGTTTATTTTAGGATAGTAGAGGAGACGACAAAGATTTGGCGCTGCGGGTTTTTGAAGAAGCAGTTGCGCACGACCACGGTTACCGCCATGGCAGCATTTTTCCGACTTCAGAATAGCGGAGAGTGAAGAACGCAGTAGCAGTTTTTCAAGATTTGTTTCGAACAATGCGAAGAGATCACGGCGGCCTCCTTCTTTCGCAATAGCGCGCCAGCTCGGAGGAGCCGCAAATAGCAGTGGACCGCGCTCCTTTTGCTTCTTCCATACAGAATGCGGCAATAGCGTCAGTGAACTCGAAAAGAATATACGTCAGACCACGGAGTAGCAGGGCGGCTCTTAGCGCAGGAAGAAAGAATAGTATCGGCAAGGCAGCTGCAGTAGTAGTTCCGGTTTCGAAAGACAGGGGAAGAAGAAGAGGCTTCGGCCTAGCCCGCGCATGACAGATTCGGTCTGAAGAGGCAGACAACGAACTCACGCAAAGAAAAGAATGTTAGCAGACGCGGGGCTCGTTTCCAGAAAATTTAGCTTTGGCGTTCGCAGTTCAAGCCTGCGATAGATCGGTGCCCAGCAGGTGTAGACGCAAGCCTTCCAGTAGCAAGATGATGATGAAGATAAAGAGATAGATTGTTCAAGACCCCGACCCCCACATCCCTTTGCGTTCGCAGCACCGATAGACGACGTTGATAGGTTTTTGTTCGAAGACGCAGTGATGAAGATGCGAAAGTGAAGAAGTTCCAGTCAGGGGGCGTGTAGTCGTATAGCGACTTTGCTGGTGACTGCAACTTCTTCCTGTGATGGCGTTCCCTCCTTGAAGATTCAAGATCCCGATGCAGTTCCGACCCCAGATTGATGCGACATGCAGTAGTAGCTAGCTGACTTATTGGGATTCAAGATGTGTGCCTTGGGATTTTTATTTGTGTTCGCAGTGACAGCTTGGGGCCACCGGGTTTATCGCTGACTAGCTTTTGCTGACGTTTGATTTCCGCCTGTGTTTGGGATCCCAGGCTACTAGGTGATGACTTCGCTTCGGGCTTCGGGATTTTAGGCACTAGCACTAGTAGATCGCGGCGAAAAGCAATCAAGATAGCGTAGAACACTCGGGCAGAGGTGCGAAAACACCGGGAGAAAAAAAACGAAAAACCCAGGGCAGCGCTAAAGGACGGGCACAGACACGGAAACCAGCAACAGGAAAAGTAGAACAAAGATAACCAGACAACGACGCGAACACGAGACACCACAAAAGAAGAACGCAGAACAATATGGGGGCGTAGAACCATTTCGCTTTCGACAGCAAGCAGCGCGCAGCGTTGACTCCGATTTTTACATGCAGGAACGAAAAGGGAAAATGAAACACAGTAGGAGTAGCACGAACAGCAGCAGCAGTGGTGACAACGAGACCTACGGTTTTCCGGATGTAGGATTTTTAAGACTGCGTACGAGACGATCCAGATCGTCGAGTGAGGTTGCAGCTGCACTTGCAGCAGACCAAAACGATCAGTGAGAAGGGGAAACGTGTGTAAATGAAAACTAGTTTGTCGCACGAACTGCTCATCCCAAAATGCGATGCTGACGTTGACAAAAGTAAATCTTGAAGTGATCTCATTCTATTTTTCCGATCCTGTTTTTTGAAAATGTATGATGTTCTTTTTTGGGAATAAAGATCTAACTTTTATCGTTTTTCTAAATCTGTAATGCAAATGGCCTATCTGCACGCAAATGCGCGACCAAGGAAGTTCGTTTTTTTTCACCGGTTTTAAATCCTGTATAATGCAAATGTTTTTTCAAGATCTTTATGTATGATTTTCTTAGAGTGAGGGCTCAGCCGTGGGTGAGCACCGTAGTATTTACCAATCGCGTTGTTCATCGCGCATTACAAATTCGCACTGCTTATCTATCGCATTTTCTCCAATCAAATCGTCACGGTATCGAATCGCACTAGAATTATTTTCGAAATCGTGACTATCGTACTGGGAATTGGGTAGAATCGTTTAGAACTTAGACCACCGAATAGACCGCTGCTGAAGACCACTGGACTCGTTTTTATCTCGAGCTGACTACTGGAAAGAAAAGTATAGGCATTCTTAAACCGCACCTAATTGCGGTTATTTGGGATTAGTAGTCGTGTTCAACCTCTCCATTTCGTGTATAGATGCCCAGGTTCTCCACCAATTGAAGGATCTAGTTTCAAAATGGAGAGGTTATTTTTTCAGAAGCAACAATACCGAATCAAAAGCGAGCAACATCATAACTACATCGCAAAACGCCACCAATTCGCATTACAGATTCATTATTCCAGGTTTGGTTCTTCCAGTTTCTAATGCTAAATCCGTATTCCTAAGTGGTCCATAGCCGTGGCTCCGCTCCCTTGAAGTAGTAAGAAAATCCAGTTTGTAATGCGGATTCCAGAGAGATCAGACATAATGATAATTCCGTTCCTTTTCTCTTCTTCTCTTTCTTCTTTCCTTCGTCTTTCGATCGTAGCAAGAATTTGCTTGCTTTTCGTGGTATTTTGGTCCTTTTCCTTGCTCGATCGGTTTCTTGGCTTTTCCTTATCAGCAGACCAAAACGATCAGTGAGAAGGGGAAACGCAACTGTTGATTGCAATATATATTGATGTCGGCGTTGGCGCTTTATACTGCATAAAACTGGAAGATGAAGTAGAGGAACGAGTAGAAGGAAATATTGGCGGCCACGCTGCTCCAGGACCTGGTCAAGCTCAGGGAATAAGTAGTATTGCCGTACGCCCGTTTTCTTGTGTGTGTTCCAGCTACAGCCTGGTAGCCTAGACAACAGCGTTGGACCCTTCCAAGAGGATCTGTTGTTCTGAGGATCTGTTGCTCTGAGGATCTGTTGTTCTGAGGATCTGTTGTTCTGAGGATCTGTTGTTCTGAGGATCTGTTGTTCTGAGGATCTGTTGTTCTGAGGATCTGTTGCTCTGAGGATCTGTTGTTCTGTTTAGAGTGAGATTCATGACCTCCGAGCGACGCGGCCCCTGAGCTACTGTTGTTCTCTTCTACCTGACCGTCGTGTAGTATTTCTTTTTCCTGCGTTGTTGCGCTTTATTGCTTGTTGGTTTCACGATACCAAGTGCGTTATCCGCAACAGAGAGAAGAGGTATCCACTGGAAATATGTATGGATCTGGAAGATTGAAACTTTTGATCATGCGCATTTTCGACGGCAAGAAGAACTCTGACGTCCTCAGTCTGTTCGCCACTTTATCGCACTACAAAGGACAATATCTGCTACGAACTGGTCCATACACCTGATCAGTGCACCCTTGCCAGATCACCACTCTTGCCGATGTTGATCCAAGTAGCTGCCTGGTCATCACAAGAAGCGGCTATGCTGCAAAATGTGGACGACGAAAATCATATCCCAGTGGTTCCTTCTAGTTCTGTTTTGCGGTAGTAGCAGAGAAGTCGTTCTTTCTGCGAAAACAAATCTCGAATCTCTTGCAAATAATGCAAAAACAGCGACAAGTTCTTCTGTTTTTAAGTTTGTGCTTACGAAGTCGTTTCTGCGGCAAAAATTTCGATCTGCTTGCAAATAATGCAAGACACGATCTTCTGTTTGACTCTGAAGTACGTGCTTACGGAATCGTTTCTGCAACACAAATTTCGATCTGCTTGCAAATAATGCAAGACAAGATCTCGTCCGCTTTGCGGAGTCGTTTCTGCAACACAAGTTTCGATCTGTTTGCAAATCATGCAAGACAAATCCGTCTGTCTAAAGTTCGTTCTTACGGAGAAGCCGTTTCTGCAACACAAATTTCGATCTGCTTGCAAATAATCCAAGACAAGACCTTTTTGCGGAGTCGTTTCTGCAACACCGATCCCGATCAGGTATGTGAAATTTTTCGTGCAGCAACAGAGACGAACTCTGTACGAAACAAGAAATAAACTCGGGTGAGATCCAGGTTCTTGTCCGCTGCTGCTGTCACTGCTCTGATGTGTGTTTGCTGTCGTAATGTTTTGTCGCAACTTCTGACGAACAATAAAAACAAAACAGGGAGGACCGACAACACGAAAACATACTTTCGCGAGGACTTTGACTTTCGCTGTCGCAGACACGACATCAGACTATTCCAATTATTTTTTCGCAAACAAACATACTAACACTAAGTACGAAATTCTTGTTGACCTTGCACGAGGACAATTTCTAGATTGTGCGCTACTACTTCTCAACCCGCGGACGAACGTTAGCAAAATTTTTTCCGGCAAAGCTGCGTTGGTTTCGCATAAACAAAGAACATACTAAGTGCTAAATTCTTTACCTTGCACGAGGGCAACTTCTAGATTCTGATTCATTGTGCACCACTACTACTACTAAACCGCGGACGAACGTTAGCAAAATTTTTTCCGACAGAGCTGCGTTGGTTTTGTCGAGACTGCATAAAGGATTTGCTGAGAACAAACAAAAATTTATAAAACAGAACAGCACTTGCACTTGGACTTGACGACGAGTAGTACTCTTTGACGAAGCTTGTTGCTCAAGACGTAAACAGACTCGCTGAAAGTTGAAAAATACGAAATTTTCAAATCCTAGCTACATTTGCGAAGTCCTAATTTTTTGCACCCCACGCGGCCTTGGTATAGAACTGAATAATTTGTACACGACCATCTTTTTCATTTTCTTCCGCCGACAGAGCCCTGTGGTTCTTTTGTCGAGACTTTACTGAGTTTATTATTTCGCTTTAACTACCACTAAACCGCATCTAGCTGTAATAATTTACTTATTTTCACTTTACTGGTGAAAGAAGAAATTTTTGAGCACTTACTGCTTTTCTTGTGGTCCTCTCTGCAGCTGTGCAATTTTTCGAGGTCCTCCGTCGTCAAGGGCCACGTTCTACTTAGATTGGCTGTACAATTTTTCAAGGACCACGTCGTACTAACTTACGCTCTGCATCGTTGAACGCGAAGTAGCCATCGTAGGTTTTAGCAGAACAACTACACACCACTTTGATAAATAATCTTCCGCCGACAGTAGACCCCTGTGGTTCTTTTGTCGAGACTTTACAACCTGAAAAATTTCCGCTTTACTAGACCGCATTTAGCTTTACTATTTTCGGCACATTTCAGATCAGTATCTTCATATTGATACAGTAACTTTAGAGGAGCTTTGCTGTTGAAGAAAGAACAAATTTTTTATAATCGCCTAAGCCTTTATCCTGTCTCTGCTCCTCTACAAATCAAGATTGTCGTCAAGGACCACGTTGTACTTAAGTTCCGCATCGTTGAAGGCAAAGAACTACCCGTCCTAGGTTTTAGCACAAGTACGCATTATATTAACGCACCACTTCAGTCTTCCAGGACAATTTTGACGTCATCGCCTTCTTCCAGGACAATTTTGGCTAAGTCGCCTTCTTTCGCCGGCAGGATGAGGTGCTTATTTATGTCCACAAATATTCAAGCCGCGACCTGCGAAACGGGAACAACGGCCGAGCGCAAGGCGCGCCGTGAGAAGATGATGAACACGACCGGGTGGTCGTTGCCAGCAGATCGAGGAAGCCGGAATTATCATGATGATTTTGTCCCCTACAACAAAGACCACCGCCTTCATCATCTCAAGGGACAAGCAACAGATCGCAAGCTTTTGAAACGACCTGCCGGGGCGGTTCTTGCACTTTATGGGCTAGTACTTGCGGCAACGGATGGGCTGATTTTCGACCAAGTAGGTGGGTTGTTCGCTGCTCGTCCTGGTCATAATTTTTCACTATTGCGAGGCGTTGACGCAGCGGCCGGAGGTCGTGTAGCAATGCAAGCATCTTCCCTACAGGACCAGACACGGCGGGAAGCAACTGCAGCTTTCAACTTGCTCGATACCCGCCTCCGGGCACATGGATACCGGCGAGTGCCTGTCATTGGAGACGGAAATTGTTGCTTCCGAGCAATTATCAACTGTAAAAATGTCTGGGTCTGGAAGAATGCATGTTTGTCATGCACATTTTGCATGACTCCTGATACCTGTGACGCATGCCCTAGCATCACAGATTTTGTGAGGGCTTCCTGATGCCTATACCGCATGACAAGGCCTCTTTCCGTGTAGAAACTTGGACTCTCTTTGCTGCTCATGCAATACAGATTTTTTTAGAATCCAAAACCAGCATGACAAGTTGGATTCTTCCAGAACCAGACATTTTTACAGTTGATAGCAATTTCATTTTCGCTACACGGCCACCAAAACCACCACCAGTTTTACTATGGAACTGTCAGGATTGAAATTAACAAAGTTGAAATAATTTGTGATGCATAAAATCTATACCAGTTGGACCCACAGTTTCCAATGGGCGCATAACAAATTTTCCTGGCCTCTGAAGCAAGTTTGTCATGCTGTTTAGGGCAAGATGGCTGCTCCCTGTCATGCTAGTCAGCAGCCCAATTCCTGACCCTTACCAGCACTAGAATCTGCCTCCCTTGCGCCTTCAGCAATAGAGTCAGTCTTTGTGTCGCATTTTATGCATGACAAATCATTTCAACTTTGTCGATTTCAACTCTGACACATCCATATTTACAGGCGCAAGGGTATTGAGAACATGAAGAAGCATCGCAACATCTACGAGGACTTTCTCTGGGGCTCATCCGATGACGCCCTCTCACCCGGCGACAGATGGAACGACTACATTCAACGGATGGAAACAGACGGAGCCTGGGCAGATCACGAGATATTAGCGGCAGTTGCAGCTGAGTTCAACTTTGAATTCAAGCTGATCACAACACACCCTTCCGACGAAATTCGGATGGTGTCCGGACCCCCAGCTGCAACCAAAACCACAACTCCACCGCGACAAATAGTCCTAGCTTTCAAAGCTGAAGTCCATTACGACGCCGTCTCGCCTCTCACGAGCTTCAGTTCCTCGACCGCCAGCCACACGATAGATATGCATTGCAAATATGTCTGGGTCTGGAAGGTGGTAACTTGTCACGGTAAATCTGAAGCATACAATAATCTGTGTTGCATGAGTGCCAAACGCTGTCCACTTTCGACCAAGTTGGGAGGGAGTTTCTCATGCCGGATAGGCATGGTGGAGACCCCGCAGAGTCTGTCATGCCAAGTGCCGCATTCCAGAGCTCATGGGTCATGGAAAATGTGCATGACAAGTTTACACTCTTCCAGACCCAGACACTTTTGCACTTGATAGTGGAATCCACTTCGCAACTTCCAGCTCCTACACACGTCATTTCTGCTAAAGCTGGTGCTCAAAACCCCATGATCTCCAGCTCGCAACTTCCAGTTTCTGCACATGCTTTTTCTGTTGCAGGCCCGGCAGTTGTGACAAACGCTCCAAGCACAAACAGGGCGGCGACGGTTCGTCGTGCTAGTAGTGCAACGAGCTGGGTGGCGCCGGCTCGTGCTAGCACAAGAACTTGCAGTAGTTCAGCCAGTATCAAATGCAAATATGTCTGGGTCTGGAAGATTGCCAGGTTTATCATGCATATTCTGCATGACCCATGATGCTTGTAGTGCATGACTTAGCATCACACATTTTTGGAAGGCTTCCTGATGCCTCTTCCGCATGACGAATGCCCTCTCCGCGTCGCACAATCTGGGCTCCTCCTCTCCTCTTGCATGACTCATGCAATACGGATTCTTTTAGAATCCAAAGACAGCATGACAAGTTCGGATCTTCCCGACCCAGACACTTTTACATTTGATAGTCAGCAAACACTGGCGCAGCAGTGGTTCTACTATCGTAAGGGAAAATCGAAAAGCGCTCCCATATCGAAAAGAAGCGCCTCAAAAAAATTGTGATGCTGATTTGTGAGCACCAATCGTGTCTGTCTTGCAAGAAAGCAACGGCATCCGCTCCGCCCCATTATGCACGCGGTTTGTCATGCTGTTGGTCCTACAGCGTAGGCGTTCCCTATGCTACGTGCCTAGGCCAAAACCTCTGGACACTGGCATGATTTGGGCCTGCAGTCCCCTACTGCAAGACAAATCTGATTTGTGTACGCAAATCCAGCATCAGAAATTTCGTTGTGATATGGGATGGGGGCTTTTTTCACTTTGATATCTACTTCATCATCGTCTACTTCCGAGCTGTATCCTGTGCAAAAGCATCGTACTCGTATAAATGGAGGTCTTGCATTACAAATCTCGTTCCCAAGGCAAATCTGCATTACAAATTTTCTTTCTCATGCTGAGGAAATTTGTAATGCATTTCTACGAGTACGATACTTTTGCAGATCATAAGCTGGACACGACGCAGAGGTATGGGGTTCTCAACTGTTACATGCTCAAGTGTTACTTGAATCTGCGATGCTAGAATGGAAAAAGTGAAACAAGGAAGATTGCGCCTTTTGCATTACAGATTTCGGACGGATTCTAGTGCTATTTAGCGCGTCGGACGAAAGTTGTCATGCGTAGAAGGCTTGATCGTGTTCGTCTGAAGAGTGAGAATCTCTATGCATGACAAATAACCATGAGTGGATAATGTAACATGATTTGAAAACGCCATAAGAAAGAAGAGAATTTTTGGAAAGCGCTGCTCCAGGATGGAGAAGAAAATTTGGCCGAAGTGATCTTGCAGGAGCCCAATAGAAGGAACGAACGGGCGACGGTGCAGACCTACTGGGCGCAGTTTGTCAACCGCGTTAAGCGGTTTTCGAGTGAGGTAAAGGTGGAGTTTGAGCGGGTTTGTGTCGGTGCAACTTCAGATGCTGTCGAAACCTCGGTGCGAGACAAGCTCTCCCAACGAGTCCGCGAACTTCTCATCGAGCCGCCCGCGGGTCAAGAAGTGGATCACGCTCTGACCGCAGACGGCTGGCCTCTACCCAGCCGTCTGCGCGACTGGTATGAGCCTCGAGGAGGAGAGAGCGACCCGGTCTTGCGGGTAGTTCGAGGAGGTCCACAAACAGGTGAACAAACTACTGCCCACGCATCATTTTGGGGCCCACACCGCGTGCCGAGAATCGACCCCACGGACGTTGCGCTCATTGCCTGCGCCGTTGAGCGGGAGGAGTTCGCTGCTACTTCGAGTTTGGTAAACAACACGAGCGCATCAACTAGTACATCTGTGAAGACCACTGTGCCAACCCTTGCGGTTTCGTACCTGCTCCTGCAACAGCACTTTTTGGACTATGTGGACCAGGAGCAGCACGGTGCTGCGCCTTCTGCCGCCATTAAAGCACGGGCGCAGACGCTTGGAAATTTCCTGAACATGGTGGGTGATGATGGTTCTTCGGGTCATGATTTTTTTGGTGTGACCAGCAAATTTGCGATCCGTATTGCGGTGTCGCTCCAGCTACTGTATGCAAAACGGTTCCAGTTTCTGCACAAGATGGAAGGGGAGTTGTCAAAGATTTCCAGCGACAATCTGGCCGAGTTTGTCCGAGACGTCCGCCTCAATATTGACTTCGCCATTGTCTCCACGACCAAGGCAAACAGCAGCCTTAGCTTGCTAGGTCTAAACGAACTTGTGGAGAAGGAAGCGGAGCGGCTGCAGAATTTTTTTGACAAGTGGTTTCATAATCCTAGCAGCAGCACCAGTAGCAGTAGCAGCGGCGCGGGTCGTTCAAACAGCGGCTTGCCCTCAGGAACAACAAGTCCAACAAGAACACCTTTCGTGAAAGTCGAGTTCCTCGACGCCAGAAAAACCACCGGTACCACGGGGGAAGAGATCATGTTGGCGCACGACACAACTTCGGCGTCTGTGTGCTCCAAATTTGTCGAGCAGCCCGCGTCTACGTCTAGGGGGGTCGAAGTAGCAAGAACAACATCTTCTTTTGCACAGAGCGATCCGCTCGCCGGTACCATCCGGATTGGAACATTCGATACACTAAAGCAGTGCGCGCTATTGGATAAGAAAAAGAAAGCGCAGCAACTGTTGCAAGGTCCGCAAGCTCGAAGAAGTGCAACTAGTACTAACTCATTTAGCGTGCCGGGGGCCCACTATCTCTACCTAGCAACTCTCGACGGAGGAACGAGCGCAAATCTTCCGCCGAGGTTCATCTTGGGGCAGTCGACGACTGTAGTCTCTGGCGCAGCCGAGCAAGACTTCTCCACACAAGGCACACAAACTTCGAATCCTGTCATCCAAGATGCCCTCGTGGCAAAGGCGACCGACACTAGCCAAATTGTCGAGATTTCCCTGCCCGGAGCGGATACTCTACAGCCAATTTTCGGGTTTTTGGTAGCGGAAATGGAAAAGGTCGCCCAGGCGTTTTCGGTGATCAAAGACTATTTAGTTTCGGACAACAGTGGTGGGAATGTTTCGATACTAGGGAGAAAGCGAAAATTCCAGCAGCTTGCGGTCCCTGCGCTCGAGCGGAGACTGCGTTTGGAGTTGCGGGACTTCTCAAATATGGGAGTGTCAGGATTGAAATCGTCAAAGTTGAAATTATTTGTAATGCATAAAATCGATACCAGCTGGAAGCCCAATTTCCCAGCGGCGCATGACAAATGTCGGCACCCTCTAAAGCCAGTTTGTCATGCTGTTTAGGGACAGAAGGCGCCTTTTGTCCTGCTACTTTAGCAGCTCTATTCCAAACCCGAAACAGGCTTACAATCGGCCTCGTTTGCAATCCCTGCAAGAGAGGCACTTCATGCCTTGCAATTTCTGCATGAAAAATTATTTCAACTTTGAGGATTTCAATCCTGACGCTTCCATATCAAAGAAAGAAAACGGATTAGCTGTGCCGGAAGAATGGGCATACACGCTCAGGGACGTCACGCAGCAGCAAACGTTTTTACGGGGCGCAGAGATGGGCGGCGGTGTGGTTCGAGCCGTTGGAACAAGGGATAAGGATGTTATCTTTCGCTATGGTGGGTTCACGGCAGATATCAAATGCAAAAATGTCTGGGTCTGGAAACTTGTGATGCTGGGTGGCGTATCAACATGATGAGGCCACAAGTGCTGGCCCAGCATGACAAGTTTCTGAGCTTCATCTAGGTGTTGCCTATTCTGCATGACAAACTGCGTTCCTGCATGACAGAAAAATGGAGCGCTTGGGTAACGTGCATGACAGATTCAAGAGTCAACATGCCAGACAAGCATGACAAACATGCATTCTTCCAGACCCAGACAGTTTTGCATTTGATAGCAGAAGAGGTGGCCACGGTGCTGGTCTACGATTTCGTGGCGGTCTTCTTGGAAAAGCCTATCGAAAGCAAAAATTTCCCCTCCCCATATCAAAACGGAATTTCTAATGCTGGATTTGTGTACACAAATCAGCTTTGTATTGCAGAGAGGCATTGCGGCCAGATCTGCAGGCTATGGAGGGGCGTATGGGTCTAGTTGTTCAGCATGGCAAACGGCTCCCCTTTAGGCCCAACAGCATGGCAAATCGCTTCCATAATAGGGCGAAAGCTTCTGCCTTTGTCTTCTTGCAAGACAAATGTGATTTGTGGCCTCAAATCAGCAACGCAAATTTTAGAGCCATGCCATTTCAATATGGGAAGGGGGGACTTTTCCTTACGATAAAGCCGTTCCGTGCTTTCCAGGCCACGCTGCTGGCCCGGAAAACGAGCTACGACTACGATATTCTCATGCAGTACCCCAAACTGAAAAAGCACATTCACGGACTACTCGGCAAGAATGGCACGACCCCGCAGACAGGTGGGACGAACGCCCTCTCTGCCTTTCTTCAGTCGCCGTTGCCCGACCTCAACCCCTTCTCGGGTGACACGGGGGATGCCTTCGAGCCTATGTTTGAAAGGCACGAGGAGGAGCCGATGGACGCCGAAAGCGACGACGAGGCTACTGGAACTACTACGTCCGTCCGCCCGATTTACCGACCGAAGTACCTTGAAGCCATCGATGACGAGTCTGGCCTGCACGAGCTCACGAATTGGAACGCTGCTCTGACAGCCCTGAAGGCGTTATACATTCAGGCCAAGCGCGCAAACGAAGAGATCGAAAAAAGCTTCCCCCTC